AGAAGAGGGCATCAGGGTAAAATGCGTCCGGAGGGGCATAACAGGTATTTTGTTTCCAAAAACGGGGCATCGGAGGAAATACCTCCATCTGAGGAATTACCTTGGCACAGGCAATACTGTAGCGCAGCATGAGTTCAGACGGTCCGAGGGTGAGCAATTTGCACCCTTTCTTCTGTACTCTCACACTACACTCCATGTATTACTACTAGTTAGTAATACATCTGTTTAGTGTATACAATGAGTGCAAAAGGGCATCCTGATTCTGGCACCGCAAAAACATATGTCATACAATCACTTTTCCCTGTACAACTGGTGGTCAGCATCCGAATCTCGTCGCCCAGAGTTGTGGACAAGTGGGTATGTCACAATTCCCACCTCGTTCTAGCCGTCTTGAATATCCCCAAAACACGGTCTTGACGGACTTCAGATAATCTAAATACACTGAGATGCCTGTATGGCCCCTCTTCAGGAAGCGATGCACGATCTGCTCGACAGGCAACTTCCCATCGCTGTCCCAATAGAAATCGTTTATGGATTAGCAGCGAACGCGTTGGATGCCGAGCCCGTGGCGGGAATATTCAGCGCTAATTATAAAGGCCGGCCAGCTGACAAATCGCTGATCGTAGTCTCATCTTTAACCCATGCTGTACTCTCTCCTCCCAGAGTCATTCAAGCTCCCGCAAACCTACGACAAGCTGATCAGTACATTATGCCCGGGCCTGATTACCCTCCTCTTCGCAAGATCATTCAATATCCCCGATATCTGCACAACAAACCAGCCTACAGCAACGCTCCGGCTGCCCTCGCAACGCATCGCTCGGGCAGCGCTCTCCCTCTCGCACACTGGACTAGGTTTCCGACGACTGGGCTTGAGCGGGCGTTACACAAGCATATGAAAAACGCATACACAGCAGCGGTCTCGATAGACGCGCGCTGTAGTTCAATTTATTCGATCTCAACAAAACCAGAACATGAAGGAAGCAGAGTGCACCAGGAGGCTATTCTCATACTATACGCCCGTGCCTCAAACCGCATTACCTCCGTCGGCGGTCTCCTCGGGCAAGCATAGCAAGTCAAGGAGGCAGTTCTAAGCGAGCGCGGCGATCGCGTTGCTAATGTCGCTGTCGAGCAGTTCCTGGCCTTCCTTGACCATTTGAGCCTGGCAGGGAAGCGCCTGGAGTGCCACGTTTCCCAATGTCTAGCGAGCTGTGAGGTGACGTCACGTCGAACGCGAAGAGGATACTCACATCGACCGAAGGTAGGATCACTTCCAACTCTTGTTGGATCGGGGCGGCGCTGCTGGAGGACACGAATACGGGAGCCTCGGAGATGAGTGCCTGGAACGCGCCGTGGAACGCGACCGCCAACTATTTCCCGGGGTTCAGCGTACAGTCCTCAGAAGAGGCAGATCTTTACCCTGTTCAATGCGTCACCGATCTCCGTGCAGGCTGGGTCGGGGAAGACGACACCGTTCAAGCCCCCGGCACCCTGCTCCACCTCCGCGCTCAGAAGAGTGAGAGTGGAGGTGACGTTCTTGCAACGTGGTCAAGTGACATTCGTATGCGCGTGGGAAGAGAGTCACCTGAGAGAGAGCCGACACCTGGGCGGGGGTGCTGAGGCCCGAAGCCGTCTCGATGGTCTGTTCGAGACCGTTCGCCTGGGCCGCGAGCGCCTGGAGGGCTGCAACGATCGTCGAGGGATCGACTCCTTGGCGCCCGGCAAGGTCTTTAACTACGAGGCTGATGGGGACGACACCAGCGACGGCGAAAGATGCGGCCATGAAGGGGAGCAGGGTGCGAAGGAACTGCATGATGGATTGTCGAGGTTGAGATTGTTGGGCGCTGCTGACCTTGGTAGCAAGAGGGGACTTGTTGGATGAGAGCTGTTGCTGTTCAGGCAGGTTTATATATACCTCTGAGCTGCCTCTTTACTCAACAATTGTTTATACAGACATCCGGCGAACGTGCATCCAGCCACCACCTAGCCATAGAAAGGGGCCGGCGATGCCTAAGCGACAGAAAGGCAATCAGAAAGTGATTTCCCACAGGACACCATGCTTCTTGGGCAATCATCGCAGATGAATGAACCCCGAGAGACCATGTATGCCCCTCTTTGAGGCTTACCGAGGGATCGACAAGGTCTCCGCCGTACTCGGAGGACAGAAATACCACTTATGGGCAATAATACATCTTCAACATCAGCCTTGAGATTTGCTGAGGTGCATCTCAACTCTGAATCATGACAAAACCATGAAGACCTCGGTCATCCGGTTCGGTCACAGTCAAGTTACATGGCCATGACCAGAGCAACCTGGGAGATGATGACCGCGAAGAACCGGCCATGACTGGTCACAATAAGGTGGTCATGGCAGTGAATGTATTGCACTCATTGATTACCGTGCGCGACGTCTAGCAGCTCCACAGAGACATATATGGGAGTTGATGAACCTTCGAGTTACACGAGCAACAATAGAGCGGAGAACCTTGACCCCAGTTGCGCCAGAGAGATGCGCGGACTCCAAATTGAGTTTGCTCCACTCGCTTTGAAGTTCTGCAGTTTATCCAAGCTGCCTATTGTCAACAAATCCCAAGTAAGCAACACGGAGAGCTCCGAAATGTCCGACTAAGGCAGCGTGATGCGGCGATCGGGGAGGAAGACTCTGAGGCAGGAGAAGCTGAGATCGTCCTCGAGGAGACATGATATGACAATACTATACCTGGACCGGTTCAGACTGGGTAAAAAACGGATAATTGACCTGATCACGACCATGACCGTGACCATGACCAATGACAATGACAAGGACCGGACCTGACCACGGCACCACGGCCATCTTGTAATTTCGATGCAAGTATGCAGCTGCTGAGGAACCAAAGAAGGGAATGCAGGTAGAGAGCCTGAAACAGAGGCAAGGACGCGAGTTTTGCTCTGTCGCGTGGTGGTCGAGATGAAAATACCCTCGAGGAGCAAACGAAGATAATGGCACGAGTCTCATCTGGACGAAAGCTCCCGGTGTGAGTCTCAGGCACGGGAAGAACCCGATGGAGTAGGCCTCGCCCTGATCGAGAGGGTACCGAACGCGCCTCAGATCGAGTGTATTGGATGAAGAATATTAATTAATGAAATTTCCCAGTAAGTCAAGTACTGCAGATTGGAGAGAGCTCGGCAACAGAGTACTCTTGCTCAGAAGACGTTTCAGCGCGTTTAGATTATCTGAGTCGGTTAGGGTCGACACCGCTTAGACATGAGGCGCACGGTTGCAAGAGTTCGGACGGCCAGAGTGTGAGCAATTTTTGCGTTCTTGTTCGCCGCAGTTGCGGTGTGATCCTGACCCCAGTGTGGGGTCAGTAAGGGTGAGCAGGCGCCGAGAGGGGCGCGGCGACGATTCCGTTTTGGGTACACACCCCCTTCGGGCGTCATATTCCTGACGCCGGGGTCGCAGAAACGTGTGTCGCCCTGCTATTGAGTGTCATACAATCACTTTTCCCTGTACAACTGGCGGTCAGCATGCAAGCCTCGCCCCAGGGGTGTGCAAGAGTGGGAATTTCAGAATTCCCACCTCAGCCGGCTTGAATATCTCTAAAACACGGTCTGGAGGGAATTTAGATGATCTAAATACACTGATCAGAGACGCCTGTATGGCCGCTCTGCAGGAAGCGACGCACGACGCACGATCTGCTCGACAGGCAAGTTCCCCTCGTTGTCCCAATAGAAATCGTCTATGGATTGGCAGCGAACGCGTTGCGCGCTGAGCCCGTGGCGCGACTATTCAGCGCTAAAGGCCGGCCAGCTGACAACCCGCTATTAATGATACACATGTCTCATCATTACCGATGCTGTACTCTCTCCTCCCAGCGTCATTCAAGCTCCCACAAACCTACGACAAGCTCATCCGTGCGTTCTGGCCGGGCCTGCTTACCCTCGTTTAGGCAAGATCGTTCAAGATCCCCGACATCTGCACAGCAAACAGTAGCCATTCGGATGCCCTCGCATCCCACCACTTGAGCATTCCTCTCCCTCTCGCACACTCCCATGGGTTTCCGACCGCCGGGCTTAAGTTGGTATTACAGAGCATACATGATACATACAACGGCGGTCTGGATAGACGCGCGCTGTAGTTCAATTCATTCGATCTCAGCAAACGCAGAACATGAACGAAACAGAGTACACCAGGAGGCTAATCTCATACTATGCACATGCATCAGACCGCATCACCTCCATCGGCGGTCTCCTCGGGCAGGTCAGTAAGGAAGTAGCTCTAGGAGAGCTCGGTGATTGCGCTGCTGCAGTCGCTGTTGAGCACAGCCTGGCCTGCCTGAATAGCGAGGGTCTGACAAGGGACTATCTGGATCACGGCGTTTGCCAATGACTTGCGAGCTGTGAGGTGATATCACGTCGAAGGCGAAGAGGGTACTCACATTAATCGATGGTTGGATCACTTCCAACTCTTGTGCGATCGGGGCGGCGCAGTCCCAGAACACGAATATGAAAGCGCGCAAGATGAGTGCCTGGAGCGTGTCGTGGAGCACCAACGCGCACTATTTCCCAGGTTTCATCGTACGATCCTCAGAAGAGGAAGATCTTTACCTGGGTTCCTGCGTCACCGATGGTCTGGCAGGATATTGAGTCGTTGAAGACACTACCGCTCATACCTATGACATCCTCGTTCACCGCCGTGTTTATCGCATTCAAAGAGGAGATGATGGTCTTTTGATATGGTCAACTGACATATGTATGCGCATGGGAAGAGAGTCACCTGAGAGACTGTGTTCACCTCGTTGTAGGAACTGATTAACGAAACCGAGTTGATCGTCTGTTGGAGACTGCTCGCCTGGGCCGTGAGCGCCTGGATGATTGTAACGACCGTCGAGGCATTGACTCCCTGGGTCCCGGCGAGGTCCTTAGCGTCGAGGTCGGTATGGTCGAAGGGGAGGACAGCAGCGGCAGCGAAAGATGCGGCCAAAACGGGGAGCAGAGTGCGAAGGAAATGCATGATGGATCGTCGAGGATGGTGTCGTTTTGCGCTGCAGACCTTGGTAGCAAGAGGGAGTTGTTAGATGAGAGCCGTTGCCATTCAGACAGCTTTATACATGCCTATGAGCTGCCTCTTTACTTCATGGTTGTCTACACCGATATTCGGGGAAAGTATACCGCTGATGTACTCTTCTGCGCATCGAGCCACATAGCCATATCAAGCAGCTTTCCATCCCAAACAAGCAGTCAAAAAGTGATTTCCTGCAATGCGCCATGCTTCTCGGGCGATCATCGCCAATTCCTGAACCCCGAGGTACCATGTACGCCCCTGTCGACATGTCAGCTGGCGAGGTTTACGGAGGGATAGACAAGTCCCCCCTCCCCCTTGATCGGATGACAGAGGGTGCATCAGCAACAAGGTATGCAGCGGGTGAAAGGCCAAAAAAGAAAGGAAAGCAGGTAGAGAGTTTAGAAAGACGCAAGCGTGTGAGTTGTTCTGAAGCGTGGTCGTCCAAATTGCTCCTCGAGGAGCGAACGAAGAACCTGGTTTCTATAGTAGCACGAGTCTCTTCTGAACGAAAGCTCCCGATGTCCCGCCGTTTAAGAACCTGATGGGACGGACTCGACCCCACCTCCCCCCGATCGAGATGGTACTGAACGTGCCTCCGATCGAGCGTCTTGGACGAAAGAGTCAAGTTTCCCAGATAGGCAAGCACTGGAGATGGGAGCCTGTGTGCTGTGAGACGTGGAGATCGAGAAGAGAGGGATCGAATCAGGAAATCATGAATCCATAAGAGCCCTCATAACGTGAGACTGAGCTGGGACACAAAGCACGTTCGATCACGTTGAAGGATAATGGGAATCAGTGACCATACGCGAGTGCTGAGGAAATTTGCATGATCTTGAGGTGCTGTTGCCTGGAGAATTCGAGCAACGCCGATCAGCACGACAGGACAAAAGAACGTTTTGGAGACACGTTGCGGTTGTTTGTTAGTTATAAAAAGGCTCAGCATGCTGACTATGTTGTGAGATAAAACACAAAGTCCTGGTATATGCTGACTGACCTGTCAAAAGCTTAAGGTGACAATGTCATGTTGACCGAGTCTTCAGGAAGCGTTATTCCAGGAGCCTCGTACTGGATCATTTGCCATGTCATCGGAAGCGAAGATTTTCCGTCTTACAAGTTGAGCCCTCGGCGCGAACTACAGTATTGTCGTCAAGATAATTGTGAAAGCAGCGTGGGTCTAGCCATCGAATCGATAAGTAACGGTGACATTGTACCCTTGGGGCGAAAGGGAAGAGGGAAAAGGGAATAGGGACATTCGGCTCCGATCGGATCCCCTGCTGTTCCGCCCATCATCCGCGGCCGTTTCTTCTCCCATAGCGCTGCTCTCGTCTGAAGGTGACCTCGCAAACGCACTGCAGTGCACACCTCGAACGTACCTACATCTAAGCCTTTAGATGACGGGATTACTCATTACCCAAAGCATATAGTCAACGGCAACATACAGTCAGCTCCAAAGCTTCGTCAGGTCAACGGGGCCGTCATCTGATAACAGCGCTTTCTCATCGAATCTCCCCTACCTTTCCCAGGGGACCTCATCCTAACCTTCTTGATTACTTTGATAGACACTGCAGGGACCGAAGATTCTTACAGGACCGCGTGACGTGCGGGGGAGCGAACAGAACGCGAATAGTTGCCATGAGGGTCTGCCGGCGTTGTACAGTACTTGCAGCTTCAGAGCCCTTGATGACTTGAGTTCTCGACAACCGCCTCTACGGCACCGGCACTGGGTTGGTTTGCGTGAAATATGCTCCAATCAGAATCTCAGAAGATGACCCGGCAGTTGGGACTGCCGGCCGCGGCACTACTCCACAGGAGAAGAAGAAGTATCCCGAATCGCCCCTTGACAGGCACATATGGTATTCGTGACCTAACTATACTTGGTAATGTCCCATACGTTTGTTGGTACACTGTACTCTGAGGTTCTTTTGTAGTGCGGCTATTACGTCGAACCTTCCTTGAGCTGTGCCTGGGTCGGATCAACTGTCTCGTGCTGCTGCCTCCTCCGTTTTGCCAACAGGGGCTCCGGAGATCCCATCCTCTGCGTTCCGATCTCTGCTCGTAACTATCAGAAGCCTTCAATACTGGGATTCTGTGGCGTTCTGTTGCTCTGCGGGCATTCGTCGTTCTTCCAGAGCTCCACAAATGACAAATGTCGCCACATGGCACCGTGCTCCTTATGCGCGTCCACTTCCCCGGAGCAAAACAATCAAACGATGCCGCCATCTACGGAATATGTCGTCCCTCATTCAGCACCAATATCTCGCTGCTCAACTGCTCTGTAATGTCCGGCAATTCAGGAGGTTGAGATAAAAGACAGGGCTACATATCCGGATTCAGCCTCAGCCGGAACAAACACCTCTGTACTCGTTCCAACATGTCCGCCGCACCCCTTGCTGTCGTAGCTCCCTGGAACGTAACTGAGCACGATCAGGTAAAATGGCTTCAGTCTGCCCTGAGCAAAACCTTGCTGACATCTCCACAGGCAATCAAGGACCATCTCGACAAGGTTGATATCAAGTTCGGGCCTTTGGTCTGCCAAATCGCTTTCGACTACCTCAACATTGGCAGCTTTTCAGCACACGGCGTCCTCGTCCTCCAGATAGAAAGCTGGGATGGGCTTCACTACGTCACCCTTCCGCTGAAAGACGGTGATCAAGTGAAGCGGGTGCATAATACAGGCTTCCAGTTGCTTGGCAATCACGACTTTTCAGAGCTGGACAACAAACTTGTCCATTTCAAGATCGCAAGCGGAGCAAAGCCTGACGATGCAAAGAACTGCGTTGTGGCTTTCTACACCACCTCAATTACGGGCGACATAGAATATCTTGCGACTGTCACCTTGACGAATGGGCAGCACACTTGGCTGGGATCGAGGGGCTACTGTACCTTCTTGTATGCCCATTCATTCTTCCATATACCAGACTATTGATGGGGCTCTTGTAGCACGTAGCCGTATCGATGCTGAAACGCGCTCGCGTCATAGTTACTACCTAGCTCAACCTAGCATTTGCTCTCTCGTAATTCTGTGTCTCGTTTGACGTGGTTCGTTCCCTTTCGGCGTGCCGTACCCATGTCCAATCATTAAACACAAGAGTATATCATTCTGGGGGCATTGAGCACAACGGATTGTCATTACCCATGGATCGCCCCATGACCCTGTACTGTAAAAACCTATGTTCACACACCGCCCATCTTACAAAAGGTTTGATGGAACGGGTATCCCCCATATTCCAGCCTTGGCATCATGGGTCCATCAGCTATTCCGCCCTCCCATGACCAACAAATCAAGATCGGGCCACATGACACTGCACTTCCGGTTCCATTTCGAGAAACCAGGAAGGACGATACAGAAACGTTGCTGATGGGCTCCTGAAGAACAATCAAAGATGGAAAGGACCGCTCCAATGGTGTGGGAGAACCCTTTGGGTGCTGATTACGGTGCCACTTGATACCCAATATAGTAACTGATGTTTGGATTGAAGGTATTTACCCGAATACGAGGCGAGTACTGTCCTATGCTTGTTGTTGAGCAACAAAAGGCAGGAAAGATAATGACATAGTAAACACTGCGGTAGAAGCTGCCTTGGACGAATGTTCGAGCTGGAGCATCACGAGACCATAGTTACTGCAATCCAGAAGCGCATGCTTGCTCCCTAACACCGGTGGGATGGTAGGTCTCCTCCGGTTTCAAGGCACCGAGTGTTTGGAGCTGTTCTTGCTTTGGATCAGCTGAAGCACGGAGGTTTGAAAACACCGGAGCTCCACAGTAGGCCATTGTGGAATCGTTGATCGCTGGCCACAAGTGGGTATTCCTGCGAGAGTGAGACATGTTTGTTGTACAACGTATAAAAGCTTCATACCTGGAGTCATTGGTCAACAGCAGAGTCATACATCCACCTCAAGCAGCTCAATTCCTTTCTGTCCACATCGATTAACATGTCCGTCGCCGTCGCCCCAACTCAATCTGGCCAGGTCACCACCCCCTGGGAGCACGACACTGTATGACGGTGCTTTGGCATGATCGTTCCTGCTGCTGACTGACCACCGTGCAGGCTCTCAAGGAGTATCTCAACCGGATCTCCCTCAACAGCGCACCGATGACGACCTACGTCTCTTTCGAGTACTTGACCATCCTTGGCTCCAACATGGTCGGGTCTCTTGTGCTCCAGTCCCAGGACGCTTCTGGCGTTTTTCACTACGCTGTTCTTCCCCTCGCAAAAGGGGACACGGCAACAAACGTGGCCAACACCGGCTTGGTCTTTATGGATGGCCAGGACTTCACGAAGTTGGATAACCAGATTGTGGATTTCAAGATCGCCAGCGGCACGGGAGGTACCGCTCCTTCCTCTTGTGTGGTCTCGTTCTTCGGTAATGGCAACATCGCCACGCTCACTCTTACGAATGGTCAGCTCGGCTGGATGGGTGCCTCGGGCAAGTGCACGTTCTTGTGAGCGCCCAATAACAACATTAGTACGAAAATAGGCTGACCATCAACGTGTTTGTAGCCAAACCCCGGCCCCCCCGGGGTCTGCCCCAAAGCCCAAGGCAGTGTAAGGGCTTTAAATAGCTCAAAGCGGGCTCGGTCATCCGGATTTGGAGGGAAGAGAAGGGGCCACACTCGTTTCTTGAGCTTGACATCACCGACAAGTTCCTCCTCCCAGATTACCGTAGAGGGCGTCTTCAACAGGCGTGCCGTTTGAACCTAGTACCAGAAATATGAGAGCTGTACGTTTGATGTTGAAATTACATTCATTTTCCCTTGCATGTTTGCTGCACGTAAATGTCGAAATCAAACGGACAAGCCAGTGTGTGCCGTAGGAACTGCCTGTGATCATTTCAACTGGAAACATTGGTGGGGAGCTCCTCCATAATTTGGGAGACAGTGCGTGTTGAACAGATCAATTACAGATTTCAAAGAAAGATATTTCATTTGAGAGACTGAACCATGAGTTCAATGGTGTCAAAGATCTCTAGCAATGACGGTGTGAACCAATGGAGCATGAATCGAGAAGTTGTAGGGTGGAGTGGCGGTGTTGCTGTGGTTGAAAACTGTACAGCACATCCCTTCAGGGTCACTCTTCATTCCTGCAGCACTCTCCTCCTCCATAGTCGTTATCCCCACCCTCTCATATCTAAAATATCAGCATGAGGTATGTTTTTTTTTTCATAATGAAGAAGGGAATCGGCGCTTATAGTGTGTATTCAGCTCCAAGCTCTCAGTGCCAAGCGTGCGAAGCAGTGTCCGTGACCTCCTTGCGGAGGCGAACGGCGAGAAGAAGCGCAAGTTCGTCGAGACGATCGAGCTCCAAATTGGACTCAAGAACTACGACACCCAGCGTGATAAGCGGTTCTCGGGCACTGTCAAGCTGCCTAATGTTCCCCGTCCGCGTATGAGCATCTGCATTCTTGCTGATGCCGCCGACATCGATCGCGCGAAGCAGATCGAGCTCGAGTACATGAGCGTTGACGATCTTAAGAAGTGCGCATCCATCTATCCTCATACATACGCTAATCAGTCATGTAGGTTGAACAAGAACAAGAAGTTGGTGAAGAAGCTCGCTAAGAAGTACGACGCCTTCTTGTCGTCCGAGGCTCTGATCAAGCAGATCCCCCGTCTGCTCGGCCCCGGTCTGTCCAAGGCTGGCAAGTTCCCCACGCCCATCTCGCACGCAGAGGATCTCGCGGGCAAGTGCAGCGAGGTGCGCTCGACTATCAAGTTCCAGCTCAAGAAGGTGCTTTGCCTCGGTGTTGCCGTCGGCCACGTCGAGATGACCGAGGACCAAGTCCTGGGCAATGTCATGCTCAGTGCGTCTCCTTTGATCGTTTCATGGAGATCTATTGACATCAAATAGGCATCAACTTCCTCGTCTCCTTGCTCAAGAAGAACTGGCAGAACGTCAAGTCGCTCAACCTGAAGACGACGATGGGTCACCCCATCCGTCTCTACTAAGCAGTGCGCATTCATTGCAGCTATTCGCTGTGCAATTGCTGGCCCGGGGAGAAAGGAAAGGATCGTAATGCAAATCATGGGCTTCGCACGCTTAGACCAACGGGTGCCAGTGGGGTGACTGATTGGGAGCTGATACGATTTCTTTTCTTTTCTTCCTCTAGCTCTCTGGTTGTACTGTATAACTGCAACGTGTTAATGGGATGCCTATACCTAAAACGTGCTGTGTACTGAACTGAGTAGACAATCTTCGTTCATATGGAGTTTATTGGGTATTATGGCGCATTGCTATTATGTACACATGTGAGAACATGAGCTGGGTGGGAATAGGAAATGAAAGAGAGGTATCGTTGCGAACCAGCACGCATTAGGGGGGCACAAACAGACAAAAACAGAACATGGTCGAGAAAAAAATAAGTATAGGTCTTCGTCGAGCAGGGACACTTGCCACCGCTTCCCTTCTACACAAACTGCCGAACCACCATCGAACTGAATCGTTTGCTAAACCAAGTCAGAATGAGCTACGCCTCCCCAAGCGCACCTTCCCTTCCCCTTCCTCGTCTGAACAGAAACTCTAACGGGCGCCTCCTACCACTCTCACTTTCCCTTCTCCCGCTCCCTTCACCCGTCATTCCGGCCCCGTACCCAGCTTGAGCCAGGCTATGTGCCGGCCAAACAAGCCTCTCCTCACCTGAAGTCGTTTCGTCTTCTGCTTCAGGTGGGCCTGCTTCACCGGCTTCGGCCATATCGAGGTCTGGCGTTCCAACTGGGTGCGCGCTCGCCTGGTTCGGAGCTGCAGGAAGGGGCGCAGGTATGGGAGAAGGAGTGAAGCTCTCCGTTTGAGGGGTAGGGGCCAGACTTGTCGCCGCGCTGGATACTGCCGTAGAGGGGGGTGGGTAATGCGGCTGAGGTGAGGGGAGCCCATGGAAGCCCATTGCGCCGGCAGACTCTGAGACTGCAGGACGGCGCTGCGTCGGTTCGCCCCCTGGATAGGCCATAGGCAAGCTGCTGCTCCCCGCCTCGCTGATGGAGCTCAGCGAAGCATATGGGAAATCGAGCATGCTCGGGTCTGTCTGACCGAAAGTGTAGCGGGGGACACTTCGGGGCTGGGAAGGGCCTGGTTGTCCTTGTTGGGCAGCGTAGGCAGACGGCCCTAGGGGGCTCTGTCGTTGGCGCTCCTGAGGGTAGGCATGTCCTGTCGTATGCCCATTCGCTGAGGGGGAGGACCGACGTCTTTGTAGAGTATCCTGACCCGCAGCTCTCGTATGGCCATGCCCAGCTGTCCGTATATGCCCCTGCCTCCGCCCTATGGCAACATCGACATCCCCGCCATTCCCCTCCTCCCCATCTCCGTCCCCGTCCCCATCCAAGTCCATATCGTCCATGTCCAGGTCCTCCCCTCCCCGAGTACCGAAAACGATCCCCAAGCTCAGTCCTTCAAGTTGGGGGATGGGCGTCCCATCTCCTTCTGGCGGCTCCACTCCCTCTGTTCCTGACGCTAAGGGGGGTACAGCACCCTCCTCTGGGGGAGGCGTGGTACTCGCATCGCTATCACCACGTTCTCCGCCCGGTAAGAAGGGGAAGGGTGTACTAGCGATACTCGCCAGATACCGCCTAAGCTCAGTGACACCTTTCCCTGAATAGACGCAAAACGTGCGCTGCTGGACATCGCTGAACTCCCTCGGAGGAGAGCGGCAGAACTGCTGTAGCTCTGGGCGGCGGAATGCGGGGACCCCGGTGAGGGAGAGATGGGTCAGATGATGTAGTCTCTGAAGGAGGTAGTGCACTGCTTGCACAGAGATGGACTCGCAGTAGCTGAGATGGATGCGCTCGAGCGTATGATGCCTGTCGCTCAAGGCGAAGAGGGCGTTATCCGTCAAATTCGTTACGCGAACCAGGCCAACGCGCCGCAGTTTGGGCAGAGCAGCGAGCTCGAAGACGCTCATGTCTGTCAGCTGGGTACAGCAGGCTAGGTCGATGTACCGCAGCCGTGTGCAGGAAGCGGCCAGCGTGCGGATACTCCGGTCGGTGAGGTGGACGACATGCCCCATGTGGAGGTAGTGGAGATGCTTTCCCAGTCGGGTGATGGGCTGGATGCAGTCTTCTGTCAGGCTGACGCATTTGGCTAGGACGAGGGAACGGATGCGCAGGCTGTTGGAGGTGAGTCGGTCGAGCGCGGTGTCGGTTATCCCTGTACAGGAAGTGAGGTCCACTGTGCGGAGATGGTCGAATGCCACGCCTTGGGGGAGGAAGTACTGCGCTGCGTTAAGCGCTTGGGACCAGGAGAATGCCAGCGGGGCGGGGTGCGGCAGGGGAGGGAGAGGGAAACCAGTGTCGGAGATTTGTAGGCAGCCGCCCAACCTCAGCTCACGGAGCTGGACAGAATGGAGGAAGAGCGCGCGCGGAGTCGCGTCCTGCACTCCGACACAGCCGTTCAGGTCGAATTCTATCAGCAAGGGAGAAGCAGCGACGAGCGCTGCGAACGCGCGGTCCTGTACTTCTATCAGACCGCCGAGCTTGACCCGCCGTAGGGAATGCATGTGCGCTGCGATGGCGAGGATGGCGTCGTCTGTGAGCTTTGTGCATCCACTGAGGTTGAGCCCCTGCACTTTCGTGCATGCGGGAGCGATGGCTTCAATAGCAGCGTCATCGATGTTGGACACGTTTGTAAGATCGAGAGCGATGAGGTTCCTCAGTTGGGAGATGACGAGTCCTAGGACGGTCGCGGTGAGGGAAGTGCAGTTGGCTAGGGTGAGCCGTTCGAGTCGCGTACAGCGGGAGAGGCGGGAGAAGATGGTGTCTGTACAATCTGGTCCTAGGAGAGCAAAGTTGATACGCCGCAGGAAGGTGTGGTAGGGGAATGTCAGTGGCCGCTGTGGGGGTGAGCCGGGGCGTGTAGCGGAGAGGACGGTGATGAGCTTGAAGAGTGAGGACACCTTTGTCAGCGCTGGTCTGTGCCATAGCAGTTCTACTGAGCATTGGCACCATGAGCGGGAGACGAGGAGGGCGGCGTGTAGGTCGGTGTGGGAAGGTAGGAACTTGAGGATATGGATGATGAGCTCGTGTGGGAGGTCGTTGGCGGGCGGCACAATAGAGGTATTCCACGGTGGTGTTGGAGGGTTGGAGTGGGCCAGCCTGAGGTCGGGGATGTCGTCTTCCTCGTCGTCGGAGAGAGAGGTGAGTGAGGGTGAACGGTTGGGAGAGGGTGGCTGAAGGGACATGCTTGCTCGTCGTCGGAATGGGGGAGGTCGTCGTCGCGGTGGTCGAGGAGAACGTCCGCAAAGCAGTGTGCGACGACCCTATAAACCGGCTCCGGTCGGCGATAATGACGTTCCAAAAAAAAGTTCATCGAACGAATGTAATAAATAACATTATTAATACAATATAATAGATTCAATACGGTCTAAATCTCCTCTCTTCACGCATCTTGTTCACCTTCTTCTTGTCCTCTTCGAACACCTTTCTCAGCTTGATAAACTCCTCTCTCTTCTTCTCCCTCAGCTGGAATCGGTAAAAGTCAGGTACGACCCCGGCAGCCCTCCGAGCCCGTTTCTTCTTCTGCAACTGCTCAGCACCAGCCCGGTGCTGCAGCTCGAAAGACCGGCTGGCGACGCCCACACCTCCAGCAGACGCACGCCCATGCCTCCCACCACGAGTGACGAGTGTGAACCCGTCCGCGTCGACGTGCTCCACTCCAACCTTCTGAGCACGGCGTTTCTCCTCCTCTCGTGTTTCCCACGCAGCAATGTACGCGTCGGCATGTTTTCGTACCATAGGAAGAGAAGGGCGGAGCGCGGCGTGTAAGGCTAAGTAATGCGTTAACCCGAGGGCGAGCGGACGGAGTGGAATCGGAGGGTGGGCTTGGAGGGCGCGTGTCAGGGAGGAGGGGTCGAGGAAGACGACATGTGCAGAGAGGGATGTCGCATGGGGTATGGAGGGTAGAGACGGGAGGGGAGGGATAGATGGTAAGGCGCTTGGTTGAGGCTTCCTGGTCTCCTCCATGTCGTCGTCATCGTCGTCCTCGTCCGCCATAGCTTCTTCGCCCTTGTCTTCTCCATCACTATCCGGATGCAGCTCATCACCTCTCCACACGATGCGCTCCACGACCCCCCACCGGCCCACCACGTCTCTCAGTTCTCTCTCCCCGCACACAGCAGGCAAGTTGACGACAAACAGCGTCCTCCCTGTCGGTAGTCCGCCTTGTGTAGAAGAACCGGAATGGGCACGCAAGTAGCAGTAGTGTGTTGTTTGCGGTAAGTTGGCTACTGAGGGCAAGAGGAGCGGGAGGGAGAAGAAGTCGCCGAATTTTGAGCTACCGGGTTTCGATTTGGAGGACTTGGGCTTGTGCGCTTTTGTGGGTTTTGTAGGCTGGGATGAAGACGCGGCCTTAGAGAAGTCTTCTTTAGATTTGCCTTTTGTATGCATCTTCTGATTGTAGATTGTAATGTGTGAATATGGGTATGTGTGAGGACCTGAGATGCAGAGGTCGAGGAGCAAGAGCAGCAAAGGAGCAGGAGAACACAGGGTCCACCACTAGAAATTTCGAGCACTTGCTTGCACCGCCACTAGCACCGCCACTTATATATAAGCTTCTTAGTGAATTTGGTTTCCTTTTACTGTTGACTACATCTTGTACTCTTACCATCACTCTTGCTACTTGAAAGTTGAAGATGCCAAAACATTACTGTGACTATTGCGATGTGTTCTTGACCCATGATTCTACGTCTGGTGAGTATATTTACATTAGACAGGAGAGAATAGTATAGCTGACACATCTTCTAGTTCGCAAAGCCCACAACTCGGGCAGGAATCATCTCCAGAACGTGAAGGACTATTATGCCTGTGAGTATTTCTAACAAAGTTGTCGTAGAGAAGTACTAACGAATTCAGCACTCGGACATGACAAGGCCCAGGATATTATCGACCAAATCACGAAAGCCTACGAGTCCGGTCTTCCTCCAGGCGGCGCAGGGTTTGGCGTTGGCGCACTCGGCGCAGGGCAGGCGCCTCCTATGGGGTTCCCGCCTGGCATGCCACCTCCGCCGCCGCCGGGTATGGTACCCCCACCTGGGATGTTTGGGATTCCACCCCCACCACCGGGGATGATCCCTCCTGGGGGAGCACCTCCGTTCCCTCCATCGGCGCCGGGGTCGGGACTGAGACCGGCGGGTATGACAGCTGCACCTCCTTTCCCTCCTGGCCCTGGGTTCGCGCCTCAGGGAATGCCGCCATTCCCTCCCTCTGGACCTCCGTTCCCCCCGACTTCTGCACCGAGTTATGGCCCGCCGGCAGATGGCACTCCGAGTGGGGGGGGTATGCACCCTGACAGGATGAGGATGATGCAGGGTCGATGAGCGGATGAGAGGCGATTCAGATTACACTGTATTTTCTTCTGGGTTTTGTAATGCAAATTTTCTGTAACTCTTCAGGTGCAGTGATATCCAAGTAAGATGACCAATAAATCTTAGTAACCCTGTTATAAAAAGTAGGCGAGAATGAGTCACAAGCGCCCATTCGTATGCCGCACGACCCTATGCGGGCTGAGTAACCTCAGTCCCTTTCTCAATCCCTCACCACCATCTTCTCCTCGATGCGGCGACCGCGGGCAGCTGCCCAACCGAAAGGGCAGGAGGAAAGTACATCTCTCTTTCCCTCTCTCCTCCGGGCGGCCTCTATCCTCGCCTCGCTCGCCCCTCTACCTGGGGCGACGGCGGCACATGTCTCCACCGACCAGTTGCGTAAAAGCCTGGGTACGTTTGAGAAGGAACTCGGTGGATGGGCGACGGTCTTTAGCGGCGAAGAGCTGGGAGAGGATGACTTGCCTTCTGCTTTCACGGGGCTGAGTGTGGGGGACGGCAAGAGAAAGGGAAAGAAGAAGAAACATGTTGAGGAAGATAGTGTTGTGGCAAAAGAGGAGGCGAGTGATCCTGCAGAGTGGACGGCGCTGTACAGGGAGGTCATTATGCGTGGATTATGGGTCATCGAGCAGCTTCAGGCGGGGTTAGTGCTTGACCAGACGAGGGCTGCGGTCGAGGGGAAGGAAGATAAAGAAAAGAAGGACGTGAAAGGCAAAGGAAGAGAAGTTGAGCCTCGTCAGTCTCCTCTCATCCTCTGGTTTTTGTGTAAGCTGACGACGACGGCAGAGAAACCGCTCGTACTGGGGACGAAAGACATGCAACATATTCGCACATTGCTCACTCTTATTTTTCAACATCTTACAAAACTGCTCTCTGACAGACTCGCACTTGCCGCACCTGATACGACCTCCATCACCAGAACGTCAACGACACCAACGTCAGTGTCGACAGTGGCAACACCCTCGCCCGCATCCCCTGTCACCCCTTCGCAGGCCTCCTCCCCAAATACCAACGGCCTGCGATTTTACCCACCCCCAGCGCCCGTTCTCCGGTTACTCCACCGTCTCTTCAGCTTAATATATACCGAGCTACCGCAGCCTCCGCCCAAACCGCTCTCCTGGGACGCCCAGATCCTCGCTCGTACTGCCCTCCCCCTCCCTGCACCTACGTATCGTCCCCAGCATACTCATATCAGCAATATCATTTTTAACAGGAATAGTGGGGCGCTGCTAGCGGCTTGCGTTGTGTTGGGATGGGCGCCACAGGAGGCGGGAATCTTCCCTGGAGAGGGGAAGCAGGGGGAGGAAGAGCAGGAGGTACTGAGGGAATGGACCAGAAGATTGCTTTACACGTATGGTCCCCTTCCCCTCGCTCTGGAACAGCGCTGACTGAACCATAGGATACCCACATCACAAGGACTTGTCATCCTCGGACTGCTACATTCTGCCTCCCCCCTCCCTAACCAGCTTCTCCCATCCTACGCCCTGCTGCAACTCAAAGACTTCCTCTGCGCTCTCATCCTCCGCCCCGACGGACCCAGGGCACTAATGGACGTCGTCCTGGGCGAGAAAGGGCCTCAGACAATAGACAGCAGCACCGCGACCAAGTTGGATCACGTCTCTCTCACCCTGAGTGCCGTGCCTCGCCAGTTCACACCACGATCATACTACTGCATCCTTCTCCCCCGGCTTATGCTGCTTATCCGTCCTCCGCCTGGCTGTGAACTTCCTGCTCCTGTCCCTACGAGTCACGTACGCGCCGCAGCGGGAACGATAGCGCGTATGATCCGCCAGCAGCGGGGAATATGCATGACCCTCCTAGCGAGGAACGTCCTTGCGCCTTTCTTCCCCCCTACACACGCGTACTCGAAGGACTGGCCCGCCCATCTCCCTAGACCCCAGGCACTGCATGCCCTCCAGGCGCTCTCCATCCTCTTGGCTAACGTTGACCCCAGCCCCGTGCTATGGTCCGTCCTGCTTGGGGAGATCCTGCCCCCTCTGTGGGGGTTATACGAGTTCCTTAGCACGCAGCCCACGGCCGACCCGGTGCTGCGAGAACTTGCCCAGGGGTTGATAGAGGGCTGGGCGAGGCTGGTGGGGGACGACGTTGCAGTTTCGGGCTGGATAGGGATTGTACAGTGCTGGAAAGGGTGGGGGTACGGCGAAGGCGGGAAATGGGAGTGGGCACTTGGGCCTGAAGGACCTTTTGTGCGCGCTTTGGAGGGAAAGGAGGAGGACGTCAACGTGCTCCAGGTGCATCCGGATCCGCTAACGGTCGTAGCGGTGCTGAAGAAGGTAGCGAGGAAAGAGGTGAACGCAGAGTTGTTCGTGAAGATGCTAGACTTGTACGGGGAGGAACACGGGAAGAATGGGGATACTGCCGAGTGCGTACTTGTCTTGTTGGTCTTCTGTGATGCTGATTCGGCGAAGTTCAATGCTTTACTTGCAGTATGTGCTCGCTATGGCCGACTCGTTGGGGCATATGATCCTCTCCAAGCCGGAACATGTGCTGTCCTTCATCCTCCATGCCTTGGAGTCGACCGTCAAGCCCGTTATAGAGTCTAAGGAGACGTTGGGGAGCGGGAGCTCTCCTTGGAAGGTCGTGGGGGATAGCGATGATGAGGATGCGGGTCAGGACGAGGGGGACGGGGAAGATGACGGGGGAGATACGATGGCTCGGACAGCAGTAACCCTGCTATTGGCTGTTCTAGAAGGTAAGTCCTCCCAGTATAGGCGAGCATCGCTGACCGGTATTAGCGAAAGAGTCCTTCCCCCCGTTTGCCCTTCCCATGCTCAACAGCATCTACCAGCACCTCGACACGCTCTCCTCCCACCCCACCCTCTCCCAATCCGCCAGAGAAGCGCGACTCGTCCTCGCCGCCCGGCGGGCGGGAGCCATGCGCCCCCAAGCCAAGGAGGAGGACGAAGTGCGGGAAAAGGCACTAGAGAAGTATCAGGAAGCGCTCCGCCTCGTACAGGACCAGCTGCTCCCCGTGCGCGCACATGGACTCACCCTCCTCCGCCAGCTCGTGACGCCCACACAACCCACAGCCCCGGAAGAGCTCGCGCTCGACCCTGCCCTCATCCCGGGGATACTGGACGTCTTCCTCCTCTCGGTACAGGACGAGGACAGCTATGTGTACCTGAACGCTGTCCATGGGCTGAGCGCGATGCTCCAGGGCCCTGCTGAGGGCAAGTATGAGATGGGCAGGTTGGTGCTGCGCAGATTGGTGGAGCTTTATGTGCTGGGGTTGGGGTTGGGGTTGGGGTTGGAGAGCGGGAGGATGAGCATGAGCACGGCCGAGGTGGACAAGAGACTCAGGATTGGAGAGGCTATCTCGCAGGGTGTGGCTGCCCTTGGCCCCGGAGTGGGGAAATACGGTGTGTCCCCCCTTCCCCCCCATTGCGGGTATTGATAACTAACCCCCCTTCCACCTAGTCGAACTCATCGAACCCTCCATGCTGCTCGTCACGCGTACCCCTGCGTACCCTACAGTCCTCCGAGGAAGCTCCCTTTCCATCCTCTCGCAATGCGTGACCAGCGCACCCCTCTCCCTTCTCCCCTTCTACCCCGACCTCCTCTCCTGCCTCCTTGACCTCCTTTCCCTGGAAACAGTCGCCCAAGGATCCAAAGCCGCGAAGGACGGAGAAGCCCAAGCGCTCAAACGACAGAGAGAGGATGGGAAGCTGCCCGATCCCTCTGACCTAGATCCAGCTGCTCAGGACCCAAAGCTCCCAGCATTCCGCCGCTCGGCTGCGTACTTGCTCGTCACTCTCCTGCGCCAGGCCGCCGAAGGAGGGTTTGTCGATAACGTACTGGATATGGAGGGAAGGAAAAGGGTGGTAGGCGTGCTCAGGTGGGTGGGGGACGTGGATGTCGATATCCAAATGAGGGGAAAGGCGAAGGAGGGACTGGGGATCATGGATGGAGTCGTGAGGTCCAAACTTGGGCTAGCTGGGTAGGTAGGTAGCGACAGTATTCTTGATGACTTGACATGACACGACACGACATGAGCTGATATTACATCTGTTCCGTTCCGTTTCTGCAAACCCCAGCTCAACCCGTCCCACGCCGTACGCAGTCCCTCGCCCTACTTCTTCTCCTCGACCTGTACAACATTATCCTCCGGAACACCCTTCAACACCCCCACTCCCTTAGCCAACATCTCCTCCACCTCATCCCCCACATCTCCCTGTATGACGATCTCCTCCAACCCCTGGGGGTTGAGCGTCACACTTGCTCCGCGGGCAAGGGACTGCGCGAGCTGCTTGGCCGCTTTCTTTAGGTCGATATGGAACGCTTCGAGCCCGAAGACGGAGGTGACGTATTTCCGCTTGGAACGTTCGATACGCTTGATGATTACTTGAGATTCCTGGGAGCGGAAAGGGGGGGGAGGGGTATCAATCGTATATCAGCGTTGCTCGTTGACAGGGGAAGGCGCACTTTGAGCTTCTTAGCTGCGGCTGAGGCTTTCGCTTCTGCTTTGGCCTCCTTCTTTTTCCCTTCTTGTTCGAGCTTTTTCTCTTTCTCGAGTGAGAGTGTGCCTATCTTCTTCGCCAAGGCGTCTGCGCGCCGTGCGCTCATCAGCATCGGGCCATACGCAATGTAACACAGGCGAGGGAAGGGTCACACACCCTCAGACCAGTACTTATCATACAACTCCGGATGTGCCCCTTCGAGCCAAGTCTTACACTTCGAAACCGACGAGCCGAACTCGCAGTACTCGGGGGGGAAGGTGCATACTGTTGTGAGTTCTGTCAATGAGTGATCACTTGAGTTGGGAGGGAAGGGGAGTACCTTGACAGTAGAGGATGTCGAGTGGGAGGACGGAGGAGGTGCTGGGTGCGTCCATTGGAGGGAGTTGAGCTGAGAATAGGACAGGGAGGACAGGCGCTCAGTGTCATACATAGTGCTAGTGGCTGTGCTAAATGAGTACTATAATTGGACAACGAAGGAATGAAGTTCTTGTTCAAAGTACTCTTGTTACCTAGAACAAACTGCGATTAATGTCGACAATATCGGATCATGATTGTCCACTTTTCTCTGGCGTTTGATGGCCGATCAGAATGTGTACGAATTGGCGGCGATCTTCACCCGGAAAGCGGCTTTGTTTACTGTATTCGACGATGATCATAGTGGCGATAAAGTGGAATATATCCAAACATGACTGTCAATAGCTATAGAACAAGGACAAGGACTGGTACTAGTACTGTGATTGCGACTACGACCGAGACTGTGACTGCAACTGTGACTGCTCTCCTGCCATCACTCTACCTATGGAGAACGCTGAACTTGAGGCAAGAGGACACCGTCTGCCCTGCTCAAGTATACGGCCCCTGCACGCACATACCCAGTTTATACCCCTGCGAACTATCACTCTCATCCACCCAATCCCTCTATTCCGCTCTCCATCCCCCGTCCACCTCTGCAGCTTCCCTGGTACTCAAGTCCCCCTCCGGACTCCTAGCGCTGCAGAACCCCCTCCCTCCCCCGCCTCTGAGCACGTTCTCACCCCATGTCTGCCCGGTGCTGCTGGGTGCTGCTGGATGTGCTTGCCGCTCTGCCGGATGTGAGAGGGGAGGGGATGTTTGAACGCGCGAGGAGGAAGGTGAGGGAGGCGGTGCGTGAGAAGCTGGGGGAAGGGTGGCCTTTGTATGTGTATGTGGTGTGCTTGCATGGACCGTACGCGTACGTGCCTGTGTCAGGAGAGCCGGAGCTGGAGTCGGGGACCACGGGAGTTAGAGGGCTACAGCAACCGAAGAACTGGTGTTGGAGAGTAGCGCTCTTCCCTAGCAAGAACGTACGTATCCCCTGCATCCCCGTCCTGTCCTGTCCTGTCCAATCCGCTAACAACGCTCCAGCTGGGTGAACATCTCACCCGCGCACTGAAAGGAGAACCGAGCGACTACGGCCAAGCCCTCATACCGAAGTACGTAAAGCGCAAGAAGACCCAAGAAGCTGCGGGGGATGCGTGGGTGGGGAAAAGCACGCGGGAGAAGTATGAGATGTAAGCCCTGGACTTGAATTGTCGGTTGTCCGCGTTGATTGACTTTGTGTGCGTATGTAGACGGGTGGTGGACGTCCATGTGCATGGGGAGGGGAAAGTGGAGGGGGAACATTACGCCTGCTCGCCATTCACCCCTCTGCCGGTGAGTGACGCCGAAGTCCTCTCTCTGCTAGCGTCTTTGCCGCTTGAGAGTGGGCAAACCCAAACTAGCGGCGTGGGTCATTCAGCAACACGGGAAGCGAGGGCCGATCCACTTCCTCAGCCTCAGCCTCATGCTCAACTTGATCTGGATCCTCATGACATCCCACAAACTATATCACCCAGCTATCCCCAACCTACCCGAACTCCACCCCCGCAAGTCCCGCTAGCCCCGCAAGTCCAAACAGTACTCGGCAAACGCCGTCGTTCCCCCTCCCCCTCCCCCTCCCCCTCCCCGGACAGTACCCAGCAACTCCGGAATCCAGCACCTCCCCAACCGCGACCGCGACCGCAACCAGTCAGAGTCCATCCCCCTCCGGCCTAGTCGCGCTCCTCCTGCTGGGACGTACGTCAGTGTCGAACCTCTTCCTCTGGCTCTCCTTCTCCTTCCGCCTCCGCCTACTGCTCCTGCTCCTGCCCCTGCCCTTGGCCCTGCCGCAGCTGGTGGAAGAGCGTCCGACTCTCTAGACCTGCCTTCTCCCGAGGATCACCCTCCCTCGTCCGAGCCAACCCTCCTTCCCCTCCCCCTCCGACTAGGAGAAAGAACCCCTCCCCGCGCCCTAAATCTAGAAGACATCACCTTCTCCTCAACCGGGATCGGGACGGTAGATATCTATTCCCGCCCCCCAGAGGAGGAGGAGGAGGGGGAGGAGTATGAGCCGGTGTCGGTGGGGAGGTTGGGTTGGGTGAGGAGGTGGAGGTGGGAGAAGGGGAGGAGGAGGGAGGAGAGGGAGAGGGAGAGGGTTAGGAGGGAGAGGGAGAGGGTTAGGAAAGAGAGGGAGTGGGAGTGGGAGAGGGCGAGGGCGAAAGAGCGGGAGATGGAAGCTAGGAGGGAGGGGGAACCGGAGCTGAAGAGGAGACGGAGGGATGATGGCAAATTGGATGACGCGACGTGGGACGACAGAGGGAGGGAGCGGGGGAGGGAGAGCGAGAGGGAGAGGGAGAGAGGGAGGGAGAGAGGGAGGGAAGAGCTCCCCAGCTCTCTAACGCACAGGTATAGGAGCCGGAGTAGAGAGAAGAGACGGGACGAGTATGGGTATGGGTATAGGCATGGGCGTGGGTATGACCTGCCCGACGACCGGGAGAGAAGAGGCCGAAGACGATCCAGGTCGGTAAAGGGGAGGCGTCGGGTTGAGTGGCGGTCGCGCTCCCGTTCGCGCTCTCCATCCCGTTCCCGACCCCGACCCCGATCCCGGTCCTGGTCCCGTTCCTCATCCCGATCCCGATCCCGTTCTCGGTCTGGGGAGAACCGCCGGGGTTATTACAAGCATCCGGATCTGGAGCTGGATACGCATCGAGAACAGGAGAGAGGACGCAGTCCCGACCGGTACCGCGGCAGGAGAAGGGAGACAGGCACAGGGAGGGAGCGTCCAGATCTGAGAGAGCTAGATGGACGTAGAGCGAGCGTGAGGGACTGGGACATGGACAGGTGGGAGGGGAGAGGGAGCTTGGGCGAGCGGGAGGGGAGGGACGAGCGGGGGAGGAGAGAGGGAAGCCTGGACTGGAGGGAGCGGGGGAGAGAACGACATCCCTGCGAGAGAAGGGGCATAGACCTGGACATAAGAGAGCGTTCTCCCGATTCCGAGGGCCGAGTACACCAGCCCCAGTCCCAGTACCAGTACAGGTCCAGCTACCCCTCTAGCCCCAGGCGCCAGACTGCAGAAGCCAGAGAGCACGAGCGGTACGAGCGGGACAGAGAGGGAGACTGGTATTTCGAGGAGATGGGGGAATGGAGCACGGGGCTGCACCTGGTGGGTGATATGGTGGATGGGGAGGGGAAGGATAAGACGAAGGGGGGGGGAGGGAGAGAGGGAGGGAGAGGGAGAGAAGACGCCGGCAGAGGGTGGGTAGATCTTCTCTCCGTCTCTCATATCAGAAATCTCGGGCTTAGGCTTGCAAGGGGCCGATCAAAAGTGACGCCGGGGCTGTTGTGCTCCGTATAACAGATGTGATGGGGTGCAGTACCGAGAACGGGAGTTGTGTCAATGTAGGCTGCAGGCTGTCGCCTTTTCCGTCCTTCTTGTCCGCAAGTAGATGGAATGCGTATATTACGATGAGCGTTTATCTTTCCCCTTTTCCCGTTGATCGTCCACGTGGTAAGGGACCGGATTTCCTTGGGTGCGCAGCATGCAGTCACTTTGCACGTTCGATACATGTATGAACTAAGGTGGGTTAGAGTGGACAAAAGCACAAGAGGTGGTGATGGTGATGATGGTGTGAAGTATTCCAGCCATGTTCAGCCTATGACTGTCACGTGGATGACATCGCATCGCCCGTTGTCTGATACGCCATTCTCTGTCGTGAGGAGTGATGGTGTAAGGCAGTGAAATGTATTCATTTATTTGTCATGTATGCGATATTTTTATTGCATTGAGCGTACTCTCTCTCCCCCTCCCTCCCTCTTCTCCCCCTTCTCCCTCTTCTCCCTCTACTCGCTTCCCACTCCCACTAGAAGGGGATCATGTTCCCCTCCCTCTCCCTCCTCCTCCTCCCTCTCCTCTTAACCACCACCCTAGCACAAAACCTCACAGACAATCAAATATCCCAAGTACGTTCAAACCTACAACAATCCGCTCAGCAGTCGTACGTCCCCCCTTCCCTCCCCTCACCTCCCCCACTCCTCACTCCTCCAGATGGGAACTAGGCACAGAAGCAGAAGCACTCACAGAACTCGACTACCCCTCATTATCCGTATTCAGCCCTCTCTCCCTCCCTCCTCCCACATTCTTCACCTCCTCTCCCCCCTCCGAGGTACTGTCCATCGCCGCCAGCGTCGTCCACTCCCGCCCAGCAGGCCCAGGCCCGCTCATACCCGCCGATGGAGCAGTGGGTGACCCCGCCTCAATAGGCGTCTCCGTTCTCCTCGCAAACTATTCCCATACCCCCGGGGGGAACTTCTCCGCCGCCGCTCAGGCGCAACTTGATTACCTATTGCTTGCTGCTCCCCGTTCCTCTTCCGGCGCTATCTCACACCGAGCGGACCAAGTCCAGCTATGGGCAGACTTCGTATACATGGCACCGCCCTTCATAGCCTATTACGGCGCAGTAACCCAAAACCAAACCCTCCTCGCTCTTGCCTATGAGCAAATCTCGCTCTACCGCCAAGCGCTACGCGACTCCTCCGGCCTCTGGCGGCATATTACCCTAGGCAGTGGGGTGGACGACGGACATTGGGCGACTGGGAATGGGTGGGCTGCGGCTGGGTGTTTGAGAGTCGCTATGACGATTTACTTTAGTGGGTTTGGGGGGGAGATGGGGAATGAGGTGAATGATCTTGTTGCTTGGGCAGGGGAGATCGTGAATGCTGTATGGCCTTACCAGGTGGGCTCCCTCCCACAGTACACTGCAGTGCAGTACAGTACAGTGCCCAGCAGCTAACTGTATGCGCATAGCAACCGAACGGCACTCTACTGAACTACGTCGACGACCCCTCCTCATTCGCAGACAGCAGCTCCACAGCCCTCCTCGCCTCCGTCTCCTTCAGGCTCGCAACCCTGCCCTCCTCCCTCCGGTCATTCCACACCATCCCCTCCGCCCTGCGCGCTCAAACCCTAATCAACAGCGCAGGGCTAAGCACAGACGGGTGGCTGCAGCCCGTCGTAGACCCATACGACTACCCCTTAAGAGGGACGAAATCCCCAGAAGGACAGGCGTTCGTTCTCCTCCTACAGGCGGCGTATAGCGAGTGGAGCGCACAGGGGGAACAGGGTGAGAGTGCGGCCCGGGCGGTGGTTGGCTCGGGAGGGGTGGGGTGGGGGAATGTGGTGGGTTTGTTAATTGCCTTGTTGGTGGGGGTTTGCTAACCGGGTGGTTTGTTTCGTATTTCTTACTTCCTGTTTCCTGTTTCTTACTGTTCTGGCTGGTTTTCGGTCTTGTCTGTGTGGACAATTTTCGCTCCTTTTTGGGCTATTCGTCGGATGGTCGGACGGACGGGTCTACGTATATATCCGATTTTTACGAAACGACGAACATTTCTTGCATGTATCTGGCTTGCTGCTTACCTGCTTACCTGGTTGGTGCTGCTCTTCCCAAACCATCCCATCCAACCACCGAAATCCCGCTGGCACCACGTCACGGCACGTCGGCACACAACTGACCCGTCGACATCTGTCCCTGACTGGAATGTTACCATCACCATCGATATCACCATCACCATCACCGCAATATGGTGGAATTTCTCCCTATCGCTCCCTGGCGTGGTGGTGTTTCCTCTGGATCCGCTTTTCTCGGAATTTACGGATTTCCCGGGTTTTTGGATATCCATGGATCTATGCGCGCGCCCATGGGATCTATTTGCTGTCGTTCGGTGCGGCTTGCTCTGACTGGGTCTGGTCTGGGTCTGGACCACGGTCGACCCCCTGAAATGGCTCATTCGACCCGCCGTTATCATCTCCGGTGGCTGGAATTGGAATGCCCACTGCTCCATCTCAGACTACCGACCCCGCCTCCACATCCTCGCAGAGCCGTAACGGCGGCGGATCGGGATCTGGATCGGGATCTTGGCTCTGGATCTGGATCTTGAGCTTGGCGGTCGCTTGGATCTGGATCTTGGTGTGATGGGACGCAATGTTTGCTTGACGCGGATGCGGATACGAATGTGGGGAATGACTGGGCGGAATTTGGAACTTTGGTTTGATGGCTTGACTGGCTTGGACGGATTGGACGAGTTGACTCTCTTGGATGGCGGGCTCCAGATTGGACGACTTGATTCTCTTGGACGACGGCTCGAATCACGTGGACTCGAACCTTGTGCTCGGTCGACTTGGATCACTTGAATCGCTTGGATGACTTGGATGACTCGGCCGAATGGATCGACGCTCTTGGTCGAACTTGGTCGACTTGCTTGGATCATTTGCTTTGGCCAACCCCAGCCCAGGCTGATATCGTCCCCGATCATAAGTCATAGAAGCATAAGCATAGTAGCGGGGAGAAGTGAGAAGTGAGCTGCCGACAAGGACAAGATGCATGAACAGGGACAACAGGTGGGATACAAGACTGGATCCCGATGGCGAGGCACGAATACACCGAAGCACGCATACACCGAAGCACGAATATATCGAACCACACGTACACCGATGCACACATACACCGAACCACACGTACACCGAACCACACATACACCGATGCACGGATATATCGATAGACGAATCTAGGATATCATCCACTGCGACTGTCGAAACCCCAGAGGGCGCACGATACCGACTCACTCCAAAACCGTACGAGAAGTTTCTCGATTTAGAAGACGGCGAAGGCGCTGTCTTGGAGCATGATACTGGATGTTGTCCTCCTTGAGCGCATGTGTTTTATTCATTATGTATCGGCCTAGAGTTGCCGGCTACTGTCGTACCCGCTGGAACTACAATCTTCACCTGGTGAGTGGAGGTGAAAGGTTAGGAGAATCTCTCGAAGCCGGCTCACATCGAAGTTAGTCCCGTGCGACACCTCCGGGTATACTCCCCTCTCTCGGGTACGTTCAACATCAGCTCGATCGACCAGACGGCCGACTTGAGAGCACTTTGATGCTTCTTATCCCGAATCGTGAAACGCACTCGGAGATCAGGACGGTGTCTGTTAGACACTTCATGAGGTGAGCAGCCTGCGAAGATTTGACATTCTTCGCTTCATTTCCTGCTCGGATATCTTGAATGTATTTGGCAACGCAACTGAATTAGCCATGATTCGATCGAGTGAATGCGACCACGCAAGAACGACTTTCTCTCACCATGCGTCACCTACGAGCGACCACATCTCCGTGCTTCTCAAACGCCAATTCACCACTCCCTGACCCTGACAGACCCTGCGCTAACCCCAGACCACCATTTTCATTTCCTGCTGCTCCATAAGATCTGGCCGACTCAGCTGTTGAGCACTTGACGAACATCTTACCGCCGTGACGAATGAATTGCGGAAAGTTTTTCCGTTGTTCCACGTCACGTGTTGGCCGACGCGACGCGGTCAGAGTCGACGTGTAATCTGGCGGTGCTCCACAAAGTGCATGCTTATACAGCTTCAGTTGCAATGCCAGAGTTGAGTCGGCGGCAACGATGCTCCGGAGGACGGCGAGGGAGGGCATTTCCCACTCGTGTCCACACTATCAGAAACATGAAAATGCGTTTGTAAGTTCTGTGAGTTCCAACCGCAGGAAGTTACCTCGGGGATCAAGATTTCCAAAACTTTGAACATGCTTCCATAATCAATGTGGTGCTCTGACACATCGATGTTGCCCGACTCCGTGTTATCATTTCCAGGACGGTATTTCTAGCTCTAAGACAACGACGATGAGTCTCCAGCTCAGAAAGACAGCAAGATGAACTCCCCAGCTTGTCCGCCTCTTGACACCACCAGATTTCAATGGCGCCGCACGAACACCGACCCTTCAATTTTCCAACGAGAGGTGTTCGGTGTAGAGGCCCTCGCGGACTATCGAAATCGTTACCTCTATGGCGATGGAACGTTATTCCTGGGCGTAACACTGGATTTCCACTGCCCAGTCTCCTTGTCCGGATTGGCGCGCCTTGCTCGAGAGGCCTGGATGCTCCTGCGCTTCGAGGTGCCAACTATTAGTGCTTTCCAGACGACGAACCGGGATACGACACTTCTCAACTATACCGTTCCGATGACATTTGGTGACGCACGACGATGGGCCGAACGAACGGTTAGGACAGCCAGCAATGTCGATGTCGAAGAGCTCCGGTACCAGCTGGGATCAAGCCCTCTGCCGGATTCCAACGGAGACATGACATTTCTCTACGTGGTTGGACAACATTCCCAAGCAAGCGGACTGCTCTTACATGCTTCTCATGTCTTGTTCGACCCTCAAGGACTCTTAATCCTTATGCGGCGCTATTTGCGGAAGCTGGCTCCGATGATCGCTGGGGATTTGGTGCCAAATCTTTCCCTTCTCGAGTGGGGCAAAGAAGTGCCAAACCTATTGCCTTGCGTGGCCAGTATTCTGGTTCCTCGAGAGGCGGCTGAAGGCCCGGCATATTCCGCATCGGTGCAGAGGGTCCTATCAGATTTCCGTGCTGGAATGAATGTGAGTGAAAAATAAACACTGGAAGAATCAAAATGAACACACAGAACTAACCAACTTCGACACAGCATCTGTACCCTCTTCGAGCACGTAGGATGGAACGAGGACCGACGTATCATGTCAAACAGAATTTCAGCAAAGAAGAAAGTGACCATATCAAGACCACAGCAAAATCCTATGGATGCGCGGTGACAGAGTTGTGTAAGCATGACAATGTTGATCTAGTGCCGGAGTCGTCTTCTGAACATTGGGTCATAGTCCACGCTACACTTTGTCTCGTCATCACGGAAGACAATCCGCCCACGGATCAGACTCCTCCAAATACGTCGTTCGTTTTCCATGGATGGCAGAATTGTCGCCCTACCAGACTGGTTCCTCCCTTCTCCGCGATGGACGGCTATCCGGGAATGGCGACAGCAATGTCCATGCTCATTATACCTGGCGTGGATATGCTTCGCGGGAAGAGCACCTTTTTCAACAAGACGCCTCTGCTAGCGATGGTAGATCACGTCAGGAGGGAATATAAACGGCAGAGGGAATGCCCTGCATTGCTCGCGATGCAAGGGCATCTCTTCGATACGGTGTTGCCACCTGCTAAAAGGGGAGCGATCAAGTAAGTACCTCGACTTCGCGTCTACGAGAACTCACAGTTTCCAGGATTGTTCCACCCATGCTGCCATTATACATTGATGATGGAATTTATGAGACGTATATTGACAGATCCTATGTGGATCGTAAGGGACGTGGCGTCCTCAGCATCGAATCGATCTTCAGCTCCCAGAATAGGACCGACCCCGGGCCGTAAGCTCGAGTCCATGCAACATACCACGTCCACTAACGCTGAAATGCAGCATATTTCATCTCGGCTCTTGGAAGGGAAGAATCCAACTTTCGGTGGACTTCAATGGAAGTGCTATGCCGACGCAAGCCGTCGACCAGATGGTTGACAACTGGACAAACTTCGCCAGGCTGATTCTGTCTTGAATCCGATCGCGAAAGATCCTCCATTCCTGACAGCGTCTAAGCCTCGATGTGGTTAACATATTTGCATGATGATAGAATCATCGTTAGATCGTTTGAGATTTGAGATTAATCCCAGCAGTTTATTTTTTCGGCGAGCGAGAGACACGTTCAATGGACGCGTGAGAGAAAGAAGGGGCATGTGACGTAATTTTAGCGCCGGAAGCCAAGACTACGTCTGCCGGTGGCTTGGTAGTCGTGGGCAATTCTCTCAGATTACCCCCAACTTTGCTTGCTCTTGACATGAGAAGCTCTCCTTATCCTACCTTTCCTCGCTGAAGTGGATCGATGAGCGTGACCGATTCAACGAACGTCGAGGCTAGCTCGTCTAGAGCAGTGCTTGGCCACGATTCTCATTCTCAGCCTCCTCAAGAGCCAGGTCATCACACCACTTCCCATGGCGGTCAACACGCACATCATCTGCGATACGGACAATTGGACCATATTGACTTCGATGCGATCGCCGACGGAGCCACAAATGCTGATTCAGAACTGGAGTTTGAGAGACTGGACGCTCAGGCTGCTCGGATACATCGTGAACGCCGGTATCTTTTTCGTAGGCCGAGGGTGCTCCAATATTTCAAGGGACAGACACTTGTGAGAGAGAATGAGGAGAGGCAAAGTGGAAGGCTTGAGTACGCATACGTCTATCCTGCATATTGTTTTGTCGACTAACACGATTTAGGTTATTCTTCGACCTGACATTCGTCGGCTTAATCTCCGTTCTTGCACATGACTGCGTAGAAAATCCAGATGGGGCACACGTGGCCAAAGTTAGACCAACCCTCTGATTGTGTTTCACGATTACTGATGCACAGTTGAATCTTCTAGTATGTGTTGACATTTGCGCCGATTTACATGATCTGGACGTATATCCGCGAGCTGTTCAATTCGTTCTGGTCAGACGATGTTCTGCAACGTCTACTTGTCCTTTTCATCATGATATGTCTGGTCATCTATGGGAATAATGCGACCGACGTCCAATTTAACTGGAATGCTGAGGGCGGAGAAGGCGCAGGGCGAATCACCGCGATTGCAACTTATCTCGTTGCCGGGATGGTTACCGCACTTCTTTACCTGTTCTACACCTTCTTTGTCAAATCTCGCCGTGTGCAGATCCGTGCGCATTTTGTCTGCTGGTGCACAGTGCCTCTCTCACTCTGGATTGGGACGATCTTTGCCCCTGTACGGGTCGCTGCCGCACTTGCAGCCATCGCCGTCTTCTGCGAGTACGTGATCTGGACTGGCGCCTACTCCCAGTGGACCAAGAAGATCTTCAAGCTGAAGTACTCGTCTGCCGTCGCCATCGATCACGAGATCGAACGGTTCAACGATTTCTTCACCCTAGTTATGGGCGAATTCCTCTTCTCGGTCATAAGCCGCCAGCCAGCAGGAACAGGAATGCCTAGTGCTGCATGGAGATGTGTATTTGTCGTCATGATCGCGTTCTCATTCCAGCTTTTGTATGTGCATGGTTCGGGTTGCAGGACTTTCACACACCCTATCCGCCATGTGAGTCTCAGTTGATCTCGCACAATGACGGCTAATAGGTGGAACAGAGCAACTGGTTCGCCATCTTTTGGTTCTTCCTCCACTTCCCGATTGTCGCTGCCCTCACCCTTGTCGGCGACACAACCTACGACTTTGTCGCTGAGGATGAGGGCGTTTCTGATGGACTCCGTTGGTTGTTCAGTGGCGGGTATGCGACAGCCATGCTCGGCATCTGGCTATTGTCGATGCTCGAAAGGGAAAAGGATGAACGTGGCGTCCTATGGCTACCAAAAGTGGGTGAATTCTTTCTCGCCACAAATTTTGACTGACAGATACTTCAACCAGGTGTATCGGCTCTCCTTCCGTGTCATTTCAGCCCTCGTGACCCTCTTCCTTCCCCTGGCACCGCAGGATCATCTCACCAGCACGTGTACGCTTGCGATCGTTGGCTCCCTGTCGCTCTTCACCCTAGGATGGGAGATGGTCACCTCCCTGGACGGACCCAAAGGACCTGCTTACCAGCCCCCTGATCCTGCGTTACATGAGCAAAGGATCCCTGTACAAACGTATGAGTGGAGAGGTTATCCTTGCCTGGCAGAGCCGGGGCTCTATGTACCAGATATGAGCAATCAGCGAGGGGGAGATGAAGAAGTAAGCCCTGTGGAAGAGGAAAAACGCAATTAGAGACTCGACTAAAAACATCTACAAGTATATATTTTTTCTTGTAATGAACAATGATCTCATCCAAGAGATTATTCAAGGATCAACACCAAACTCAGAACACTCGTTCTTATTGCCATCATTGTTCTGCTCCGTAAGCTTGGCTACGCTAGGAGCACATTTCGACAGCACCAACCATTCCCATTTCACCGCCTCAAAGAACTAACTACCCTCAAAGTCTGTGCAGCATGATTCACGTCCGATGCCTCAAATGAACAGCTACTCCCACTCCCACCCCTCCGCGTCCCGGGCCCTCCCATCCCTGATCGCTTCCATCTAAAACATCCCTGCTACCAGGTGCATCTGCAGCGGACGCTTGACCTCCTTGACCCACCTGTGTCTCTCACGCACCCGAACCACTACTGCCGCCTGCTCCGCGCTTTCCATTAGTTCTCCTGGACCAGTGGCTTCGATATAGCGAAAAAGGAGGACGCGTCTCAGGTGTAGACAGAGCTCCACAATCCTCTCCAAGGAACCTGTGCCACAACGTGCAGTGGCCACCACTAGGATGAGTTCCTCCACATTTGGGAAGCAAGCATGCAGCAGCACAAAAGGAACGTCTGCCTTCCAGAATTCCTGCACGATCAAACGCTTCATCTGCGGACACTCCTTCAAGTGGGTCGACTCAGTTCCCGAGTGCTGCCGCGTGAATGCAATTTCCTTCAGTTCAAGGAGGAAAGAGATGCATCCCTCAAACAATGGTAATTGTCAGTACGTCGCGTCAATTACGATGCGTGGTAACTTCCGAAAAGACGCGGTCGATTACAAGCGCTGATGAGTGATGGTTGCGGTAGCTCCCCGCGCGAACAGGGCAACCTCAGGCATGCCAGTGTCTAGAAGTAACACAGTTTGGAACGAGTGGTGGTAAACAGAATAGCGCTGTAAGGGGCTCGTGAGGTGATTTGATACAGAGGTCGGGAGACGAGACAGAGCGAAAGGATGGTATCAAGAGAGCCGGCCCAGGGACGCGATCGATGACCTCGGATAGCAGGTCGTTCGGTCGAACTCGGGGAGTGGTTGACAAAGAGGTCTTATAGGCTTGAGGATCGTGTGACTCTCAACTTCTTGTGGTGGTGTTCAGTTGAGAACCAAGTACGTTTCACTATCGTCGCGATCAACAATAGATTCAATAGGGTTCGGCATTCGGCATTTAAGTTCCCGACAATATCCGGCACTGCCACCCCCGCTTCCGCGGACTTTACTTGTCTGTGATTGGCCAAGAGCACGTCGTGCCCCGCAGTGACCCTGACATCTCCCCACCTTTTTGACCGGACCATGCATGCTCCATGCGGAGCAGAAATACAGCGGCTACGTGTGCCAAGGTACGGTCCTTGTGCTCAACTCCAATCTGGTTCTATTCTTTAAGAACTCCTTGTGGGGACACTGCGGGGAAGACGGAGCGGGCGAATGATCCCCCTTCAGGAAAGATTGCCTGACTTCTCTGGCGGGAGATGCACGCGGGGCCGCGCGTGTGACGCAGGCGGTCTGAGGCGATATTCATATCTTCTGAAACCCTGTATCAACTCAAACTGGAGGAAAGAAGAACAAAGCTTGACGGGGATGCGGAAGTGCAGAGCGCCTTATAACATCCGAAGGCTCCAGAGCGGCCTCCACTGGTTACAGCCGTACCTTCTGGTGCCTGGGCTCGGCGTATAACTGGAACGACAGCTTTGAATACTGTTGGAGCCTCTTTTGTGACTCTTGGATTCGACTCAACACAAGGTACAAGCATGACGGGCAAGAATCCCTTTCCTACATCTCTCGAACCTTCCGACGTGAAGGAAGCTACCTTGACGGTCGAGCATGCAATCGCTCCTGAGGAACATGAGAAGATCTTCGGCACCCGATACGATTTCGGTGGGGAGGGAACGCTCCCTCCCCCGCCCAAGCTCAGCCCGGAGGAGGAACTCAGGCTGTATAGGAAGATCGATCGGCGACTGATGCCCATTCTCGTACGTCCTCTTCTTATCCCTCGTTCTCGGAAGGAGTGCTGACTTCTCTGGAATAAAATAGAGCTTGATGTATCTCTTGAGTTTCCTGGACCGTGGAAATATCGGAAATGCCAAGATTGCCGGTTTGACCACCGATCTGGGCCTCGTTGGGAACAAGTACAACATCGCTCTCACAATGTTCTTCGTGGTATGTCCTTATTGCCCAACGCTGAATGTTGGCAAGGAAAGACTCATTGTTGCTGGATATGTAGCCTTATTGTATCTTCGAATGCCCAGCCAACCTCGTCCTCAAGAAATTCCGTCCCTCGCGCTGGCTCCCCGGCATCGCCATCGTTTGGGGAATCGTCATGACCTGCATGGGGCTCGTCTCTACATATGGGCAGCTCGTCGCTGTTCGTGTCTGTCTAGGCGTAGCTGAAGCCGGTCTCTTCCCCGGCGTCGTCTATTACCTGACTCTGTGGTATCCGAGATATATGGTGCAATATAGGATTGGACTGTTCTTCGGTGCAGCGACGATTGCAGGCGCATTTAGCGGGTTGTTGGCTTATGGGATTGAGCATATGGCAGGTGTGGGAGGAAAAGATGGCTGGAGCTGGATTTTCGTAAGATTCTTGTCTTGTTGTGTCATCTTCTGGGGATGCAGAACTGAAGAAAGACAGATCTTGGAGGGATTGGCGACGATCCTTGTGGGCATCCTTGCCTTCTTCGTTTTGGTGGATTTCCCTGTGACAGCGAAATTCCTGACTCCGGAGGAGCGTGCGTATGCCGTGTGGAAGAAAAGTGTGTCTTCCTCTTCATTCCTGAGCCGCTCTGGAATGCGGACGTCGACAATTGCTAATGTGAAGCACAGAGTTCGACAATTCCAGTGTTGGCGAGGAGGAGCACTTTGAGCTACGATACCTGGTGCAGTGTTTCACTGACTGGCAGGTCTACATACACATCTTGGTGTACATGTCTGTAATCACTCCTCGTGAGTCTTTCACTGATCTCTCAAGGTTGTGTGGAACGCGACTGACCTGGAGGGCAGTCTACGGTATTTCGCTGTTCTTGCCCTCTATCATCAACAATTTCGGGTATTCCACAGCGGTCAGCCAGCTACTGACCGTGCCCTGCTACGTCTTCGCCAGTACGTGTTCCCAAGGCGTTCCTGCGGTCAAAACATTGAACCGTCCACAGCGATTGTCCTTCTCCTTTTCGCACATTTCTCCGATCGGCATGGTATTCGCTCTCCGTTCATCCTTGCAGGGTTATGTATGCTCGCCATCGGATTCGGGATCAACATCTCCTCCGCACCCAGTGGGGCGAAGTACTTTGGCACCTTCCTATGTGTCGCCGGCAGTTATGCGCCTTTCCCCGGCGTGATAGCATGGCTGGGAAACAACTTGAGTGGGCAGTACAAACGAGGTACGTCTGTGACATGAGCCTTCGCGGTCCAAGCTGACGCAGACATGGCTAGGTGCCGGAATGGCGCTCCACATCGGCATCGGAAATTTCGCCGGTGCGATCGCCTCGAATATCTTCCGCACACAGGATGCGCCACGCTACATACTAGGCCATGCCCTCGAGTTGATGTTCGTCGGCATCGGCTTCATCAGCGTGCCAACAGTTGTCCTCATCTACATGCACATCGACAAAAAGCGCGATGAGATGATGAGGGAGATCGATGCTGCTGGGGGCATTCACGCGAGGTATAGCGAGGAGGAGATCAGGAGCATGGGGGATAAGAGTCCCGATTTTAGGTATACGTTATAGTTCGAGCGTGGGAAACGGTCTTGAAAACGTGGATGTGGACATAAGAAGCCTGTATAATGTGTCATGATCCTCTTGACGAATGAGATGCTTTACTTTCTGGCACCGCGATTTTTTACTTGGTGCAAGCTCCTCCATTATGGTGCTTCTCCTCAACCTAAGGCGACAGTCTGAATACTGGCTTCAAAACTCGAATCCGGGCAGACACGAAGTCCGGCGTGTCCCCGGCTCTACACGTGCACGAATAAGTTTTTCACAATGATAGCGCTCCCTCGGTGCTTGAACACTTGCTTAAGTAAGAGCGTAGTCAATATTGCACCAATGAAGAACCCCAGAGAGAAGGGCGCCGGTGTAATGACGCATGCAGGGGATCCGGTGAGAGTCCGAGGTGTTGACGCGCCTCACGAGGGGAAGCCAAGCCTATCTTCCAACTCTCAACTGCTCGGGACGGCCATGCCGAAAACAATTGCAACTTTGACCAATCATTACTTCATTAATCAGGCAATGTTCACGGCACGGAGCATGCCTTATCGAGCCAGTGGGATGGTGTAAACGGCTAGCATGCCAGAGACGGAGAAACAAGCGCAACGACACCTTCAGCATGGAGGGATTACTTGGGTTTGTCCGGGTTCGCTCAGTGTTGCTGCCTATTACTTGCTTCCTCCTTATCTTTTACTTCTTTCACAGATTCGTAATCCAAATGGATAGCTAGCTATATAATGCTGAAAGGATCCATTGTCACCGGCGTCGACATTGTTGGAAGCAGCCATGCTCGCATCAGTCCTCCCTGGTCTTGCCTGCCTTGCCCTCGCGGCGGGTGCCACCGCTACGCAACCGCAGGCGCGCGATGTCTCTAGCATTTCTGTTGGCCCGTACTGGGTTGATGTGCCTGTTGACCACTTTGGTGGCTACAATGCTACGTACAAGAACCGCTACTGGGTCAATGCGACCTACTACAAGCCGGGTGGTCCTGTTGTCTGTGCGCACATCTTCAATTCACCTACCGCTGAGGACGTACCCTTACATTGCTTCCAGTGTTCGACTCTGGGGAGCAAGATGCCGAGCCCTTGCTTGAATACTACCTCCAAGACTACCACGGCATATCTGCGGCCATGGAGACTGCGAAACAGTTCGGCGGTGTCGCGATCCTCTGGGAGCACCGCTACTACGGGAAGAGTCTGCCGTTCCCCGTCAACGCGAACACGGCCGGTGCTCAGTATCAGTATCTTACGACAGAGCAGGCCCTCGAGGACGTCGTCTTCTTTGCGAAGCAGTTCTCAGTCGATGGGATTAGTGACAGCCTGAAGCCGGGTGACACGCCGTGGATCTGGGTTGGAGGGAGTTATCCTGGTGCTAGAGGTGCTGTGAGTTGATCGTAACATCCGGTCGATCCTCAGATACTGAGCATATTAGCTTATTCGAGTTCGCAATCCCGAAATTTTCTACGCTGTTTGGGCCTCCAGTGCTGTTGTCCAGGCTCAGGTCGACTTCTGGCAATACTACGCCCAAGCAGAACGTTCCATGACTCGCAACTGCTCAGCCGACTGGGTTGCTGTCAACAAGTACACCGACACCGTTCTGGCACAGAACACGACCGATGCTACGTATCTAAAGTATCGCATCTTGCGCGCGACTGCCGGGAAGCCGGGAGGAAATTCCACTCTCGCGGATAAGGTAACATGGGCGCAGGCTGAAGCCCTGTCCTGGAGCTCTGCCGCATCCCAGCTACGTGTTGCGCTTGGCTCCTACCAGTACTTTGGATTCCAGGCTAGCATTCTCCCCTTCTGCGATCTGGTGGAGACCATGAACGATACGGCCGCCCTTACGTGGGACAACAGCGATATGAGCATCCAGGCACCACTCTCGTCGGAGGCCGGAATTGCTGCAACATACGGGATTGATCGCGCCGTGGATGCATGGCTTACAGCAATCTGGGAGCTCGATCGTGATTCCCTCCCTCCCTCTCCTTTGCCTAGTGATCCTACCGGCCAAAGCTGGACATGGCAGTACTGCACCGAGTGGGGCTACTACCAGCGCGCGAACCCCGACAACCCGCACAACATTATCTCGGTCACAAGGACATACGACAGCTTCCAGTCTGGTTGTATGACACACTTCCCTAACTCGACCGGGTTCATGCCGTCGACGCCCAACATCGATGCGATCAACAAATACGGTGGCTGGAACATGACGCCGTCGAATATCCTTTTCACCAATGGCCAATTCGACCCCTGGCGCAGCGTCACAATGGATTCCCCTGAGCCCGCTGCACCTCACAGGAATGTGACGACCGTCATTCCAAAGTGCAACACCCCACCAGCGAACAACGATGTCTTCGGCATCACTCACGCCAACATGGTGCACGTCTCGGACCTGCGCGTCCTACTGACGCCCGACGCTAACCATACAAACTTGCACACCGTCGGGTTCTATTCGCCCATTGCCACCGAACCGTTCTATTCCGGTATGGGTCTTTTCAGCATGGCGCTGCGCGAATGGTTGCCTTGCTTCGAGAAGCATTGCGTGTAGATCTACTCTTAAGAATGGACTTGTTAAAACCAAATGTCCAAACTAGATGACGTTATTATTGTTTGTGCCTGGAAACCGGCATTGACATTGCCGTTTTTATGTGCGGCTTTATCCGACCCTGACAGCGACGAGTTCGGGGTCATAATAGCCTGACAGCGCCCCCTTGTGGCAAGCACACTTTCCTGCATACCATCGCGCCCCTTTTTATCTCTCCATATCCTTATTGCTTTTCTTGTTCGTTCTGGTACTAGCTGAAGCTACATATCCGTCATGATCAATGCTTTTGACCGTCCTGGTCACACCTTCATTCCTCGACAGTCGCCCCTGGAGTTCCAAGTAGATCCGTCATCATGCTCTCTTATGGGTCCAACAGCAATTGTTGTCCAGCTATTCATGGGCGCGCTGGTTCTTCTCTCCCTCGTATACAAGCGACAACGAGAGCGACCGATGCGGGCATGGCGGATATGGGCATTTGATGTGGGGAAGCAAGTCATTGGGCAAGCAACCGTCCACGTCACCAACATCATCATTTCCTGGATCGGTGCAAGCAATGGCACCGAAACAAATGCATGTTCATGGTATCTAGTAAATATTTTGGTAGATACGACTATCGGTACGTGAGGGTCACATTATGCTGCTTTCCTGCTGACAGGAGTACAGGTGTCGGTCTGATCTATGTGGCCCTGCACGGCCTCACGAATGTTCTCTCCGAACGACTCCGGATACCCGGGCTCGTATCGGGAGAGTATGGAAACCCACCTCAATGGTCCTTCTTTTTCCGGCAGCTCGTCGTCTATCTCTTCTCGCTCGCGTTTATGAAAGTGATCGTGCTCGGCCTGTTCGCCCTCGTACCCGAAATCATGCGTCTCGGGGACTGGATGCTCGAGTGGACCGCCTCGAACTGGGCCTTACAAGTTATCCTCGTTATGGGAATCGTTCCGATAACCATGAATGTCATCCAATTCTGGCTTATCGACAGCATCGTTATGAGCAAAATTATCCCGTTCGCATCTAATCCCGTACCGGTGACGGACGACTTGCACGAGCCGTTGATGTACGACGATGTACCGGAGAGAGACTTTGATGATGAGGGAGCTACGTTAACCGGAAAGAGGATCTTGGACGATCTTGAAGCTCAGCGCGGGAATGGGAATGAAGGGAAGGTTCGCGCACCGACGACGACTCGGTCTCCGCCGCCGACAGACAGGCGCAGCTCGAGCACAACTGAGTCCTACAATCTCCGACCTATATCGAGGGAGAATAGTAACCACGCAGGGTCGAGCACGAACGCTGGCTTTAAGGTGCCAAAGCTGCACTTGACGAAGCCGAGTGGGGATTGGCAGACGAAGGGAAACGCGGATTGGGAGTGGAACGCGCAGGATGAGTGGGGGGAAGATCCATTCGATGGGGAAGCGCAGGGGAGCAAAGATGTGAAGGCGAACGGGTTGGGCAAGAAGGGAGCGGCGGCCGTGCAGGATACGGACGACGCTGCGGATGATGCTTGGGAGAGCATGGATGGGCTAGATGGACCCAAAGCACGGTAGCTGGATGCATCAGTACGACGCGTGCTGAGATCTGTTTGGTGAGCTGCGTGACATACGGTAAAAGGCGTGCGCGGTAGGCCACGCCCAGCAGAGTGTATGTGTAATGTGTATCATTACGTTTTACGGAAAGCACATATATACCAAACACTGCATATATGCTACACATGCCCAACCAACACCGCACGATACCTACGCCGCAGCCTCGACCGTCGTAGCCTCGGCCAGTAGAGCTGCGCCCACACTCTCGACGACGGCCTTGCTATCGCTGGTCTTATCAGTTGCCGGTCGTTCTCGCCTGGTCTTGAGCACGCTGAGCACACCGATGAGCCCCTCCCGCCATGTGTTCGTCCGTTCCTCGAGTCGTTCCCATTCGGCTTGCTCAAATGCTCGTACGGCGGAACGGTACACTCGGAAGCACTTGGTGGTTTGGCTGAGCTTGCCAGCAACGAGCCCAACTCGGATAGCAGCTATTACGGTCGGCTCGACCTCGTCGTCCGAGATACTGAGGGATTTGCTGATCAACGCGTAGGGGATGTCGGACGTGCCTGAGGGAGAGTCGGGGAGGAACTGCGAGGCGAGGGAGGAGAGGGCGAGCAATCGCAGCTTGTTCTCCAATGCGGACTTGTCCAGCCCTGATTCGCCCAGAGTGCTGGAATGCGCCGAAACCCATTCGGTCCATTCGCCCATACCGCCGCGCCAGAAGATACGAAGAAGAGAAAAGAGAGGATGTGATTTGATGGTGGCGACGGCGGGCGCTTCCATGATCGCGTCGAAGGAGTAGACAAAAGGAAGAGAGAGGGCTTTGCTGATGGTGGTTAATGCGACGTCAGTGGCTGATGAGTCTGTTGGGGGAAGGATGGTCAATCGGCGGATGAGGAAAGTATATGCTTCCTCTCTGTAAAACCAAGGTAAGAAACGAATATAACACAGGTACTAGTGACGTACGGTTGTCCGGATTTCTCCAATGCCTCTGCGATTTGCAGTAACAGGGTGGCCTTTTCGTCCACTCCTACCTCCCACTCCGCGAGCCAGCCCTCGACGTCGCTCTTCGATACCTGTAGCAACCCGACCTCTCCATTCTCTGATGCTACTTGAAGCAGTGTCTTATATGCGTGTAGACGCACAGCAGAATAGGCCGGTACGACGTTGAACAGGTTCGATATAATACGGTACTTGACGGACGATGTCTGGCCTGGCGCAGCAGCGATTTGCGCCAGTAGAGGGTCAACTTGTTCCACAATCCCCGGTTCTGTCGCTGGCCAGAGGGAGATGATGTGTGCGAAAAGGAGATTGAAGAAGCCCTCTTGCTCGCGCTCTGACCCTTCTCCCAATCCCTTGACGCCTGCCACGACCATCCGCACGGTCTGTTGCTTCCGCTCCTCATCTTCTGCGATAGGCTTGCCACCTGCTGGGGTAAGAAGAACATCTTGGTACGGCTTTATATATGCTATCCGGTCATCTTGTGAGAGTCCTCGTGCCAGATAGTTAACGAGTTCTTGAATCTACGCCATACTGTCAAGGCTTTCTCTGCATTTTGCACGCGACTGACTGACCTGTTCTTGGAAAGTTCCCTCAGAAAATATGATGACCGAGTCTCCAGAAGCCATGTTGAGCCGTCAGATAGAAAGAGATATCGACGTCTTCTGTTCACTGTTGAGCGCTCAACAACGATGACTAGTGCGTGGAATACTTGATTGCCATGGCCCACTCACTTTTTTCGGCTTTCACGTCGAAATGCCTCCGAGAATAAAGAAGCTCCCTTGTGCACAGCCACTCCCTGACCATGTGCTGCGCCTGACATGTGTGTGATCCTCAAAACCGTTTCCACCGTCGCACACGTCGTATCCACGCCTCCTCCTCACGAAGCGCCCATCACCATCACCACCGATATTTTGTATAATTACCCCTCTTGTTCGATACCTTTATTGTTCGGCGATCCTTACTTTTTATTGCCACTAGAACGCCATGTGGGGTCGAGGACCATCTCGTCAAGGGCAGCAGCCTTACTCATACGTCCCAAACGATCCTCCACAGCGCACCTCGCCCTATGGTAATTCCCCAAATCCTCCGTCTGCACCACTCTCGAGCAATACCAAGCCATATGAAACACCCTACGTGCATACGGGATACGAGAAGCGCGGTGGGGGCACGCATTATGCGGAACCCAACGGAGGAGGGAACTCTGTGTGAGTCAATGACTCCTTTCCACCTGGTCCGCCCTGACGAAGCGACAATTGCAGCGTCCATGTAGTAACATCACCAAACGATGAGTTGGCTCTATCCAACTGCGTTATTGTTAACCCCCAAGAATGGCGTGGCGTCCAGTATGCGTACATGAATCGCAAGTTCCCCGTCAAGTTCCGGTGGGTTTGGATATTCCATGCGTAATAAGAGACGCTAATATCGCAACTAGATACGATGACACCGGCAAAATACACCCAGGTCAAGTGGGCTGCTCATCTATTCAGCGTCAATGGATGGCTCTCTCCGCACGGGGTGACCAGGCCGAGCTTGAGCCATTGAATCCTGCAGATCTTGGCCCCAGCATCTACCTCGGAGGGCTCGACCTTGAGGTCGGCTTCAACCTGTCAAAGCGCAGAGATGTTGAGGAACAGTTCGATTCAGAGGACATGGCGAGGTCGTTCATCCGAGTATGCAGATGGCTCTCTTCATTTGTATCATGCTGAACGGTGAACAGGCATTCAATGAACTCATCATCTCAATTGGCCAGATCCTTATATGGGACTACCACGGACATGTCCTCAAGGTCTGGGTCAAGTCTTTGCATGTGGTTGACCTGGGATCCCTCCAACCCCAGAAAGGCCAGCGAGCACGAGGTGGCTCCATTGGAGCCGTAGGAGCCTCCAGCTTGCATTTCGGCATCCTGAACGACCAGACTGACATTGCAATTATGAAGGCGCCTGATAGTGCAATCAAAATCAGATCATCTGCCAAGAAGTACATCCTTTTCGGTTTACCTTTTCGGGGATTTGACTAATTGGCAACATAGGGCAGCACCTAATGCTATTCTTGCGCCCAACTTCAAGTTTGAAGATATGGGCATTGGCGGTCTAGACTCTGAGTTTACTGCCATCTTCCGTCGTGCCTTCGCGAGTCGTGTCTTCCCACCTGGCCTGGTTGAGAAAATGGGCATCCAACACGTCAAGGGTATCCTACTATATGGCCCCCCCGGTACTGGAAAGACGCTTATGGCTCGCCAAATTGGAAAGATGTTGAATGCGCGCGAGCCAAAGATCGTCAACGGCCCTGAGATATTGAATAAGTACGTCGGCGCCAGTGAGGAGAACATCCGTAAACTGTTCGCAGATGCGGAGAAGGAGTACAAGGAGAAGGCCGAGGATTCCGGCCTGCATATCATCATCTTTGATGAGTTGGACGCCATCTGCAAGCAGCGTGGTTCGACAAATAACGGTACTGGTGTTGGTGACTCTGTTGTCAACCAGCTTCTCTCCAAGGTGGGAAACTTGTGTTGTCCCTCGTATATGTCTCATATTTCTTTATAGATGGATGGTGTCGATCAGCTCAACAACATTCTCATCATTGGTATGACCAACCGTCTGGATATGATCGATGAGGCTCTTCTGCGGCCCGGTCGTCTAGAGGTTCACATGGAGATTTCCTTGCCTGACGAGAGAGGCCGACTGCAGATTCTCAACATCCACACATCCAAAATGCGTACCAACGGTGTCCTGGACAAGGATGTCGACCTAGGCGAGCTCGCAGCGGTCACCAAGAATTTCAGCGGTGCCGAGATCAACGGTCTGATCAAGAGCGCGTCGTCTTTCGCGTTCAACCGGCACGTCAAGGTCGGCACCATGGCTGGCATTGGTGACGATATTGAGGACCTGCGCGTGAACCGTTCCGACTTCCTGCAAGCCCTCGATGAAGTACATCCATTGTATGGTATCTCCGAGGAGGAGCTTTCGTCTGTCGTTCAGAATGGCATCATCCACTATGACGCCGTTGTGGACGAGATCCTCAATGACGGACGACTTTTCATCGAGCAGGTGCGGACATCACAACGTACACCACTCGTCAGCATTCTTTTACACGGACCTCCTGGGAGTGGCAAGACCGCTTTGGCGGCTACGATCGCCATGGCCAGCGAGTTCCCCTTCATCAAGATCATCTCACCCGACCAGATGGTTGGCTTCTCTGAAAGTCAAAAGATTGCTGCAATCGCGAAAACGTTCAGCGATAGCTACAAGAGCCCTCTCAGTGTCATCGTTGTGGACCAGATCGAACGGCTGATTGACTGGGTGTCTATCGGGCCCAGGTTCTCCAACGGTGTCGTCCAGACGCTAACGGTGTTGATGGGCAAGCGGCCACCTAAAGAGCGCCGCCTTTTGGTCATTGCAACTACTTCATCCCGGCCCCTGATTACGGAAATCGAGATGGCCGACGTGTTTGACTCTGAGATACGCGTGCCGCCAATCTCTGACTCCAAAGCCCTGGACACGGTGATCCGGGAATTGAAGCTTTTCGGTTCCGAGGCGGAGTATCGTTATGCGATGGAGAAACTGAGGCAGGCAGGTCTTACTGGAGAAGGACATTTGAACATCGGTATCAAGAAGTTGTTGAGCGTTGTAGAGATGGCACGGCAGGAACCGGAGGCGGTGGCAGACCGTTTGGTGCAGGCGTTGATGCAGCTAGCGCCTCCTCCAGGTACCATGATTGTCTAATTATTCGTATTAGATGTACGCATTCGGGAGGTATTGGCAATGGGGAACATGTTCTTCACAACAGTGCAGCGATTAGTTGTTCGACTGGCGACTTGTAATTTGTGCGCAGCCTGTTTTTATTCCGCCGCGGATAAAGAGAAGCGATGCGCGGACACGGAAGCAACTGAAGCCGCGGTTGCGTATGCCCTCGACCGACTCGTCCTCGCCGTCTGCTGGTTTGAGCACACCGTCTGCTATACTTTTTATTATCTGCCATCACGAACATGTCTATGTACGACCCATTGGGAAGTGAGGCTGCGGCGCCGACGTGGGGAAGTCCTACCCATTCCCGGTCACCCAGTCCGGAAGCGCCCAGACGTTCAGCTCCTCTACCTCCGGCGCCTCTCATCACGGACAAGATTCCTCAAATATACGGGCAGCCCGAACCTGGCCTCATCACACCGCAGAATAGTGCTGTGAATGGAGAGCGACTGGAGAGACCAGATCAATATCTTCGCGTGAGGATCACCGCGCTCGACAGAAACAAAAAGGACATCTTGATCCGACTGGACGCTCAAGTGGGTATATTCGCTGCACGCGACCGGTTCGGTCACTGATGGACTGGAATAGACCAATCTTCCGAATTTCAGCGGACAAACATATCGCAATATATCTCGCTCGTATGGCGAGTTCCAACGATTCGCGGAGACGATCATCATAAGCTGTCCACAGACGATCGTGCCTGCCCTTCCACTTGCTCAGACATCGGCACCCTCAGATGAAGAGGGTACGTGCAGCTGTTACATTGGGCATTTCCCCTCGATTTTACAATACTGTTATAGATGATCGACTAGTAAAGCATGCGATTCAAAAGTGGATCACACGTATATGCGAAAATCCTGTGATTCTGCAGGACGAGGAATTACGGTCATTTATCGAATCAGACTTTGGTGTAAGCTCCCCCGCACTTTTCCACAAGATGCATTACTCATGGAATTTTAGTATCAACCAAATGTCAGAATAAAAAAGAAATCAACTGGCGGTGCTCTCTCGATCCTTAGGCGCAATGTCCCCGATGACGACAAGGACCTCGCCAACGCTCGCTTAGATCTGACCCGGCTTGAGATGCAATTCTCAGAAACCGCAAAAGCGATGGATAAGCTGAGCAAAGCAAAGAAGGGTACGTGTCATGCACTGAATACCAAGTGATGTTCCTCAATTATGGTGTAGCTCTCGCGGCAGCGTACTCAGAGTTGGGGACCAAATTGATCAGTGTTGCCACCGCTGAGCAGCATCAAGGGCTTGCTACAGCTGAGAGGAAGTTTGGCAGAGTTTGGCATGCCGCCGGAGATATTATTAACTCCGAGGTGCGCTCCTCCCTTATTTCCCATTGTTCTTGCTGACCTTTGGCTAGGCTGCCGCAGAATGCGTTATCTTGGGCGACTCGCTCGGGTATCAGGGAATGAATGCCAGATCTGCTAAGGAGACGCTCATCCAGCGGACGCAGGTTTTGGAGGAGTATCAGTCGGCAGTGAAGAACACAATCGCCAAGCGGAGGGCGATAGAGCGGCTAAGGGCGAGCTCAAACATCCGACCAGACAAGGTCGATGAAGCTGTGGAAGAACTAGATGAAGTACGTCCTAGTGTGCACTATAAGAAAGTGCCCCCTTAACCCCGTATACAGGCAACCAAGCAAGAGGACATGCTCTCGAAACGCGTGCACGGCATGGGCCAGAACTTGCATCAAGCACTTGCGACCCACTCTCGACACGCGCATGAGGATGTGACGTTGTCGCTAGCAGAGCACGCCCGAGCCAACATCTTGTATGAGCGCCAAGTACTACGAGAGCTCGAGACTCTGCGACCCGATCTGCGGGCGATAACTAAGAAACCCATCCCTGCGCCCGTAATCGCTCCACCTCCAACGAATGGCGCCTCTGTTGTTCCTACTCCAACGGTTGTGCCACAGACAGCGCCTCTTGCTTCCTCGTCGTCAGTGCATCAGCAGCGACCATATCCTGCGAGTGGGAGCCAGACTGGCCCTATGAGCGGGCAGTTTACTTCCCAGCAGCCGACACCCACACAACCAATCTATTCGCCTCTTCCCGGCCCTTCAACCAGTGACCCGCTCAGCGCTTCACCGCGCCCAGGGGCAAGCAGGGTGAATGTACTAGCAAGGAGTGTACAGATCGAGAAGCCACGGTTGGATCCGAGGGAAGCAGCGAGTAAGCTGGCGAACTTCCTGTGAGCATGCGGCGTGAGAATGGGATGAGGACGGAGATAGGATACCAGACACTGCTATATCTGCTGTTTTGTACGGTCGTGATCATTATATGACAAAATTGGACTACTCCTGCTACTCCTGTGGCCTGGGTGTCATATCAGCTGACTCAATCATGGTTACTTTGGGAAGGAGAAGTTTGGAATACAGCTATTGTCGCCGGCGTTCTGACCTTTTGGTGCTACTTGTGTGGTATAAAACCTACAACAAGTTATGCTTCATCTCTCGGGATCGTCAACCACGGGACGTGCTTGTTCAAGGGAAGCAATGCAGCAGCGACTCTCCTCCCCTCCTCAAGTAAGAGGTTATACGTCGAACACGCATTCCTCTGCGACGGTATCAGCTGGCATAACGATCCACAACGTGGAGAACATACTGTATCCATGAAATCTACTTGTATGCCCATTTCGTTCAGGTACGTCCGCACGCTCGGAGGCGGGAGGATCAGACTCCTCCCAGTCCCAAACAGCAGGATCTCTTCTCCGAAGTTCAGCAGGCTTTTATGCCGGAATGAAAGGCCTCACCAGGTCGAGGTACGACAACCTCCAACAAGCCCCACGTCTCCTTACCCCAACCTTTCCAGCTCCCTCCTGCAGGAGGAGGGTCCCACAGGAACGCTCGGCCGTTTAGGAGGATCGCGGGGCCTCTGAGGACGAGCCCGTCTGAGAGCTCCACACCGGAGGACGTGATTTGCGCGACGGAGAGGGCGGCGAGCGGTGGTGCGAGGATATTCTCTAATGTGCTTTGCCGTCGTATGAGATGGGCAGTGGAAGATGTGGACCGTAGAATGTTAGGCAGTATTGGCCGGGAAAGAGGACGGGCATTTTGTACTAGATGTGGGAGAGTGCGAGGGAACATCTTTGTCGAAGTAAAGTGCAAGGGTCCGGCAGGGAATTTTGGTTGTAACCGGTCGAAAGTGAACATGAACAATGCTAACGCGGTGGACAATATGTATCTAACTATTTATTGCGCGTGATTGTACAAATGGATTGCTTGATATCATCAAGGTTAAATTGTTTTCCAGCAGAATTGAGTCATCACCGTGTGAGCACCTCAATTCCATCCTCACGGATGAGCACCATATGTTCTGCCTGAGCGCTTCTTGCTCCTGTCTGCGCCTCGAGTGAGTACGCATTTCGTGGTGGTATTAGTATATAAATCGGAATAGAACGTACTTCGGTGGAGACGGTCCATCCATCTGGCCACAGCCAACCTCTTGCATCTTCGTCGTCGACGATACACGGCTGCGGCAACAGATCAGCCATCATGCACCTTTTCCGACAAGAAAGCGGAAGACAGTTATCAATCCCGGAGAACAAGAACATCACGACTCACCTCAATAGTGAAGCACATCCCCTGGGACATCCTTCCTGGCTCGTCATTGTCATGATGCAGGATCCAAGGCGGCCTATGGAACACCATCCCTATTCCGTGTCCCGAAAACTGGCGGTTCACGCGCATCCCTGGATACCGCTCTCGAATGCACTCTTCTATCGATGCGCCGATGTTCCTGAAATGCTGGCCATGGCGACAGGCTTTGATGCCCGCTTCAAGCGCATCCTCGGCGGCGCGGACCAGCTCCCGGCCTCGAGGGTCAACGTTGCCCACAAGGAACGTTGCGGAGGTGTCGCCATGCCACCCATGAAGGAATACTGTAACGTCGACATTGACGATGTCCCCGTCTTCGAGTGGGCGGGCGTCGGGTATGCCATGAGCAATGACGTTGTTCACGCTTGTGCAGATGGACTTCGGGAAACCGTGGTATGCTAATGGGGAGGGATAGGCGCCGTGGGAACAGATGAACTCGTGGAGCTTGGCGTCTAGCTCGTCTGTTGTGAGGCCGGGCTAACATACGGGAATGAGCGCAAACACAAGGTCAAAGACAAAAGACTTACTTTCACTAGTTCCCTCGCCTTCTGCAGCGTCTTTTTGGCCAGCACTGCAGCTGCCCTCACCCCTTGCTCCTCCGAGCTCACCGATACAAATCCATCGTCTTCCGGCCTTGGTTCGTACCCCTCCTCGTTACCCACATAGGGCGGTTTCAGTGTTAACCCCGGAACAGGTCGTACAGGTATGTGCTTTACGCCTTGCTTGTAGGGCGGCTTGGGAAGGAGGATCATATACCCGGTCTGCATATGACGGGAAAGGGCAGCCAGTGAGGGGTCGTCCAAGTCCGCATCTGAGTGGTCTTCCTCAACGACAAGCCGCTTGTTGTCCTTGTTGCTGGGATCCCGTACGACGTGCGTGGGCTGAGCGAAGACGCCAGACTGGACCTTGGATGGTGAGCTCGAGAGGCACCGTGCGTTTGTCAAGGTCCTTGAGGAGGCCAGTGTGGAACGACTTGTATACCGCAAAAGCCCAGTTAGATAACGCTCCATGCTACCACCATCTGTACTAAATAGACCGCTTGCCCGTAGAAGACGCTTAAGAGAGCAACGGCAGATTGCGCGAGGAGATGGCCGTCGGAAGCGCCCTCGTCGTCGTCAAACCCTGAATGACCGTGCTGGCTGTCATTTCACTTGTCAAGTCTAACACCTCCCGTGTGGGTTGAAGACCATCACATACCACATACCACAGCGCAGCGAAGACAGCGAACCCAGAGGCAGGACAGCGTAAAAATACAAGGATGTCGTCCGACGTACGTTGATCGTCGGTCTCGTCTATCCATCCATCCTGCTGATCGTCTCGTGCTCATCTCTGTTGCTGCTCTCACTACTTCTTGACTGGACTTGTGCACATATTCACAGCCAAACGCTCCCATTTGCTGGTACTACCAGAACGGAAACTGCAGATACGGAAATTTCTGCCGGAATAGGCACGTCGCTCCCGCCGCCCAATCATCGAACTTTAACTGTCTGTAACGTATTGGCCCTCCGCGTCGTCTTTCTGACTAGAACGCAGCCGTGGGACCCAGCAGCATGCAACCGAGTGGAAGTTCTGCGTTTGGGAATCCTGGACCTAGCAGCGGCGCGTTTGGCAGCCAATCCTCTGGGAACGCTTTTGGCGCCACTGGCTTTGGGAGCAGTAGCAATCCCACACCGTTTGCCAGTTCGTCGAATGCCTTTGGAGGGAGTACCAACCCCACAACAACTGGCAATGCTGCGCCCGCTCAGACATCCCATGGGACGGCGGTCTTCGAGTGCGTACCCCTCTCATTCCATGCCACCAACTCTTACACCTCTCAGTCCTCAAGCGTTGGTGAGGACTATGCCGCTCGACATGCGTGATTATCTGCACGGCAGCATGTGGCCTCTTACTTCCTACGCTGTATTCAAGTTCGAGTCTTCTATCCTCGAAGGCCTTGATACCTCACCCGAGGAGGTAAGGTTGCAGTATTACCAGCTGAGGAACACCCCCGGCGGATTACAGCAGTTTGTGCGTAATTTCTCTACTTCGGTCCTTCTAGGCCCCTTGCTAACGAGTGCATATAGGAATCTATGTGGAACAGCGCGTACAGTAACGCCAGATCGCAATACTCCGACGACCCCCACCGGCTGGCCCAAATGCTCACAGAAGCCGACAGGAGACACAAAGCGCGTTTAGCCCAGTCCCAACCGGGCCCTACGTCCGCTTTTGGACCTGGAGGCATGGGTGCTCCGCAGAGCGCTTTCGGCCCTGGAGGTTCTGGGATGCCTCAGCAACAGAGCGCATTCTCCCAGCCACAGCAGAACGCGTTCGGCCAGCCGGTGGTACAGTCGGCATTCGGCCCTGGTGGGCAGGGCGCACCTCAGTTGAACGCGTTTGGACAGCCTCAGCCGAGCACATTCAGTCAGCCTCAGCAGAACGCTTTCGGTCAACCCCAGCAGAACGCCTTTACCCAACCCCAGCAGTCGGCCTTTGGCCCTGGTGGAATAGGCCCGGCGCAGAGTACCTTCGGTCAGCCTCAGCCAACGACGAATGCATTCGGTCAGCCTCAGCCAGTCATAAATGCCTTTGGTCAACCTCAGCCGACAAATGCTTTCGGTCAACCGCAGCCAGTGCAGAACGCGTTCACCCAGGCACAACCAGCGCAGAACGCCTTTGGCCAGCCGCAACCAACACCAAACGTTTTCGGCCAGCCTCAGGTGCCCCAGAACACTTTTGGCCAGCCTCAGCCTGCTCAGTCAGCTTTCGGTTCCGGTGGTAGTGGCCAACCACAACAGACCGGCTTTGGCGCGGCGCCTACCGCCCCTACCAGCTTCGGACAGCCTCAACAGCAGCAACAGTCCAATGAACCGAAGATGTCGATCAAGTTCCGGCAACGACCGCTCGTGCCCAACTTTATCGTTCCATTCCCAGAGAAAGAGGCATGGACCCCTGGGCCTGTGCCATCGTTCGACTCTCATGCTGGTAGCTTATTGCCTGCTGAGGTCAGGGCCAAGTACAAGAGGCCGACGTGGCCTGAGACGGACGCTGCGCGGAAGAACGTTGTAGATGCATCGGCTGCTGTGCCTGAGGAGTTAAGGAAGGAGTGCGAGGATGTCTGGAAAGCGGACAAATTCGACTACGGAAAAATTCCTGGGATTCCACCACCTAGCGCGTACCGATGAAAGGGCATATTGGATATTGTTACACCGTGCGTAGTTGTATACATGCATGGGAGGAGAGGGTAATTAATTCGGACCGATGAATTGGTAGAGTATCCCTCGCACCAGGCGAGACAGATGAGCGGAGTCGTGCTAAAGCACATAAGTTTCTGCGTTCCGACTCTCCAGTATACCCTACATACCTGATACGAATTCTGTAATGATACCTGTCAGCTCTGTTAATGTGTGTGTACATAATGGGATGCTTACCATGACCATAGCCATCCCAATAGCGGCTAGAACTGCGTCTCCACGAGGCACCCTGAACATCAGTTTTCGGCTTCTCAACATGCCCCAGGCACTCTCCAATGCCTTGGGCAACACATACATCGCCAGCTCTCCACGGCGCTTCCTCTTTTCGATGAACAGTGAGGCACATGTCATGAACCCTCCGAGCCAGAATGAGAAACGCGATGCAAAGAATTTCTTGAGAATCTCTGGCGTGCCGGGACGAAGATACAATTGATGCTTTAGACAGTGCCAACCTAGACCCACAGATTAGACTTCATAGGACGTCTCGCTCAAAGAAACAGACTTTGATAGATCACGACGAAGACACCGAGGAAAGAGCAACTTCTGGCAATACCGCCAGCTGTCTTCAACAGACTAAGCAGAGGTTGTTGCATGAATCTCTTCGGTCTGAATAATAGTGCCGGAATGAGGTGTAGGGCGGTGTACACAGGTGCCATCCATTTGGCGACCTCAATGAAACGGTCAAGTGGGACATCCCAGCATGAATCAACCCATGGATGGACAGCCTCGCTGTTCGCATACAGAGTGGGAAGGTGAGCAGTAACATCTTGACAGAATGAATCAGAGCTTACCACAGCCCAAATGGCGGACCAAAGTCACCTTGCTCCAGGGCTTTGGCGATATCGATGTTGATCAGCTTCTTATTCCCGAGTGTTGTCGTCTATCTCGGTGTTAACCTTTTGCTGTATATTTTCGATGTAATACTTACCGGCTTATCCCTTTGTGTTCTCATCCACGTCAGATCCCACCTCCCCTCTCTCTTCGCATGACGATTGATGAGCACGGCTTCTTTGGATACCTTGCTCGCATTCCGGATCCACTCGTTGTACCCCCTTGGAATCGTTTCCGGTCGCAAAACGAAAGCATACATGATCTGACCACAGGCCAGACCAAAGGTCAGAACCGCGCCGTGGGGTATGACGAGATTGTGAGCCAGTACAACGGCCTGAAGACCACTGCAGTAAAGTAAGGCCCTTTCCCCCTGCCTGCAGTGTGTAGATCTCGTACCGAACGAAAACTTGTTGAGCGATCATAATCCTCCTATGCTTTTTCTCAAATAACAGACCCAAGGAGCTGATAGCACCAGCAAGCATTGTTTCAAATCTTGTTGGATGCAGCTCAGCTGTCCAGTCTGGAGACCTTCGCCCACTGCCCTCCTCTTCGTTATTCGGAGTACCAGGGATATCCTTCGGAGTTGCGTTGGTGGACGCGGTTGCGAGAGTTTGTTGTCGCAGGAGAGGGAGGCCGTTTAAGAAGAGCTTATATAATCCAACGAATGAACCTGTTTGTGCCTCTAATTAGTTCAAGTACCGCTACAGGGCCTTAAAAGTTTTACCGAGCATGGCTCCGAACCTGAGAGAGTCCTCCCCAAATATGGCATGTATGACCATTTGTATGCGCAGTTTCTTTGTGCGCCATGCTTTGAATAACATAAGAACTAGATTGACTCCCGCGCGAATGCAAAATGCAAGCGTTCCTGCCCCTATGCCCCCGTACACTCAGGATAATATTCAGCGGACTTGAGTATAGACTCACGCGTGGCTCCTCTAGCGGCATGTCTCACAACATCCTCCCACCTTACTAACCTTCTCCTCTTCTCTCCACTAGGTCTCCATACAATCTTGGTTGCTTCTCTTTGGAACGCGGGATCTTGTGCAAGCACTATGAGGTTGTCGACGCTCCTGACTTTGGTGAGTCGGGCAAATGCGCTCCTGGGATCGAATGCAGCCTCGATGGACGAGAGCGTAAGAACACGCTGCAAGATTGGCCGTCGGCGTGCAGGAATAGCTGGAGGTGGTAGATTTGTCAAAGAGATTGGCAGTGGAAGAGGCAGCTGGACAACTGGTGGTGGTGGCACGTTAACCGGGTCCACAGGTGGATCGTCGGTGACATGCAGCGCCATCCCTCACGATGTGACTAGTTCTTGTGAACGGCCTGTGGCGGTTAGATAGCTCGTATGGAATTCACCACGTCATAGTGGACAGGAAGAAGGAAGTGAAAATACTGATATGTTCGAGGAGCAGAAGATCAAGGTAGGGGCCGGTATGTAGACTCCGCCATTAATGCGTTGGGGAAAGGGTCACCCCGCGTCACCTCCGGTTATTCCTTTTCGGCGGCCTCGGAGCCGAATGTTGGTCCGGCCGCTACGTAAATTAGGCGCTCTTGATATCGGCCTCCGCGTGGTCGCCACCATTCAATCCATCTCTGTTCTTGACATCGCCTTGCGCTGTCTAGAATGCCTGGTTTTTTTTGGCGATAACACGTTTGATGCTGAGCGAGGATCAAACAGTTGCAACATCATCCAATAGGATATCAAGGCCCCGAGTCCGAGGATCCGTTCGATCCAATACGACTCTGAGCTTTCTGTTGCCCTGTAGCAGCGCGTCTCAACCTTTGGATAATGCTGATGTCTACCCGATACGTGAGACGGTGATTATTCTCCTGGTTTTCCGGAGCTGAAATGCTGTATTATACAAATGCTCGCCGAGGACGCATGCTGCAGATCTCGAGCGTTGCAGCGTTTAACAATGCCACGACATGCGGTGCACGAAGAAAACTAGCCCAATAACTCTGCCTATCGCTCTAACATCAAGAAATAACGGTTTTCCAGTATCAGCTCCGAAGGCGGCACATCTGTCCAGTCCCACTCTGTCAAGCTCAGCATGCCAATCCTTGGGGTTCGGCTCTCCTCCCCATCGCCCCATCCATCGGAGAGCGTTTCCCTTTTCTGCTCAGCCTCGGGAGATGACAGCTTGACCTTCTGGTCAAGTTCAAGTGACTGCTTGCTTTTTTCGTCCAGGGATAGAATCTATCTTCCGGTCAGAGCTTACAGACACGAGAACTTTGCTACTTACCGGCGAAGTGCATACTGTAAGAAAAGCACCGACGAGGTTTTCTAGAAGGGCAAGCATGTTTTCGGTTTTGGCCCAAGATCCGACGACGGACGGTGGATATCTGAGCGTGGGGGCGAATAATCCAGCTTTGTAATGATCTTGGGCAAGATGGAATGTCGTCGAGTAAAGAGCTGACCGAGTCGACTACTGGTGTTGCAAGGAAGTGGGGGCAACATCCAAGGTCATAGTTATATAGTTCTCTAGTTCTATCAAGCATCAAGCCTCAGGCACCCTTTAGGCTTGTCCGTGGCGGCTCGGCCTACCGAATTTCTTATCCCGGCCTTCTAGACATCTGCTTTCCCTCGGGAAAAGCGTCACAATTGTATTAGATCGGGACATGATTGTTTCTCCACGGCCTGCACAGCCCGAGGTATGAGAAGTAGACTCTTCAACCACGGACAATTGGACGTAAACGCGGCTCGCTATCTGATAGCTGAAATAACGATATCAAACTCCTGATCGAGTACTGCCATGATACGTTTCTCGCACCGCAAGGATCACCATGTCCACCTTCTGATGACCTCTGGAAAGTTTTCCCTCTCCACGGTCGGAGACTTCGACCTGTGTACGCTCTTTCTCTTAAAAGAGGGGCCTTTCAATGCAAACAAGCCCACAACTGTAAAATAAAACACAAAAACGACCGACGTAGGAGTCGAACCTACAGTCTCATAGCATGGACTAAGTTCGAGCGCAGCGAGAACTGGGTCCACGCGTTCGAACTGTGACATCCCCGTTGAGTTCAAATCCCAAATTGGGAACAAAAAGCACGACCGACGTAGGACTCGAACCTACAAATCTCCTGATTACATGAATATCGTAGTCAGACGCCTTAACCATTGGGCCAGCCGGTCTTCGCAACCCTTTCTGAGGATTTAGCTAACATGTTCAGATTTAGGGAGCTGAAATTTTATGCTTGTCGACTCGACGTTTGTGCCAATAGTGGCAGTGCATGACCCTGGCGCAGCCTTAAGGCACAACAAATTGGTTCCATTAGGCTATCTATCCTAGAGGGAGATTAGGCCCCAATTCTTTACCTCTTTTCCCTAATTGACGACTCAACAGAAGCATCATATTTCGCCTTCTGAATTGAATTCTCTGTGTATCTGTTATCATAACTCCTCTCGTAGTGATATTATCAAAGCCGTCAACTAATCTCTTCATAAGCAAAGTCTACCCCACGGAGATGCTTGCGCACCTCCTGATGTCTGCATCGCACATACCTACTCAAAATAGACCATAACTGCAAAAGCTGTTCTCAGATTTTACGAGTCCGAAGTGAGATGGGAGGTAGTTTACTCCTCGCAGCCAGCTCTGGCACCTTCGAATTAGAGTCAGCTCTAACCCAACTCAGGGAGGCAGGGTTAAGAGTCCAGTTTCAAAATACGTGCAGTCTAATGGGCGGGATTACAGTATTAGCACATACGTGCCAGCCAGTCTATCATTATACGCGAATACGAATAGCCCGTGTGTGCGCGCACAAATAAAACAGTAAGTAGCACTAAACGCTAGTTTCGCTGAATTTACTTGATTTGACTTGAGTTCGGTACCGTGGTCGTCGGGAGAGTAGTTCATGAGCAGCCCTGGTATTCAGGCCGCGGGAGGGAGCAGAGAGCGAGGATCGCGAGTGATACACAGGTGAAGGAGAGACAGGCGTTAAAAGGCTATGTGCTGATCGTGTGCTGGGAAGGATGAGGAAGGAGTGAGAGCTGTGGAAGAGATCAGCATTGATCCGTGGGAATGCAGCAAGATGTACTCACACAGGTATCGATACAGTCGGAAGAGAGAAAACGATTGGGGAACGCCTTGCTCCGAAAGGTCCCCGAGGAAATACAAAGGCTACGCAGGCCGCGTATATGCGCGTATCCCTGCCACCCCTCGCCCTTTCCAGCATCTCCGGCCATGCAACTCCATCACATCCCTCCATCCATGCCACCTCCCGCGGGAACACCAGAATTCCACCTCATATCGTGTCCTTGATCGCGCACCAGTCGATGCACAGCTGCTCGATGCGCTCGCCGAGGCTTTTTTGACAGGCTGAGCAATCAACTTTCGTCTTGAGCGGCTCAAGCACCTCTCGCAGTTCGACCACGCTCATGTCCGGGCGTGCACCCCAGGCCAAGTATGCAGTCGCAAGAGCCCATGCCTGCAATATCATTAGCATATGCACATAGCGGTGAGGTTGCAAGGACGCACCCTTGTTATCCGCTTCTGATCCGATACATCACAGTCCGACGCACTTGGTGGGTGCATGGCAGGTGGTGAGGCAAGAGTGCGTTTGAGGGCTTCGACACGGCCGAGGTGCAGGAACAAGAGTCGACGCATGTATAACGGACCCATGAGGGCTGCCATTGGCTCGGTGATCTCGCTGAGCGGCACATGCAGGCAGAACCTGCTCGCGAAGATGGCGAGGCCTTCCAGATTTGCGGAGGCGGCGAGAGCGTAGGTGTAGAGCGGCTGTGCGGCGGAATGAGGAGAAAGGAGGGAACACAGCGAATAAGACAGGAAGGAGTGAGGGTAGGTCGGGATGCTGTACGCTTGAAGGGCGTTGAGGACGGCGTGTAGAGTAGAAAGCGTAGGGAGGAATTGGGTACACGGGAGGTGATACAGGAAGTGAAGGATGACGTTGAGAACATCTGACGGCTCCGGAAGAGGGAGAATGAGGGGCTGGGCGCTGGACTTGGGTACTTGAGCGGACTGGGCGAGCTTTTCCGGCTGCGGCGTAGGGGGATGGGACCCCGGCGTGGGTGGTGCGACGAATAGTGCTTCCATGTCCGACGGCGTCCTCTCACTGCCCACCACCGTTGGGGATGATGCAGGGTCGTCTGAGAGAGTGGGATAGGAATTCGAGGCGGAAAGAGCGTCGATCAACTGGGAGAGCACTGCCGATGCTGCCCTAACAGTGCGAGAGTGGACCGAGAAGAAAACCGAGTCGGACGAGAGGATGATCAGATCGGCATCTTCGAACTGAAATGCAGTGCTGACAGAGATGGTTGAGTTGGAGGGAACGACGAGGGGGAGACTGGGCATGGTGGGGGTGATCGCGGACGAACTGCGACTCGAGCTGAGCGTGTCGTCCTGGATGAGCTCGGGAACGGCATGGGGCGAGAGGGGCTGATAGGGCGCATACATGGTCGTCGTCAGGACCAAACCGTTCAGCAGGAAGATGAGGGATAACTCACAGCATGAATGGACATTGTGAACGGAGACTTTCGGAGTTCGTCTCGGAGGCGAGTGAGCGGCTCTGAGATCGAAGATCGACTCAGACGGAAAAGGGCACAGGGTTTGGAAATTGCAAAGGGAGCTTCAATTAAGTACAATACTTGAAAGGATAGACGGGGAGCAGTACGTTTGGGCACTGGACTCTGCAGTGGGAAATTATTAGATTCGACCTCCGCGTAGAAGTTGCTGGCAACCTGGTCGTCGCCGTCAGGATCGGTGGAGGACGGGGATCTGAGTCTGGGTGTGGCGTTTGGTGAGGTGCGTGATACGTATCAAGGAGACGGAGGGGAAGAATGTGCCAACGATTGAACCAGTCAAAAGAGAATGAAAGAGCACCACGAGAAGAGTCGTGACAGCAGAACGTCCGGGATGGTGGTGGAGAGAATAGAAGAAGAATGGCCAACCGGTCGGAACAATTTGATTCAAAACTGCGGAGGCCCCGCTCATGCCCCGTTCTCATGGCTCCGTATAGCAGGCACATCGCCTAGATCTATCACCTTCCCCCCGTGTTTGCCAATCAAAAATCAGAGTGTATTTGACTTTACTCCAACAGCCCCATACGGTGGAAATCACATGGTAGGGTGCAAGACCTTTGAAAGTAAAGGGCGCCCAATTCAACGGGGAGAACGTGGCTTGCGGTGTAACTCAACTGGTCAACCGAATGCTGCGCTCTTGGGAGCCGCTGTCCCACCGCTGTCAAACGGCGTTCCATGGTCCATGACGACACCGTTAGGGAGCACCACTCACTCGGACATATTCACCTCGGACCATCATCAATGTTCCCTGAGAATGTCAGGGCATTGCATCATAGTCACAAGGCAGTGCAGCCCCACCTCGGAGAAGTCTATCAAGAAGTCGATACAATGACGAGTTTGTTTTATTTCGCGTATGGTCCCAGCTGCCACGCCTCTGCAACGTGTCTATGGATATCCCAAGTGCAGGACTTCTCAACTGCCTTAGATTCTGTTGACAACGAACAGACAGTCTTCTGACCGTACTTCGATCGTTCGGATACAGCCGGCCAACGGAATTTGTGACAGATGGGGCAGGTCGGCGCGACCGCGATACCGCGATACGAGATACTCAAATTGAACATCTCATAGAATGTTCGAGGAAAGGCACCGATTTGACTTTTGTGTGGTCCCCGCTGGCCATCAAATGGAGTGTTTCTCCTCCGTGCGGTATGACATTGCTCGGATAAACTTCCGTATGCCACACCGGCCTTTGCCCCACGCCATGGGCAACTCGGCCGCGGCCGTTCGTCGTTCCTCAGTTCCCAAGCCAATGCCATATCAGGCCCGAAGTCGGAATTGCCCCTTACTGCAAGTTCATTTTATCCAGCGTTCCAGAAAACTCGACGACAGCATACGAGACACAGAAGGATGAGTCTAGACCTTCTCGAGTCGGGCACGCTTCTTCCGTCGTATGGCCTCGCGCTCGCCGAATTTGGAGTCGTGCAACTCCTGTCATCATCATGAATTCTGGAACAGACATGAAAGTGCTGGAAAGGTACGAACCATGTTGGCCACCCGTTTGGCAGTTGAGACGAGGTTGAGGTGCTCCAGCACTTTCCCCTCAGGCAGGGAAAGCTCTGTAAGTTGTGTCTCTGAGAACCCTCGATGCGTCAGATTTATCCCGATCGACGGCGTCAAAAACCAATAGACGCACTTATTCTCAGTTCGATACGTTTCACTTCCTCGCCGTCTTCCTCTCCACCCACGAAACTCACTGCCACACCTCCTCGCCCGGCACGAGCTGTTCGACCAACCCGATGCACATATTCTTCCTCGTGTCCTTCGCCGGGCATGTCCCAATTGATGACCAGTGCCACATCCTCGATATCCAGACCTCTGCTTGCTACGTCCGTAGCTACTAATATGGGTATCGTGCGTGAACGGAATAAGCCGAGCGAATTCAATCGCTGGCGTTGCGTCAGATGCGAATGCAAAGAAGTGGTCGGTAGACCGAGTTGCTGAAGTGTAAGTGTGAGCCTTGCAGCCGTTCTCGGATGAGTAACGAATATGATCGTCGGTGGAGGGGGTATTGGAAAATCATCTTCCTCCTTCTCTTTCTTTGACTTTTTCGATGAATGCTTCGATCCTTTTGCTGGTGGAGGCTCCCGTCTGAGGTGCAATATGGACTCGGGCGGGTTGCAAAGCAAATAATACAGGTAGAGTTCTCTGACATGTGGCGGACATAAGAGGTAGTGCTGCTTCAGGGTTTCGACAGTCTCGGTACTATACACAGGGTGCAGCATTCAATGATCAAGCTCGATACAGTCAAGGACCAGACTTACTTTGACAGAACACGATGGATGAACGGTTGCTTCTTCCCAGGTCGAGGTTCGGCTTCTGACAAAGCTTCAATGGCCGGAGTGAGCGTGGCCGTGAAGAGTGCGGTCTGACGTTCCGATGGCATCGCTGCAAACAGATCTTGCAGGTCGGCTGCAAATGTTGAAGTTAACAGTCGATCCGCTTCATCAAGCACCTTCAGTAATATCAGCTCAATTCGTGAGATCCGGTGCGATTCACATACCAGGAATTTTACGCGCCCCAAGGACCATTCCCCACTGCCGCTTCGCATCAGGTCGACCAGACGACCAGGGGTGGCAACCACAATGTGGGGTCTAGAACGCATCTCTGCAGCTTGTGCCATCATGTCCATTCCTCCAACTACGACAGCTGTACGAGCATTGAGGGGAGATCCAAGCACCGCAAATTGATCCGCAATCTGGAAGGCAAGTTCCCTTGTCATGTATCAGCAACCGTGAAGTGCACAAATGGGCGACGTTGCAAACCTCGTGGGTGTGAGAATGAGGGCGAAGATGCCATATGGATCTAGTAACAATTGGTGCAAAATTGGAAGAGCAAACGCAATCGTCTTTCCTGAGCCCGTCTTTGCATTACCAATGACGTCCTCGCCTGTATTGGTCTTCAATTGAGGAGCATACATATGGAGTAAGGGGCTAGAGCGCACCTCTTAGCAATGGAGGCACACAGGCCGCTTGAATTTCCGTAGGTACTTTAATCGACATGGATCTCAAGGCCCTTATAAGTGATGCAGATACTCCAAGCGATTCGAACGTTGATTCTAAGGGAGATGTATGTGTTCTCTTTGGGGCCAGAGTGCTGTGCGGTATTCGAGAGACGCGCGGTAGAGGGGCTGCAACTTGCCCGGGGTTCCAATCGGGTTCATCATCTGAATTATCGTCTACTTCGTCATTCGGAACTCTCGTGGCTGGTTGAATATCGTCGAAGCCTTCGAATGACCCATCATCGTCCTCGTCTTCATCGTTTAGGCCATCACCCTCGGCTTCTCCTCTGTGGTTTTCGGATGTTTCGGACCGACATGAATCGATGTCCAGATCTTTTCGGTGGCCGACAGTGCTATACAGTGATTCATCTCGTCCAGCATACGACTTGCGTTTCCTACTGACGTTCATCGTGAAGTTGCTAATGGGAACTCGGGATCCTCACAACTTTTTACAAGGGCTCAGAAGAGCACGTGAAAGTCAGTGGCACTGCTAGCCTTTTACGTAACTTATCAGTCAGGTGACAAAGGCTGGACGCGTCTGCATTACACTTTCCCCACCTTGCTACTTCCTGCGATCGACGCGTTTTACCCCACACTCTCTATACCACCAGCGCATATCACCATGACCGAGATTTTGACGCCTACCCATCCAACGCATTTGCTCTCTACTCACTCCTCGAATCCGCTTCAAGTTGGCTCTTCAGACTCGACCAATAACGCGTACTTGGCTCGGATACAGCCTTACCTGCAAGAGAAGCTGCCCCTAAAAGACGAAGACCCGCACGACACCATACCCTCATATGAGAATGGAGGCACTGAAGAATATGATGATATGGCGGTGCTGCAGGAACCAGAAACAGAAATGACGACCGAAGACCTCTTCGTCGCAATCCCTGAAGGCTCCGAAGGATATGAAGACGTACCTGCTGACGTTGCCTATGATGGAGGTGAAATCGACGAGGATAATGAAGTACCACAATCAGATCCGGTCTGGGCGAGCGAGGAAGGATCACATGATCAGCAGATGTGGAATGAGACCGATGAACCAGCGGACGAGGACGAAGAGGAGCTTTCATTTCTCATGCGACCACCAAGCGAGCAGGCAGAGATTCTGGCAGAGATAGAGGATGTAGAACGGACTATGCCAAGGCTTTCAGAAGACTATCGGCTGGTAGATCGACTAGGCGAAGGTGTGTATATGCGCATTGAACTGGGAGGATTGCAAAACTGAAGCTTCTCAGGCACATTCTCGTCAGTTTATAAGGCGGAGGATATTAAATATGACGAACACCTCAACAGTTACTGGCTTGGGTATCATCCAAGATGGTCCTCTGCTTACTATCAGACACTACCCCCACAGAAGACTTCTCGTGGCAAGGCATACGTTGCGATTAAGCGCATATATGTTACGAGCAGTCCTGCGCGGATCGAGAACGAACTCCTGATAATGGAAGAGCTTCGGTGGGTCCATCCATCGATGTTCTCTGCCGACGCTAACTTCTGCAACTCCTGCAGTGGTTGTCGGCATGTTGCTCAGCTTATGACCGCCTTCCGTGAAGAAGACCAGATCCTCGCCATCATGCCCTTCCATCGGAATCAAGACTTCAGGGTGTGTTTCCCTCAATATCACGGTGCTTGAACAGATCTGAATCGTCTCATACTAGTCATTTTATCGTGTTCTTCCTCTACCCAAGATACAGAGCTATTTCAGATGTCTTTTCCGCGCCTTGAAGGACATCCACGCACGGAACGTGATCCATCGGGATGTTAAACCTGCCAATTTCTTATTTGATCCAGCGGCGGAAGTCGGCACTCTGTGCGACTTTGGACTCGCGCAGGTAAGCCCATGTGCTAATCGAAGCCAAGTGTCACTAACCAAGGGCGCAGCGCACGTCGTCTCCAAAACTCAAATGCCTTCATTCTTCTCCAACAACTACACACCCGCATGGTCGCTTTAGTTGGCAGGACACGAGTGGGCAACGATCGGACAAGCTCGCAAAGGCGAAGCAGCAGTACTTGAATGCACCGAAGCGGATTGCACAGGGTCCCGAGAAAGTTGGGTATCCAACCCAAGATGAACGTCCAAGCGTACGGGCAAATCGAGCTGGAACACGAGGATTCCGAGCCCCGGAAGTGCTCCTCAAATGCCCAGATCAGACAGTCGGTCCGTACTCATATCAATGAGTGAACATGTCCTGATATAGCTATCAGCGATTGACGTGTGGTCTGCTGGCGTTATTCTTCTTTCGTTCCTAACGGGGAAGTTTCCGGTGTTCAATTCGAACGATGATGTGGAAGCGCTTATGGAGATAGCAGCCATCTACGGGGCTGAATCCATGGCAAAGTGCGCCTTTTTGCACAGTAAGCCGGCTTCTGATTTTTTGGGGGCAAACAATGTACCTATCTCACGGCAGATCGAACGTTCCTCACAAATGTTCCGTCCGCAGATCACTCCGGTACATCACTGTCGGAACTGGTTCGCAAGCTAAACCCCTCGCTGTTTATTACTCCAGATGTCGACCAAACTCTCCTCGCTGGTGCTCTCGACCTGTTGCCCCGGCTCCTCCATCTCGATTGCACGCATCGCATCACCAGTGCAAACGCGCTGGAGCATTCCTTCCTCGCTGATCCCAAGATACCCGAGCGTACTGTGGTGCCACATGTTATTGGACAGGGTGTATGTGGCCATGCGCATTGGCAAGACGATATGGACGAATCCCATTGCGTAAGAGTGGACGGGAAGATTGTTCGTCTCCGGGCAGGAGAAGGGATACCTATTGGAGAAGATCCATGCGAAATTCATAAAGATTGGTGGACGGACGAAGGTCCAGGCAGTGACCATGGCCGTTACGATATGTAGAAACAGAAGTAGTGTTGTACGGATACAGCTTATGCCTGATACATTTCATGTTCCGTGAGTAACGCCCCTGAGAGATACATCCGTACATACCGAAGGCCAGGGAAGAACGATGACTGGCGGCGGCGCTTTATCCCTTCCACCGACCACCATCCTCTTCCAGTAAAAACTTACGCGTCGCTGTCGTGGACAATACTTCACGACCTTTTCTGGAAATCCATCTTCTCAACTTTCCGGAATGCAGCGTCCTGTAACAAAGGAGCTGCTTCTCAATGTGCTGCAGTCGCCGGTTCTTAACGTCACCGATCGTCTTCATATGGGCCTGACATGTCGGCAAGCGTGGGAATTGGCTCTACCCTTGGTGTGGGGCGAATGGATCCCATTCCATGCGATATCGAATCTCCTCCCCTCCGACTTGACTGTCCAGCCGGGCGATGGGGTGAGCGCATAATACTCCCGCGTTGTGTCTTGGGTTAATTCACCCTGTCAGCGCGCTTATGGGCTTTCTCGTTCATTACGGTTCGAAGATTTCGAACGCTTCGAGTATTACAAGCCATATATCCGACGATTATCTCTCTCGGACGGATCTCGATACAGGCTACAAGACGAAATGCTCCTCGCCGTCTTGATCTTGGACCAATATTTTGGCAAAACGCAACTTTTCGCACAGGTGACCCATCTGGTTCTGGACTTCCGGCTTGCATGCGTCTCCACTGCATGGGACGTTGCTAGGGAAATCTGTGCTCGTGTGATTGAGCGACACGTGGATGCTTCTCACGTATCTCATATCTTTCTCCTGTTACCGGGGTTGAAGCTGGCTGCAAAGTCAAGGGAAGAACAGTTGACAAATAACCCAACGATAGGTCTCGGAAAAATACTCGATTGCATGGCTTCTTTCCGCAATCTAAAAGATCTATCCCTTTCCTGTGACGACGATATAAACGAGACTGCACTCAACAATCTATTGTCAGTTCTTCCTCATTTTATTTCATTGAAGCGAGTGAGTATTTGCCCGGATATCGATGCTGAGCTGCTTCTTCCGTCGCTCGCCAAACTGCCATATCTTGAATCTCTTGTTGTCGAATCTGCTCTTCTGGATCCAGAAGAATTGGAAGACCGTCCATCGGATTCAGATATCTCCTTCCCGTCTATCAAGAGCCTGACGATCTCCAATGCTTTCACGATGCCGATCAGCTTAACACAACGTGTCTCGTCTCGGTCGTTGACCGCCTTCAGCACTTACGTCCCTGACGCCTCCTGCCTTCCTCATTTGACGAAAAGCATTATCGACAATGGATGGCAGTCCTCGCTCAAATATCTGCATCTAGAATTTCGGCCCACAGAATGGTATTCGATCAAATCTCTCGCGTGCTGCCATGCTCTCAGCACTCTTTCTATCACGGCCTCACTCGCCGCCGTATCAGAAACCCCTCTGGACCTCATTACCCGAGATTTCGATACTTTGGAAGCTATCTTGCTGGATGTCGGCCCAGATGACATGGCGATCAAATCATCCTCGCGACTAGAGCTTCCCATCAGTCAATTTTGCAGCCTTGTTTCCCGTTGCCCTCAGCTGCGGTATATTCACGTGCCGTTTTCCCTCGACTTTCCAAGAGGATTGCTTCCCGATGCTCGCCTGGTCGTTCCTAAATTGCAGTATCTGTTCGCGGAAGGTCTCAACTGTTCCGACATGGCCAGTGCGAAAGCATATATACCCCTGAACCTGCCGAAACTCGACCGCGTTCTGGCAACAGGGATCGACAACAAAGTTCAAGAAGTTCTCGATGATCTCAGAATTACATTCAACTTTCCGGATGCCGATACGCTCGCAGACCTTCGTCTTCAGCTGGCTGGAGACGAACAGCCGCTCCGTCGCCAGGTCCTGCGGTCTTTGTTTCGCAGGCCCAAGAAACGGTACTTACGAGCGAAGCCGGTTCGTCGGGAACTAATCACTATCAAGCAAGAACGGACGGACGAAACACTTTTCGATGACCAGCCTGAGGACCAGGTGTTGGAGATTCGATTGACAGACTTGGAGTTGCCGATTCTGGTAGAGCCGCCACCTTCCCCTCGGACGATCTTGTCTGCGAGTGACATACCATCTGCGTTTCGCTCGTCTGTTTCCAGCCTGAGCGAGGAAAGTCCGCCCTCTGCAACCTCGATTTACGTCTCCGACTAGACGAACGTTCGAGCTCAGGGGTAACCCCACATTTCTCATTATAAGGCAACTATTGTATATTCAACCTCATGTCTATCTCCCCATACGTCTATTTCACGTGCTCTCTATCGCATCCAATCACTATCATCACGCTCATCATGTAGTGTAGCAACGAAGTCACACGTAATCAAATTAGGGCCTGGTTATGATAGAGAACACTGGTGTGCGTGACAATGATTTATGTCGTAAGACAATACAATTTGCATTGTTTCGAACGTGCGCTGTAGATACGAAATTCTAGCACAAATACAAGGCAAGCATGAGGTAAACCTGAGTAAGAGACGTGAATTGCGCAAGTGCGCGGGTATAATGATAATTGATGAAGAGTCGTGAACGTGAAGCGTTCATAAGGTTGCGCTGGGTTAAAACAATGAAGGTGTGAATAACAATGAGAGTAAAGAAGTGTGATTGAGTGTCATCAGTGTTCGGACGATTTAGCTGATCACAGGCGTGAAGGGGTTGAGCCTTGCAAAGAAGCTACCAGTATTTTTGCGGCGAAGTGTAGACGGAGCCGAAGCTGACGGAGTGGAAAAAGTCGCCCTCATCGCATGCTCAGGGGAGAGCTTGGTCAAATCCATCGGGACCTTGGCAGAGAGCAACATTGAATCCAGTTCACGACTCGGGCTTCGAATGCGCACATTGTGCATTGGCTGGACAACATCAGGAGGCGAAGGTGGCGAGAGGGCACTCTCCTCCGACGCACTCGGATCGTGATCGGCGTTGTCCGAAAAGGCACCTTCGTGACTACCGCCCTCGGCGGAACAGGGGAATGAATCAAGCCGATCTCTGAATCGGCCCGTAGCGCTAAATTCAATCGCAGAGGCCGGGTCTGAGTTTGGCGATGGATCCGCGGAGGTTGTGAATGGCGTCGTATCCACAGGCGGGGGACGATTACTCGCGGACGGTGAAGTTGGCGTTGTCTCCTCTGCCAATTCCGAAGAACCCGCCCCGGGAGTAACGGGCGCGCTCTTCGTGCGTTGCCTGGCTGACAAGAAAGCCATGATTGACCCGCTTCGGGTAAGACCCGAGCCGGACGAGTTGGATGACGTAGCCTTTGATTGCGGGGTTGCCGGTAGACCAGATGTCTGCAGATGGAGAATGTTCTGGACGCTGGCTGGCCGCGCGCGACCAACCTGGAGTACCTCACGAACAGAGTTCATGGTGTAACTGTATGTTCTCTGCCTGCGGCGTGTGATTGTTGGTGCGTCATCGTCCGCAGCATCTTCCGGTACCGACGTGAGCGGGGACTCCTCAACACTGAATGTCTCGCTCGGGCTAAACCCAGCAAACGAGCGTGTCGACATCCGCCGCTTCTTCTTATCGGTCGGGGCAGGCGAGTTTTCCCTATCTGTTGCAGAGGGAGTGGAAATCAAGCTGTCACGGTGCATGATCCTGCTGAATCCGGTGGGCGCGGTTGGGAGCGAATCAGGAAACAGGACAGCACCGGCCCGAGCAGCGAGGCAGATTTCGGAGGAGACATCGACGAGGCAGCGATCGATGGCCTGGCGTTGCTGAGGTGTAGCGCGGCGGAGAGAGAGGCTGCCTGCAACAGGAGAGAGCGAGATTGGGGAAGTGGCGGAACTGGAAGAGCTAGAAGATGGGTGTGAATGAGGTAGAAGCGCAGGAGGCTGAATGAGGACGGGTGTGCTATCCTCTTGGGGTGCAGGGAAGACCGGGAGGGAGAAAGGACTATCGCGAAGCGCGTGTTCTTGGGCGATGGCTTGCCCTATTGCAGGTAACCATAGCGCCTTCTCCTGCGGACAAGAAGCCGCGAAGTAGAAGTTCTTGTCGTCCTTCGTCAAGCAGAAGCAGTTCATCAAGGGGGCTGCAGGTCTCATCAGCATCTATATTCGACCCAGCATGAACGGACTTACGATCATCAGCGCTAGGTTCGACCATCTGGCAAGTGGCAAGCTCAAGCCAGTGGCGCGCCTCATATAGATTCCCCTTCTTCGGCTTAACCAGCAGCAAACAACCGGCGTAGAGGAAAGCACCGAGATAGCGCACCTTGCTCGGCAAATTTGTCGTCGCCCCATTGGGTGTTCCTGCACTTGGGACATTCGCAAATGCGGCAGGGGTGATGGTTGCTGCCGTATTCGCGGTGGCGAGACTGCTGGTCGAGGTATTGACAGAGGAAGTCATCGTGCGAGGGAGGACGAGCACATCTAGCGCACCGACAAGCAGTGGCGGGCCGAGGGAGAGCAAAAGGCTTTCAGTGATGTCCGGCCCTTCAACACGCACGGCGATGCGCTCTCCCCTAAGCTCACGCTCGTACCGTTCCCGAGCCTCATCAACACGGGATACGATCTCCCGCATGACAGAGTAGGCTGCGCGCAGCTCACGCACACCAAGCTCATCGAACGGATGGTGTGGGACTTGAGGTAGGAGGGCGGACTGCCTTAACTCTAGTGGGAGGAGCTTTGCCAATAGGAGGGGATACCGACAAATCCTTTGCACGGGCTGGATGAGCAGATCGTGCAGGCTGAGCTGCTTCTTCGGTGGTCGGCCACGCTCGCGCTCCCCATCAGTGGCGGGAAGAGGGCTGGGAGATCGAGAGAGGTCCAACGAGCCACAAGAGGACGTCCCAGGCGGAGTGGTCATGCATCTCCGTTCCCATGCCTTCCATTCCGTGCCCATGCGCGTTGCGAGCTTCTCGAGTGCGGCCATAGCGGGGGTGTGTTGTGCACAGTACTCATCGTACAAGCTCCAGACATCCGTCTTCACGGGCCAATCAGCCACCTTGTTCAAGCCATCCAAGCCATCGTCCGAACTAAACTCACCGAGAGGAAGAACGCCCTGCTAATCCTCCGCACAGCCTTTGCGACCCTTGCCGGCTCTTCGTCGGCGAAATAGTCTACTGCAACCATATCTTCCGGTGAGGTGGTCGGGGGAAGCCCAGCGACCAGGAGAGCAGTTTCGAGCTCTTGCAGGAAGCCAACGTGAGCAGCATGCAGTGAGGGCAAGTTGCGTGTGATGACAGGATAAGAGGTGGGGTCTACGGCTTGCAGGGCAGGGAGGTAGACCTGAAACGGCCGCATACAGTTAGTCTTTGTAAGGAAATGCACGTGTAACTCGACCCGCGCACCTCAACTAGTAGCGCCAAGTCCCTCGCATAGTTCCTTTCCGTCTCAACTACTTCCATCAGGCCATAGAAACGTTTTGTATGCGTCCGTGGGAGGATGGGCATGGTCTGAGCACGTTTCTGAGGGTGCAGTTTGGGTCCTGCAAGTTCGGCGCCATTCTGTTGTGGAGACGTTGACAATACGGAATTAGTTACTGTTGCGATGGGTGTGGATAGAGAGCGGCGAGGGGAGGCAGGTGCAGAAGTTGCAAAGGGGCTGGTAGAGAGCGGTGATACAGGATGTGGAACTGGCAAAACGTACCCTCCCGGCCGGGCTGATGGCGGCTTTTGCGAGAGATGGAGTGGGTGTGTGGGCGAGCCGCGGCGGATGGGCATACTTGCTGAGTGTGTCATAAGTGGTGGACGGGCGGGGATGAAAGGAGATGCTGGGGGCGGCGACAACGCCGGGGAAGAATTTGCGGAACGTGAAGAGGATGGCGACGACGCGCGGGAATTGGACGGGCGAATTGAAGGCAAGCGCTGGAGTAGGCCGCTTACCTTTGTTCGCGGTGGTGCACCGTTCGCACCGACCAACGTCGAGCTCGACACGCTCCTCCTTGTCGATAACTGCCCATCGGTCTCCTCCTCCTCGCCTCCTCGCCTGCTCAAGCTTATTCGCCTCATCGCTGCCGGTTGTGACATGTGTTGGTTTCGTGCGACGACAACAGGTGGCATAGCACCTGGTGGTAGAGGAAGAGCTGGGGAGCGAAGTCGTGAGAGATCCGGCTCAGATATGCAGGGTTGAAGAGGAGCCCGGAGAGATGGCGGGATGACAGAGGGCGAGGGGAGGCGGGACTGGGAGGGCGGTGCGAGGAGAGCCATCTACCTCGTGATGGGCGCCCGAGATACAGAAGAATCTGTTAATTTTGGGTATGCGGTGGGATGATGTTCTTTCCCCAATTCCGAGAAACAGTTCTGGGCATGGACAAGGCCCCAGGAGGCGGAGCAAGGAGAAGTGCCGAGCCGTTCGGGGGTCAGGGAACGGCACGCTGCGGGGCGGAATTGGCGGAGAAAAGGCGTTAAACGACCACGACAGTACTGCGCGCTTGTTCCTCCTCGAGGTTGATCAGACACCGGATGGTGACCTGAACTCCCCGGTGCGGGCGGATTATCTGACACAGAGAGGAAAAGGAAACCGGTTAAGGTACCCTGGATATGCGGGGGTGGGGAGAGGGAGCGCACCTTGTGACCACTCCCAAACGACGATGTATGCGTTGTATATGCAGTCTCCCCTCCTCACCCAGCGTTGAGAGGAAGTGCTGTGGCAGATTTCAAGTGGTCGAAGGACAACGTTCGCCGGTTAGAGACGTGCAAAGATGCGGAAGGAAAAGAAGCGGATTTTACGGAAGTCAAGAGAGAAGATGATGAACTGTTCCAGCGAGATGAAAGAGGCGGTGAGGACAGCGTGCAGCGTATTTGTGTTACTTGTTGCAGAGGATGATATACCGCAAATATAGTATATGCCCCTTCGGGAAGCAAGGACCGTTGTCTGATAGTTAAATATGAGACTGGAATGTCAAACCGCGGAGTGACCCTACCAGGGCAACAGCCTTTCGAGGTCGTCGTCGTCGTTACAGTCGTCGTCGCTGTCAGAGTTGTCGAGGAGAGATAGAGAGTGATAGAATGTATATTATCTGTACCAATGCGGTGGGGTATTTCCCTTCACCAAGCCCCCAGAGAAATGGGAGACAGAAAAAGAACACATCGATGACGTGTTTGTCTAAGAAGCATCCCACCTGCCATTCCCGTTTCCAGCCTTTCCTTATTCAGTTGTATGACATAATCAATTGCAAATACCGTGCTTGGCCTTAAACGGGCGCTCGGCTTGCCTCCATCCGGGACGCCGGGACGCACGTGCCACTGGGCAACGGTATTCTCGCGCCATTCACCACCGCACAGTACATAATCATTGTTCATATCCCCCTCCGGCTTCCCAGGCTTCCCACCTTCGGATATCATGATTTCCAACTGAAAGGAAGCAATAATTCTGGTGGCACCGGCATTATTCTTCTTCCTTCGGGCTGATACGGACAATGGCCCAGGGGTACGACATTCCAATCCTGGCCGAGCTGCCGGCTCTGTGCCTTTTCATGATGAGCGCGGGGGAAGGGCTCCCGAGCCCGACCTTGGCGGGCGCCTGGGTATTGTCACCACCACCCCGGACTCTTCATGATCTAGATATACCGTCTCGTGCTGATCACCTCACTCCACATGGAACATCGATGCGCTCAAACAGCTCCAAATTGACATCAAAGAAACTCGTGATCTGTCAACCCTGTTAAATCCGAACCGCTTGGCACCATTCTTTCGTCATCTCGTGCAGCGCGGAACCGGAACGGACCAAGATAAACAAGATAACCATGCGCGCAACGGTACATGATTCAAAATCAATTACACGACCACACGGCATCGGTAAGACAATTCGCCGGAAGACGAGCTCAACGTGTGTCACGATTGTGTACGCAGCTGTATATATGTTGGTCGCAACGCTTGCCTGGGAAGGAAAGATAGGCAACATATGCGCCCGAGACGTGACGCGCCGGGCCGAATAATAATGTATGCCGGCGTCGTTTAGCGTTGTCTCGCAGTTCTCACCCGGACTAGTGCTATGGTGTTCTGCTCGTTACCATCTGTCATACCTCGGATTAATGGTTGTACTTCTCTACATGTGAATATATTCCAGCAACGCGAGTTGCAGGAGAATTCCGCTGTGCTGTCCGCTCGCGTCCTGAGATGGTCGAGATCGAGGGGTTCGCTTCGCGACGTGCCTGGCAGGGAACAGAATGCACGAACACGCGTGTGCATGCTGGCTGCGCAGTGGGGTGAGGCACGATGCCGAACAATCATGATTGTAAAACTAGTATAAAAGGCCTAGTGTACAATGTCTGGACTCATGTCTCTCAGTCACACAAGCCCGCGGCTTCTCCATGCTCGGTTGCTCCAATCGCCCGCAGCCGCCAACAGAGTCCCTCCTTGCCACATTAGACAGCGTAATCCCAGACTATCGCTATACACGTTGTCGCTTATTCGCAGCGTTCGATATGATTGACATGGAGCGTTTTCTCTGCAATATCACACACCCGTTCATCAGTTACTGTTAGCAGGCTGGGAACGAGCAACGTACCGAGGCCACTGCTTTGCCCTTGTCCTCCCCATGCTCCATCTCGACCTCTTCCACGTTCTCGCCCTTGTGTCGTGCCTTGAGCACTCTTATTTCCTGATCTAATCGATCTACGCTCCGCTTCATCTCGATCAGGATCCCAGCAGTGTTCAGCAGGCTTTCCAGCTTTTCCACGTTCACCTTTGTCGGCATGACCAGTGTGTTGGGTGAGATTTGGAGTTCGGCCAACAACTGTGTGACATGTGTGGCCACGGATGGTTTGGGAACAGGAATACGGGATGAACGCATGAATATCGATGGCACGCCGCTTTTCGAGCCGACGCTGACGGTTGCTGGATCATACCGGACGATACAGTTTGTAGGATCTAGATATCAGAGCACAAGCTTGTGTGAGGATTATGACCATGCACATGTCTGATCGCCACGTACCGTCTGCAGGAACATATTTTGCCTCTGCCTTCGACTTCTTCGTTGAACCACCTCCTGGCGTGGCAGGGCTGTCAGCGGACGTCTCTCCATTCTTCTTCTTCTTTTTCGTGTCCTCATCCCCAACCTTGAGCGTTCCTAGCCCACTTTCTACACCGGCCAGCATGCGTAGGAGATCTTCCCGATCTTTCGTGAATCGTCGTTCGTTCTGTTCGAGCCGTTTCACCTCGATATACAACGCTTCCTCTTCCTCGATCGCTTCAGGTTCTCGATTGAACAGTGCAACAACGTAATCTCGCCTTTTTCGTTCTTGTTGTTTGTCGAAGTTAAATCCTGCCAGCGTCTGCGCCTTGTTGGGATCATCCTCCGGTAGTCGACGCTCGAGAATCGATCGAGCGACTCCATAGTATCGTGACTTTAGCTCCTCGATTGGCCTATCGATCCCACTAGGCGGCGCCCACCGATCGATAATTACGATGAACCGCTGATCGTACTCTCTGACAAGCCGAAATAGGTAGTCTGTATCCTCTTTCGTCCAAGGCGTGTCTTCCTTCGATGTCGATGCCAGGAGGGAGATGTCGATCTCCGCAGGGATAGTTCCATATACGGCCTCATATTCTTCGTCGATATATGATATGGGAGCCGAGTCAATATTATATCGCGCAAAGCGATAGTTACCTGAAACGAAGATTAGGAAAGAACCTGACCACTTCGGACGGGACACATACCAGTATCGGTTGCTCTTTGCCAATGATGTAGCTTCAGATGATCCTTCCTCGCTGGGTTATCGAACTCGCGAAATTCCCTATTCCACATCAATACAGAGCTAAAAATACACGGGAATGCGCGTACCACTTGACCCTTGCCCTCCCCAAGTCAGGTCTTGCCTTGAACTTTGGTCTACTGACTTGCGCGACCAGTGTCGGCGCAGCATTCCCAATAAGGTTGTATAGCTCGCGCGATATTCCCTCTGGCTTCCGTGTTGCAGATGGGGCTACAGCTTTGCGCGGTACCGGTGTAGAGCCTGGGGGGACGAGAGAGGACACGATCTCGCGCACATCGGCGGAAGTCATCGTGGTCGTTTGGGAGAGGCGGAAGGAGGATTCCAATTCAGGGACCAAATGTTAATAAACTACTGACTAAGCATTATACAATTAGCTTCCGGGTTCATACACTTTCAGCTGTTACTGGCCTTGCACCACGAGCTTTGCCACTCAACTTCTACTCGGGAATGGCGACTGCAAGCGGACTGTCAGCAGCAGATGAAGGTCTGGATGTTATATGAAACGCCAGTAATTAGCCTGATATTTTATTAGACGAGGTGATCCATAACAGGCTTCTGAACGATGAAAAGGCAATCCGCAGGCTCACTCGCAAGTTCCACGCCTACTCCGTAAAAGCGCGCCCAGCCTCCTATGCGTCCACTTCGTCGAATTTCAATGAACTACGCGATGCATTTCTGGTAGAACTAGCGCAATATCATCTGTTTTTGAGGAAAACGTCACTTCAGTGTAAGGCAGAACAGCGACAAGTGGTGGCGTATCAAGAGGAGAGGGATCGGATAGGTGAGTTTTGCTTCCCACCAGTCCTATTTTATACTGACATGATAATAGCAAACCTACACTCGCGATATAGGGATGATATTGCGACTTTGAAACAGGAACTTGAGAGAGCGCAGATCGGGAGAAAACAAAAGATCGAGTACGATGAAGTTGCCGCGAAGATAAATGCCCTTCCCACACGCGGCGAACTCGAAAAGTGAATACATCCTACTGATTCAGATGGTACAATGCGCCTGACACGCTCTCTCAGAGAAATTTCGGGGATGGAAGAAGAAATCGGTGCCCTGCAGCATGACAAGGAAGTGCAAATGTCTCTCATGAACGCCCGGCGAGAGAAGTTCGATCAGCTCATCAACGACATTAATGAGCTCCGATGGATGGGGCGTGAGGGAGGACCAGAAGATCCGGGTTCTCCTCCGGCAGACGAAGACGAGCCCGAACCTGAGCATGACAGGGTGGAGTCTGGCCTCAACCCACACGCGGTGGCGTTCGTCCCTGGAAGCGCACAAGCCACTTCACCCGCATCGCTACCCGTGCAAGATGTGGTTATGGGAACGAATGGAGAGCTGGAGGAAGGAGAGGAAGAGGATGTGATGGTGGAACACGCAGAGATTGTGGAGACTGGGAATGGAAGAAAGAAAGAGAAGAGTGCGAGAGCGAAAGACGAGTTGGAGGAAGGGGAGGCGAGCGATGGAAGTGAGCTGACGGAGCTGTCCGATTAAGGAGTTTTGGAGACCTACACTATGTTATACTACTTCCACTGTATAATGTACTATTTTCTACGTTGTGGTGTGACTTAGGCGCTCATATTCGGAGTTAACCAGAAGCGCTGGCTTCCATTTGTTTCCGCTTCGAAAGTCCTGAACGCGTCGAGATTGTGCTCGCCACCGCGTCGTAACTTGAGCTTCATTCGAATTGGATTCCCCATGGCATCGACCTCGTCAGATTGGCTGTACGAACTGCGGGGCCACCCTATATTTCAAGACGAAAATGCGGAAAGATTGTCTTTGTCTCTCCTTGCGTCGACCTCAAGTGCACTGGATAGGTCGAAGTCCACCTTCGGCGGAGCTAGTCGCCTGGATGGGTTCTCGCGAGGCCGAAGGGGAAAGATGTGCTTGAGAAGGTCGGACTTGATCGTTGCCGTTGGGAACAAGCTGCGAATTATGTCACTGATGGACGCCAAGGCTGATGAGGGAAAGGGAACGTATAAGGTGCCTCCTCTTCAGCTTTCAGCGACTCGTGACTAAACGAGCAGCAGACCCTGGACACCTCTATAATTCATTTCGAAATCCTGGAGATTGCTTTGAGTCCGACAGAGAAGATGCTAGTCATCGGTGGCGCACATCATGTTGCAGTTGTTGTACTACCCAAACCCGGATACTCCAAAATCATCTCTCCGGAGCTTAAGTGCAGGTGCGCTTTTATAGCCCCTCCTGTGGCTTTTGGATTGACCTACTTAGATGTTTTGCTATCGGGCCGTTCTTTCACTCGAGCCCCAAGGCATCTCGGTTGGCTAGGGTCGACTGGCATCCGTTTGGAGAGGGCGGCGCCTCCTTAATGGTCTTGACTGAGGACGGCACATTACGGTACGCGTTGTTCCTAACCCAGTCTTCTCTCCCTTGGGTCTAACTCTGCTGCAGAGAATACAATGTATTTGAAGATGCCGAGGAGCCAAAGCAGACTGTGAACTTGTTTCCTCCGTCATTGCGGAACTCTAGAGGGTACTCTATGGAGACCCCTCGGCGAGCAGTTGCTTTTGCCTTCGGGTGGGGAAGGGACGACTGGAGTTCACTCACGGCCTTTTGTCTAACCAACAAAGGGGAGGTGTTTTCCATGTGCCCTTTCATGCCCAAGCGAGCGTAAGGGTCCTTCACGAGCCTTTGCACTAGAACTGACTCATACGGTAGGGTATTACCTGTTTCTGTCGTGCAACAGCTCCTGAAGTCAACAGAAATGAGCCTAAAATCAGTCGTCGATGACACATCGAATCCTCAGCCTGCACTTGAAGCTAGATATCAGCAGCAGCTTAAGTATGTCAAGACTCTAGAGCGACAATTAAAGCAAGATAATAAGAACGGAAAGCGGAAGGCTGCCAGCCCGCAGAAGCTGCAATTGTCCGCGAGTGGCCCGAAAGCGGGAGAAGCAGGGTTTACGTTGCCAACAACTGTCAAATCCATGGTCGTTGCACAGGGACCATACCGCATTATCCCTGAATCTCCTGAATTGGACGATAGCATCGAGTCCGAAGCCACCGACCTCATATACCTAGTGTATGATGACGATACCTCAGATCCTCTGAACATCCTGGGTATCGCTTGGGACAATGGTAGAGTGGACATTTGCCTTGATCTGGATCGAGTGGAGGGCATGTGGATTCCCGATTCTGTAAGCTTCACGCATCTCGTGCAAAACGTTTGCTGATCTGTTTCAGGCTGTTCGCTCACAACAGGAAGCGCCATCACTTTTCTTGTACGAGACGATAGATCTCGGCATCGCTTCGGAGCTGGCATCGGTCGTCCCCTCTAAATCGACCACTCCGTATCTCGACGGCATGGACCACAACTGTCCCGTTTTTGTGCGAGATCCCGTTTATCCGGATACTCTCTATGTATACCACAACTATGGCGTGCATTGCGTCATCATTCGAAAATGGCTCTCATCCTTACGAGCTGCTCTTTCCAAAGATGGCGATGAGTTGTCCGCTGCGTTGAAGGAGGCGAAGATGAGCGAAGTGGCGTGTATGGTCAGCACAATCTCAAGTGTCTACGAGTATGTGCCCGTCCCTCTGTCGTTTACAGTGAATATCTAACAGATACAACAGACAACCGCACGATGTAACAGGACTAGTAATTGTTCATGATGTCTACCTTTCCTATGGCTTGCTGGTTATCACCTCGCCCCTCAAGTTGATCGCTTCCGAACTCAATCTTCGGGTTGACAGCCTGAGGGATTCAACGGTCGCCTCTAGTCTACCAGAGGGTCCTGGGACACCTAATAAACGTTCCCAGGCGTATGTATCACTCCTCGGCCGAGCGCCATTCCAACTCCCAGATCTCTTTACCCGAACGGACAACATTCCGGCGGCATCTGCAAAACCCGCCATCAACGATTTACGCACCTTTGGCACACAGGCAGAGGCGATCGAGATCCAGATGAGCGACTTTGCAGCCGAGGCGAACAGGGTACAAGACCGGCTTATCCTGCAGCGCAAGGAACTGGAGCGCCAGCTGGGAACACTGGTCGTGATACAGAAAAAGACAAAGGAGGTCATGCAGAATGGCGAGTCCATCCTTCAACCCAGGCTAGCGCAAGTCCTAGCCGAGCAAAAGGCGCTCCTGAAGCGTGCGGACAAGGTCCTGCAGCAGATGATGAACCACGCACAGCCGACAATTACCGAAGCAGAAGTGGAATGGATCGACGAGCTGGAACGAATGGAGCAAGAGTTTGATGGAAATGAGGATTCGCTGGTGGCGAGGCGGGACGCTGTCCAATGGCAGATCGTCTCGATTGAAGCGGAGTTGAAGCGATTAGAGGTGCAGGATGCCGTCTTGGGCAAGAGCTCAGTGAGAGAGTCTGGGATTGGCAAGTCGCAGCTCGCAGCTATTGATCAGCGTTTGAGTCTCCAGTGGGTACTTCATTCAATATGGTCTGTAACGTGCTCATCCTCTCCAGAAACAACACCCTGGTTGAGCTGAAGGATATGCTGACAGAGGTTGAAGATAATCTGGATCTGAATCCACAGGACGAGTAACTTGAGTTGATTTATATCATTGGTACCATCGTATACCATGCAACACATACTGTAATCCTATAGCAATAATGTGCAATGATGTTCTTGTGTTAGCTCAATGATATGAGACCCTTAGTCGAGATAATTTCGAGCGCGTTTGTTCTCACCAAGGCTGCTTCACCCACGCTGCCCAAGATGAATATCAGGATGGCAACAGTGCATACATCTACCTGCCTACACAATCGGACGCCCAGCTCACATATGTACAGCCCGATGACATGCAAGGCATGCAAGCCTGCAACCTCTGCAACCTTCCAGAGAACTACAACCTCAAATACTGTCTGCCCCCTTCCCCTTTCCTCGCATCCCCGTACTAACCCTCCTGCAGACATGTACCACCTCGTCACCTGGCCTCGGCTGTCCTACGTCGCCGAAGACCCCAAAGGGAGGATCGTAGGGTACATCCTAGGGAAAATGGAAGAAGACCCCAAAGACGCTCCGCACGGACACGTCACCTCCATCTCTGTCTTGCGCACCTATCGTCGTCTCGGGCTCGCGAAGCGGCTGATGATCCAGGCGCAGGAGGCGATGGCGGACTGTTATGGTGCGGATTATGTGAGCTTGCATGTGAGGAAGAGTAATAGGGCTGCTATTGGGTTGTATAGGGATACACTGGGGTTTCAGGTCAGCGAGGTCGAGAAGGGGTATTGTGAGTGGTTTACTTTGGTCGTTTGCTGGGGATGTGCTGATGGGAGGTAGATGCGGACGGAGAAGATGCGTATGGGATGCGACTTGTCCTCCATCCGTCAGAGGTTTACCCATGAGTGGTATAATGAACTTGTATCTATCCCACGTCACATCCATTACATCCCACTGCACGACGTCCACAGACCATGTCCTTGCATTTGGAGCACAAAGATTACATCTAATTGTTTCATACAGCTTAAAAATACCCTACACTTCCTCCTGCGGCTCCCTACTGAAACTCCTTCCCCTAACCTGCCGTCGAAGAGAGGTGCTTCTTCCTGTGCACCTTCCTCAGTCTCCCACTCCAAGGGTTATCTATCTCCACCGCCCCAGCGTCTAACCACACGTCTCCACCCTCCCCTCCGCCACCCTCTTCCTCCTTCCCCTCCTCCTCAGGCTCCTCACGCGCAAGACCCTCAACAGGCACCCCCTCCCACGCTTTCCGTTCCCTCTCCTCGATCCTCTTGATCGCACTGTCCGTCGTCACGGGCGTCCGGGCACTCCAGGGCAAGTCCGAGAGCTGCGTGCTGCTAGGAACGGCAGAGATAGGAGTGGTCGTGCTCCCTGTCAAACCGGTGCTGAAGTTCGGGCTTAACACTGGGATGTTGCCGTACAGATTCGCGGATGTCGGCGTCCGCGCCGAGCTGGGATAGGAAGACGGTGTTGAGGGCGCCGAATGATACTGTGTCGATGGCGGGGGAGAGTCGAGATTTATCAAGTCCGCTACTTCGGTCTCTCCCGCCGTCCTCCCTTTCTGTTCTCTCCGTCGATCCGCAGAATTCGCCCCTCCGGGACTGATGTCCCTCTGCCTAGCGAGAGTCACGGCCTCCCCAATGACGCGCACGACCTCGAGGCCCATCTCGTAGTACCCGTCGTTACTTTTCGGCTCAAACATGCCTATATGCGCTTCGATCTCGTCTTTTGCAACCTTGTTCGTTTGGGGGACGAAGTGCGGATGGGAGGGAGATGAAGAAGGTGGGAGGATGGAGAACGTTCGCTCGGTTGGGTGGAGCGCGGAGGCGGGGAGGAGGGTGTAGAAGCTGCGTTGAGCGGATTAGGTAGGTCGGATATGTGAAGATGGGGAAACGTACTCGCGGAATACGACTCCAGTGCTGATGACTAATTCCAGTCGTCTCTTTAGGCCTTTCTCGTCCCAAAGGTTCCCAACATACTGCAGATGCTCGCTTGCCCACTGCCAACCACCGGCAAGATCCTGCCGCTTGTAATATGCCGTACCCGCCGCTGCACCTGCCAAGAGAGTTCCGGCAGCGGCAGCGACATAGGTTGGGGAGATGGAAAGTGAGGAGAGCTGTTTTGTCCACGAGCTGGTGTCGAGGGGTTTGGGGGTTGGGGTGTAGGGGGGAGGGGCGAGAAGCCTCTCTTTTTCTGTTCTGGATCCTGGTCTTTGCCCTTCTGATTGCGCTCGGGCATGTTTTTGTACTTGTCCTGATGCTTGTGCCTGTGCCTGGGCTTGTGGGGACGCACCGGTTGCGGAGGTGGGGACGGGCGACGCCGCTAAGCCAAACAAGCCAAACTCAGAGGCGACAGCCTTAGCAGCATCGATATACGTGTTCATCTGGTTCATAGAGTGCTTGAAGACGTTTGGGTGTAGACCGAGGTACTGCGTGTGGGTTAGTATTTGCGCGTGCGAATGGGAGAGGGGACGTACGGGAGTGTCATATCCTATACAAGCGACAATGCGTGGCCATATCATCTTCCCTTGCCTATCTGCATCTTTTGATTCTGCCTCTCCCTCTCCCTCTGGTCCTTCCTTTCCATCTTTCGGCTTCTTATCATCCCCCATCTCCACCCCTGCAATGCCCAACAACGCGTCCGCAGCTAGCAACCCTCCCATCGAGTGCCCGCAGAGGACGACCTTGGCTCCCCCCGCCCGAAGGTTATGTGACGACTCGAGGTTCACAGTGAGTTCGGTAAGCCAGGAGACAAATCTTGCAGTCGCTTCTGCTAGGTCTCCTCGTGTCTATGTGCATCAGGGATTGAGCTTCTTCCAGTTGGAAGGTGTCAATGAGACGCACCTCATAAGAAGGGAAGACGACACATTCAACTTTTGTTCCCTGCAGCGTCTCGTTCAAGACGTGTTTTAAGCGCTCTGGGAACCCACAGAAGGTCCCGTCCGTGCCTTTGAAGCTGTTTGGTGGTGCGAGTGTGAGGTCAGAGTTCGTGTCATAACAATCGGTGATGATATTTGTTGTGTTCGTTGTCGTTGTCGTTAGAGTTTTGGTGTTAGTCGCGTTGGCGGTCGGCGTCGGAGTCAATGGGGGTGCAAAGTGGGAGGCGATTACCAATGGAGAGATGGGTAACAAAGCGGGTAAAGGGAGTGAGCGTTTGTCCTCTTTAGGGGGAGGGTTTGAGCGTCCGAGGATGCCCTGTTTGACCCATTTTGGAAAGGGGAGTACGAACCCGTGAATGAAGACGCAAAGTACGAGCTCTGGTGGTAGAGAGGACATTTGGTTGTGGGTGTGTTGAAGGGTAAAGGTGCAGTGAAGCAGGAGGAGAAGAGAGTGAATAATCTAATACAGATAGTAATCAGAGGTTCTGTTACAGCCCCTGCACCCCTTGATGGCACAGCAGAGTGAGGGGGTTATGTAATAGGCTGATGTAACGCATAGCCACTAGATCTTAAGAGTAAGGGACCATCCAAGGACGAACGTGCGTCGCTGAAAAGCGTTTGATTCGCTTATGCACTTTTCACCGATCACCGTCTTACCCTATCTGAACACCGGAGAAGGCGAAGGAATGTGTTAGGTCACGTCGACGCTTCACAAGTCTTCCTTCTACCGGCCTCTTCTCCCCGCTCCACCTTCTCCTCCTCATCTCAAGCGCTCACCACCACCCTCTCCTCCCACCCACACAATGTCCACCCAACCCCTCCTCCAACGCACCGCCCAAAAGCGCATCGCACTCCCAATCCGCGTCGAGCCAAAAGTGTTCTTCGCAAATGAGCGCACTTTCTTGTCCTGGCTCAACTTCTCCGTCGTCTTGGGCGGGTTGGCCGTCGGCTTGCTCAATTTTGGCGATAGAGTGGGCAAGATCAGCGCGGGGTTATTCAGTGTTGTGGGTGAGTCAATATCGCTTTTATATTTGTATCTTGTGATATCCGGTTCCATCGCATTCCACCCCTCCATCATACATCCTCTTCCTTTCACTGCAACGCTGATACACATCACTAACCCCCTGCAGCCGTATCAATAATGATTTATGCCCTCTCCGTTTACCACTGGCGTGCAGCTGCGATCCGCAAACGCGCCGGAGGACCATACGATGACCGTCTCGGACCCGTACGTCCCTATCTCCCTCTCCCATGAGCCTTCATCGTGCTCATCGATTATTTGTAGACAATACTCTGTGTCTTCTTGCTCGGTACGCCGAATTGTCAACCTCTAGTAAATCTACTGACAACGTTAAAGCGGCCATTATCACTAACTTCGTCCTCCGGTTCACCGACTCCAATTGATCCTATCTCTATCCCTATCGCTGTCGCTGTTTATCAAGCATGCGACCCGCCGTATTTGGCAGGCACGGACCTCAAGTCTGGATGCGAGGGGTTGTGCCATGTGATAGGGGTCGAGGGTCATGCGGTCACTTGCGAGCGTGCTGGCAACAAGGACATCTAGTAAAAAAAGGTACATCTTGTAGCTCTATGGTACATGTTTCTTGAGATGTGTTGTGTTGCATCACAGCATGCGATATGCAACGCAGGCACGCTGAGAGGGAGGTCGGTCTTCTGGTGTGGTGGTCCGATGTGGATGTGAGCTACCAGCCACTTGCTAGCTCCGGGTATCCCTGGACTGTATGCGCCTGCTAAAACCACCGACCGGCGATATTCTATCTCTGTCACGAGGCATACACTCCAATCAATGAAACTTCTACTCTCCTTTATACACCGGCCTTCTCCCCTCCTTGAAAGCCTCCAACCCTTCCAGTCGATCCTTCGACCCTAAAAGAGGCTCATAACACGCTCGCTCAAAGTCAAGTCCGGAGGAGAGGGAGAGCTCGGGTGAACGCGAGATGGAGCGTTTTGCAGCTTGGAGTGCTAGGGGTGCTGGGACGCAAACTGGATTAAGAGGGGGGAGGGAACTGACACCTGTGGGGCGTACCGTTCTTGACTATCTCCTCTGCCAGCAGGAGGGACCTTTCATATCCCGTTTGCCCGGCTTCGGAAAGATGGTCCACAACCCCTACACGAAGTACATAACACACGATCAACCTCGACCACGTAGATACAGCACACAGCTATCCAATAACGTACCGTAAGCATGCGCCTCCCGGGCACTCATTTTCCGCGCAGTGAAGACAAGCTCTTTAGCCTTTGTGATCCCCAGCAAGCGGGCTAACCGCTGTGTGCCCCCAAAGCCAGGGATGATACCGAGCGCCGTTTCGGGCAGCCCGATGTTTTTGGCTTCATTGCCTAGGGGTCTGATGAGCGGGTTAGTGGGAGGAGCGGGAGGTACGGACGGGCTATACGGAAATCGCACACTAGTGCGAGCTCGAGACCTCCACCGAGAGCAGGGCCGTCGATAGCTGCGTCTCTTATAAGTACTGTACGCAATCTACAAAATGTTGAGAGTGCATACCGGCGATCGTCGGGCACTCCAGTTCCTCGAGGACACCAAGTGTCTCCCGCCCGGTGGACAGGAAGAGGTGCACATCTCGGGGTGTCATACTACGTCTTTCTGCTAGGTCTGCGCCGGCACAGAACATCCGAGGAGATGCAGAACGGAGGATAAGCAGGCGGGTACTGGGAAGTGTCAGTCGCGCGCTGAGAGAAGGAAAGTGGAGAAGAAGCGCACCTCGGATCCTGTCGCACTGCTTCCAAGCTCTCACGGATGTTCTACCAGGTTCCTATTCAGGACCTCGGATGTACAGCAAGAAGAAACGAACCCGGAGCATGAGACGCGATATGGCGTTATATGTCTTGGGCTTGTTGAGTACTAGACATGTGACACCTGGGATGGTTGAGGGCTCGAGGTAGGCTTCTTGGGAGGTGGTGGAGAGACGTCTTGTAAAAGGTTGGATTGTGATGGGTATACGGCGTGTGAGGTAGAACATCCTAGATAGATAGCAGGGAGTTAAGCGGAGTGTCCAGTTCAGCAGAGAAGAGGCAGAGAGCTCACGTACTCGTTCAGGAGTCACCTCAGGGCCGTCCAGAATGCGGGGTAAAATCGGCAGCAAACACCGGACAGCCGCAAAAGATAAAAATGAAATCCACGTGCTTCTTCTCCTTCACATCTTTCATGTTCTCTTGCAGTCGTACGACATCATGTCGCCCAATACTGATCTCTTTCCGTCTTGCAAATGTCGGCGGTGACATATCACACTCTGGCGGCTTCGTACGGCATATGTCTGGCCGTAGGAAACTGCGAATCAGGGAACGGCGAGCTCCGCTGGTCCCCAACTTTTCCGCTGAAGGGAGGAAGAGCTCGATCCTCTTGGACGAGCCGAATCCTATACTCAACCCCGAGCTTTTTCGGATCACGAAAGGAACACACAACGCCTTTGATGGGATTGATCTGGAGAAGACTGGACTGCCTGAAGAAAAGACTGCAGATCTGTCAGCTCTGTTGCAGGAAGATACATTTGACCAGGACCCTTTTCGTGAGCTCTACGCACGCTGCCATTCTCACCTGCTAAGATCTAGCAGTGAAGATGCTTTCTTCGCCACTCCGGAGAGAAACCATATCTTCCCGATATCTTCCTACGGGTATGTGTCGTTCTTTGTCTACCATGCCGATGTCGATCCTCAAAGGCCAACAGACTTCATGATCCGGCTTCGTCTCGCGCGCCCAGCAAGCATGGAGAACCTGCTATATTGGTATCCCGTATCTTCCAGTTATGACCGCGCAACCCAGGATGAATCGGTAGGCGGGAGCTGGTACATCGTCTGCTGGAAAGAAGCCATGGACTTCTTCCGGCTCAGACATGGGAAGAAACCCCCGATGGCGTAGGTCGCCTTTCCTTTTGCTGCACACAAGCTGACATCACCTCAGTGTACCGGAAAGCGCACGAGCACATCGGTTTCTCTCGGAACAGGTGTATGAGACCCTCCAACTGGCTGTACTTGAAGAACTCGAAGAGCTCAGGAAGAGGATCGGGAACCCCTCTGATACGTACCGACCTCTTGTCCGCCGGTTGACGAGGAACGAGCTACGAGCACTCCGGAATGGCGAAAAGGTCGACCTTCCTGATGCAGCAGCTGTCATCATGGCCGCCAAGGTGAACCCCCGCAATAAGGCTTTGGCACAGGCGGACGAGTCGGCCCCAAGTACGTCCCACGAGCCGGCTGTGAGCATAGAGACACAACGACCAAAACTGCCTGTGGCGACCATGGTCTATACTTCCCCTGATATTGGCCTTCCAAGGCGGCCGGTGCCTATCTGCAACAGTATTATTTTATTTCCTGAAGTTGACAAGCGGCAAGAACTGCTATCTCTACTCGGTAACATCCTCAAAATCGAACGCAACGCGAAGGGTCGTGCGGGCGATGCGCCCTCCTCGGGGAAACAGAGCGACGAGGGGGAGAAGGCATCTCACGCGTATCTTATCAACCTGGATCGGAGTGCTTCGAGGCGGGCGAGCACAGTGCCCCTTCTTATCGCATTATGGAGGATGCGTCTGTGGCATGGACAAGGATGGACGGTGGACGGAAGCGGGTCACTTCGGCCTCAGCAAAGTGACGAGAGTGCGCTGGGCGAAGATAAAAGCGGGAATGGGAGCAATGTAACCGACTGAGATGATGCGGATTGAGTGTTATTACAACCGTGTCTATGCCTCGACCGCCATGGCATCAACTGCCAGTGCAACACCCTTCGCAGGCCCGAGCACTTCCTTGCCCTCCCAGAAGCGTGGCAGCTCGTTGCCAGGCACGAATAAGCGCTCAACACCCTCTTTCGTGATCACGCACATACGGATCACACCTCCAGACGAGCCATCGCGGGACATGGCCAGAGAAAGCGCTTCGTCAGAGTCAGCAGCCAGTACTCGTGCAAAGGTTTGGCAACCCACTATTCCTTACAAACTCCACTGTCTGGTCTCGGTTCCACCCCTCCTGGTAGGTAGCATCACAGTATCCATATACGTAGGTCGAACCAGATCCTGCATATAATGTTCACACTTCAATGTAATAGTATACCAGCGCATACATACCTCCAATTGCCCATGGTTGCCTGAACAGCCCTCCGCCCAGGGGGATGTTGTACACACTTGGCCCGACCTCCTTGTCCCACCCAGCGACGATGATGCCGGCAGAGAGGTTGTCCTTGTTCTCGTAACACAGTTTTTGGAAGAGCTCAGCAGCGGCATGAACAGGTGGTGCGCTCCCATATTGCTGCCTGCAGAATAGATTCAGCAGGAGTCTGAAGCATGCGTGGAGTAATTGCATACATATACATCTGCAGGTAGTAATGGACGATGTCCGCCACAGCTTGGGTGTCTGCAGCAGAACCCGAGCGGCAGCAATATACCCGGTCATGCACATATGTCAATTTATCAGTAACACGGTTGGCCTGCAATGTGTATTAGCTGAATGCTTGGGTCACTGATTCGGTGACGCGTACAATGTAGCTGCCGGTCGTTGTGCGACTGTCCGCGCCAATGACCACACCGTCCGTGAACTGAACCGCCATGATGGAAGTCTTTGGACATTATCAGTATCCCTTCTTCGAAATATAATTCCTAGACTCACTCCGAGGTTGACCTCCCCCTTCTTCAATACTTGCATATCAACAGTGTTCATGGTGGGCAAGAGCAGAGAAGCGTACGAATGTGGCCGGAAGCAATCCAAGGGACGCGCACGCCCATATGTGAGCGTGTATGCGCGCGTTCATCCAAGCAACATCTGTGTCCACAGGCCACTTCCGCACTCACACGACTCGTTTAGTTCTCTCTTTTCTAGTCTCTTTTTTCGCTCTCTATGGCTCCGCCGCAGCTTGTCGCCAACTATGAGCGCTTGAAAGCAGCGTTTGGTAGCCCACATGCGGATCAGAAGTCTATTGGCCAGTTGCTGCTTCAGCTGAAGGTACGACCTCTGCATCCTATTTGCCATGTCAGCTGTTAATGCCGTCTCCAGATTGCTCTCACTGAAGCTCGTCTTCTCATTCCTGGATCAAATTCGAGCTTGGAAGATCTCGTGATCACTCGTGAGTTATATAGACGAAGGCGCTCGAAGCTGGCGTTGATTCCGGTGCAGGGGATGTACTAGAAATGGGCGCTTTCTGGAGTGTCCGCAATAAGGACATCCCCGCATTTGATCGCTACTTCTCGCAATTACAGACTTTCTACCTTGACTTCCGGTAGGCATGATCCATTCTCATCATCTCTGTCATAGCTCTGACTCTGGTCGCAGCAGCCAACTTCCTCCATCACCTCGCGAATATCCCCTGATTGGCCTTAACCTTATCCGTCTCCTTACTCAAAACCGCATTGGTGACTTCCACACCACGCTCGAAACCTTACCTCCGAACATTTTGGGCGAGAATCCGTTCATACAACATCCTGTACATCTAGAGAGATGGCTCATGGAGGGGAGCTACAATAAGGTGTGGCAGGAGCGGGAGGCGGCGCCGAGCGAGGAGTACAAGTTCTTTGTGGACAGCCTCATGGAGACGATACGGTGGGTTCAGTGATTCGCAACAGATGCTTCGGTATTGACGTCGTTACAGACGAGAGATTGCGAGCTGTGAGGAGAAGGCTTACGACAGCCTTCCCCTGTCAGATGCGATGAACCTCCTCTTCTTCACCAAGCCGTCCGATCTCATGATCTTTGCCCAAGAGGTAAGGCTACTATTTGATGTTTTTTGGTACATGCCTGACAGTGCTGCCCATAGCGAGGATGGAATGTCGACCCAACTACGCAAGCCATTCACTTTGCACGGAAAGCGGAGGAGACCATCGAGATACCTAAAGAGAAGATTATCATCAACTCTCTGGCCTACGCGAAGGAGCTAGAGCAGATAGTGTAGAGTACAAATACAACCATGTTGGTGCACACTTTCACTCCATCGGCGCCCAAATTCCGTCGGCCAATTTCGGAAGCGGGGTAAAGTAAATCCTGTCCCTGAACACGTGATTTCTACACGCCAAGGTCTCCAACGACGTCAGCTCAGCTCCGGCCGCGGCATCCGATCTTTGACCTTACTCTCTCTTCTGCGAAACGTATCTCCGGACTGTGCTGTCCGTCGGGCACATATATACCTTATTCATCACACTAGAATTGACTGATTTCCCTCCTTAATCCCCTCGTAACCAAAGCCTGATGGTCCCCCGACATCTCCGCTCCACTCTGTCGGTCGTCAGACCTGGTAGAGCGCGACCATCAACGTCAACAACAGCCTTACGTTCATCAAGACACCTACATACCACGCCATGTTCAGTTACACCTCGAAGGAAACAGTCTTACAAGTCCGTTGGACCCCGATCTCCTGAATTCGCTTCAACTTTGCCGCGACTGACATATAGATCAGTAAGGCGCAACTCGTCTGCTTCCAATCAAATAGGCATGCCCCATGACATTGCTGCAATTCTCTTTCCAATTGAACTTTGGATCAGATACACCTACATCTCGATACCACGAATTGGTTGAACGCGGACTCTTGAACAAGGATCACCATCAGCTTGAAATCGTAGCGAAGCTGGAGGCCCTGCACGATCGTCTCACCACATACAACCCGCCACTGCTCCCGGACGCTCCATCCTCCTCGTCATCATCACTGGTGCGCTTCTTTTAAGGCATTATAGGTCACTGCTAACAATTGCAACAGCTCGGGCGCTTCTTCTTTAGTAATCAACAGCCCCCAATTGCCACCATTGATCCTCAAGATGTTCCCCAAGGACTCTACCTCTACGGCGATGTCGGCACGGGCAAGTCGATGCTCATGGATCTGTTCTACGACACGCTGCCTCCTAATATCACACGAAAGCGGCGCATACACTTTCACGCGTTCATGATTGACGTGCATAAGCGGATACAGGCGGTCAAGAATAAGCTAGGGGCAGTGGCAGATCCCATTCCCCCTGTGGCAAGGGATCTGGCGAATGAGGCGATTGTGTTGTGCTTTGACGAGTTTCAGGTGCGAACACCCCCATGCTAAGAACTGAGGTGAAAGTTGACGCCCTCCAGGTGACCGATATTGCGGATGCTATGATCTTGCGACGGTTGATGGAGTCATTGCTCGATTTCGGTGTTGTCTTTGTCATGACTTCCAAGTGCGTCCATTTCCTGTGCACGCTTCGATTTCTCTCTAACATGCCATCAGTCGACATCCCGACGATCTGTACAAGAATGGAATACAACGAGAGAGCTTTGTTCCCTGTATAAATATTATCAAAGAGAGGCTAGACGTGACAGATCTCAATTCGGGAACCGGTACGCAGAACAGTTATTCCATCGCATCCCCCCCCCTGATGCAGACGCAGATTATCGGCGGATGCTCAAAGCCATGTCCAAAGTGTACTATTCACCGGTGAATGACGAGACACGGCGTGAAATGGAAAAACTATTCGATGCCATCTCAGAAGACGAGCCAGTCATATACGGCCGAAAACTGTCGGTATGGGGCAGAGATGTCTTAGTACCCGAGAGCACGGACAAAGTTGCACGATTCAGTTTCGCCGATCTTTGTGGTGGTCCACGCAGTGCCGTGGATTACTTGGAGATTACGAAGAACTTTCCGACGATATTTGTCACAGATATACCCAAAATGACCTTGAGCCAGAAGGATATGGTGTGTGCTCGACATTCTTAATCAGAACATGTGGCTGACGAGGAACTAGGCACGTCGTTTTATTACGTTCATCGATGGTTTGTCTAGTTCGCCTTGACCCGTGCATGAAAATGACCAATTTTGGATTGCAGCCTGTTACGAAAGCAAAACCAAACTTTTCGCTTCCTCAGAAGTCCCCATCTTCAAGGTGTTCTCCGAGGAGGGCCAATCAGACAGGAAAGAAATCAGCGACCACATGCGACACATGATGGATAATCTTGTACGTCACAGTATGCTTTGGATCAGTGCAAACGTTTACAATTGGCTTGCAGGGGCTCGACGCGTCCATGATGGGAACCACTGCGCTGTTCACGGGTGATGAGGAGCTCTTCGCGTTCGCACGAGCTGTATCACGACTGACACAGATGGGTACTAGAGCATGGGCCGAGACGGCCGGGCAGCCAGACTAGCCATAGAATTCACATCAATTGGATGGATCATGTTGTAGACTACTGTTCTTGCTGGATACCCAACACGTTACAGACCCAACATTTATTTTCTTCCAGACTGGAACCCTTCTTCACGCGTCACGCTCCAACCTGTGATTAGACGCGTGCCTTCGGAAGCATCCCTTGGAAGGTATCTGGCCTCTCCTCACTGACCGCCGTCTGTTGAGCGCAGTGTTATCAAGCTGAGGCTACAGTACTGCGTACTTCCAGTCGACCTTCTCACCTTACCTCCTGTGTCTGGACACCAGCTTGCTCTCGGGTAGTTCTGAATCTCCAACTGAGCCAGGCTCAACATGGGTGCGGTCACAAACAAGACATTGTCAAGCGCTCGCAACTGAGTCCTGTATGCAGAGCCCGCGGTCGCAAAAGGCCTGAATGACAAGCTTTACGAGAAGAGAAAGGGAGCGGCTCTTGAGCTGGAGAAGTGCGTCGTCTCCCTCTCCATCTCATTCAGGACGTTGATCGTTCTTCTAGGGCCGTTCGCGATGCCCAATCACACGGTGACATGCTCAAGATCCAACAGATAGTGGGTCAACTCTGCGATCTTTTCGCCTCCTCCAGCAACCCTCTTCACTCAAGAAACGGTGGTCTCATTGGTCTTGCGGCAACATCTATCGCTTTGGGCGTTGACGTGGCTCAGTATCTCGAGACCATTGTGCCGCCCGTTCTAGCATGTTTCTCGGATCCGGAAAGTCGGATCCGGTACTTTGCGTGTGAGAGCATGTACAACATAGCGAAGGTGTCAAAGGGAGAAATATTGATATTTTTCAACGAAATATTCGATGCTCTTAGCAAGGTGCGTTCCCCTGAGATTGTACGGATCTCGACTAAGATCGGTGTAGCTCGCTGCCGACTCAGAGACATCTGTGCGAAATGGGGCTGAACTTCTCGATCGCTTACTCAAAGACATCGTCGCCGAGTCCGGTCCTACCTACGTACCTCATTTCCCCGAAACGGAGAAGATTCGACGAGAAAAGCAGTCGGATGGAATCACAGGTTTAGGCATAGCTTTAGTGTCGAAAGAAGGCTTCGAGCCAGCAGGTCAGCCACACAATCAGCACGCATTCTCGCTGGCGCGATTCATTCCGCTACTATCCGAGCGAATATATGTGCTCAGTCCGCTCACGAGGAGCTATCTGGTTTCGTGGATTACGGTCTTGGATTCGGTACCTGATCTGGAGTTGGTGTCATATTTGCCAGAATTCCTGGATGGGTTATTGTATGGAATTTTCTCTACTATGTTATATAGGTATGCTCATGCTTCACCAGAAAATACCTGTCGGACCCCACAGAAGACGTCAGAATTGCGACGGAGAACGTGCTCGCTGATTTCCTGAAGGAGATCCGGCAGATCGCCCAAGTACAAGCACAGCGAGAGGGGGTGCGATTGAGAAAGCTGGAGAAAGCAAAGGCTAGGAGGGCGGAAGGGGATCTTGAACCAAAAACCCCACCGCAGCGGACTAATGGCGAGTCTGGGGTGTATGGATATGACGAAGAAGAGGAGCTAGTGGACGATCAGGGGAGAGGTAACGGAGGTACGCACAGTTTGCTCCAATTAACCAAAACAAACCGATCACCAGTATACAGCTTGGATACCTGGTCAGAATGTCGCCGTTGATCATGCCGCCATCGTAGAAATCCTTATCGCGCAGCTAGATACGGATCGTGCGTCTTTCACTTGGCAGACGACGGGAGGAGATCCTCACGAATTTCCGTGCAGATGACGAAATCCAGCAAAGCACTGCTTTACGATGGCTCACCGAATTCCTTTCTTTCGCGAAAGAAGTCCTCGTCCCGTTCACTCCTCGCCTTATACTCGCCGTCCTACCCAATCTTGCGCATCATGTGGCCACAATACAAGCTGCAGCGCAAATGATGAATCAGCAGCTCTTCCAGGTCATTCAAGCTCTTCCCGCGCCTGTCACTACGCCGGATGTGGGCACCCCTCAGCCACCACAAGTTACACTCCCTCCCCCACCTCCCCCTCCGACAACTGCTTTGCCCTCTCGCGCACAGTCAGTAGCATCAATGAATCGCACGGCGCCCGCTTCTCCCACTTTTGACGGAGTAGCCTTTCCTTCACGAGCCAGTCGGGATTCCAATCGTGATAGCGCGGGTATCGATGCTTCTGCAACCCCCGTTCCGGCTAGGCGACAGCCTGCGCCCTCCCCCGTCCCGTCAACTTCTACGGCCCCTGAGCCATCAGCTGCTGCAGATGGGTCTACACCGAGCAAAGCGGTTGTGAACACTTCTGCCCCTCTGACAGAGTCGCCACCAAATCTAGACCAGTCTATCGAATCACCCGATCCCCTTGACTATCAACTTACAGTCAATTCCCTCACAGTCCAATTCATGAGCGAGCATGAGGAGACGCGAGTAGCAGCTCTGAAATGGCTCCTAATGCTGCATCTGAAGGCACCGAATAAGGTAACGTCTGGACCGATTTAGCCCATTGAATAGGACTGATGTTCGCCAGATTTTGGCAATGGATGATGGGACATTCCCTGCGTTGCTGAAAACACTGTCGGATCCTTCAGAAGAAGTCATCAAACACGATCTGCGACTGTTAGCGCAGATATCTTCGAGCTCAGAAGATTCATACTTCAAGTTATTTATGGTAAATCTCTTGGAGCTTTTCAGCACGGACAGGCGGTTGCTGGAGACTCGCGGTAGTCTGATCATCCGCCAGTTGTGCCTCAGCCTCAACAGCGAGCGAATATACCGCACATTTGCCGAGATATTGGAACGAGACGAAGATTTAGATTTTGCCAGTACAATGGTTCAGAAGTTGAATATCATCCTTATCACATCGCCAGAACTGCAAGAGTTCCGACGGCGACTGAAGAACCTGGAGTCTAAGGTGGGTGTTTGTCGTTGTGCTGGTGGCATAACATTCTTACCATGTATGAAGGACGGCCAAATGTTGTTCTCCATATTGTATAAATCTTGGTGTCATAATGCGGTCGCGGTGTTCTCTCTCTGTCTGCTAGCCCAGGCCTACGAACATGCATCCAATCTCCTTCAGATTTTGTGAGTTCGCATAATTGTGGCTATTTTCCTTGTTCATGAGCACACAGTGCGGAGTTGGAGATTACCGTGCAATTCCTTGTACAGGTTGACAAGCTCGTGCAGCTCATCGAATCACCCGTCTTCACTTGTGAGTGTACTTCAGGTGTGAGACTTGCCAACGACTGACGATCAGGTAGCTTTGCGTCTACAGTTGTTAGAGCCTGATCGCTATCCTTACCTTTTCAAGTGTCTCTATGGCTTACTCATGCTTCTCCCACAAAGTACTGCATTCATCTCCCTCCGAAATCGCTTGAACGCCGTAAGCTCTCTCGGGTTTCTACATATCGCCCCGAAAACGTGAGTATGCATCTCATGCCCCTACTCCCCGCTTAAGTTGGCACAGGAGCAATGTTGCCGCTGCTCGTTCTAAACTGTCTCGAGACGAGGTCAAATGGCAAGAACTTTTATCACACTTCCGGGTGGTACAAATGAAGCACGAGAAGTATCGGCGACAAGCTGCTGGGGGTGACGTCAGTCCGTTAGCCGGTCTCGGCCTCAACTCGAATGGCGTCCCGTCGGCCGCAAGCAGAGTCCAAGGGCGAAGAGTTACTGCGGGATCGAAAGACGCCCCTCCTGTGGTTCGAGAGAATGCTGGGGGCCGACTGAGTAGCGTTTTATCCCCTCTGAACCCCAGAGCACGAGGTTCTTCTGGCGGGCAGACGTTGGCGCCGTTAATGTCGGCCTTTTCAGGTTCGCCAAGAGCAGTGAGCCCAACGGCTGCAGCGGCGACCAAACGTCGTGGGACATTAGGAGGTCTTCGCAAGTAGATGATTGTATCTGTATTATTTAGGCAAATGTATTTCATATCTGATCCCGTTTTTGTTTTTTTACTGATACTGATATCATGGCTGAAGTTCCTACAGACATGTGTGTATTAGCCTAGTAGATGGGGCGGGAGCACGGTGGTTGTGCAGTGGATTGCAGATCCAACGGTCCCGTGTTCAAATCACGGTCGCCCCTTCGTATTAAATTCTTTTGGCCCCATCGCCATTAAGATCCTGAATACCAGGGCACTCCACCATCTCTGCTGTGTGGGAATCTCTCCTTGCAAAGATGAAAGTACCAGAGATGGGATTGGGATAGTTACAGGAAAACAATATTAAATAAACTAATTCTTTCTATCGGGTGCGGGTTAACGAAAGGATCGACGCCGGGCCAACGATACTGATAATTAGTCCGTCGCGTCCACAAGGCCTCGACAATATTCCTGGGGCACTCGATGCATGTCTCGCACAAACCGGCTCGCGGTCCTTGCACGGCTCTGTGGGCTGTTCCGCATATACTTGCGTGTCGCCTCGATGCCGAGGCTCGGTGATGTTGGGTTACTCTGGTCTGTGGCTACCTCCATGATTTCGCGGTTCGCTTGGGGCGCTCGATCTATGTAGATTGGTACAGACGCGCTGCAGTATCGCTGCTGCTTGCGGATGTCCCCCATCCACCAATCGGCTAGCTGTTAAAGATACGCGAATGCTGCAAGTCATGTCTGGCAGCAAGTATCTCCCCTAGCGGCCATGTGCTCGCTGGTAGCGCGTCACCATCATCCGCGGTATCTTTCATTTCTTCCCCCAGGCCAGTGTGAAGGTGGGCGCAACGCTTCACCTGTTCGTCAACCAGGGGTCGGACGGAGTGGAGGAGAAGTTGTTGAGAGGCGTACGGGCCGATGGCATTGAGTCGTACAGAGGCAGAGAGCAGGGCTCGTGCGTGTAGGAAGAGGTGTAGCCAGATACTGCGTTCTGAACACGACGTTAGGACGATACATGCAAGAAGAAATGGGCCGTATCTTACCAGCTGGGAGCCCGAGAGTTGCAGTGAGGACTGCCCAACAGATGGGCAAATGGCCGTTCAGTTTCCCATGACGGATCCGCAGTTTCATCTCCACGACAAAGTTGTCCATATTTACCACACTGTTGGAGTTCGCATCATTTGCTAAACCATAAGGATTGGTGAAGCCTTTCGTATACAGTGTGAGGAGTGCAATGCCTTGGGCGGTCGATGCGCGGCGGGCAACATGATTGAGTGTCATGGCTTCATACAATGAATCGAGCTCCCCAAGCTTTGCGAGGGTGTCTTCCAACCGTACCGCCCGCTCGCCGTCGACAAATCTTACGACAACTTCATGTGCATCTCTCACAAATCCACTTGCACTCCTTGCATAGCTCTCCAGACTGTTTTGCACAAATTCGAGAGTTGCCTCTATCCCTTGTTTAACTGCTGTTCCGCCTGCAGTGCCCGAGGAAGGAGAACCAAAGCCGTGCTTGAAGTAGCTTTCAAGCCCAGATGAGGCCACAAATGAACCAGTGGGAAGGTTGCTGTCAGCTAAGAGGATGAGAATATAGGCTTCGGTGTCGGCAAGAGATGTAGATGAGCTGTTGTTCATGATTTAATTCATAGCTTTTAGTGTTGACTTGTTCGTAGATGATGAACACTAAGATTAGCACAGCTCAATGCTTCTTCGGAACCAGAATTTGGATACCACGACACAGTCCACGTCGGCCCTGAGCGTTCTCCAACCCATCTCACACACAATGCGTACCTCCCTGTCCATCCTGCTGGTAGCAGCAGCATCATTAACATCGGCATTGGAGCTCTGGCCAACAAACCAGAGAATAGCACCCTCATTCATCAATACCGATGTTGTGCGCACAATAGAGCTTGCCTCTCAGGTATACGTCAAGGCGTCGTACGCGATACAGTCGCTGTCGGACAAAGAGAATGACGTATTTTATCTAACATGGGGCGAGGAAGAGGAGCAGATGACGAGCTGGATGCAAGTCAAAGTGAAGGGCTTGACGGGTTCGTTGGAGGTGGAGCCTTTAGGGCAGAATGCGGAGAGGTCGGTCATGTCCAGTTTGACCCTGGCTGTGACTGACAGTGAGCATATAGCTTAGCATATGTCTACGCGATCAATCTCGCCAAGCCGCTTCCCAAGGGGGAATATCTCACTATACTTGTCGACACCATCCAGTTACATGCGAGCTATCCCAAGCCGGCATATGCATCGCAGACAGACAGTCATTTCCGGGTGTATGAGGCTGATGGACTCCTGCTCTCGCCATACGAGACGACCTCTCAACGACTACGGTTTAAGTATGTATCTGACATTGTCAAGGTGTATGATATCTAATAATTCCAGGGCTCCGACTCCCAGCATTCGTTCCTACCACATCTCCCACACCCTCGAGGACCTCGCAAAAGAGGAGCCAGTTGTCAAGTCCGGCGCTACGGTCACTTTCGGACCGTTCAAGTCTCAACCTCCAACAGCAACAAAAGGCTTCAACAGAACACCCTATCGCGTTTCAGTGGACTTCGAGATGAACATCCCTTCCTTGACAGTGGTCTCGCTGAACCGGTCAGTAGAGGTCAGCCACTGGGGGGCGAACATGAATACCCAGGACGACTACATGTTGAGGAATGACGCGCCTGAGTAGGTCCTATCTTTCACCAATATTATTGAGCTAATAAGCTGCCCAGGCTGAAAGGTCAGTTCTCCCGTTTGGACTTCCAGATGGCCCAACATGCACGACGCATGTCACCCGTGATCATCTCCGCCGTGACCCTTCAACTCCCCTCTGGCGCCCAAAACCCCTACTACTTCGATCTCGTGGGCAATGTCTCCACCTCCGCCTTCCGTCCCGCTGCCAAGCCCAGCTCAGAGCGTGCCGCTCGCCTCGGGCCACAGAACGCTCAGCTCGACCTCAAGCCGCGCTACCCTCTCATGGGCGGTTGGAATTACACCTTCACGGTGGGGTGGGACGCGCCACTAGGGGACTCAGCGCATTGGGACGAGAAAAATGGAAGGTGGATCCTCGCCGTGCCTTTCATGACCCCTCTGCCTTCAACCCCTGTGGATAAAGCAGAGGTGCGCGTGATCTTACCCGAGGGAGCAACAGACATCACTGTGCACCCGCCATTCGATGTATCCTTGATGGAGCGCAGCACGCATATAACATACTTGGACACGATCGGCAGGCCGGCGTTCACTTTCCATGCGGAGAACCTCACGGAGGTACATGATGGCCTTATCTACGTGCGTACTTTTTTTTACCTGACTGTTTCTCAAGTGCTAACAGATTGGGGCAGATAACGTACAAGGTCCCTCTGGCTGCACACCTCCAAAAACCGCTCGCAGTGGGCATTGCGAGTCTCATTGTCTTCAGCGTAATGTGGACACTGAAGCGGGTGGATATGACGATCCACAAATAGAGTAGAATGCAAGTGGTCAGCGTGTGGAATGCATATAGTCGTATGCTGGACTAGGGGTAATGCAATCGTAATGTTTGGGTATCGGAATACAAATGGCCGGCTGGTGCTTTGCTCCGCAGATGGGCAAAGCAAGCTCCGGCAGAGTACAGTATGCAAGTGGGAGCGCATCTAAAACCTTTCCTCTCTCACACTCCTTCCTCATCACAATATCATGCTACCATCCGGTCTATCCAAGCAGTAGCTCGTAAACGATCACCACCACGTTCGCAGCAATGAGCGGTACTGTCACAGAATCAGTGTCCTGAATCCATACATAGTGTTCGAAATCACGCACATCGTAACAGCGTCCGCACAGCACCAATCAGGTTCACCAGCTGATCTCGCACGGACGGACCAGAGGGCCCACCTCCATATGATTGGTCGAAGGATGGGTTGTAAGTGGAAGGATTGGATGTTTGGGTTGATAGTCCAACTAAAAAATCAGGTCAAAGATATGCGCCTACTAGACGAAGAAAGCGGGACGCACTACGGGCTAGGAAGCGTTCTTCATTCAGCACCGCAATCGCGTTGACTAGGAGGAGAGTGACATAGAGGATCGTGCCTAGTGAGAAGGCCATCCCGTCCTTTTTGGTGGTTAATCTTAGATGTTCAGGAGTCTTTTTGAACGTCTGAAGCTCAGCGGTCGCATGGTCGTGTGCGTGCAGAAGGTCAATTAGTGTAAGAACAGTTCGGTGAGGGAGAGATATCAGCACTGCCACTAAGCCCTTACACTTCAGGGGAGGTAATTCCTCCGATGACCCCTTTCGGGCGCATTTTGCCTACCATGACCCCTCGGGTGCAAATCCCTGAAATGACCCCAAGGCCTGCCCTAAGCAACCACGGACCTTCCAATTAAGGAAGGTGGTGGTAGTTCAAGATGCGCTAGGGTCCGGTCTCTTCATGTCGGTTTATAAAGCATATTCCGACAATTAATTCGCAAGCTTTGTCTTGTTTTTTCATTAGTTATGTTACAGTATATAAATTAATTCTGCATGGATGCCTCGTATAATTTTCGCCATCGTAAACATAGGTGAGGAAACACCGCACTTTTACGGCAAGGCAATGAATTTTGCAGCAGTTCTTGAAAATAATAGATACCATACACAATGCCAACCAGCTTGTCTTTTGAAAAAGGTCTGTTCTGATAGCAAAACATTCACAAAACGCATCGTTGGATTCACCGGAGACACGTGCTTCTATTGCCACAGCCACTACTTTCCTTATTTGGTTACTTAGGGGCGGCATTTGGGTTCATTTCAGGGATTTGCGCCCGAGGGGTCATGGTAGGCAAAATGCGCCCGAAAGGGGAATTACGAGTAATTTCCTCCGATAGCACTTTTTCGGAGGCAGAGTCCCTAGAATGGACTGCCAGGCCCTATTTCCTCAAATCGGCCATGTGCCTGCCCTAAGCAACACCCTACGGTCCAATTAAGGAAGATGGTGGTAAGAGATCAACCCGTGTGCGAGGGTCCGGTCTGTCATTTCGTTCTAGTTCACCCTACCGGAACTTTTCAAGGTGTTTTTCTTTTCATACAGTATGCCTTATGTGCCGCTTCTCATATGGGAAATGACCTCGATGATACTGTAAACCCGCCGCCGCAAAAACATTACATTGGCCGTCGCACTGTAAAGCGGAAAGAATAGTATATATAATAGCCATGCATATAGCTACAGTATATAGAGAAAAGTAATATAAATGAGTTATAAAAGAAAAACACCTTGAAAAGTTCCGGTAGTGTGAACAAGAACGAAATGACAGACCGGACCCTCGCACACGGGTTGATCTCTTACCACCACCTCTCTTAATTGGACTGTAGGGTGTTGCTTAGGGCAGGCACATGGCCGATTTGAGGAAATAGGGCCCGGCAGTCCATTCTAGGGACTCTGCCTCCGAAAAAGTGCTATCGGAGGAAGTTACTCGAGGAATTACCTCCACTTCAGCGCGAGGACGACCACGTCGACCACGTCAACGGCATAGACGCGCATACATCTACCTTTGCACATCGTTGCTTTCTTTTGCAGCCGTCGCTGTTCGTCGTTGGTGAGTGAATAAGTGTTGTTTAATATGTTATTGCGCTCATATCGAGGACAGCGACGCGCCCTTGTCGAGCCTCGACCTCGTACACACGATCATTTCTTCCCCGATACATCCCGCACCAGCCCCCACTCGTCAGACAGTATGTCTCCTCCCTTACGCTCGACGGAAGAAACTACCTCTAACTACTTTCAGTGCCTCTGATTGGACCTCGGGGCTAACCAGCTGGCTGCAAAATCGGCTCGCGATTCGCGAAGACGCGAACCGGAAGATGGAAGAAATTGAGCGAAAGCGAGCAAGGGAACGCGCGGCCGAGCAGGGAGAAGGGAGCATATTCGATACTGAAGCGCAGGAGCAGCTAAAGAGGGAACATGAGGAGGAGGCTGAAATACTAGAGTTGGAGGAAGTACCGAGCCAGCAGTGGGTGGGGCAGGCAAAGCGGGTTGACAACCGGCCGAAACAGGGCAAGATGATTACCGTTGGACAAGAGACACATGTTGCGAAGAGGCAGAAAATCCGAGAGGTACGTTGAATTCGAGATTCGTATTAAATCGAGAGGTTGGCTAATGGCCGAGGCCTGATAGCAAACGGGCAAAACAGCCATGTTCAAGATCTCGCACCGCAAATTGAACAAGCTCGCCCATCAGATCGGTGGCAAGCCGATCGACCAAGCCATCCTACAGATGCAGTTCAGCGAAAAACGAGCTTCGACAAGAATCAAGAGCATGCTTGTGCTCGCCCGCGATCAAGGAGGGAGGCGTGGTATGCTCAGGGAGAGACTTGTCGTCGCCGAAGCCTGGGTGAACAAGGGCCCCAAGCTTCGGAGGTTGGATATCAAAGGACGCGGGAGACTGGGCATTAAACATCATCCGAGTGCGAGGATGCATATCGTGTTGAAGGAGGGGAAGACGTGGCAGGAGAAGAAAGATGACAAGTTTAAAAAGTTAGTCAAGGCTGTGAGGAGCGCCGGGCTGTATAGGGAAGACGTACCGATTAGGAACCACGGGCCGAGGTATACGTGGTAGGAATGGAATACCTTTTGTGCTTCTCAGGGGCCACTGCAGTTGATGGCAACTTAGATATGGCTGGCTCTCTGTTTGTGCTCGGGAACAGATGCATATGGCAGAATTGGGTACTTGGTTTGAGTCCCTGCACCCCGTTTTATGAAAAATCGGCATATACAGTGTTTAATTCTCATATCGAATCCTAATGATACATTGCCAGCTCTCGCATCACAACCCATCGGATCCCAGAATAACTCAGATCACCGCCCTCGCTTGCCCCTTGACAGCCTTTGACCCTCCAGTCTCCCTGAGCACACCCTTTCCATACATCTCCCAATTATCCGTCTGCCTGCCGACTTCCTGCTGTACCTTACCAACAACACGATCGAGTAATTTGGGTTTGCCCTGTGGTAGGCCAGGCTGGCCATGGAGGGATACTCCACCTGGAGACGCGAACAAGTTAGTTTCCGATGGGAGGAGGATATGGAAAGCATAAAGCGGACCTTCAGGAACATGACGGATATTCTCCGACAGAGGGAGGTCGTTCATCGTCGTCGGTTGCTGCGCCCCAGTAGTGGGATACCCATGAGGGGCCGTGTACACGCCTTCCCTACTCGGGTCGGGGACGTAATCTCCTGGTTGGTATTGTATACCTTCAGCTCCCTGGGGAACGACTGCGTCCTGCATTCCCTGGAAGTTGTCCATCTGTGCCTTCATATTCGCCTCGTTCTCGTCTGCATTCCCCTGAAGCCCGGCCGCTTGTGGGACCATGTCGTCTCCAGTCTCAGTGAACCTCGACCCGGCCACGCCGATGCCAGCCGTGCGGCCAATATGCTTTTCTTCCTCTCCCGGAGTCTCCTCCGTCCAGTATTCCGTGCCATTTCCCTGCCCCGCCCCCTCCGAAGCAGTATCAAAATCGTCATCGCGCCTCGCTTCGTTTTCGTTCATCCCCTTAATCTCCGGGGGCGCCCCGCCATCCGCACCTCTGAGGCCGCCACTGGCGCCAGAAGCGGCGGGGGAAGGGACGGATGGAGATTCATGCTGCGATCCTTCCTTTGTTGACGTTCCGCCCGCAGTTCCAGAGAAAGTGGGGAAAGGGCCTACAGGGGCATCGGTCTGCCATCCTTCTTCTCTAGCCATCCCCCCCGCTCCTGCGCCCGGAAATACATCGGGCTGCGTCTGAGGATGCTGCCCTTTAAAAGAGCCGGTATCGGCCCTATCCGAACCAGACGCGAGCCACACAGCAGTCGGTCGTTTCTCCGCCGCAGTCCGGTCCTCGAGTGCAGCACCAGTAGTATCCCTCCCTGGGAGGTTATCGGCTGTCAGCTGTACTTGAGCTGCTGAGGTAGGATACTCCCTCCCCGGGAGATTTTCCGCCGTCAGCTGGGCCGGGGCTGCAGAAGTAGGTTGCTGTGCTGGGCTATAGGTGTTCGCCCCAGCATCTGAGGAGCTGGGGGGTGTGAAGCTCGCCGGCCCAGAGCCCGGAGTGGCGGTAACGGACCAGGCCTCGCCTACACCGGAGTTGGTACGATCAGCCATACCGGAGGGAGACCGAGGTCCGAATTGGTCTTGGGAGCGATGGCCGTTATGGGGGACAGCAGTGGTCATGGTCATTATTAAGTTTCGTTAGTTAGGCCGCAGTGTTGGTCGTCTTGAAGGTTGGTCGTTCGCTGAGTGATTTAAGGAGCCCCCAGAAGTAAGAAAACAGCCTTATATCCTGTTCGCCATCCAACTGCAGAACGCCAGCTCGGAGACATGTACATCACCCCTCGCCAAGGTGTAGGGGAATGACCTCGTTGTCCACTCGTGTGACCTCATATTGCGTGTACGCCACTCAGTTCCAGTTCGCTCTATCCCTTAGACAGTAGAAAGGAGAGAAGCAGTATTTAGGGCGACTCCAACGCAAGAGCATGCTCCACAGCAAGTGGAGACCAACCGAGACTTCAGTTCTGATATCACGTGATTATGTCAAGCGTTCTAGTCGGTCATCCCGTCGGGAATATGATGTACACCTCCGGATGCTGTGAGTTTATGCGCTGAGCGTAGCATGATGTTGATGTTGAAGAAATATGCTGCGGAGATCAGTGAGAACGCTGACAACTGGAGCATCGCAATGGCTGACAACGGCCAAAGTCTATGGCAAATGCTGACACATCACGCTGACACACCCAGCTCAGGCCCGGCCGAATGACGGCTTTGCCCGGTCACGCACCGGCAATAAATATCCGCCCCGACTTTGGCCAGCTTACTCCCCATCATCTACAACGTCCACTTTCCCCCCTCCGCCGTTGTACTCCGCTCGTTGAGCGTTTCGAAATTTAAGCCGTTCATACCGTTGGGCCGTGCTGTCACTGCCCGCGGTTTGCTTCGGCGACAATCTACCCCGGAAGAGACATAGAAGGAACTGGAGTGGTATGGCTCTTCTCCCCGCAATACAATTCATGGAATGTTGACACGGACGTTTTACAGGCTGTCCCTCCGGATAGATCTAAGTTCTATCTATTCAAGGCATAACTGGAAATACAAAACAAGAACACTGTCAACAGGCAACAAATACAATCATGCTCCATCAACCCGTCTCCCCACTGACAACCCACCTCCCCCTCCACCCCTCGCACCCGCATACCGCTCCGGCATCAGAGGAGCTCTCTGATTTCCTTCTCTCTCTCTCTTCTTCCCCTATTGGACCGCACCAGGGCCCAGGCGCAGCATTCGACAATCTGTTGCTCGCTGCTGCCACGGCTCAGGCGCCGGGTATGACGAGGCACCACCTACAGCATTCATCCTGGCTCGGTAATGGAGGAAAGAGCTTCCAAATGCCGAGGAGCGAGCGTCTTAGGATGGCAGCGAGAGTCGGGACGGGCGCAGTCACCCCTCCGAGCGACCAGGAAGGAGAGAAAGAAGAACCAGACAAGCAGGAGGAAGAAGTGCAGGAGAAAGAGGAAAAGGACGAGAAAGTGGGTGAGGATGCCGCTCACGGTCCGCTGTCGGGCCTGCGTGCTCGTACCCCACCCACTCCTCCCCAGGCTCCAGAGGCGAAGCGTGCTCGTGCTGCCACGGGCGTGCGCGCTCCGGAGCTGAGGGAGGCCCTCGAAGCTCTTCCTGCTGCCACCTCTGCGTCCACGCCTCCCCGAATCACTAGTCTGCGGAACGCTGTCGCGGAAAAGGCACCAGCTGCGGCCGCAAGTACGGGCCTGAGCGTCCAAACTGAGGAAGAAGTTCAAGTCAAGTGTATGGCCCGTACGCGCATCCCGACCGCCTACGGTCCCGTCTTCCTGCACGTCTATCACAATAACCAGGACGGAAAAGAACATCTTGCAATCGTGTCCGACCCTATGCAGCTCGAGTCTTCCGCAGATGGAGTTGAGGACTACGTCCCCATCCGCAGCCACACTCTGGATGTGCAGTGGAGAGAGGGAGAAACAGCACGTGAGCGCATCACCCGAGGTGCCTACGTATCCCGGCTATCTGGCTCATCTGCGGAACGCGCACCGGTGCCCACACAACCGAGGAAACTGGACGACGCACCGCTGGTCAGGATCCATAGCGAGTGCTTCACGGGCGAGACGATCGGTTCGCTCCGATGCGACTGCGGAGAGCAGCTCGATTCTGCGCTTTCCCTGATCGCCCATGCGCCTGGTAGGAGAGGGGTTGTCCTCTACCTCCGACAGGAAGGCCGCGGGATCGGTCTTCTGGAGAAAGTGCGCGCATACAACTTGCAAGACCTCGGATTAGATACGGTACAGGCCAACCTGGCTCTCGGGCGAGGGGAAGATGAACGCACCTATGGCGTTGCAGCCGCCATGCTGCGCGATCTGGGCGTAGCGGGAGAGGGCATCCGCTTGCTCACCAACAACCCGAACAAAGTGGACGCTATGCAGCAGGAAGGCATTTCCGTTCAAGAGAGGGTGCCAATGGTGCCCCGGGACTGGCAGGCGAGGGACGCACTTTCGCATCCCCAGCCTCACTCCCGCTCTCACCCTCATGCAGGGGATCTACTCCCCACGGCGCCTCACACGCCCAACCCCGATTCCCCTATCAACGCCTGGGACACACGCACAAAGGGCGCCACAATCGTTGGTGGAGGAGTGGTCCGGAGCGAGGAACTGGAAAAGTACCTCAGGACGAAGGTGATGCGCATGGGGCACTTGCTTGACTTGCCCACGGTGCCTTCCGCTGCTCGAGAGAATGGCGCGTGATGTTGAACTGTAAACTTATAAGGTGTAGGAAGATGATGGAAGTGAATTTCACTCATTCTTGTGACTCGTGACCCTGATTGAAAGCGCTAGTGGACTTTGATGCACATCGGGTGTGTAAGATAACCGGTAACATGCCGAGAGGCGTTAGAGGGGCGTCTGAACTGTGGTTGCTAAGGCCAGCTGCCTCGCCTGTCACGAAAGCGGGTAGGCCGAGTACTCAATGTCACACTATTCGCTTCTGCAACTGGACTAGTGTACCGAAAAGAGATTCACACAGATAACGGAGCGAAGAAAGACGCTTACCGGGTCCTCGTGCATGAACAATGGCCTGGATGGTGATGCTGATAAGCGCCCATCTTTTGACAAGCCTTGGAGATAGACGGTTGTTGTCAATCGATGGCTTGAACGGGAAGGAGGTTTATGGAGTGGTATTGAGCTTCGCACACGTTCGCCGGTTAGGCGCGTTCAGTTAGGAAGGTGTTGACCTGGTTTGATAGTTCTGTCAAGAGCTGACGGGATTGTCACGGTACTTACTGAGCCTATCACATTTTCGGAGGACTGATGGCTGGATGTTTCGCAATGTTGCAGAGACGCTGCGAGTGTGCCAACGCGGTTCATGTGATTTATTTGGTGAGTTCGTGCTCCCAACGCAGGCAATAAACCTGTAGGCTCTGATGAACTCCGCCTCCCATCACTCGACTTTCCCAAGGCATTTTGCCCGTTTGCGTCTCACCCACGATTGTTTTCAATGCTCACTCTAAAATTGTCTTAGCCAACAATGCGCTGGCAGCGTATACTCGAAACCTGCGTGTGACAAAGGATAACGATCTGATTCGCATCTCTACTCACACCGCTCTAATGCCGAGATGGTGTATAGATACGGTCATCGATCACCGGGATTCGCTCAGGAAAGGAAGCGGCTCAGAACGTGCCGTCTCGGTCATCCTATTGATTTGTACCTGGGGCAGTATTGAGTTGTTGAAAGTTGTCGCAGAATTCCCGACGCCAACCGAGTATGAGAGATGCTCCCTGACAATCAACCAAGCGATGGAGTTATTGGTACATCGCAGACGGGCCGAATATCCTTAGATTACATGGCGGGCGTTGCTTCAAAATAGGATGCTCTTCTCTCGAGGAATGCATTACAGGGATACGCAAAAGGTTTGCACTGGGGTGGCACTCGAAGTTGGGGCTGTTTGTCGTCACAAAGAGAAGAGGCTTGACAGCGCTAGTGAGACCGGGTAACGAGGCCGACCAGAAAAGCACATGCCCAGTTGCCTAACAGTGTAACCACTGGGGTGCCTCGCAGAACTGAGCAGAATATAGACCGGGGCCGCCGGCAGGCAGGAAGAAGCGAAGCTTGTCTTCCAAGAGAGCCACGCTTCGAATCACGCTGCCACAAAGAGATGTCAAAGAAGCACGAGCGGCGCTAGTCCCTGGCCCGAGCTCAGTGTTTTGCTTGTCCGGGAGCATTCGGAGATGTCGATTGTTGTTTATCTGCGCTTCCGATCTGGGATCGATCTGATCAGCGCCAACATCGCTTTCCCTCCCACCAATAACGTTAGTTTTCCTTGAGCATATACTCTTAGCAACCTGCCACTGCGGCGCAAATATTTGCAACTGAACCAACGCCTGCCGAGAGAAGGAATGATCGAGCTGCCTTTCAGTGGAGGCCGTTGGAGACTAAAGAAATTAAACCTACCCTGAATATTTGGTCGTGAGGCTACGGAGTAATTTCCTCCGGTACTCCAGCAGACATCCTACAATACCCCTCCGGACCCTATTCCCTAGAATACTCCAAAAGCCGGCCCTAAGCAACCCTAATAAGGAAGATAGACATAAAGGAAAGAGTTGCACACAAGGGTCCAGTCACATCGTCCGGTCTGAAATCATATTATTGTGCATTTATAAGCCCTTACTTATTCAGTGGATCCCTAACATTACAGCTTACGGTATACTCCGGTTCTGTTCACACAGATTGAACCAGACATTAATGTGAATTCTCGTATGGGCCGCACCAAAATGGGCTGCTGCTCCATGACAAGAAAGGAGTAATACTGGTAGATAAGGATTTAATAAACAATTATTGTATATAAAGCATTGTAGAAAAATGTCCGTGTGCGGCGTGATTCAAAATGCGGCAGCACTGACCGGACCCTGTGTGCAACTCTTTCCGTGATGTCTACCTTCCTTATTAGGGTTGTTTAGGGCCGGCTCTTGGAGTATTCTAGGGAATAGGGTCCGGAGGGGTATTGTAGGATGTCTGCTGGAGTACCGGAGGAAATTACTCTGAGGAGGCTACGCGTACGCGTCAGCTCCCGCTCCCCTCCGCCGACGGCAACTTGACACTCTTCGCGCCATTGTCACCTACAGACTTTGATGGAGGCCATTACGTGGACTCTACGAGCATCGCAAAAGCTGCTGTTCTTTGTATTCCTCAGTGACAGGGCGTTTTCTTCTGCCCCTGGAGCCCTTTTGTCCCGAACACACCCGTTTCAGAATCGCGCGCGAAATACGCGCAACCAACGACCGCTCTTTCCGGCTCACTTTCCAAAAGCACCCACTTCTCGGTCCCTTTTGCACTTCATGGGATTCCCTGACTACAAGGAGATCTTCTGCTGAGAATGAAACGCATCACACGAGCTGGTTGCTTTGGATGGAAGTGGCTTGCGCATGCCGGCACTGCCTGGACTTGACGTTCATTGGATATTCTTAGCTGGCATTCTCTCTGTGTCATTCACTTGTTTTGCAGTGGGGATTGCCGGAAAGTCACCAGTACATCTCCGCCTTTTTACTTGACAGCTATAAAGGCTCTCTATGATTCGCGAATCCTCTGGCATAACAAGTACATCTTTTCGCCATCCTTACCCACTTACTGCACACCCCTCCCCGACGCTGGTCGTCTACTTATAGTTGGCAACCTCGCGTGCGAAGAATATATTTCCTTTCCTGACGATCCAAACGACCCAACACGAGCCTGACGCTCTGCATCTGTATCAACATGCACGTTACACCCTACTTGACTCAAGGCCGCTCTTACGCCGACCGGGACGTCGACCCCAACCTTCAGCAGCCCTCCAATCCTTTCCGTGGAGCTGCTGTCGCTGTACAGGAATTTTCTCAACCACCTGTCTACGTCGATCCCTCCCTTCACGTCCCCAATACACAGTTTTCCTTCTGTGTGTCGACCGAAGGAGTGCCAGCTGACCCTTACTCTCCAAACACTTTCGAGGAGCTGTATGCGACGGGCAGCTTTCCCACAATGCAGTTTCCCTGTGCTGCTCCTCCGATCATGGGGCCTATCATGCCGCACTCTCGGATGCCTTCCACTCACTCTAACTCGCAACCTTCCTATTTCGCCCACTTCCCGGCCGAACACCTCCAGGCTCCCCTCCAGCACAGGCGCGGTTGGGACACACCCTGCCTGTCGGACTCTACTTCCCCTTGCAGCTCTATTTCCAGCATGAACGACGTCATACCTGTTCCTGCATACGGGATTGGCCCATCCATGCCTGGGCAAGTGTACCAGCCTCAACTTCCCACCGCCACGCCGGTAATACACTCCCCTCCCTCCTGGCCCGATTTCGTGGATCAATCAGATATTGAGGACGAGGAGTACCAAGCTGACGTGTGCGTTTCTCCTTGCACTCCTTCAGCACAGCACTAAATATTGAAATAGTAGCCGCTGGATCACCTCCCACAACAATGCCTCTCGGCCGGAGGTCTGCAAGCCTTGTGGCAAGCGGTTCAACCGCGGGTGCGACCTACGCCGGCACGTTGAGACGATCCACGTGAAGCGGAAGGGCGGATTCCCTTGCCCTTGGCCCGGGTGCTCTAAAGTCATGTCCAGGAAGGACGTCCTGCAGCGCCATATCCAGGTACAGCATGAAAATAAGAAGAGAAAGGGGAGCAAGGAATAATCCAGAACCTTCTGCCCTTGTACACACGCACGTCGCTCTAACCTTATTTTGCTTAATTCTCGCTGGTACGGACCGAACGAGTCTGGACTCTTTCTGTTTACCTAACTATAATACACTCTCCTAGTGCGTTCGATACCAGTAATCACTAATAATCACTCATTGCTTGCGAAAACGCTCGGGGTGATAATGAAATGGTCCGAAATGCCGAGCCATTCGAAATGCAACGTAATTTCAGGGCTGTCATGACCAAGGTGTAAAGTCAGACTATCGACCCGACTGCGCAGCATCCCACCATAATCGACCTTCTTTATCCGAAGCTGGCGGCTCAAAGAAGCGACATCGTGCCTTGAACACTACAGAAGAGATGAGCAAGACATCTTCCGAAAACACCCATAAGATGACTGACCCGCCATAGATCGTTCTCGAACGATCGTCTCAACTTGACGCTCATTGTGAATCATTCGTTTCTGTTCCTATGTCAGCACCAAGTCAAGCATGAATGTGAGGGAAGTTACGAACTTGTACCTCATCTGCGTACAGCTCCCCTCGTGTTCGCCTCTCCAAATCCTCGTGCAGCTCACCCAACATTGACTTTCCCTGCAGCCTCTGCCGCTTTTCCTCCGCGGCCGCATCCACCACTTGCACGCAGTAATCGATGATGTCTGCCCTTCCCTTCCACTTGGCTGTCCACCACCAGTCACCGGATCAGCGGGATACCACAACTGGACGAAGGGAACGTACCCATCAGCTCCCTCCAGAAGTACAAACACGCCTCCTGTTCGCTCAGCGCGTTGACCCCTTTCTCTCGTGCTAAATCACGAAACTGAGCCGTATTCCGATTCATTCGCATTGTGATTGAGTCGTCGGCTTTGCGTAGATCGCGCATCAGGTCTGCATCAGGGTTAGCTCTGGAATGACCGATCATCGTCGTTGACTCACCTTTGAATAATGAGAGCTGGAAGCAAGTTGAGGGCGTTACGTGGGCTACTTCATTGACAAATGGAGGAGTGAATATAGCTCGAGCACCAAGTGCAGGTTGCTGTCTAGACATGATGAGGACAGTGGAGAAACGGCCACACAACCTGGCGCATAAGCATTTGCCGGCCAGTCAAGCGGGAGTATCGACTTTTATGGTAACCCTAACCCTAACGTGACGTTTACGCTCCAGGGTCCTCCCGATTGGAACCCTTTTTGTGCGCCTAACCGCGCAGCGGCCGTCGGGCATCAGGGCAGCTCGACACGAACAGTCATCTCTCGTCAAGACCATGCAATTCCTGCTGCTCCCCTTCCTAGCACCTCTAGTCCTCGCTGGCCACGTTCAGCACCCCTTTGCATCGCAGGATGCCAATGTGACTTTGGTGCCAGTCACGTAAGCAGTCTCTCTTCTGTGCCTGAACTGCTTCTGACGTCTACGAATACAGCTTAGGCGTCATGTCCCGCTGCCCGGATGCTGCGCTCTGTGAGAGCGTGTTCGATGACGTGCTTAACAAGGTGATGTCCAAGGTTGAGTTGAGCTTGACATTTATCGGCCAGTGAGTGTTCCCCTACCCCCCCTTCCGAACTGAATGCTGATTCCATGGAACGCTTTCGTAGGCTGAACGATTCTGACGAAACATACGGTGTGACATGCAAACACGGCCCTCAGGAATGCGCCGGCAACATCCACGAACTGTGCATGATCTCCCGTGTACCGCAAACAAAGTGGTGGCCATATGTCATATGTCTGAACTTCATGGGGAAGGACAAGATTGGTCTGGGCGAGACGGCAAAGAGGTGTGCAGAAGTGGTCTCAGTAGATTGGGTTGAAAGCGGGATAGAGGCTTGCGTTGATGGACTGGAGGGGAGCGACTTGCTGAGGGAGAGCGTGAGGAATACGACTGCGCTGGGTATCGAGTGAGCCTGAGCTTCGAAGGCTTGTACTGTATTGCTAACGGGTTGACAGGAAGAGCTGCACGATCCTTATCAATGGTGTCACACGTTGCATAGTCGACGACGGCAGGTGGTTGCAATGCGACGTGAGTGCATTCATCTTCAGAATGGTGACCTGCTTAACACAGCGCCGTAGTATGGACACACCTCTGCCGACTTCGTGGCCATGATCAACAAAGAATATGCAAAGCTGAACCCGTGACTGAGATGGCCATAGTCCGTCAATTGTAAACCAGAGTGTACCCGATCATTGGATACGATCATTATGTGTTATATGCATTTATTTCTAGATGTCCTGTATTGTAAAGCCTATTGGAAGAGCCTCCGAACTGCGGAAGGTATCAGTGTTTTGAATGTAAGGTGTCCTATAATGCGTCTTCAAAGGAGCAAGACCAAAGTATCCTTGGGTTGAGTAACTCGCACGTGATCCCATACTCCGGAAAAACAGCCGGAGCCGAACCAGCTCCCTGTGGAACCCGAACTGTACAGTTTTACACGGAGGCAATTGTTCGCTCCCTAGTGCACCTTCAGCTCGTCCAAGCCGTCAGCCCGTACCGCAAGCACCTCGCCGCATCCTAAATGTCATCCACCAAAGTCAAGGCCTACGAGCTGCGCTCCAAGTGCGCTCCCATTCTTTCTCTGATAGACGATCGTTGACCTGGTTCTAGGAGCAAGGCAGACCTGCAGACGCAGCTCGGCGAACTGCGTAAGGAGCTCGGCACACTCCGCGTGCAGAAGATCGCCGGTGGCAGCGCTGCCAAGCTCACCAAGATGTACGTCTCCCCTCCGCTGTGTAGGAAAACATGCTGACCTGCATATAGCAACACCGTCCGGAAATCGATCGCTCGCGTGCTGACGGTTACGAACCAGAAGGCGAGACAGAACCTGCGCGAGTTCTACAAGGATAAGAAGAAGCTGCCCCTGGATTTGCGTGAGAAGAAGACGCGTGCGATCAGGAGGAGGTTAACACATGTGAGTGCATTTTCTTGTGGGCTGGCATCCGACCTTTGACTCGGCTGCTCTCCCTTTGTTGTTGACTGGTTGCTGATGCTTGTACAGGCCGAGGCTACTGCACGGACCGAGAAGCAAAAGAAGCGCGACACGCACTTCGGCAGGCGCAAGTACGCCGTCAAGGCTCTTGCGTAGATCCCTTGGTTAGGCATTGCGCTGAGGATGCACCATGGTTGGGGCGTGAGGGGGCAGCTATGCATATGTGCACATTGTTTGTATGCATTTGGATGAATGCTATGAATTACATGCATGTCGCGAATGCGAATGAGAGTGCATAAGATGCGCGCAGACGGAAATTGCCAAGGGTATGAATACACGTGGAGTATCTGGGATGAAAAGGGGGATGAGTAAGGACTGGCTGAAGAAACTGAGTGCTGCAATAAATAACGAGAGCCCAGGAAGAACAGGAAAGTAACAAACATCCCACACAGTCTGGTCGAATTATTCTCCCTCCGGCCATCTGACCTTCAGTCCCTCCAACCACCTCAAATACAACAACTCCGCAATTGGGCTCCGCTTACTCTCCAGACCAGGTGCCGGTGACTCCACGCGCTGTTCACTCTCCACAGTAGCAAGGGGTTCTTCTCCCTGCATAGACGAAGGTCGAAGGTGTTCCTGCACTGCTGGCTCTGCCCTCAGCCCTGAGAGGTCACGTATAACACTGTGAGCCAACTCGGGGTTCTTATCCCTCAAGTCTGAGAACCCCTGTACCAGCAAGGCAAGGGATTCTGTGCCTTGGGCATCTGGGTTGTTCCTCATAGCCTGGAACCGATCAGAAAGTGAACGGGTAGGAAGTGGGGTAGTTACCTTCTGCAGGATGGGGAGAACGACCTCGCCAACGATCCTCCTACCCATCCTGCCCGCCTCAGTCGCACTCCCCCCTGCAACCACACTCCCCACATTCCCAACCCGACCGCCAATGCTCCCCTCTCTCGCAGCCAGAGCCGCAGCAGAAGCAGCATTTCTCTTCCTCAGCTGTACCACACTCGGGCTATCGCTCAACCTCGGCCTCCCCTCCCTCTCTTCCTCAAAACTCTGCGCGCTCCCGCCCAGCCCGTCCTGTCCGCCGCTAGCTCGAGGCGGCGTCGCTGGCCCTGCGCCTGCCGTTAGCCGACTAGGACCGTGCAGCTGAAGCTTAGACGGGCGGACGGTCGCGTACGAGCTGCTTCCCGCCGCTGCTTGATCCGGTTGTGACAGCCCACTAGCGCCCGTTAAGTCATCAACGAACGGGTCCCCTGCGGCAGCGCGTATGGCTGCCTGAGAAGGTGGGGTGTCGCTATCGTGACTCGTCCCCAGGCGAGCTGTGCCGCCCAGCCGGACGAGCTGGGAGATAGGCACGCTGCCTGCGTACGAGTCGTCCCACTCCTCATCTTCGGCTGCTCGAGCCTCGGCATCTCCCCCACCCGCTCTGCTCCTCACACTTCTGACAGTGTCGAAGTCCCATGAGCTCATGACTGTCCCCCCCGCACCTGGCCTCAGAGTGCTCTCCACCCGTCCCGTGCCCTCCTCTTCGCCCTCCCTTGTCTGGTCCCTCCACTCTCCCAACCGCTCAATCATGCGCATCAGCCCCCTCTCTCCCCCCGCACCGCGCACGAACTCATGCAACAGCAGCTCCCTCGCCCCCGGCCTCTCCAGGGGGTCTTTGGTCAGGCATCTCCTGACAAAGTCCTTAAACGGCGCAGAGAAATCGCCTTCCAGTTCTGGAGCAGGCGTTTTAGGAATAAGGAACAAGACTCGCATGGGGTGATATTCTGCTAGAGGGGGCTCGCCGGTCGCTAGCTCGATAGCGGTGATCCCGAGCGACCAGAGATCTGCTTTCCCGTCGTAGCCAGACTGGAGGATCACTTCTGGTGCCATCCAGAAAGGCGTGCCGACGAATGTATGATGCAGTGTCGCAGAGATCTGAGCAGCGACGCCAAAGTCCGCTGTTGTCAATTGATGAGCTAGAGGTTGCGTATGGGGGAAGTAAGGACACGAACCAAGCTTGACCTTGCCCTGCGCAGAGAGGAGGACGTTGGCAGCTTTGATATCCCGGTGTATGAGTCCTTGGGAATGGAGGTAGTCTAGCCCGAGCAGAAGCTCGCGGCATATGATAGCGATGTACGGTTCTGGTAATGGACCAGGCTTGAGCAAGTCAAGACACGATCCTCCCGCAAGATACTCCATCACTTAACACTGTCAGTGCGCGCTCCAAAGGAGAAAGGAAGAGACACACCAATATACAACTTATACTCCTTAACAAAACATCCATAATATCGCGTGACATGGTCGCTGTCACACTTTGCAAGATGCGCGATCTCCTGCTGTATTTCCCCTATATCATCCTCGCTGTTATCCAAGTCGATCTGCTTAATAGCGACGACCTGTCCCGTCTCTGCATGCAGCGCCTTATACACCGTGCCAAAGCTGCCAGTTCCCAGCTGGGAGAGAAGAGTGTACTGCGCTGCGGGGTCGGAGGAGGAGGAGGGGGAAGGAAGAGGAAGAGGAAGAGGATGGGAAGTGAGTTGACCTGTGGATTTTGTACGTGAATGAGAGGGCGTGGCACGTGCACGGGGAATGGTCGGTGTGGAGGGCGTGCGTTGACGTCGTGAGTGCATCATCGTGTATGACGTCTAACACGTCATAGCAGTCATCGTTCGCTGTCGTGAATCGAGATGTAGAGCGGCTCTCTCTGTATGGTGCACACAAGGACACGCGCTTGTTCATGCACACGTAGATATCACGTGATCATCTATGGACATTAAGGGGTGACGCATAGTCTGCTTTATCAACACATTCAAGAAATAGATCAATAAATTTAGGCACCTGCATTTAATCAGTACAGGGAATTGATTAAAGGACAAGTAGACTCACATCAAGTTTCTCCGTGACGAGCACATTCTTCCCACCCGCTCCCCAGCTCTCATCACACCCACGATAATCCCACAGATCCACCACCGTCTCCCCTGCTGTCCACGTCCCTGCCAATTCTACGTCGACCCTATACCTCGTCGCCTCAAACAGTTCCGGATGGGCAGCATATGTCACCGCAACAGCGTCATGCATCGGCGGGCCGTCAAAGTCGAACACCTTCTTGTAGGTACTGGCGAAGAAATGAATCAGCGTGTAGAGCGTGTGCCGCAGCGGAGTGGTGGGGATGCTGTTCAGGTCTATACGGGCGCTTGTGGCGTGTGCGTGGGTTACTAGACGCGTCACGGCGTCCTCGTCGAATATCGCACTGTGCGTCACGTTCAGGGGGACCATGACTTTCGGCACGGGGAGATCGAAGACGATCTGCGCAGCCTCAGGATCGCAGAGGATGTTATACTCTGTAATCTTGTCAGTCTTTTCCAGTGCCAGCACAGGGCACATACCAGCAACAGGACTCCTATTCCCAAGCCCTACTCCACCACCCATGAACACCACACGCTCGACCTTTTGCACCAGGTCCGGAAACGCACTGAACAGCGCAGCAGAGTTTGTCATCGGTCCCGTAGAAACAAGTGTGACCTTCCCCTCCACATCCCGGAACGCAGCTTCCATCCCTTGGACGGCGTTCCTACCCCCGGCTCTGGCAGCGCGCGCCTGCACAGCCGGGTCGGAGAACGGCGTGAGTCCCTCAGTACCGCCTAGCCCGTGCAGGCCATGGATCTCGGAATCGATACGCGCTGCGCGGAGGAGGGGCTTTGACGCTCCCGGGAAGACGGTGATCTCCTCCGGAGCGGCGAAAGCGTGCAGAAGGCGGAGGGCGTTCTCGTACGTGTCTGTGGCGGTGGTGTTGCCGAATACCTGTGAAGAGTGAGGTGAGGTAGGCAGGGAGTAGGACGGACATACGGTGGATACTCCGAGAAGCTCGAGCTCCGGAAGATAGAGACACATCAGGAGGGCGATGGCATCGTCGTGCCCTGGATCGCAGTCCAGCCAGACTTTGGTTCGAGTCATAGGGGGTAGCAGTATTCTGAAGAGCAGCCTAGTGATCCAGTAGAGATCGGAGGAGAGCAGCAGCAAGGTATAAATACCTTCAGAGTAACGACAGTGATGAGTTAGTCAGCTTGCATGATGGAGAAGCGCTGGCAGGGAAAGGAATGGGGAATTTTAGGAGCGGAGCACGAGACACGCGCCCTTCATTACACACGCGACGCGCCCAAGTCGTGTTGATCCTTACCTTCTTGCATCACCATACTTGATATTTACTACTTCCTTACTTCTCTCTCTGCATTGCTTTACTAAGATGGTCGACTTCTCCACTAAGCGATCGGCTACGGAGGAGAAAGTACGACCGACTTCGAGCGGGGGAAGACCATACAACCAGTACGTGACCTCCCACGCTCAGTGCGTGACCTCATGATCCGCAGCGTAGACGAAGAGATGACAACGCGACTGCAGAGCATCCCTCGCGAGATCCGGAAGAGTACGTCCCTTGCACTCATTTCCCCGCACATCCCTGACCTAGCACAAGGCGTAACAGAAGGCTACCGCACTACCCCCACTCCCGGCCCCGCACCCCTCCCCCGCCCAGCGGACAAAGACCTCCCCATCTTCCGTTCGCACAGGGACGACCTCGTCTGGTCTCTCGACCTCATCTCACCCGAGGCCATCCGGGGCAAAGAGCTGCGCCCGCTGTACGAACGATTTGAGCGTTCGGGACCTGACGGTGCCGGAGCTGCGGGGCAGTTGTTCGCCTTGCCAAACTTCCCCGGCCCGAGTGGGGAGAGGAAACGCCGTATCGAGAGGGAGACGTCGCCCAGTAGCTCGGCTGGGAACTCACCGGTCCAAAGCCCGGCAGGGGAGATGCAGCTTGACCTCCCAGCAATGGACGTGGATATGGACACTCTGCCCCAAGCAGCGGGGGCGAAGCGCGGTTTCCCACTACCACAGTCGGGGGAGAGGAAGATCAAGCCCCCACCGAGGAGGATGAAGAATGTCCAGTCGGCACCTGCGGGAGGACTCAGGTTTGGTGCCGGGGCGTGGGCGGCTACTGGGCAGAACGAGTTGGCTGATGTGGTTGACGAGCCGTGGGAAGAGGTGGACTTTAGCGCGTTTGCTAACCAACCTCCTGAGTGAGGTGGGTCTTCAAAGGCCAGTGTGGTTGTATTCGTGTTTCCTGTCCTACGCACCCCCGCGCGCGAAAATTCTGTTATGTTTGTAATACTACAATGAAGCTATTTAATTCAAAACTCGATTCCCATCTGTGCCAACTTGGCATCATCATGCAGCTTGAGGACCGCTTCTCCGCCCGAGTTGTCCAGCCTCGCAATCTGCTTGATCCAGAAACTGAGCACGCCCTTATTTCGCCCATCTTCCTTGAACCAGTCTTTGAAGTTCTTGACACAGTCGCCGGTTGTGCGGGGTTTGATGCGTAGGAAGGCGATGATAGGCCCAGGAGGAATCGCTTTGTCGAACTGAAGGTTGGCGGGGACGGTGACTTTAGGAAGCGTGCGAGGACGCTTGTTGGGCGTTGTGGAGGGTCCGGGAGAAGTGGCTGTCCCTCCAGGAGAGGATGCGCGTCCACTTGGCGGGGACGAGCCCTCGTCCGGTGCCTTGCGCTTCAGCGATCCGGAGACGGGACTAGTCCTTGGAGGACTGCCAGCACGCTTACCGCCTGCTTCGGCGGCCAAGGGGCTCAGCGCGCGCTGAGGAGTGCCAGCAGGTGGAACGCGATTCGTACCAGGGGGAGGGCTCGTCGCTCTCTGGGCCAGGAGATGTGCGCCGCTAATCCCGTTCGTAGCTGGTTTCCCAGGAACAGGAGACGTGGCGCGAGACAAGGGGCGAAAACCGGGTTTGGACGCACTTCCGTTTGGTTTGGCATTGGTCGTGGGTTTGGGGGGAGTGCCAGGTTGAGGAAGCACTCCAGTGGGAAGAGGAGTATTGGTGCCAGAGTCGGTGCCTTCCTGTTCCTCTTCTTCCTCGTCGGACTGTATTGCCGTAAGATTCTGTAGGAATCTGAAGGAGTCATACATACCGACAAGTACGGATTCTTGTTATCATCGTCATCATCGTCCGCATACGCGCCTTTCTCCCACAGCCTCAATGCCTTCTTCATCGCCTTGCCCGCATCGTTGAGCTCGTCCTCGTCTGATTCTTCTTCCTCGTCCTGAGCGGTTTCATCCATCCGGTTCTCGTCGTTGGTTACATTGGCAGCACGCATCATCCGTGCTTCCTTTTCCTTAAGTGCCTTGGTCTCTTCATCTTCCTCCTCGTCTTCAGGGAAAATAGCGCCCTCGTCGTCGTCCGCGAATTCCTCTTCAAACTCGAACTCGTCATAGTCGCCGTCACCACCCTGGACAACATATTAGAACACATATTGAGTCTCCCGAAGGAGGTTCGTACACCACCCCGGTCTCGTCGTCTCCGAGCAGCCGCAGCGCCCTCATCTCCCTCATCATCATCACCGGTATTGTTATAGTCGGCAGTGTTTCCCGTGCGCACTTGTAATACACGCATGCCGGACCGAGATAGAACGGATCCATCCGAAGTTGTCCGGGGTCTCGTCGGTTCTGCAGATGACTCGCGCTTGAGCGTCATCTGCGTCGCATCGGAAACTTTGCCGCCTGTCCTACGCATCATCCACCGCTGTATATCGGAGTTCTTTGCGATATCTTTTTCCTGCACAAGAACCGCTGATGGGATCAGGTAGACAATTGAACAGCATATATGCTTACAAATTGTTCTGCTTGGTCCAAGGTGAGGATAGTATGTTTGGGTGGCTCCTTGAAAGTGTACCACTTGTTCAATGGAACGGCCAAGAATCCACCAGGACCCTTGTTGTTCTCGAAGAGCAGAACCTGCAAAGGTGGCCCGCGATCCTCCATCCGTCCTTCCCACAGTTGTTGACCATCCCCACTCTCCAATACCCATGGATGTCTCTCTTCACGCCGAAGTTGCCGGACCTCATCGCTCACTCGGAACACCTGACGCGTTTTTGTCCGCTTGAACTTCCTCTTTTGCTGATCCTTGTCTTTCCCCTTGCCGTTATCTTTCGGCCGGGGTCGACCATTCGGTTGCAACCCATCGACCCCGCCGACCATGACAACCTTTCCATCCGGTCCGATAACTGGCTTTCCGTCCAGTCCCAGAAGCGGCTTAGCGGGCTCCACTTTGTCTACCGTCTTATAGTTCTTCTTCAATTCTTTCCGGTTTAGCTTCACGGGTCGTGGCCATTCCATGGGATTGACGGCGCTCTTGACACTAGTCGGACGGAAAGACATCATATCATGTCGCCACTCGGAGATGCCCGTAGAAGTGATAACAAAATCGCTGTATGTTCCAGGCGGATCTTCTGGAAGTGGTTTCATCTCGACTTTAGGCTTCACATCCGGCTGCACAAACGCCTTGGACTGCCCAGGACGCAACGGTGGTGGCCGTGGTGGTGGTGGACGATTTGGCTGCGCTCGTCGTCCGAGTGGCCTGAACTCCATAGGTTCGTTCTTGAGCTCAGTTTTGATTCGAGAAGCCATTTCCAATATCTATTGAGAGAATAGCTGAATGTGAAGGAGAGTGTGAGAATAGAAGATAATAGCCGGTGGTCGACCAGAAGTATCTGACTACTCCGATGCTGTATGAGCGCGTATGCACCATTGAACACCTAGATGCCTCCGTGTGGCTGTACATCACAGACAATATAAAAAACCACCAAACCCTTTCTCTTTCCATCATCATGTCGAAAGGATCGGAGCGAGACTCGTTGGACACGAAGCCACAGAATGGAACAACAATCTCACCGTCTCAAGTTCGACACCAATATATCGCGTTTCCGAAGATGTTCTGGAGCACATCTTCTACCTGGCTGTGATTGATCTATGTCTGTCTTTCAACCAATACGAACCAGAAGGAGATCCGACTAGGTTTCTCGTCAATGTTTCGCAAGTGAACATGCACTGGAGGAACGTTGTTATACCATTGATCCGCCTGTGGGCTTTAATATGCCTTGCTCTATCCCTGTCTACAACTTGTGCGGGATCTCAGGCAGTTCTTGACCGCATTCGCGCCGCAGATGTCTCTCTTTACGTGCACATCCCCCCTTGAGAACACAATCGGGAACAGGTTAATTTCATCAAGGCTATGATCGCCCGGAGTGGATATCTCGAAATCGCTGGCTTAGAGACCGGAACCATTTTCTGGGGCATCTTAGTCTGCTTAGAAGTCTCACACGGCAGCGTCATCTGAAGCATCTGAAGCTCTCGCATGCTCACCACCTCGTCGGATATCCTTCGCTCACTCACTCTCAATTCTTGTTTGGGCATGGACATGGACATCCTTCATGTAGCAGCACTTCGCATTTGACTTGCCGCAAATATATTCAAACATACATAAAATATTACGTGTTTTCGTGCTAGGTAACATGACAATAAACATCTGCTCATTCACCTATTCCCTACACCGCACGGTTTACAGGCGCGGTTTCGCCATAAGCTGTGGTGCCCATGGGCCCATGACCGAAAGTACCTGACATACCGGCGCCTGGGGCAGCAAGAGGTTGGTACCCGCCCGGCCCAACTCCGTAGGCCCCGACACCAGCCATGCCTGGCTCCTCGAGATTACCGGTCCTGCCAAAGCTAGTAGTACCAGGAGCAGCGCCTGTCCCCAGTCCACCTCCCGCCATCCCCATTCCCACTCCCTGATCAGCTCCACCCAGCGTTCCGTGCGCGGGATGTGCCCCATGCGCAACTGCCCTCTCCCTCCTCGCGGTTGCCTCTTCCTCCAGCCTATTTGCCTCATTCAGTTCCGCTGCCTGGTAGGCCATCGCATGCGCCTGCTCTTGCTTCATTTCGCCTTCCATCTTGAGTCGCTGGGAACAGAAGAGCGTCCCCATAAGGGAGTCCATCTTCCCAGACTTGCGCAAGGAGCGTGCGTTGGAGGAAGTAGGAGTGACGGGATGACCCGATGCGGTAGTTGTTGGGCCAGAAACACCAGCAGAGCCGGGGATCGTGACACCCGTTTGGGGATCGGTGCGAGGGCCAGCCATACTTGCCCCGGTACCCATAGCGGCCCCAGTCCCCATCCCATTCCGGGCCATGCCGGTACCAGATGCACCACCGTAGTTGTCATTCGCCGCGGTGCCCTGGCCAGCCCCGTAGGCAGGATTACCCACAGCATCCGCAGGAGGGGGGTTAGTCTACACGTCTTGGTAAGTGTACGGAGGTTTGCCAAGTACGCAATGACACCTACCAAAGAGTTGCGATTCCGTCTGCCACCAAAAAGACTGTGCCTCTTGCCACCAGCGAGATAAGGATCGTTGTCTGTCATGACGGGGTCATTCACGGCTGCACCGGTCCCTACAGGGTAGTTCGTGGCATTGGCCAAGGGTTCTCTCTGTGTGCAGGAAGGTCAGGCACAGATTACATCTGTAGTCTATGATATGAAGGTACGCACGCGACGTCCGAATACCATTATTGCTTGCTTTGTCCTTGAGATAAGATTAAGATTGATCAAAAAGTTAGAGTTTCAGTTACTCTCTTGTGAGTTGTAAGGGATCGAGATCAAGTTCTAGAATGAAGTTCGTGTGGCACCATGCGAGGTATTTAACCGTCTAGAGCACCACCCTCTTCCCCCTTTTTAGAAGGACTTTCGTCTGTTGTGCCCATGTTCGTCTCTGCAGGCGAATGAAGGTGAATCCCGTGAGCTGGTTGGGGCCGGACAGTGACGTGGCTGACGTCATGACGGATCACAGGCATCATCACGTGATCACGCTCACCAGTTGCTATATGCTCCACAGTAGCGCTTGAATGATCACAAACGTATGATGCGGGGTTTAGCACAGGCCGTCTGAGCCTTCAATTTCTAGAATGAACGTCATGCAGTTGCCAAAGGACTTCACGACGCCCTTGAGGAAGTCAGATGTCGCGTGTATGTGCTTGGGTGCAATCTACATCGCCTCAGCGATGCTCATTGCGATGATCACAGCAAAGTAGCCAGGTGTTTGTGAGAAACGAGCTACCCAAGCAGACAGCGAGACTCCAACAGCGTGCTGAGACAATCACCATGGTTGCGTATTGAGAACAGTTTTCTCTAGCAAGCCGAGCAAATCCACCTGATGATGGCAAAACAGGCGGCAGAACGAAGCGATGGTAAGACACCTTGAGTCTACAAACGAAGTCGAAGTTGGAGCACGACAAATAGCCTGCCTTCCCTCGAACGTGGACGTCTGCAGCGAGAAGCAAGCAAGGTAGGTCTTCAAATTGTCTGTTATTAGACCCTTTCTAGATTACAGGTTTAATGTCTTTCCACAGGAGGACCCATGGGAGGCTGCGCAATCAAAAGTTAGTATAGGGATATCGTATGACGGAGGGATAATGCGCACGGGTAAGTTCCTCTCGCTATGTTGCGTTCCAAGATCAGCATACGCGCACCACGCTCAGCAAAGAGATACGTACTATCTTGTACCGCCGTAGAATTGTGCCCCTAACATTCAGGTATCAGGAACGCGAATATGAATGAGGCGAAACAAACAACTCACAGATCAGAGGATCGGGATGTTTGTTCTTCTCATAGGCTGCCTCGGCCTCCTGCATGAGGATCTCTACACGTCGCGGGTCCTGGATTTTCCTGCACACAGAATCAGTAATTCAAGATCTCCAATGAAAACATGCCGCTCGTTGCGCCCGCCTGGCTCCGAACGGTGCAATTTCATGATATGCACGTACATGTTCCTCTCAAACATTGCGCGAATCTCGATGGCTTTAGTCCGCCAGAGGTCCCTCTGGATCGTCCAGTCAAGCGAGTCTTTCAGCATTGCCTTGTACAAAGTCTTCACGCGCAGCCGATGAGCCGCAGCGTAGGCGGAGGCCGACATGCTGTGGTGTTCTGGCAGAGAGGGCCAAGCGTCACTGAGGATGAGGAGGGCAAGGGCGAGCGGAGGCAGTTCGGCGATTGCCGGATTGGGAAAAAGTCCCGCCCTTGGAATTTAATCCGTGACTCTTTGTTTAGGTGTCGACGACGACGACGGTCTCGGTGAACAACGTTCACAACTTGATCATATTAAGGTTGCTTGCTGTACATGCACTCTATCCAAAGAAGTGATTTAAAGCGGAAGCGTGCACGTGATGACGGCGACGACGAATTGGCAGAGCCGGGACTTCAACGGCAGATCCTACCGATTGCAGCTCATTTGAGGGCCGACTTCCACGGCGAGCCCCAGGACGGAATGGAATACTTGTTTACCGTTCGGTATGTGAAGTATCCCTATCTTATTTCCGAGGATTTCGGAATGCTGATTCCATTTTGGTGCAGGCGTGCCTCTTCCCAACTTCCGTGGATGACTATTGCGCCATCCATTCCGGCTCCTCCGAAGGTTGCCACAGCATCGTGGGTGCAGCATGCCAAAGCTGTCAAGGCCCAGGTCAATCGCGCCCCTGCACCCGCAACTGTTTTGGACGATACTGGGGGTGACGAAGGCAGCCGTCGCCTGCCAGATGAAGAATGGAAGAACGCGTTCGTCACAGGTTTCAACAGATTTCGACAGGTGTGTCATTCTGGGATGTTGGCATATTCACTCTTCGATGCTGACTGGATGAAATAGAACATACAACAACCCACAATATATGTGGGCTCCACACCGACGCCAAGATATCCGAAAGTTACCGACCGGTCTGGTTGGTATACGTATGTTACAGGACGACCCGACCCTTTATCAGTGGACAAGGGGAAGCTACCGTCTACCATCCCTACTGAACCCACACCGAGCGACCCTAGCCTAGACTATGCAAATGACGATTTTCCCACTGAGACGCTCCTCCCTCCGCTTTCTTCCTCCGCCCCTATCCTTTCACACGGCACACCACCTGTCACTGCCCTCCTCCGCTCGCTGGATCAGAAATCTGTGCTCCATCTACTGATGTACTTCGCCCACTGGCTCAACACTTCATTGCGTCCGCCAAGCTCATCAATCCCCCCTTACCCTACTACCCCTTTCGAACCGGCGCTCTCGCCCGTTTTCGGGCAATGGATATTTGCTCTGCTCGGTCATTTAGACGACCGTCTCATGAGCGGGGAGGTGCATACGCTTCGCACCCTGGCCCGCGCTTGCAAGGAGCTTCTCGTACGGAGCTGGGAGATTGGGGAGGAAGTCGCATTGGCTACGGGAGAAAAGAAGGACGTGAGGGAAGAGAGGCAGAGGGAAAGAGACGCGTGCTGGATCATTATTGCCGCCGTCGCGGGCGTCTGGGGCCAGACCGACATTTGGGATGACGCGAAAGATGCGATGCTCGGAGCGCTCAGAGGATAACAGGCCATCCAAGATGTTGCGTGCCTTGGGTGGGGTACAACAGTGGGCGCGTGGCTGTGAACCGGTGCTTTATCTATTCCGATTAACCACGAGCCGATCCCTTTCGTGAAATTTTGGGCGCTCAGTCGAGCTAGTGAAAATTGTGAGCGTCATGTTATACAGTACGATGCTAGGCAAATTCTCAATCCTGCTCGAAATACAGTTTCTGCTTGGCTTCGTCCTATCTACCCTTTGTCCCTTCAAGCGGAAACGACGTAATACGGAAACGAACCCTGCCACAAATGCTGGCTGACCATGTTGAATCCTGCGGACGAATACGCCGCAAGCATCGTATCATCCCTCGCGTTGACCTTGAGTGTGACCTCCTTGCATCGCGGCCCGTCACGCGCTTGTTTTGTCCATTTGAGCAGAGCGTTCACAACCTCGAGCTCGATGTCATATCTTCGCACTTGTGTGGCGAGCAGTAGCCCCACTTCCGCGTGACCGGAGACGTCGATCTTGACGAAACATGTGCCAAGCACGTAGCCTTGCTGCCGGTCTGTGATCGCGAGATGTGCTTCGACGTTCGGTGCCCCTGGGGAAACGACCACTTGTCGCGTCATGAACGCCCAAGCGTCTTCGGGACAGAGGGGTGTGATCCAAGGACAAGCATGGGATGAGGAAGGATCGTTGCGGATGTGAAGATAGTTGTCCACCTCGCCTAACAGGAAACGACGTATAGCCAGACGAGGCGTTTCGATTTTGAACGGCCGAAGACCGGACATATTGCGTCGTATCGAGTACAAGAAGTCGCGTCGTTGTGAAAAAAGCCCGTGTTGTACTGGGCAAGTTGGAGAGGTCAATGCGGTTGGGGGGATGGCTTGACCCTCGACTGAAGGCCATCATTTATACACAACCAGACCGCAAATGCCTAGGCTTTTCTTACCATGCATCGAGGCCTGTTGGATGACGATACGCCAGCGGAGCGCCCATCTCGAGACTTTCTAACGGTATCGTGGTTCTATCTGACGACAACATAACCATATACGATGCCCAACTTCTGCCTAGCTCCCATGTACGGCAAACTTTGATGAGAAGGACGCGAGCAACGTGTTCGTATGGGCGCTCTGGCTGCAACGATGTCATAGTATCAGCGCTTCGCCGTGGAATTTCAGGGTATCTGTTGAAGGGCCGTGGGGCAGCTGGCTGGCATAGCAATTCCTACTCGTCCACGTCAGTGCGCTGTTGGGCGCCTATGTAGGGCGGATGCATCCATGCCAGCTTTCCTTGTCTTAGGTTCCGTGAAATGTCTATATCAAGCTCCCGGTCGACGTTCTTTTCGCGCAGCCGCAGACCAAAGGGCGGGAGCAGTCAGATCATGGGAACAAGAACGCTTTTCAGAGGCCAGTTACCTCAAAGGGGTTAGAGATTTTGTGGCAGTGGAGAAGCACCGAAAACTGCCTTGGGCGTCAATCCTGCCCTCCGGATCACGTGCGAATATCACGGAGTCGGTTCCAAGAAATGCGACAGAATTCGGATCAACATCCTTTCTTTCTCCCCGGCAAACTGATTATGCATACTAAGGCACGCCTACAAGAAAGACAAAGCCTTCGAAATATATCTCGACAACGGTCGCAGAACAGTTAAATAATACCGTAAGAAAGGGTGTCTTTCAATGCGAAACCCGAACCCAACCAACCGTTGGTCGTCTATTCACATGGCAACAATGTAATACGGGAACTGCGCCGCCCACATTCCTTGAGAAATCGTTGCAAATCCCGCAGCTCCGGCGCCGGCCAGCATTGCTGTATCTCTGGCATCAATGTGACAGTCACCCGCTGCACGCGCGGTCCATCGCTTCCGCTTTTCGCCCAGATACCAAGGCTTCTGAGTATTTCTTGCTCGAGTCCCTTCCCTCTCCAATAGGAGCAGAGCATCAGGCCTATTCCCCCCTGCAGACCAGACCCGTCTACTTTCAGGAAGCATATCGCGATGATCTTGGAAGTCTGTCGATCCACAACTGCCATGTGGGCCTCTTCGTTTGAATTTCCTGGCTGGCTTCGAGTCTGTCGTTCTACGTACGACCCCCCTTGCTCGGAGGACAGGGTTGTCCACCACGGAAGATACTTGAGGGCGTTTATTTCGTTGCGAATGGTCAAGATGGTGGCCTCTTCTCCACGAGCAAATCGGCGGAACTGCAAGCGCGAGCTGACAAAACTGAAAGGACGAAGAGCAGCCATTGGGGTGTGCTTGAGAACGAGTAACTTGGTTGCGAATCGAAGTCTTTTCTCGGTGCGATAGTCTGCTCGGTGATCGTATGAGCAAACGTCTCTCTAATGTTGTGGTAGTTGCGAATTGCTGCTGGAGCTCTGGGCTGCCAACTTCCCCAATTCTTATACCGTTCCAACGAGATGGCTCATTAATACACCAGCTCAGCTATACTAGCGTGAGACCGGCCTTAACAAGTTTCTCAAGACTAGTTGATGGAGTTTGTTATGAGAACTCCATGTGACGTTCCGCTTACGGCGCTGTTTGTGCCCCACAGTTCACATCATTCCTTCAGTCAGCACATGAGTCACTGAAGTAGCGTTCATGTACTGATTTTATGACCTATAGAGTCACCCGGAGATGGTAGTGCTCCGGTACCGATAGCGTGAACGCCGGAGATTCGGGAGCACTAGGGGTGAACTGGAGCGCTCAGAGGAGCAGTAGGTTCGTGGTTGGTGTGCTCGGATACACTGAGGGCAGTTCGATACCCTCAACCTTCGTAACAAACCCCACATAACATGTAATCGACTCATTTACCTGACATCGTGTCTGACCCAGGCGTAGAAATTTGGGATTTTTTAAAAAAAATTAGACAAAGCAACATACGAGGTCTGAGCATGGTAAGGAAATCCGCTCTTCGAAGTATGGTGAGTTTGCCGTCCGAAAATCTGTGGACCCTATATCGGACGTTGCCTAATTCAATGATTAATGGAGCAATCTCGGCGTTCTACTAGTTATATGAAAGACCTGGCGACCGCAATGACGGAAGAAATGCCGTCGGGAAACTTCGGAACAAAGTGACCAACGCGGTCGAACAGCTCTGTTTCTCCAATGTTATTCCTGGCCTGAAGCATAGTCGCCGGAACCGGTTACTAATTTAAGGGCACTGCTTTCGAAAAATAATCGGAAGGGCTGGGATTTGTCAGCGTATTAACCGATTGCTCACGTGACCTCGTCAACCACTCGCTGAGGCTCATTGAAGGAGCTCTGAGAGTACATCATACGGACACTCCTAAATTATGTTCGGTATAACATGGAACCTTCCGAATCTTGTTTGCTGGACAAATCTAGTGTACCTAGTGCTAGGATGGAGGGAACAGGATTAGTTGCGAATAAATACCAAGTGCTTGTGTATTATTAGTAAATTATGACAGGGCGGACCATAAGATTATCAATATAACAGAATTATAAGGGAATATGAAATAGGTTTGAAAAATTCCAGGTGTGAGCACGAGCGATCATGCTTCGGTGAGAGAGCCACAATGTTAGAACAATAGGGAAGTCAATGCAACGAGTCCATTCTCACATCGCCACAATGTAATAGGGAAATCGTCCCGCCCACAATCCCTGAGAAACCATTGAAAAGCCAGAGGCACCAAATGCGCTTAAAGCGGCCGTGTTACGGGCATCTACTGTGATCGTGAGTCTTTGGACTCGTGGCGCATCGGGAGCGGTTCGCGCCCAGTTGGCAAGCGCACGAATGGTCTCTTGCTCGTATGAACGACCTTGCCAGGATGGAGTAATCATTACTCCGAGTTCGGCTTGTTGTCCAGTAGGGTCCACTTTGATGAAGCAAATCCCAATCAGAGCGTTCGTCTGTCGGTCGACTACCGCCATGTGTGCTTCGACCCCGAGCGTTCCCGGGTTGACTACGGCCTGTCGGGTCATCTGTGTCCATGCGTCGCTCGAACTTAGAGCCGACCACCATGGAAGGTATTGCAGGATGTAGGGGTCGTTACGGATGGCCACATAGTTGTCGACCTCACCGAGGAGGAAACGACGGATGTAGACGCGGGTGGAGAGGATAGAGAAGGGGCGAAGACCAGACATTTTGCACGTTATTTGCTTGAGTGAGGCTGAAATTAGAGCTGTTGGTCGAACACGAAGGTCTCGGGTAGTCTTGATATTAGTGATGGCGAGGTAGGGTAATGCTTGAGGTATTAGGTGAGCTTGTAGGGTATTGCTTGTTGTGAGAGGACCAGGTGACGGGATAACGTTGTCAGCCATGCACCTTTATACCTGAGCATTGACATGCATATCAACCCATCGTACTATACCTGTATTTCATAGGCAGCAGCTGAGCCGCCGCCTCAGATCGAGAATTAGCTAAGGTCGGTCGTCACGCAACGCTAGTCGGAACTAGCCCGAGTCCGACCAAAACTTCTCCTGATGCCGCTTCGATATTTTTCGTTTATGCTTTCATGAACGGCGGCTGGTGCAAGTGACGACGGCGACATCGACTCCCGAAATCGAATGTTTGACAACCAGCGAGACAAAGCACCGGGAAAACTGAGAGAAGTCCAGTGTCTGCAACAACCCCGATAGAGGGCAATGACGGTGTTGATAGTGCTCCGTCTTTCTTGGGAACGCAGCTCTCTTGGAAACACCTCGTCAGACCACGGCGGTTCAGAAAGCTCCAAGCGAAGGTAGTACGGTCTCGATGGCAGCCGTTACTCCGGCTGCGATCCCGCACGGTCTTCCTAGAGAACCAGTGCAAGGACTGACAAGCCGGAAAATGAATGTCGATCGGACAGATGAGGTCGCGTGCGGCCTATTGCAGTATCTTGCTCTGTCCGCAACTCCGTGCTTGTTGTGCTCTAGAGCGCAAGAACAACAAAGAGGAGCAGTGGCATAGCCCACTAAGATAGACATTCCGTGCGGGCCTGTGCGTTTAGTACGTCGCTTTCCCGACCTTCCCGCTGTGAGCGGCGAGAGGCTGGAGTTTGACCTGAGAGAAAGAGAAGGAAGTTGGCAGAGCGGTATGAAATGAAACACGCGGGCAGGTAGCACGTCCAGGAAAGGAAATCCTCTAGCTTGGTTACGAGCAGTGGCAGTGAAAAAGAAGGTGCGGCCGCAGGAGATTCCCCGCTAAGCGACACAGCTCCTTTGCTCAACAAGCCTTGTCATTGGTCGACGAGTGGGAAAAGGGAAGCTATAGAAGCCCAATTCAGGGGCACATGCAGTGCCATTTGCGGGCCACGCGCATGGCCTGAAGATGTGAACGTAATTGTATTTCATGAGCGCATCGATCAGGTGTTCAATGAAAAGGAACGGCCGCACCTTATTGACGATTTCTTGTCCACTAAAGATTGGAAATACGCCTGATTCGCTTGATAGTCCAATTGAGAGGCTTTTCACGGACCGACTTTACGTCTGTCTACGAAACCCAAGCGAACCAATCGCCATGATTGCCCAGCATCTTTCCGCTCTCATCCGCAATCTTGCAGACTCGCAAATCAACAAAGGAACCAACAACTGATATCTTTCAACCCTGAAATCAAACTGCACAGCCCGGTCATACTAGCGCAAGTTTCGGATTTACACTATTAGAAACATTGATTTCTGCTCTGATTCACCTGTCTTCTTCGACCATATGTTGAGACCCTGACTTGATGCTGCCGGAAATAGAGGGCCACTGATGTCCATGTGCAAGGTCTCAGAGACAGGGTTGGTGAAACGTGAGACGAGATGAGTCGGGACATCAATATTCCAGCGAGGCTACGTAAGACTGTCAGTAATGCTATTCCAGAGTGCATGACACCTTGCACTCCCGTTCAGATGTCGCACGGTTGGCAAGAGACAATGAACGAGGCGACAAACGAACGAAGAGTAGAAGCAGAAGCAGAATGGAGAGCAAGGACAGAAACGGCCGAAAAAAGGTAGCAATACGAGTAAAATTCTTCCACTCACCATGTATGATCCTTGTCAGATGTTCCCTCCCGTCCTCCCCGGGCACGTCTCCGATTCCAGGTGCTAAATCCAGCACCCTCCTCTGAGGCAGCGTTCCGTCCACCAGCATAGAGACATCTTTCTCTGTGTATCCGACCGCTTTCAAGCCTCGAGGAACTCCGAGTCCATCCAGGAAACGCGCGATGCTGTCGAACAAGAGTTGGCCGACGTCGCCATCCGACACACGGGCAATAGAGGGGTCGGTAACGGGTACACCAGCAAAGACAGCCGCTGCTTCCCTGTGCCTTTCCGGCGCCGAAGGTGCTGTGAACTCGAATACTGCCGGACCGGTGAGGGCAACTGAGATGCCGTGGGGGATGATGGGGCCAGGTGTGAGGTACTCAGGATGTTTCCATTTCGGGCCGGTCTTGTTCAACCCGGAGATCTGTGACGATGGGTTTTGGATTTGACGAGAGCAGGTAAAATAGATCATGTAGAACTTACGGGGTAGGAAGCAGCGTGACAGATATGCACGCCAGCGTTGCCAAATCCAATACCAGCGAAGGTCGCTGCGAGCCTGTTTAGTCCCAGCATTAGCACTAGTCTTCTTGCCTAGTTGGTCAAAGGTAAGGTAACTCACAGCATCTGGTTCTTCGCCTCCCTATCACTTTGATCTTTCGCAACCCTTGGCAGATACTTGACTGTCTGCTGGAGCGCCCACATGCTGAACACGTCACTGATTGGGTTCCTACCCTGGTACGCGGGCCGCTTGAGCGGGTTGTCTGGGCGAGGGGTACGCTCGTAGTACGGGATAGCGGTGTAGCTTTCCAGAGAGTGGAAGAGCACATCCAGTCCGGAGGAGATGTGTACTTGACGCGGGCAGGTATCCGTGTTTAGGGTATCGACAATACCGAGGATGGGACGGAGAGCGCGACTCGCGATACCGGTCTTGAACTTCTGCGAGGGAATATCCAGAATTGCCGTTCCGGTGGTTTCAGAACCTGTTCCGGCGGTCGTTGGAACTGTGTAGAAGCAAGGGAAGTACAGTGTTAGAAGGTGGGATCACATGAGAATCAGAAAACGAACCTGCGATCAACGGCCTCAGGACCTTCTCAATAGGCAATCCCTTGCCAACGGGCGCGTTGATGAAGTCGAACAAGTCTGCATCCTTGTACACCGTAAACCTTCCCAGAACGTCAACTTCATTCAAGTCAGGATAGGAGGTGAGTAATACGCACAGATTCGCGCACTTGGCGGTATCCATCACAGATCCTCCGCCGACGCTACGCCCTCTCCTTAGTCCAACACGTTGTCAATGATCATGAGAAGACACACGCAAGGAAATGGCTGAAATCATGTGTCCTGCTCCAGTCAATCGCCTTCCTCCAGCTCGCGTCAGTGGGCTCAACGCTGACGTCGGTAAAGAGTTCATAGGGTACGCCTTGCGATTCGAGAGATGCGATCGCGGTACGCACGGGCTGGAGCTGGGAGACGTTGGCGTCGGAGAACACACCGACCTTGATAAATACAAAGGAATAGAGATCAACGGCACTGAAGCGGAATAGAAGGTATTAGAACGCACCTTTGTAGCACCCATATTCTTTAAATCCATACCGACCTCCCTCGTGACGCCCTCTCCAAACCTCAAGTTGGCAGCTGCGACCTCAAATGCATACTCCTTCTCCGGAAGCTTCACACCCTCGAATGGGGTAGCCATGTTCCTGAGCTGGCCAACACCATGGGATTGAGCGGTGAGTGCAGAGAGCGGAGAGGAGGTGCGGCATGCGTGGCACGGGCAGGCGGTGTGCTGCGACTGCTGGAGGAGTCGGAGGATGGACGAACGGGGTGCACGGGGAAGAGGAGGCATTGTTGACAGTAAGAGCCTTCTGAAGCAACAATTGCAATAGACAGCAAGCAACAGACGACGGTCGAGGAGAAGAGCACAACACAGTGGAGGCCCAGCAGGAGTATTTATTCTGATACTACTGTTAGCGGGTATTTGTATGGCCGAATATAAGCGGGAATGTGTGGGGTCTCCGCGCTTTGGTTCGGAGCCGAACAACTCCAGAGTACTAGTGTGGTCTTCGGACTTGGTTCGGAGCCGAGTCGCGCCTTGCGGTAACAAGGCCCTGGCTTTGGACGCCTTACCTTCGCCTGGCATAATTGGTTATGAGAACGAAAATCTAGTCCGACATTCTTGTATCCTTCTTGGAAATAACGACCGCAACCACAAACAAGATTTCATTCATCATGACGTCCAACCATACAAATACACATGGTGCACCAGAAGATGCGCGACCAACGTCTCCCACAATGGACGATCTCCAGGCCCTCCTCGACCGATCCCTAGCGCAAAGCTCTGCTCTCGTAAACCAATGGATGGCCGTTGCTCCCCCTGTTACTGGGCCTGTTCCACAAGGAGAGAGCGACGAGCAAGTCAGGCAATGGAGATTGAGACCTCCAAGGTGTGTCACTTTTCTACACACTATTTCACGACAAATGACACTGATCGAATGTGTGTTTGTGGAACAGGTTAGGTCTGGGTGCGCCAATACCGACAGCTCAAAGGCAACAGGAGACCGCCTCTCTTACCCAACTGAACCGGCAGCTCCATAAATCGTCAGGCGTCAAACGCAAGCGTTCACTTTCGCCCGATTCTTCCCAGACCAAGGGAAAGAAGAAAGCAAACGAGGAAGAGAGCGACGAGGAAGAATCAAGGAGCAAGATGGCTGGAAGCTCGAAGAAGCCGATTATAGGTGGAATGGGCAGAGGGATATTCGACACGCCTCACGAGAAGGGAAAATCCCGGAAGGAGACGACTGCCGCAAGTCAGCCTGTTACCAGTGCATCAAATGGACCACACGTGCAAAATTCGGTGATCATCACGGATGTCAGCAATTCCACGCGTACGCTTATGACGACCATAATACCTAGCGAGACCGCTTCCTCTGCCGACGTGCTCGACCCTCTGCCAAATCCAACATCCACGCCTAAACCACACGTCACAACGCCAGAAGGCGAGAAGAAGAAGAACCGCCGCAAGAAGAAGAAGAAGACCAATGCTTTGCTTAAAGGCGCTGTTGGTGCGGTCGATCTCGAAGGAGAAGAAGACCACGGCGAAATTGAGAGCGCATCAGTGGCGGACTCTGCTTCTGTTACAGTATCTGTCTCTCTGGAAGCTGCCCCTGCCGTTGGTTCTCCAAGTATACCCTTGATCGCATCCACCGACTCTAAGCCTGCTCCTCCTTCCACGATGCCGACTACACCGGAACGCAAGGACACGAACAGGCAGAGCACCACTCCGTCCTCGTCAGGCAGACGTATGCCGAACGGGTGGAGAGCGCCTATGATTCGCCCTGATTCTGAATCTGAGGATGGCAAAGCCGAGAATAACACAAATCATATACAGGATGGTGAGGGGTTAGAGGAGGAAGAAGAGGAATGGAAGGGGGTGGAAATAGACGTCGATGCCGAGGAGGACCATGTGCAAGAGAGAGGCAAATGGATCAACGGTAAGTCACCAGCAGGCCAAGAGAGGAAGAAGCGTAAGAAGAAGAAATTGATGTTGACAGGTGATAGGTCTTGAACAGGAGTCGCTTGCTTGATGACACTATCCGTGAACTCTTATGATTTTCGTTTATGTCGCTATTTTCTTATGATATATCATTGCGGGCTAATGACAACATGCATATTACATTAGAACCCGACTTTCTCGTCCATGAGCGCTAAATTGTCCGACAACGACCCCGCGTCGACCCCCTGACCTGGGTCCATCACACGGAGTACATCTAAAGCGCCCAAAACGAATCCAGCGTTCAACAAGTTCCAATCTCTTCTCGCAAATAATTTGCTATACTGCTCACCATTCAAGAGGTCGACAATAACCTCGATTGTTGCGTGACAAGGCTTTGTTTCAGCGTTCTGTACATTCTCTTGTCATATTCTGTGTTTCCGACCACGAACGACGGTTGACTATGGGAACAAAGCGAAAGCGTGGTTCTGCGATCTCGACGACCGGGAGCTCTGCGATTCGCACTATGGCGGCCTCTACACTAGAATCTGGGACACTGTTATCTACAAGACGTGAGGACTCCTCCCATTATCTCGCGCATACTGACGTGATTACGATAGCGAAACGACGGGAGGCTCAAGTATGTGGAATTTGCGGGGAGAAAGTACCGATCAAGATGTTGGCGTATCATATTCAACTGGAGCTAGACCAGCTACGGACACTCGATGTCCCAAGGGAGGCGCTCGAGGCGAGGGCTGAAGCAACTGGGTGCGCATATACGCGAAAGGGAAATATGATACAGTCCTGACTGCTCTTCCTAGACGTCGCAAAGCTGCTGTACAGGCTCGACAATCCCTTCGAGCACAAGCGCCACGAGCTCGCGTATCAACCATCCTAGCCAAGGACCCGAACGACCTCGACAGCACTCTCACCCTCGTCCGACGTAACCGTCATGAACGTGCTTCCCGCTTGCGAGAATACGGCCGTTCGATCACCAACGTCGCTGCTGGGCCTTCCTCGCTCAGCCAGAAATGCCCCATTTGTGAGCAGGAGGTGCAGGGAGATGAAGATGTAGTGCAGGCGCATGTGGATGCTTGTTTGGCGCATTTGCAGTTGAGGCAGAGTTCGGAGCGAGAGGCCGAATTAGAAGAGGATGGGGATGAGTACGAGTGGGCAGGGCAGCGAAGGACGAGGATGACCGCTCTGAACGGATTTGCCGGTGCGCTCCTTATCACGTGCTCAAGAGCGTCTGCTTATCTAGTGCGCAGGAACTGGCTTTGACGTGCTCAATCGTTCTCATGGTGATGTTGACGAGGAGCTCGACATAGACGGTGACGACACTGTTGTATATGGCACGCAGCAATTCGGCGAGGATGATATCATCGCAAACGATGCTCCGGATGGGGGAGACGAGACGGAGGAAGAATCAGCTATGTCCGATAGCGGAGAGAGGAAACACGGGCGGAAGACATTGCGGGAGCTGGTAGCAGAGGGCAAGCGGGCTAAGCCTCCAGAAGGACAGGACAATCAGGACGACGATGTGATCAGTGTCGGTGAGGCGGAAGAACTGGATCATGCAGTCGGGACTGCGAAAGCAGGTGGGAGTAGCGCCTCCGTGATCCTTGCATTGGAAGCGAAAGTGAAGCAGTTGGTTCGTATCTCCCCGTTCTGAGCATGGTGTCTTCGTTTCTAACGCACCTGTCCAGGAATCCGTTCGTGTAGCGACTCCAGGCTCATCATCTTACTGCCGCATTTGCCTCGACCCGTATGAAGAGCCTCTAGTGAGTACTGAGTGCTGGCATGTCCACTGTAAGAATTGCTGGATGCGAAGTTTGGGCGTGAGCAAGCTTTGTCCGCAGTGCAAATGTATCACATTAGTGGGGAGTCTGAGGAGGGTGTATTTATGATTCTCTATCTGGTGTAATAGTATCAGCATTGCTTTCGCACTTCACGTATAGGAAGAGGAAAGGGGTCATATCTGGCCTAGAAGTGACTTCATGACAGCCATTCCTGCAAACCTTCTCAGGAGCAGTTACGCAGCATGGCGCACACCTCGGCACAAAGCGCGAGGTGCTCAGGTGCCAGAATGGCACACCACAAGACTAATCTTGGAAGAAGAAATTGAACGGAGGACGCCAGCTTACAGATCATACGCATAAAAGCTCCAACAATGACGCCACCGAACATATGATAACACGTCTCCTGAGCCCTCCAACATGGTCACGGTGGCTCATGCTAGCGGACTGACGAGCCTGTATCGCACCAATTAGAATATCTTCACCAGTTCTAACAAGCAATAGAACGAACTGGATGAGTGACGGGTGTGGGTTGCTCCTTGTGTAGCCAATGTAGATGATGAGAGGAATCCAGCCGTAGTACAACACGGTCTAACAACAGGTCAGATATAGAAGAGGTTGCAGTAAACGAACGACGCACCTTCCCGACCTCGACGAGTGTTTGAATACGCTCCTGTAATTCATTCAGCAACTGTTTTACGAATCAAATAATGTAAACGGTTTACTTGTGTTTCTTCGGAGACGGGCATGGTGTGCTGTTTACCTGTAAATGAAGAGCGCCGAACACTTTCGTGTGCATTGAAATAACGGGTCCAAAATATCGGCGCAAATGAAATTTTGTTTCCGAAGGCACCGAGATCGTCTGCACAAACTTGTTGAAAAAGTCATTGGTTAGAAGGCTGCAGCAGAGTATACTACAAAATGTCCCTCGGTCGACCATCTCAGGCTATCTTTCTGCAGCCACCAGCGCAGACGAGCGCTCCTTTTGCCAAGTATGTATAGTCTGATTGAGTCATTTGTTCTTGTTGCTGACGAGGTCGTTGAAGCCGCCCGTTGCCTGTCACATCTGTCACAGTTCATCCGATCGCACTCTTCTCCATCCTCGACCACTACCTCCGGAGAGACGAGAAGCAAGAGAGAGTCATTGGGACTCTCTTGGGATCGCGACAGGATGGAGAAGTTGAGGTGAAGAGCGCGTTTGCAGTGTTGCACGCCGAGACGGCGGAGAGGGTGGCCGTGGACATGGACTACCACAGGACGATGTTGGAGCTGCATCAGAGAATCAACCCGAGGGAGGTCATTGTTGGATGGTATGCTGTGGTTTCTCGTTGGACGTTCTCCGAGCTGACCCTTCTGAAGGTACTCCACCGGCGCCAATCTGAACACTTACTCCGCTCTCATCCAAGGATCCTTCTACCAACACGAGACCGCGCCGCATCCCGCTATCCTTCTTTCGCTAGACACCGACGCAACCGAGGGTCAGCTTGGTGTTAAGACTTACCTCAGCGCCCCTGTCGGGGTTACGCCAAAACTCGAGAACTGCGTGTTTACCCCAGTTCCATGCACACTCAGGTATTCTGCTGTGGAAAAGGGAGGTTGTGAGTCACTCCTTTCTGCCCTTGACTTCACTGCTAATGGTGTATCCAGTGGATCTCTTGACTAATGCGGCCTCGTCTTCGACGCATCTTTCTCACCCGGAACGAGAAATGGAAGAGCTGGAGAATGCGATCACTGACGTGGTCAGCATGCTCGACCGTGTCCTCGCATATGTGCAAGCCGTGCTCAAGGGCGAACGGAAAGGTGACCCAGCGATTGGGCGCTACCTGCTAGACACGCTGAGCGCCGAGGGGCCGGTACTGGGTCGCAAAGGCGCGGAGGCGCTCGTGGGATCCCAGCTACAGGACACAATTATGGTTTCCTACCTGGCGAGCTTGGTCAGGAGTCAGGCAGAGGTGTCATCCCGCCTTGCCTTGGTTACGTAGTGTTGTACTATTGCTGGTCTGTAGGCGTAGTGGCCTATGTGCATGGTAATGTTCATCCCGTCGCAGTCATGAAGTGGCATGTGTCAGTTATGGTATGAACTCCATTCAATTCTGTAGAAGCTACAAGAGGACCACGTCCTCAATCTCCGCACGTAAACAATGGCCATTACATAGTGCAATCGTATCACGGGAATAGCCAGACTTAGGTGCTCAGACTGCGCTGCATGAACCTCCTCTTGGTGAAGCACATCCACCACTTGCTTGGTTTGCCTGTGCCATCTGCATATAGTCGCTCCACGAGGCGAGCTGACATCTCCTGTCGTACTTGAACAAGGTACGATCGAAGTTGATCTGTATCAAAGAACTCAATGAAGGGTTACCACTCAAAACCGTGTCAAGCATACCAGCATCAATCCTGCTCGCAGGTGCCTGATAATGCGCATTCAGGGGAAATCCGGCATCTCCCGGTAACGGGAAGTTATCCACCGCGAAGGTGTTGAGCATCTTGCCCGCTTCATTCTGGTTGGGAGGCACACGTGATGCCTGGACCTTGAGCAGACAATCGGAGATGTAGAGGATGAGGATGATCAGGAGACGGTCGGCAGGACCTTTGATTTCGAAGTTACGGAAGAGTGAGTTGGCCCGGAAGAGGTCGAGCGTCTCGTCAATGATATCGGGTTGGTTGGAATCAGCTGATATCAATGCATGTTAGCATACCATCTATCTAGTGATGCAATAAGAGCGCACCCATTAGTGGGGCAGGACCACGTATTCTCGTCTTGATTGGGAGGACGGCTGTGTTCCCAACGGTCCGCACATCCGGCTCCTCGTTGAACGCAGAATGATATGCCTGCTCGAATAAATCAGATATTTGAATGACTCTACATTCGATGTTTACATACCGGCATTGCTGTATACTTTCACTTATTCAAGTTGACTGGGATGTATGGACACTGCTACTGGGCTCAAGTCTGTGTTCTGTGTTGCCTTGGTGGCGCAGCACGCGGTTCACGTGGGCGAGCGTCACGTCCCTGAACTCCTTGAACTGGAAGGCGTCGAAGAAACAAGTGTGGCTGAAAGATTGATTGACCTGTAACTCCTCTTCGAGGCGCTCAATCAATATGGCTGACGGAAACGACGAGGAGCGTGCGGCACTCATCGAGTTCCCCGCTTCCAATCCGAATGCGGTGACGATCTCTCGTGAGCGTTCTCTTGGTCTCTACATCATCGTATGCGCTCAACAAAGTGGCAGGCATCGTCAAGCGGCTTCGAGCGATGATTCTGACCCTGATACCGATTGAGGTCGAACAGCACAGTCTGACAGACGCAACGTCCAGAATCATTACCCCGGCTGTTATCAACACGTTTGGAAAGGCGGCGGGCGACTTCCAGGAAGCGTTGCCGTTTTGTCTGCTGAGAGCGCGTCGAACATTCTGGGAGCAAGCACAGATGAGCCCTGCAGACTATGATGAACATATGGCACGAGGTATGCCCTCATTTTCTCTTTGCATTATCCTGTCTTATGCCGAACATGCAGCGACGGCTTGCGAAGTACTCGCCAGGAAACTCGTGCATGTTGTTTCCCCTGAGCGCTTAAACCACGTGATGTCAAAGCGCTTCAGGTATAAGACTTGGGATGACGAAGAAAGTGCGGCCGTCTCGGCTTTGGAGCTGGCCATCGATCAGCATTGCACCATATTCCTGAGCTCAAATGAGGCTCAGCATGGTGAGTGGAAGCGTCTTACGAGGTGCAATCCCAAACTGACTCAAGACTGGAGTTGGTATGTCCACAAGGACTTAGGAAGCTACGCGTAACTCAAAGCTGGTAGTACAGAGCCTATGGGATGGAGAGTGGATCCAGAACAACATCGATGACTTCAATATAGAATGCAAGACCCGCTTCCTGTGCCGTCTCTCCATCATCTGACTTGATCTCAGACATACCGTATAACCCGCCGCATAATCGAACGGTCTGGCAAGCATTAAATCCTGATCGCATGTCAGTACCGCGATATCAAAATTGGATGAGGATATTCTTCTGGTTCTTCTTCCTCTTTGTATACTCGCAAACTGTGCAACAGCCTCTGGATCGACTGGACCCAAAGCACCACTTCGATATCTGGGAGGTCCTTCTGTACGTTCAAGCGTTTGCATATACCATGGAGGAGACGATAAAGGTGCCATTTAACCATAACATTGCGACACATGATACTGAAGATCTAGATAGACGTACAAGAACGTTCGATACTATACCTGGAAGTCTGCATTCAACTTTTGGCTGGGCGTATCCTTTGCCACAGATGGCCTGCTCATCGGCGCTTTCGTCTATCGCATTGCCGGAATTGCGAGCCCCAGTCACGAAATCAGTCTGCATTATCATCTTCGGAGCTTCCAGCTGCTAAGCTGCGTTTCACCCCTTATATGGTATGTATGTCCTCCGCCTTCATCTGTCTGATTCTTACCACTTCTAGGATGAGTAAGAAATCCCCTGTTTCTCTATGGTTTCATCCCTCACATGATTGTCAGAGTTGCTCACCATTGTCGAGTCCTTCAAGTACATCGGGACAATGGAGATCTGCGTCTCTCGTATGCTGCAGGAATCCAGCATCTTCTTCGCCGTGAGTGACGTCATAAGTTCAATGCGATCCATGATTCTCACGTATCTGTAGCTTCTCGCGCTTCTTGCCGTTGGGTTCATACAAGCTATGTTTGCACTGGACGTCGCCGATGGGGCCAGTGATCAAACAGGCTGGGACATAATCAACTTGCTCCTACAAGCTCTCTTAGGGTAAGCAGGTACGACACGTCCTGTCGGCTTGGCTAATGCGTGTCAAGATCTCCGGATTTTACAATGTCTGTGGCCGGTGCGAGGTGCGGACTCAAACCTAAGGGCTATTACGCTACTAATGTCGGATCAGCACCTTTGGGCTCATCTTATTCTATATGTGGAATGTGATCACGAGCATCATCCTGCTAAACATTCTTATCTCTCTGTTCTCGTCGGCTTATGCGGATGTGAGCTCGAACTTATGCGACCACTGAGTGTACTTAACATGCGTTTGCTGCATAGGTCACGGACCACGCTGAAGCGGAGTATCTGACCTTCTTCGCTCATAAGACGGTCGATATGATCAGAGCACCGGATAACTTCGTGTACCCAGCGCCGTTCAATTTGATCGAAACGTGCTTGATCATTCCATGGGAGTAAGCTGCCTGCTACGGAATGTCAAATGACGTGCTCAGCCCCTTCTAGGCCCTTCTTATCAAGAGACTTCTACACAAAAGTATGCTACTTCAACGGCAACCGAGCGGTTGGAACTGACGTTTACGCAGATCAATCGCGTAATCATGACCGTGTTATTCTTCATCCCGCTCTCCATCGTGGCTATACACGAGTCACACCTGAACACGAAGAAGAACAGCCTCATACGGTCGATTTTCAACCGACTTGAGGAACCAGACGGCGACATCGACGAGGCCCGTGATCCGCCATGCGATGAGCCTCACGGGAACATCTCGACCATCTCGTTCGAAGAACTCGTGGCGTCCTTCCCGAATATCTCGCAGGTAAGCGTGTGCTGTTATGGGGTCCGAAACATGCGGTCTAAGCTCTTGTTCAGTCGAGCGAAGAGTCGATTCTTGCGCAGATCGGCCATTTGAAGGACAGGCTGGACTACCTGGTCATGAGACTTGATCTCGATTCAAAGGAAAAGGAAAAAGGGAACAAATGATTATTGCTGGCGGAAGTCTAACAGCGCATGAGTGTCGATTAACTCCGTTGTATTGATATGCACTTTCATCCGGCTAAATTACGTATGCCACACCCACCATCACCATCACATATTGGCTCCGTATCGATGGCCAAAGAACTGGCAAGGTCGTGGGATGCAATCATTGCGGGCAGAGATCCCGCGTGTTTTGCCGGGATGCCGTGCTTCGTCAAACACCAACCCACCCTGTTGATAACCTATACTCGTCCAGCAGCCTCGGCTTAGGTCCCGAGCGCAGATCACGACATGCCCGCTCTACGTCCCTTTATGTCATCCTCGGGGGGACGGGCGATCTGCTCGCCTGTCTTTGTGCGCTCACCGCGTGGGCCAATATCTGTTCGCCGCATGGGACGTAGATTTCGGGGCAGGCTCCTGGATTCCCGAAGTAAGATGTGAACGGGGTGATGGTCCGAGCTGATGGCAAGACTCGCCACACGCTGGACCGTTTAGGACCAGGACCCGCCCTGAAGGGGGTTGTTCTCCTGAGCCGAGTTCTTGCCGTTCGGGAGGGCGTGGTCCAAACAGACGGAGGAATCGGTTGCCGTCCTTAATTGACTGACTCGACCTGCCTGTTTGGAATAGGGATAGAATCTCAATTCGATTCCATGCAAGGTTGATATCCCCTCTCGGGCAGGGATAGAGCGGCAGCAGAGGAAATAACTGATGCCGTTGAGCTTCTGGCCAGCGGGTCTATTCTCTCTCCCGAGGTTGCCTTTCAACCGCTCTCGCCACATCCTCCTCCGGCCTTGGACCGCACCGAATCCACTCTCATGCTAAACTCAGTTCCCCCTTCGAGGGCATGCTTCGAAATCCCTGGTCCCGGCCCGCTAGGCGTAACAGTCGCTTGGTGCCGATCACCCGAATAGGCTTTTCCTACCGGGAAAGGTCCTCCAGCCCCTGAAAGATTCGTCTCGTCTCGAGCTGAATTTACCCGCCCTTGGGTTCGCCTTCGTGGGCTCCTCTTCCGTTCGGCGATTGACCGCTCACCGGTCGCAGAGCGTTGCCTTCTCAGGAGACGCTAGCCCAACTAGGCCGCGTGCTCCAAAAGGGCTGCTACGTATCCATTTCACTCGATCGGATGCCTTCGGAAACCCTGGCGTGCAACCGCCGCGTCATCGGGGCTTGCCTGCGCTGGTTGTGGGGAAGGGAAGGGAGGGGGTATATAATCGACCCTTGGAGGGGGATGAGGCTCTGACACTGAACGGTCCGTGTTGCCTTCCCACTCCTTCATAGAACTTCTCGCAACGGCTTGCTCTTTGTCCTCTACTCCTGTCCGAGCTCGTGCATGTGTCAGCAAGTCACAGCAAGTCCTTCATATCGGAATCTCGAAAGTCAGGGGATGATTTGGCACTGAAGGGTATCTACTGTATGGATATGGATATACCGACATGCCTTCTCTGTGATGGGAACTGCTATTGTATGGTGGAGTGTACCCCGCCCCCGGCGTACTCTTTGATGGAGGAAGGGAAGACTGGATGGAGGAATGATGAAGAGGTGAGCGTTGATGTCCCGTCCCTGCCTTTTGTGTTTTTTGCTTGGCCCAAGCACGTGAGGGCCTGGTTACTTGCTGCACAGCCTTGCTACGGCGGGGCGGGGGAAGTGACATGAAAACAACCTTTTGTTGAATTGCATCCGAAGTGCCCCGAGAGGTTGGACTGCTTCCGCGCAACAAGTGTGGTGTCAGTGACGTTGTCGGCTCCGAATAATTAATCCGCTCATGTTTTCTGCTCATCGTCTTTGGTCGATGAGGAGGTGACACTGATGAGGGAGTGACACCGACGACCATCCTCATATACCCACCGTCGGACTCAAAATGGACGACCCTCTTCCTTCATCCCCGTTTTTCTCTCCTCTCCGATTTACGCATTCTGTCCCTTCTTCGACTTGTTTGCTCACTGTCACAGACGTCCACAATGGCTCCTACTCGCACTCGCACTCCTACGCCAACACCGGCAACATCCTCAAAGCCCACTTCTCCCGTCGCCACCCCCGTCACCGCCACCGTAACGCTGGCACCACGTTCCCCGTCGCCCTCCACCAAAAAACTCACCTCGTCCCCAAGACCATCCATCAAGCAGGCAGTGACGGGGAAATCAACCACAGTCAACACCACTTCTTCTTCTACCTCTCCTCGCTCGGATGTTCAGCGTATTCTTGCTATCGCCGCAAATGAGGAGACTGGCATGGACGCCACCCGGAGGGTATCCATGCCTACCAAGTATCGCGCTAAGGACTTGACCTTTGACACTGCTATTACCCGTCCTCTTTCCCCTACAGTGAGCGCCTTTTTTAGTTTTTTTTGGAGCTGCGTTAATTTATTTATAGCCTCCGAAGGAGAATAGCACTCGGTCGTCGCCGCCCACCGTTCCTGGACCACGGCCATCCCTCGCCGCCCCCACGTCATCCATGCGTAGTACTGCTCAGGAGGATGAGCCGCCGACGACCCCTCCTCCATTTGAGCCGATCCCGGCGACCCGTCCCGCGAGCAATACGGTGGATGCACACGCCGTGATCGCCTCCGTCACCAGGGAGCCCGCCCCACCCGCCGAGCGCGATGATCCCCCACCCTACAGCGCCATCAGGCGCATGCCTCAAAGCAGAAGTGAACGTAAGCACTGGATGCTCCAGACACTCTACAATCGCATCGACGGGTTATCCTTCAACCTCCCCGGGCCGGTATTCCCCAAGATCAACAGGGACAGTTTCATCCGCCAGGGAAGGGCTGACCTCGTCGAGGGTCGAACAATCAACGATATTGGCAACACTATCTTTTCTCATTGCCGTACGTGGAATGCATCCAGGTGCAATGTCAGACTTCCCGCGGACTTCAACCCCCTCGCAAGGACCGTCAAGTGCGAGGTCATCTCCGACTCGGACCTGTTCGAGTCCCCCACTCACCTCCTCGTGCTCACCAGCGGGACGGGGCGGTTCAAATCCACCACCCAGATCCCCGTGCACGAGCTGCTCTACCTCGCACAATGTCATAACTTCAAGAGCGGCTTGTTCCCTCCCTCGCAGCCCAAGCGCGTGCAGGAAGAAGACGGAACATATAGCGTCACTCTCCCCGTTATCACCCTCTCCGTGCCAGCCAACCACTGCTTCGGGCTGCTAGACGACTACCTCTATCACCGGAACGTCACCTACTTCTTCCAGCAGCTCGCCTCCCCGCTCATGCCCACACCGAACGAGGCGGTCGAGTTCGAGACCAACTTCCAGCGACGCCAGTACTACGTCCGCCTGCTCGTCCAGCACTTTTCCTTCCCGCAACTCGTCCGCCGTCTGCTGGCCATCCACCACCTGCACCAGGACGCAGAATCGATCGGAGTGGTCGACGTCAGCTTCTGGCGCGTCGTAAACGTTTCCTGGTTCTGTGTCGGCGCAGCGCTCAAAGGGAAGAAGAACCAGATGGCGCGCTTACAAGAATCCCGGCTCGTTTCCGGTCGCGGAGTTAGCGGACGCAGCTACTCGATGCCCCAGGTCCAATCCTGATCAACCCGGATACCGCACTCGCAATCTCAGTTCTAATAATGCTTTATTTGGCTTTCCTTCCCGCTTGGCCAAATCTTGCACCTGCACTGCACTCCTTCATGGTCTATGCACACTCGATGTGCGTCAGTCGCTCCTTCGTATCTTCTTTCTCGATATGGATGCCAGTCAAAATCTACCTAGTCTCTTAACTCTCTCTGACTTGCTCGTGATATGTAATAGTAGGATAGATAGTCCGATACCAATAATATGATGTATGTCGGAAACGTTTGTTCCGTGCGGCTCGAGCTGTGCCAGCGTACGAAAGACCGTTCGTCTGCCGTTCCAATCAGATCCCCCCACTTAGAACAAAGCTCAACACCATCCGAATGTAATCAAATTCCAACAATCCAATCCTAGTATCAACGTATGCCAAATGGTCTCAGCCCTAAGCGCTCTGAATCGCCCATCTCTAGCCGAGCAACGGCCATCCCCGACGGACGATGTACCGCAGGCCAGTGACTAACTCCCGCTCTAAGGCCTTTGTCTGAGTTCATAGCACGGCAATCAGGGGCTGACAAAGGGACCGCTGTATGGGAGTACATATGCCTGTCCAAGGGGGGCAATTAGGGGATGAGATGATGGGGCGCTGATGTTGACTTTTGGTGGAGGGAGGGATGGGGTCACGTTACCTTTTCTGGCGGACGATGCAGAGGGGTAGGCGACCGTCCGCACGAGAGGTCTAGGGTGGTTAAGAGCCGACAGGAGGGAACCGGGTCCGTGCTTGTGGGTATTACGTGCTGGGAGTCTACTGGAAGTGCTTGTACGCGGAAGGCCGAGGGGTATTTAGCAATTCTGTGTTCGTTTTGAGCGACTGCTGGTACCACAGCGCTTAGTTCATCCCATATAGGCTAGCATGAGACTGGAATAGCCCTCTCCCCGCTAATGTGTTGGGATACGATAATCGGTTATTCGCGCGCAATGTGGTCCGGCTTAACACCACCCTTTGCTGATCTTCTGAGCTCTGGTGGGAAGAAGTTAAACATCGGGAGAAGCCGAGAGATAAGGACATTAAGAATGTGTCCCCTGTTGGCGTACTTTCTTTCGGCATCTTCCTTGCCCATAGGAAGCTTGCGGAGATCAGCGAGATGTCCCAACAGGCTAGAGCGGAGCTGAGGGCGATGCTAGGAATCAAAGTGGCGGAGAAGGCTCGGCTCAGAATCTCAATATGGATACTGGGCCTCTTTGAGGATTGACCCATGCATATGGTCTTGGATAGCCTGTGTCTGGTCTGAGATTATAGAGCGGTGGGGATATGGCGAAGGACCGAGGAGGCACGGGGAGTCAATAGGAAGATATCTATTGGACATTGGCCGACACATAAAGCATCATCCAGAAGTACAACAGTCAGCCAAGCTCCAGGACAAAGATGGCTTTTCTAGTGATGGTTGAACAGAAGACTTGCGTGCGAGACATGAGAAAGTGATCGTTGCGCGAAGACAGCCAAAAAGGAACAATCATAGTGCTTACATAATTATCGGGACTAAAAATAGTAAGGTGCGATTTTGCGATGTCGCCATTCTGTCCCGCAACACACTCATCCCCTTCTGTCCAAGAACGACAGCGAACAGGATGAATTTATCAGCCAGTCCTCAACATCTATCCAACGGCAACTGCCAGCGACCACGACCTCCTGGACAGCGACCATCATGTACTCTATCATATCGAGTACGAAGGCTACTGGCAGCAGCTTGAATCTCCCGCGGATACTAGCCGTGACTCCGAGGAGACAGAAGCGGTCGTTCTCGTCATCCATACCAGTTAGGGAACCGCAGAAGCCGACGAACACTCGCAGTCTACAGACTCAGGTCGCTCCAAGACCAGACCCGGTCTTCCCATGCATCGATGCCCACTATGCACGAGCATCACGCGTCGAGCGCCGACCACCGCCTTTCCTTCCTGCTGCTCGTCATCCACCCCGCGCACCATCACCACACGGACCGCGGATCCCAGAGGCGCCAAATACCGAACCTGGGTCCGGTCCTGAGCCCGCATACTCCTACCCAACAGGGTACGAGATCTATCACCACACGGAACCGTTCCCCCTCTGCTATAGCACCATCCCTCTGCCTGGCTTCCAGCTCGCGTACGAAACTTGGGGCACGCTAAATGCCGACAAGTCTAATGCGATCCTGCTCCATACAGGACTGTCCGCTTCGTCACACGCAGCGAGCACGGCCAAGAACCCGGCCGAGGGCTGGTGGGAGCAGTTCATCGGTCCGGGTAAAACGATCGACACGAGCAAGTACTTTGTCATATGCACGAACGTACTTGGAGGATGCTACGGCTCGACTGGTCCTAGCTCGCCTGATCCGAGCTCACCGGCAGGAGAGCCGTACGCTACTCGGTTCCCTGTGCTGAGCTTGTTCGATATGGTGCGAGCGCAGTTCCACCTGCTGGACTATCTCGGGATCGACACGCTGTATGCGAGCGTGGGGTCCTCGATGGGCGCGATGCAGAGTTTGGCTGCTGGGTGGTTGGAACCTGATAGGGTGAAAAGGATTGTCAGCATTTCGGGGACTGCGAGGAGTAGTCCTGGAAGTATCGCCATGCGCTACGCGCAACGGAGTGGTCAGTCTAACTGCTATCTCAGCTTCTTATGCTGACTTCCGTTTAACCTAGTTCTCATGGCTGATCCTAATTGGAACCGAGGGTTCTACTACCACGGCCAATTCCCCCACACAGGGATGAAGCTCGCCCGACAAATAGCGACGATCACCTACCGCAGCGGGCCCGAATGGGAACTACGCTTCGGCCGCAAGCTACGTGATATCCCCCTCTCCGCCTCCACAGCCGAGGGCAACCCGATCCTCGAGGGTCGCACGCCTACCGGATCACGCGTACCTGCTCTATGCCCGGACTTCCTTATCGAGACGTACCTTGACCATCAGGGCGAAGCCTTTTGCCTCAAGTACGATGCGAACTCGTTGATCTATATTAGCAAAGCGATGGACTTGTTTGACATGACGGAGGAAGCGCTTGCTGGGCTGCCTATCGTCTCCCATCGGCGAGCTGCCGCTCCAGCGGAGGAGGAGCACGGGAGGCACCGGCAACCTCTCTCCTTAGCAGCCCCAGCAGCCTTCCTCCCCTCATTAGCACAAGGTCTCACACCGCTCAAACACATCCCCACCCTCGTCCTCGGAATCCAGAGCGACATCCTCTTCCCCGTCGAGCAGCAACGGGAAGTTGCGGACGCCCTCCGGATGGCTGGAAATCACCAGGTCGTCTTCTACGAACTGGGCGGCGTGTGGGGACATGATACGTTCTTGATTGATGTTGCGAATGTTGGGGGGGCGATAAGGGGGTTTTTGCATTAGATGGTGGTTGGGATGGAAGATGAAAGGCAGGAAGGGGTTGACTTGTTTATATAGTAATATTGTACACAGCACAAACAGACGATTGATATCATGATTTTTCCACCAAGAGGTACAGAGCGTGAAAGCCGCTAGGAGGGTAGTAAGCGGAAACCGGTAATCCCTCGAGCTCCCTGTCACTAGTACTCCTCCACCGATAATCTCATACCCTCGGTCGAGAAAGGCGCCCGCACGTTCACCCTCTGAACGCAGGAGGATGAACCGTCTCCTCTGGCGTCCTCCTCGAACCTTTCCACTCCAGCTCTTCAGGCCCCAACCCCATCCCTCCCCTTTCCCACCATTCGCGCAACTAAGATCCCACAGCATGCACAAGCTGCACGCACAGAAAGTACCCTTCCCGGGCTTGGAGGGGGAGGTGCTGAGGTACAGCTCTACTGTGGTCGTGCGGCCTGCGCAGAGGGAGGCGGGAGCTGGAGAGCCGGGGTACGTCTTCCATTGCTGTCGTTCTGTCTTGTTGGAGCTGGAGCTGATGGGGTTATGGGTAGGGTAGTGCTTATCATGCGGTGGAGTGCGTCTCCCTCCATGCCTGCCATAAGACTTAGCTAATCGCGGTGCCAATACCACGTTATATTATGCATAAACAGTGGACGCCGCCGATGCCCATGCAGCAAAGTACATGTCTGCATATACACAGCTCTATCCAGGTAGCACGCAAGTTGTTGTCTCCTCCCCCCAGAAGCTGTTGTGGCTGGGCGAGGCGTACAGGGAGCAGGAGATGGGCGTCGTTCAGCAGGTTTTGGAGGAGCAGGGGGTGCTTGGAAGGGGGCAGCAGGGGGAAGGGAAGGGGCTGTTGTTGCATGTCTTTTCGAATGGTGAGTTTTGTTGTGAGGAAGGGGCGGAACTGAGAGGGACGTAGGAGGGTGCTTGACACTTATCTCCCTCTGCAAGCGGATCCTCGCATACCGTGCCCTCCCCACCTCCCCCTCCACCGCCGCCGACGACCCCGCCCCGCCCCAGCCTGCCCTACCCGCCAAAGCGATCATCTACGATTCCTGCCCCGCGCCCATCACCCTCCCCGGTGGTGCAACGGCGTTTAGCATGATCTTCCCCCCACCTGTGCGGGGGATTGCGTGGTACGCGATCTACGGCTTGTTACTCCTTGTTCGGGGCGTGAACGGGTTGCTCGGATACCCGGATTCTGTAGGTCGGATGAGGGAGGAACTCCTTTCCCCCCTGTTGTTGCCTGATGAGGCGCAGAGGGTGTATGTCTACGGGACGGGGGATAGGATTGTACCGTTTGAGGAGGTGGAGGAGATGGTGGAGCTGGAGAGGAGGAGGGGGAGGAAGGTGCGGCAAGAGAGGTTTGAGGGGAGTGGGCATGTACTGCATGTGAGGAGTGAGCCGGGGAGGTATTGGGAGTGTGTGAAGAGGGTGTGGGAGGAGGCTCAGGTGTAATTGATCACTAGTACTTGTTTGGTGCTAAACATGTTGTCCAACTTCTGCTGAATGCTCTCCTTGCTGTGATCTGAGTTACGATAAAAAGATACGTATTCCTTTGCGAGGATGTTGAACTCTTTCCGCTCACTTCCGATACCATAGGGTTCTTCCTTATGGCCAGGCCTTTTTCATACTGCCGGTGTGAGCGGATTGGGGATAAAAGTATGTTTAGGGTGTGTATTATAATCATTATATTGTGAGTGATGGTGGTCTAGACTATATGTACACTTGAATGTAAGAGTAATAATAGCCTATGCATTCAAGGGGTGTTCTATAGTAGAAAGGAGTAAGCTTCTATGTGTCATGGATTGAACCCGCTCTCTCTCCTTCTCTCCTTTCCCCTCTCCTTCCCTCTCTTTTGGGAAATCACACTACCTTCATTTGGGATTAATCCTCGTGTACAGGACACATATCACTCTTTGTTCAATCTTCACTCTCATTACTCTCTTTCTCTTTCATTCACTACAATGCTCCCCCTCCTCCTCCTCCTGCTGCTCCCCCTCCCCCTCCTCCCCTTCCTCACTCTCACAACTGCCATCACTCTCCCAATAACTCAACGTCGTTCACCACGTATAGGCACTTCATTCCACAGAGGAACAATCAACGCAGCATCATCACCCTCAAACGACACAGAATCCGTATCAACAGATGCAGACCTCGTATATATCGCAGATATCGACATTGCAGGCACTTCTCTCCCAGTACAGATCGATACAGGCAGTAGTGACTTATGGGTACAACCGCCCTCTCCCCTATCAAGTATAACCCAATCCGTGAGTCCACCTACCCCATCCCCATCCCCATCCCCATCCCACTTAACCTCCCGCGTACAGACAGTATTCATAAACATGTCATACGGAATCGGGTACACAGCAGGCCTCGTAGCCCAAGCTTCCGTATCCTTCGCCTCCTACACCCTGCCCCAACAAGCCTTCATCCTCGCTTCCTCCGCCTCCAACCCCATCTTCTCCTACGGCGCAGTCGGCATCGTCGGCCTCGGGTTCACATCTCTTTCCCAGATCGACTACAGCGTGAACGCGACTGGTGCCAGTTGGGGCAGGTCACTGCTCTACAACGCCTTTGCGCAGAAACCGGGAGATCCGAATTTTATCAGTTTTGTTCTTCAGAGGAGTGAGGACCCGAGTGATGTCACACAGGGCAGTCTGACAATAGGGGAGTACGTACCGGAGTACAGTAACATCCAGGCTGGAGCGAAGCTTTCTACTGTGCCCGAGGTCGAGCCCAGTCGCTGGCAGATAGGGCTCGACGCCATCGAGACTTCTGGGGGGAACATCACTGGTGCGTCGAGCGTTTACCTACGCGTGTGAGCCAGTACGAGTGCTAACCCCACCCCCTAGGGCTGAGCTCCATCTCCCCCCAAGCGCCTGCAGGGAAACTCGTAGCCCTCCTAGACAGCGGCACTTCCTACGCCTACGTCACCCCCCAGATCGCGCAATCCATCTACGGCTCCATAGACGGAGCGTCACTCGACTCCTCAAGCCAGACGTGGACACTCCCCTGCTCTGCACAAGTGACACTAGCGTTCTGGTTCTCTGGCCAACGTGTCTATGTCCATCCACTCGATTCCAACAGGCAGCAAGCGGACGGCTCCTGCATAGGCACCTTCCTCCCCCAGTCTCTAGCCGTAGGAGGAGCATACGACATCCTCCTAGGGGACGTCTTCCTCCGAAACGTCTACTCGCTGTACGACTTCGGGGATACCTCAGCGTCGGGCACGAGCGTGGGAGGGCCGTATGTCCAGTTACTGGGGATAACGGGCGAGCTCCAGGCGTTGCAGGAGTTTGTCGCTGTTAGGGGAGGGACGGTGCCTGCTAGTGTTGCCCAGGGAACGGATACGACTACTGCTTCGGGCTCGCAATCTACTGGGGTGCCAAGTCCTGGTAGCTCGGGCAGTTCCGGCAGTTCCGGCTCCTCCAGCTCCGGTAGCTCAGGCTCCGGCAGCTCGGGCTCAGGTTCAGGATCGAGCACAATCTCAGCAGCCGACCAATCCTCCATCAACATCAGCAAACTGCTGGACTACGTCCCTGCCCTCCTGGGCCTCCTTGCGCTGAACACCCTCTTCCTGGTGTTACTCCTCGTACTCGGGGTTTGGGCGGTCTTGAGGTGGAAACGAGCGGCTGCGGGAGGGGCGGCAGCCGGAGCTGGGGGAGCCGGAGCCGGGGGAGGAGGAGGAGGAGGGTATAAGCCCGTCAAGCTACATACCGGGACTAGGGAGACGTACGACCCTGAAGCGCCGTACAACGCTCAAACCCAGAACCGCAGTACAGAGGAAAAGGCCGCCGACGCCCACGCGGATAGGCACGGGCAGGGGGACGCACCCCTCTCGGCTCTGTCGGCTCTGGACCCACCTAGACTCCCGTTTGAGATTAGGCAGAGCGTGTTCGACCCTAGGCTGTCGGTTTTCCAGACGAGGTCGAGTGGGTCTTTGGACAAGGTTTCACTGCGCTCCGGTTCTGGTACTGGTACTGGTTCTGGGTCGGGGAAGCATGCGGGTTCGGATGGGGATGGGGATGCAGATGCGGATGCGGATGCGGATGGGGATGCGGATGCGGAGGGCAAGAGGCCAACGACCCCTCTAAGCGCTGGGACGACACTTGTCCCTTCTAGCGCGGTAGACAACAGGCTCAGTATGATCCCCAGTGTAGGACCGATCGACGAGCTCGGGGGCTCTTCCCCAGAAGACGCAGAGCCCGACGCAGCGCTCCCCGCTCACGCTCGCGCTACTGAGAGGGATAGCCTGCTCCTCCCCCCTCTTTTTCCATTCTCTGACCATGGGGGAAATCGTTCGACCCTGCCTGGGCTGCCTGCCTTACCCCTCAGTAGGCCGAGTAGCATGCTCGCCCCCCTGGTGGGAGACCCGGCGGTCTTGCTCGCCACCTCTTCGCCGGACCGGAACAGGCTCGGGAGCGCTGGGAGCGCTGGGCTCGAGCCTCCTCGACCTTTCGCTAGCCGCTCGCCCTCCCCCTCCTCCGTCAACAACCCCGCCAACCCAAACCCAGGGCCGGGGCCGACGCAAGCGCTCATCACCCTCCAAACTCCCGAAAAAGAACATTTCCTCCTCCCCAGCCATGGGCGGACTGACAGTCTCAGCCAGCTCCCGCCCCTCCCTCTCAGCAGGCCGGGGAGTATCCTCCTCCCTAGCAACTCCGACCCGCAGATCCAGATCGGGGATCGGAGGCTGAGCAGGCTCGACCCTCCCCCTCCAGGCCGATACGCCAACCCTAGCCAAAGGCGGGGCAGTTCTAGCAGTGTCGAGCGCTCTCCGTCCCCCTCTCCATCACCTACGACCTCCTCATTCCCTAACCTCAACCTCCGCGCTAGCGTCATACACGCTTCTTCTGCCCCTCCCCCTCGCCCCGCACCCCCAGGGAGAGCTGGACCCCCCCGCCCGCTGAGCTTGGTCGACTCCGGCGCTGCTGGACCTCCGAGGCCTAGGATCCTCTCCCCGCGTATTGCAGACCGGCCGACGAGCATGTTCGACACTACGCCGGCCTTGCAGCCTCCGCCCGCGAGCCTGCGAGGTTCTCGCTTGTCGAGAGCGAGCTATGTCCCTCCTTCGGCTTCTGCCACGGCTGGGGACATCTCCCCAACCCGTGGGTACCAGCTTCGGGACGGGCCCGTCCCTAGCCCCAATCCCAATCCCAGTCCTAGTTCAGCTTCTACCCCCGGCAGCGGAACCACCAGCGCCGATCCGAGCCCGACGTTTCCTCCCGGGCTTCGGGCGAGCCAAGCGAACCGTATCCCATCTCGATCTCGCTTAGCACAGCCGTCCTTCATCCCTGAGCAGGACGACCTTAGTCCTGTTGACCTCCAAACTCCTACCGATAACAATAGGAGGGCGACGATGTTCCTCCCTCCTCTGCCACGTTCACGCCCTGGGTCGTACTATGACCCGTAGAGCGGAGGACTTGACGGAGGACGCACTTCATCCACCCCATACGACCGTAGCACCAGATCTATCCCTCTTTTACTTTATTGTCTGATATCATGGACTCGAGATGTACAATTTGCTCGCTAGCGAGCTACGCTTTCTTTTTTTTTGTCTGTGGAACACTCTTTATCTCACGACCTTCTTTGTGCTGATTCGTAGCCAGTGTTTTAGTTGATCTCGGCAATGGCATGTCTATTCCGCACTTCGGATATCTACCCTGTGTGGATATCTAACCCATCGTGACACGCCTACTGGTCTCCCAGCAGCTCCGCAGAGTTCTCTCGATCGATAGACTCTCCCATCCATTCCCTAAGTGCGGGACCGAGTTTCCAGTTCTGATCAAAGTCCATCTTCGTCCTCTCGCACACTTTGGCGGTATGATCAAGCCACTTTTGTTCGAAGGGCAAGTCGGGCCCACCGCGGTCTATGGCGCTCAAGATCGCTTCCGCCAGTTTGGCACGATAAAACGCCTGGGTGCGCTGGGTATGCCTTGACCCCTTTGTTGAGTGTTCTCTATCACCCGAAGGCACGTTAGACCCAGGGAAAAAGTGAGGCAGCCCAATGTGTCTGACTATCTCGAGAGCATGGGAGATGTTCCGCTCCTTTGACAGCGACGAACGAACCAAGCAGCTCATAGCGTGAGCGTCAGGAAGGAAGGAACGGCCCATGACGACCGACCGCGGCTTGGGTTCCGAGCTCGTGACAAAATCAGCGTCGTCATATCCGCTCATGCGGGAGAACCCCTTGCGCGCCGAGTTGTAGTCGTTCCCTTTCCAGCACGCGCGGAACATGGCAGTGTACGTATCTTGATTGGGGAGTATGCCTCTCCACGCTTTCGGGTCGAGCGCCTCCATGCGGTACATCCATTCGATTAGTTCGAAGGCCTCCTGGACATCGGTGCTCCCCTTCGCGACGGCGAGTTCTGCATGAGCGTTGATGGCGAGGTTCAGATGCCCCGTGTTGAGGATATGGGGCGCCCAGGGAGAGTCCTGCACTTGCTGGATATAGTGCAATATGTAGCGGAAACGGCGCATGCTGGCTGCGAGCAGAAGGGCCAGGTGGAAGGAGTAGCTCGTCAATGCCAACGGTTGACCGTTCTTCCCCCGTGCGATCTTGCTCCCTTCAGAGGGGCTCAGAGTGCCTGGTTTTATCAAACCGAGATACTCTTCCACGAGATCCAGACCGTACTGCTGATCCGTGAGCCGAGGCGAGGCCGTCATGATGCGCAAAATGGCTGAAATGAGGTGAGAGTCGACAAGTACCGGGGTCCCATTCCTCGGAGCTCGTATCTGGTCCCACACTTTCCTGGCAAGTACGGCATCTCGGATCTCTTTCACCTCTCCTGTCTCTCCCTTCCAGGGAACGTCGGGCCGCTTGAGGATACAGCGAAGCACGGTCGAGTATGTGAAACCGTCCGCCTTAAGCGGCGCATAGTCCTCCATGCTGCGGAAGACGTCGTACAGCTCCTGGTGCCTTCCGAGCTCCAGAAGAAGGTCGAGGTAGGCATTGAAAGGTATGTTAAAGTCTGTGACTTGAAAATGGCGATTGTCTTCTAGGTCCCCGAGAACTTTGATGAATTGTGTGTAGGCGGAAGAAACGCGGCCGAGGAACTGTTCGCTGAACTTGCCATCGGACTTGGCCGCGCGCCTTGCAAGACCTTGAAACATGATCGTCCATGTTGATGGAATAGGTGTGAATCCGCGTCGTTTCATCTAGTAAAGACGTCAAAATCACACTGTAGACGGTGAGCAGCACGGCTCACATCGATAAACAATGTGTATCCAGTATTGATTTGATAAGCATTGAATGCATACATGATCAACGTATTCCACACGATCGCGTTCTGCGAGGCTGTCGGCGCGCTCTTCACGTACGAGATCGCCTCGTCGAGCTTGCCCTGCTCACACAGCTTCGTCACTCGCTGAGCGAGTTCGTACGGCCGCATGGGAGGGGCGACACGAGTCCCCGTGCGAGATTCAGGGGTAGAAGCTTCGCCTTCGAGCAACGTGACTGGGTTGGTATCCAATGGTGCGGACTCCACAGAGACGAAGTCGGATACAGCAGGCCCTCGGGGCTTTCGGTTCCTCTTCTCAGTGTTGGTCCTCGGCTCCTTCTCTTCACCCCTCGGCCTCCACTCCTTCTCCCTCTTCGACCACTGATCCTTCTTTTCACTCGTCCACCTTTCTCTCATATTGTGTGATCCACTTGCTCCAATTCTCTCTTCCCTGCTCCCTGTTGGCCTGAACGCTCGAGTTCTCTCGCCATCCCTCCTTGCGGAGCGGGACCATCCAGATCTCTCACTTTTTGTGGTGGAGAGACCTTGATCTCTCTCCACATCTCTGCTCCTCATCCCGGATCCTCCAGCCCTCTCTCCGTCTCTGCCTATACGCTGCCCATGCTCCGACGCATCTCTCGGTCGCACCGCACTAGCAGCACCCCGCGAAAGAGCAGGCACAGCGAGCTGAAGCTCAGGCCGAGGTATCGCACATCGACACGCAGAAGTACTCAGATATCGAGAGCAGCACACGGCTGTTTTCGCGGTCCAGAAGGGCATGTGAGAGGGTGTGGAAGGAACAGAAAATGTACAAGTCGTGCGCCAAAACTTCGGATTTGTTTAAGTGGCTGTGTAAGGGTCCATCTAAATCTCGGAGCCGTTGTGCTTCTTCTCCGAACTGACCATCCTTCATTGTACGTCGTGCTCCTATGGCGAAGCGGAGCGTCTTCCGCCCTTGTATAGATCTACATAACGGCGTAGTCAAACAGATAGTAGGTGGGTCACTGTCCTCCGATGACTCCTCCCTGAAGACAAACTTCGTCGCCAGGTCCGTCCCTCCTTTCCCCGGAACGAGACGCAAGGCTAACAGGATTTCGCAACCCAGCCAGTCCCCAGCATACTACGCACAACTGTATAAAGACAACGACCTTACAGGAGGACACGTGATACTCCTTGGACCGGGTAATGATGCCGCAGCGAGGGAAGCGCTTGCTGCCTGGCCTGGGGGGTTACACGTGGGGGGAGGGATCAACGATACCAACGCCCTTTCCTGGCTGAGTGCCGGAGCGGAGAAAGTGATTGTCACTTCCTTCCTCTTTCCTTCTGCAAAGTTCTCCCTCGAGAGACTAGAGAGGTTGGAGCAGCTGGTGGGGAAAGAGAGGCTCGTGGTTGACGTGAGCTGCAGGAAGAGGGGCGAGAAATGGATCGTTGCGATGAACAAATGGGAAGACCTGACCGACATGGAAGTCACCGCTTCCTCCCTTCAACTACTCGAACAGCACTGCAGCGAATTCCTCATCCATGCCGCCGACGTCGAAGGTCTATGCCAAGGGATCGACGCTGAGCTCGTACAAAGGTTAGGGGGGTGGATGAGCGTCCCGTGCACTTATGCGGGCGGGGCTAGAGAGCTGGCAGATTTGGAGCTGGTTCAAAGACTAAGTGGGGGAAAAGTGGACTTGACTTTTGGAAGCGCATTGGATATATTTGGTGGGAAGGGGGTGAGGTTTGACGACCTGGTGGAGTACAATAGGAGGGAGTTATAGCGATACACTTTGTAGATGCGAGGTCTCGAGGCCACTCTGCGCGGGGACATGTAATAAGTTTAATCATGCAAACTTTATCCTCAGTACCTGTACAATATAGACGCCCAAAAACATAAGTATCCAAGAGAGGAGCGACCAATCCAGCTCAAACCCTCAGCGGGCCTCCGCACTCTGCATAATCAGCAGACTCGCCCTACTGCCCGAGACCGCAAACGCAGTCGCAACATCTCCAATTGTCTTCCTAACATCGGGGTTGATGCTCGTCTCCCTCCCATGCTCTGACAACAGCTGTGCCAACTCCGCGTGGTGGCTCTCCGTCGCTAACCTCCTTCCACGTCCAACGACCACAACGAGGGTCTTCCAGGATCCTGATTCGCGCTCTTCCTGATGGGCACGCTGGACGAGCACACGTAGAGGCTGCGAGCTAGTCAAGCTCGAGAAGTTGACACGTGTCAGCGCTTCCTCTATAAACGGACTGCGCGGTGCCGTCTCCCCGCTCGGTCGCGCAAACGTCTCCCAAGCGATGTCGTCCGCAGCGCTTGAGGCAAGCTGGACCTGGGTCGTATTCTGGCCATAGACCGTGTCAGGGAAGTGTGTGGATTGTAGAGTCATGCCGGCGTTGAGTGTTGAAGCGATGTTGTCCCTGATGTTATCCGAAAGGTGCGTGGCCGCGGGGGTCTGTAGATCGACTTCTGTCGGCTCGTCGCTCTTCGTCACCCGGATGACGGTGGCACTGATAGCCGGGTGCGCACACAGCTGGACGACCAAGGCGAGGGCGGCGCGATCATCAGGCCCACCAAAGAAGGGGAAGAAGATATGCTGGCCGTATCCGCCTGCCGTTTCGCTCGGTGACAGTCCGCGGTCGATGAACAGCGCAACATCTGAGGGTGCCTCTGCGAACACCCTGCGCGCAAATTGGGAGTAGAGCAGAGACTGAGGCCCGTCGGGTGCCGAGGTACTCGTGGGTGAGCTGAATAGACTGGAAAGAGGGCCGGAATAGGTCGTCGTACCCGATGCGCCTGTGGTAGCTTGTTCCAGCACGCTAGAACCCATGCTCTGCGGTCCCCAGGGGATGATAACCAACTCCGAGGCATGGTCCTGTACATGATGGTTGACACTCGAGGGGAAGGAGTCATAGTTGACAACAGATACCGAGGCGGAGATTGGAATCCGGTTCAAGTGGCCGTAGGTGCGGAAGATGTTCACAAGCGGATCAGAGCGCACGAGCTCGTCCGTCACCGAGGCTTTGAACAATGCCGACGCGCGCTCAGTGAGCTCAATCAACCGGAGCGCGTCGATACGCACAGGAGGGGTGTGCGGGCTGATGGTCGTCGCGCGGACCGGAGTAGTAGAAAGGACGGGAACGCTAAGCATCCTCCCGGTGTTTTGCTTGGTGGTACTATCCTTCTCACTCTCGTCGATCGAGCTCGCACGTGTGTTGTCGAACGCTGTCGCGGGTCCAGTAGGCGGGGGCTGCAACAGCTGGGTGAGGGTCATCAGCGCGGGTAGATGCTCCATCTTGCTCAGGACGACCGCAAAGCGGCTCTTGAGCTGTTCCTCGCCGCGCGTCGCTGTCGTGCCCGTGACGGAGTTGAAAGTCGTGGCGCGTGGTGTAGGGTGGGCTGCTTCTGCCTCACTGTGCCTGTGTGTTGGCCCGGGAAGGTGACCGTCGGCCAAGTAGACATGGTACTTGGGGGGGTAGAACATGAGGGTAAGAGGAGTGGTCATGAACGTGAGCACCAGGGCCATGACGACGAACATCGAGAATATGCGCGTATCGAGGATACCAGCTGAGAGACCGACGTTGAGGACGATAAGCTCAACAAGACCTTTGCAGGACATGAGAGTACCGATTGCGCCTGCTTCGCGCCATTTGAATCCAAAGAAGAAGGCGGTGGCTGCGCAGCCGACGAACTTGCCCACAAATGCGATCACGCACAAGAGGACGATGTATCCCCAGTCGACGCCGCGGTTAAGCAAGCCAAGGTTGGTGCTGAGCCCGGAGAGAGCAAAGTAGATGGGGATGAAGAGGAGAGTGACGAGGTCTTCAAATTTCTCCACAAGGGCGGTTCTGAACCCACCCTCATGGGGCATGGCAATGCCTGCGAGAAAGCCGCCGAAGATGGCGTGCACGCCGATGACGTCAGTGAAGAATGCGCTGGCAAACACGAGCAACAGCACTAGCGTCATCATGAAGGGTGTAGGGCCGGATTCGAAGGAACCCGTTTTGCGGGCGAGCCAATTCAGGCCCCACTTGATGGGGAAGAGGAGGACAAGGGCCCAGCCAACCGTGCAGAGGAGGATGTACACAGCCATGACGCCAGTGGTGGCATTGACGAGTGCGACGGTGAGAGCGAGGAGAATCCATCCAACGATGTCGTTTCCTACACCAGCGGCGAGGGTAACTGTCCCAACCGCGGTGGGAAGCAGCTTGCATTCGGTCAGGATACGGCAAAGCACGGGGAAGGCGGTGATAGACATAGCCACACCGGCAAAGAGTAGATAGTTGCCGAATGAGACGATGGATTCGTTGATGTAAAGCGCATACATGGGGACCGAGACGGCGGCGCCGAGACCGAAGGGGAGGACCATGCCGACTGCGGAGATGGCGAGACTGGCACGTCCGTTACGCCTGATGATGCGCGTGTCGACTTCCATACCTACGACGAAGAGGAAGAGGACAAGACCGATGTTGGCGGTGAGATTGAGGTAATATACACTCTGCGCAGGGAAGATGTTGTTCGTGAAACCGTTGATGCGCCCCATTGCCGTTGGACCAAGGAGGATACCACCGATGACCTCGCTGATAACTCGGGGTTGGCGGATGCGACTCAGGAAGAGCCCAAGCAGCTGGGTAAAGCAGATGATGATGAACAGCTGGATTATCCATAGACGGATGGGGTCGGCGTTGTTGAGCGCAGCGGGGTTCTGGCCTTGTAGCAGGCCTCCCTAGAGGATTGAAGTGGTGAGCACATGGTGAGTGCCAGCAGAGAAGGAGACGTACCTGTGTTGGAGCAATTGCTCGGCTTACAAGACCGTAGGCGGCATCGCTGACGTCCTTGCCCAGGTGCATTATCTGGGTAGAAAACGAGAGAGCAGGCATGTTTCTCGTTCCTTGACCGTCAAGAAGGGCAAGAGGCAAGCCGTGGAAAAGAAGATGCCCTCGTTGTCCGGTTAATAAGGACGGCTGGCAGCAATAAGAAGCGGCGATAGAGGGCTATGCAGGGAGATGATGTGCCTGATAGTAGATAAATGGAGGGCCTGAGGGTCGGTGAAGATGGAGAGAAGGCTGATGTACACCCTGATGCTCATATGTATGTAAGTAGGAAGCCAAGAGAAGATCCGAGAGTCCCCAAGCCCTCAACCCGCGACACGGAAGCGCCCACACCCCTTGACACGTGAAACGGTGCCTACTAGTTAAAGTCGCACATTGTCTCATCCCATTGGTTCGCCTTCATCGGGCATTGATAAACACTTCATTCCTGCCGAACAATGAATTCAATCATCAATATCCCTCCAAGCCCAGCACAGCTGTCGCATATCTCAGAATCATGTCCATGAGAACCACTGCTCTGGTTCCCATTCTGTTACGCGCACATGTTCAAACACGCTTCACGACAGCCGTGACCAAGGCGGTGCACTTTTCCCGGCGCATCAGGGCTCGTGGCTAGCACATCCTCAGCGCTGATGGTTCGTGACCTTCCCCCAGCGGTCAGCGCGTTCATGCGCCACAACAAAAAGGAGTGAAAATAGGATTACATTCCCCCGCGTTCGACCCCTGACCAACGTCGTCATCGCTCAATTGATGTATGCAAGCACCCCTTGCATGATCCTCTTTTTGGCCACCTCCTTTCCTCAACATGCCGGTTTCTTTCCGTAACGCAACAATCGATGACACTCTATTTCTGCTGCGGCCTGTAGTACGGCATCTTCACCTCGTGGATCGGGGTCTGCCCTTCCGTTGTGCCAGGGATCTCCTTCTTGTACCCCTAAGCGTCCGTCAGCCATGCATCCATCAACCCATCAGTAGAAATCTGCATCTCCCATCCTCAGGCCTGGTTTCCCACAGGAACGACCCAGGATTGTCTTACTAATAGACGTGGGAGCCGCGGGAAACGCGGAGAGCGAGGATGTCTCGTGTCCTCCAGGGAGAGCGGTGAGGCCAAAGAGATAAACTCACAATCTTGGTGAAAGCGCAAGTGTTGAGAGGACGCTCTTCCCTCCGGCACTTGTAGTAGTACTATTCCCATATCAGGGCTGGCGTGCCATAGGAATGGAGATATGCACACACATGGTTGTTCTGCTCTAAGCACTGCCAATGGGTCTCGAACTCGGCTGCACAGGCCGCACGGAGGTTGGTGAGCCTGCCAAGGGTTAATCAGCCGAGAAGACGAGAGGGTAGATCAGGGGTGAGAGTTTGGAAATGGGAAGAACGGTGGGAGGACCGGGGTGGACTGGGAGGGGACGTACACTTCCTGTGCGCAGCGGGTGACCTTGCGCCCTTCTTGTAAACAATGCTCGGGTGCGCGACTCTCATTCTTGCAGAGCATGAAGTCCTCTACACGCCACGCAAAGCACCGGTCCCAACATCAACCAACATCAAGCAAACAAGTTGACCAAACATCGAATCGCACCCAACAAACCCAGACATACCAAGACAACCTCATCAGCGCATACTCTCGCAACGAACAACAAACGCACCATTAAACTCCTTACACCTATCGCCAATAAAGTACGCAGCGCTCTTCAGCGGGCCACTTGTCGCTCCCAGCTCCTGCACAGGTGGTAACGGATCCTTCAGCTCGGCCATCCCTCTATGCGCGTTGGGTGAGTTGTATGCGGTGGGGAGCTCGGGCTGGATGAGCTCTCAAGTCGAGGGGGACGGATCAGGAAGGGTGTGCTGGTTGCTTCCGAGGGGCACGCGGAGTTGCTTCCGTCAATATTAGGCTTCTCTTACGTTCACCATCAACCTTATCACCTTTCTCTTTCTCCAACTCGATTAATGACATTCATCTGACTTGTCGCTCTACATCGAATGAACCCGTGACTCCGTTGTGCATTCCTTGATGACGTCGGGTCGGTTGATGTCACCAATTCCTTGTATCGTCTCTCATCAACCCCTCGCACGATCTTGGCTCACAGGGGGGTCTATGCTCGGGTGACACGCTTAGCATGTCTGTCAGGAGCGGAGCTCGCCTAGAAGAGAGTTACACGAGTTCTCTGATGATTCATGGTCGAACTGGGACAATATGAATCAGGCGCCTATTCCCTGTGTGTACTTGGCTTGTCGGTTCGGCTATTGCGGTTCTGGATAATAATGTGAGTGACGATTCTTTTGAACGGGAACCCCCTGAGGTTTCACGCATATATTCAGAAAGGTTGAGATTGCCCAACATGACGTAGACGATGACTATACATGTACATGTCCTGGTAGCTTGGGACCTTATCGACGCCCACACGCTATCTTTCGAAGACGCAATGTTCTTGCACTATCCCTCGTCCTTCTCAACAGTGGAGACCATCGGTCTGGCTGAGCACTTCCTCCGTTACAGCCGTGAGAAATACCGCGTTCAACAGAAGAGACTAATCGCTCGCAGTTCTGGCTCTTCACGTCCATCTATGGTGTCGATATACAATGACAATGACCAAGCACTCCCAGAGGGCAATTCCAATCGCCCAGCAACAAGGGATTTCCGTTTTGCCTGACGCGAGCTTCCCCACTCCGGAGTGACTTCGTCATTCCCGTCAACATGCAGCCGGGAGCGCCGGAGCCTGTGACCATTCCGCTTCCGTCACCATCAGCTTGCGGAAGAAATGTTCTCGGACTGAAACTCCGTTTGTATGCGGGGATTCTGGGGACGGTACAACCCATCTTCCAACTATGAGAATAGGATAACAAACTGAGCGATTTAGGCTAGCGGAATTCGTTATCATTGATCGATATTCGATACATGGAAGACGGTCTGTGAATTGTTGTGCCGATCGAACGATTATCCTTATATTTTCGCACAGCTTCGCGGCGTGACACTCCTAACTAGGAAACTTTCAGTTCAATGGCCACATATTAACAATCCTTGAACAATGTGTTTCACTTGTGATATCGATAAGTCGGGCTTGGCCCGTCGGGTAAAAGGTTGCGGAGCCTCGCATCGATCGTCGTCACACGGCGCCCCTGGACATCTTCATTGACTATTCTGTACGGAGTTACACGCGTACAATCTGGTCGGATAATCAACTTTCGCGGCGATTCACTGCGCGTCTATATAACGATGGCTCCTCTCCCCTCGAGAAATCTCAGCATTCGCTCAGACATTCAACTGTCTGCATCTCAGCTTTCACAGCTGCCAGCTGCCTCGTATATTCTTTACTCATCTAAAGAATTCCTCTATCATCTATCATGCCCGTCGCAGTCGAACAACCGTTCCAGGAGGTTCCTACTCTCGACTGGTCCCTTGCAGAGGGTACTGCTGAGGATAGGGAGACATTCAAAGCTAACCTCCTCCACGCGCTCGTCAATGTCGGCTTCATGTATCTCAAGAACTCTCCGGTCACTCAGGTTCGTGGCACTTGTCGAATGTTAATAACATGGAGATTGACGCTTACTCCAGGAGCAAGTTAACCAGCTCCTCGACTATATTCCAAAGGTCTTCGATCTGCCCATGGAGGAGAAAATGGAGTGTTCCATGCTGAAGTCCCCGCATTTCCTTGGCTACTCCAGGCAGGGCCAGGAGTTTACCAAAGGCGCGCGTGATAACCGTGAGCAATTTGATTTCGCCACGGACTACGACTGCAAGTGGAAGGAGGGTGACGAGGACTGGAAGAGGCTGTGGGGTCCTCCTCTTGTAGGTCTAGTGACGGTAATCGAGTTCGAATACTGACGACAAATGCAGTACCCAAGGGAGGAAGCCCTTCCTGGTTTCCGAAAGTGTATCGTCGATTATCTCAACGGTGTGGCCGACCTCGGTTTTAAGATGATTGACCTTATCGAAGACTGCTTGGAAGTCCCTCGCGGCAGCCTCGCCCAATTCTATGATGGGAACATGCAGCAACGGCTGAAGTTGCTGAAGTATGTCGATGCGTCCAACCTTCGCCCTGAGGACGGTACCCAGGGTGTTGGGCCCCACTTCGATCACGGCCTTCTTACTTTCCTGCTGCAAGCCACGGCACACCCCGGCCTGCAGGTTCAGAACAAGGCGGGCGAGTGGATCGATGCACCTCCTGTCCCCGGCACCTTTGTGGTCAACATCGGCAAGGCGCTGGAGATTGCCACTAAGAAGGTCTGTATCGCCACTTCTCACCGGGTGATCTCTCCCCCGAAGGGCATGGGCTCTCGTTACTCCGTCCCTTACTTCCAAAGCTTCTCCCTTGCAGCCAAGGTCAACAAGGGCATCACCATTCCCCAGGAGATCCTCGAGCTAAAGCGGGCCCGCGGAGACGTTGCTGTGGCCGAGTCTGTCAACTACTCTGAATATGCTACCGAGTGCAATGGCCAGGTTCAGCTCATCGGCCGCATCAAATCACACCCAGACGTGGGCGAGAAGTGGTACCCCGAGCTATTTAACGAGCTCTTCCCCAGTGGAAGGCCCTCTTTCGGCGCCGCTTATTAAGCTACGTATTTCGGACGAGCGAAGAAGAGTTCGAGGTGTAACGAACGATCATGTGTCAATTTTGTTTTGCGCTGCGCATTTTTGGGGCTGCTCCCCACGACGACACTAACGGAAGCCCAACCGAGAAACTACTTTTGTCCAGAGAGCAGGGATTCCATTCCTGGAGCCCCAACCGAATCGCCGTTAGTGGGTGGTACAGGCGCTGGTGCCTTTGGGAACTTGATGCCTCCTCCGCTTGCCATAAACATGCCGTTCCACGTCCCCGTCCTAGTCAGACGCGGGTCTGTTCCAAGCATATTGTGAGGGAAGGGTAGTTTGAAGGGAACCGCATTATCGATAAAGTCCATTTGCTCGGGAGTGAGCTTGATACTGAGAGCCTGAGAACTGATTAGGGATGCATGCAGCTCGAGCTTGGATGATGATTTACCTTGATATTCTCCAGAAGGTATTCGGGCTTGCGACCGCCGATGATAGGGAAGACGTAAGCCTGCTTATGGAGGCAATATGCGATCGCGACATTGGCTAGGCTGGCATCTCCCCCAATTTCCTTGGCGACCTGCTCCAAAGCAGCGCTGATAGCCTTCTGCTCTGGCGTTTGGTCGACAGCGAACGTCCTCAGGTGGCCGCCACTTTCTTTCTTCCTTGCCTCGATTTGAGCGGCGGTCTTGAATTTACCCTAGACCGGGGATAAATAAGAATATCCAGTGAAAAAAGGTTCTTACCCCTCCGACGACGCCCCATGGCGCGACTGCCATACCCTCAGCCGAGCACATAGGGAGGATATCTCCTTCGAAGTCGCGTTCGAGGCAGCTCCACTGACCCTGGTCTGATATGCAGGTTAGTTTACATTCGAACTTCCGAGCTGTACGTCATACAAGCGATAAACTGAGCCATCCCGTGATCGCGCGCGTATTGGTTCGCCTTCGCGACGATCCAGGCTGCACAACGTCAGTGTCAATTCACCACGCTCATTGAGAACTTACCAGGAGTATCAGAGATACCGAGATACAGCACCTTTCCCGCCTTGACAAGGGCATCGAGGGACTGCATCAGCTCGGGAATCGATGTCGAGTAGTCCCACCAATGCACCCAGAGCAAGTCGATATAGTCGGTCTGTAACTTGGCCAAGCTGTCGCGGACGGACGTGTGCAAGCTCTTGGCGTGGTTTCCCCCGTAATTCTGATAATACTTGATATCCTCCCGACCTCTCACATAACAGGTCGTGAACTTGGTTGCGAGCACTGCGATGGATGAGCGCTTGCAAATGGTAGACTGTGGAATTACACATACCAATTTGATCACGGTTTCCTCGAGCCTTCATCCATTCCCCGAGAAGAGCTTCAGATTGCTCATCTTGATAGTTGTTCGCGGTATCTATGAAGTTGCCGCCGGCTTCGAAGAAGGTGTCACAGAGCTTGCATCGTCTTAGATGAGCGCACAAATAGGAATGATCGATTGGCTCACCTTGAACACTTCGTCTTTGGTCATGGTACCAGCCATGAAGCGGCCCCACTTATCGCCGAGGCTCATCGCACCCAAGCACAGGGGAGAAACGCGGACACCCGCGTTTGGCGAGAGAAGCTGTCAAGGGCATCCGTCAAAGCCGGTCGTACAAAGAGATGAAGATGATTTACCCTCCATTCGCCCAACGGAGTCGCAGGCTTTGGTGTAGGTTGGAACAGAGCCATTGTGTTGAGTCAATAGTCAATCAAGGTAGTTGTTTTGGCCAGGTATTGGGCGATGAGAGGATTGCCAGCCTCCATGACTGCCTTATATCCATTGTCGTCGGTGTTGTGGGTCAAATGCCCATGACCGCTGCGTCATCCACGTGAGTCGCAGCCCGATCAAGAACTATGATTAATGTCTTACCATCTACACAGGGCTCCCTGGTTAGAACGTTAGCCAAAATATCCATGTCGACGATTCCACGGCAACCCACGTCGACACGCCAAACTGGATCGGGGGGCGGGTCCTGGACGTTCCGACCGCGTGGGCGGTGATGATGATGTAAGCCAGGAGGGTCCAACCCGGTCTATATCAGGACGAATCGGGGGGACGGCGAGCGAGGCGGACGACTTGTTCCCCAACATCGTGGGTACGCGCTCGTCTCCATCTTGGCTTATACAGAATGCGTGGGCGCACAGGTTTGACGACGAGGTCCCAGGATGTGTCCCCTCCAGCTCATTCCTTGCCTTTCAATCTCCATGCTTTAGCCAAGACTGAGGAAGTGTTCGCATCGTTGCCGACACCGCCAGTTGGACCTGGTACAGCTACCCTGCCACATCCCAATCCCACGCATTCCTTTTGGACACATTCGACGCCTGATGCCAATCCACTAGCCAAAGAGGGAAGCGACGCACCGCTACCTCCCGTTGTCGATGTGGCGATCATTGGATCCGGAATCTCCGGTATAGGTGTTGCTTATCATCTGGCTGAGCTGCTCAAGAAGGGCGAAATTCGAAAGCCAATATCAATTGCGGTGTTCGAAGCTCGGGATTTTTGTGCGCATATTATCTCAGTCTGAATAGCGGTTTCTTATCTTCACGTCAGGTGCTGGCGCAACTGGTCGAAATGATGAGTGGTCTCTTGCTCGCAATGTGTTATCTAATTTAACGTTTACGTAATGTTTACGCGGCCATCTCACGCCGTTCCTGTACCATGGATTCAGCTACTATACGCAGAAGTTTGGCAGGGACGAATGCTTGAAATCTCTACACATCGAGCGTCAATGTGTGGACGACATTGTCGGCATCGTCAAGAAGAACAAGTGGGAGGCCGACGTGGACCTCGCACATGGAGGCAATCTGAGATTGCACTTCACCAAAGAAGAGGAGCAAGAAGATATGGTAGACTTCAGAGCTGCGAAGGAGGCTGGTATTAAATTAGATGACGTGGAATGGCTCGATGCTGAGAAGACGAAGGAGGTGTGCGAAATCGTCAGTTGCTCAGATCACATTCTGAAGCGCTTCACAGAAATACGGCGCTGTCTTCCCGTCGACGCTGATAGATGGCTACAACATATGGCCTCTGAAGCTCGTGACCAAGTTGTTTAACTTCGCAAAATCTACGGCACCCTCGGCTTGGTCCTACTTCAACCCATTCTCATGGTTCCGCCCGGCACCACCGAGGTACACTCTGTCTCTGTACACACATACTCCCGTCACGTCCATCGCTTCTGGTACGCTTCCATGGAACGTTTGGGCACTCGAGACACCCAGAGGCAGTGTGATGGCCAAGGTCGTTGTCCACTGTACGAATGCGTATGTGTCCCACCTGCTCCCACACATGTCAGGACAAGACGGCGTCGTCCCCACCCGCGGGCAGGTGATCGCCACACGCGCCTCTGTCCCGCGCTCTCAGCTCTGGAACACCAGCGGCGTCGGTAACGAAGGGTTTGAATACTGGTTCCCTCGCCCGGAGATGAACGACAAGGATGGCTGCCCGCTGATCATCATCGGCGGTGGGAGGGAGAACACGGGTCCGAAATACGAGTTTTACACCACGGATGATAGCACGGTCAACCCGGAGGCGAGCAAGGTGTTGAGGGACTTCCTGCCTGCTGTGTATCCAGAGCAATTTGACAAGGGCACGGCGCCGGAAATGGAGTGGACTGGGATTATGGGTTATACCAAGACTTACGAGCCGATTGTGCGTTGTGACACCGTCCTATCGTTTCAAAATGCTGACGACGCGTAGCTTGGACCAGTCCTTGATGCTGCTGGTCAAGTTGTGCCTGGCCAGTACATGAGTGTAGGCTTCAGTGGTCATGGCATGACCCGTGCTTTCAGATGGTTCGTTCCCCTTTCTTAGGCGTTCGCCTGTTACTGATCGAGAAAAAAGTGCCGAGGCGATCGCGTCCATGGTGCATGACGAACTCTCTGGGAAGCTGGTAAATATACCGGAGTGGTTACCGAAGCACTATCTGAGAGGATGGAAGATACCCCAGCCACGATCGTCTGATGAATCGGGGGTAGACGCGGGAAAGCTCTAGGGAGCATGAGGGAATCTATCTCTTTATTGTGGCTAACTCTGGATGTGTGAGATTTTGTCCTGGAAGAGTGTCCATAGAACGGCTAAGTGTAACAATTAAGCGATTTCATACACGAGTGTAGCGAACGTGAGACAAGGTATATGCTGTAGCGGCATGTCGATCATGATGCGATGAAAAGCAGTCCGTGCAAAAGAGATAGACCAAATTGCAGATAAGAGGAACATAACTTCAAAAAGATACAACGAAAAAGGTTATTAATTTCCACTGGAACTCGGTCTCCTTCTCGAAGATTTTCGTGGAATGCTCGGAGGCACGTTGTTGGAAGAAGAACCCGGAGTATCAGCGCTCGAAACTGGACGATGTGCTGGTACGAACTCCGTTACGCCTGCCGCCGGAGATGCAGAGGCTGCCGTTGATGCGCCACCACTTGAACCACCTCCCTGACCATGTTTCAAAGGCCGCATGACCACAAATGAACGTCCACTGGTACTCGGAATCTCTGCACCCTGCTCGCTCTTCGTTTTTTCCAGGGCAGCCATCCGAGGTGCAGACAGCATATCACCTTCGCTGCGCCTCCGGTTGCGTCGGAACCAGTGTGTCGATCGCCCTTGTGGGGACGCCTCATCACCCTCATCATCTGAGTTGTCCATTGGGTTGGATAAGCCTCGGAACCAGCGCTTTCCTTTCTTTGCTTTTGCCACAGCTTCGTTTTGGGCGACGATAGCGGAAGTCGGTGGCGGAAGGGGCGCTTCTCGCGAAAGACCGCCGAGACTTGACCGAGAAGTGGAAGCAGCAAGAGCGATGCCACTGGAGGTTATTCTAGCCATCGACGCGCCTCCAGTCCTTGATGGGCCACTCTGAGTTTGAGTCAATGGAGGAAATTCGCGCAGCTCAGAAGCATCCTCGATGATGGCTGTTTGCGACTTCGTACGAGCGTGCAATCGTTGTGATGATCCAGGCGACTCATCGGCGTATACTTGGTTTCCGGGCCACGAAGACGGAGGAGCAGTAGGCGAGATTCGTGGGCTCGACCCGGTCGCTGCTCTAGCGGCCGCAAGGGCACTGCGACCTGGAGAAGGTGGGTGCATCACTCTTCCGTTTGCCGGGGACGAGGCAGGCGTAACGGGTGCAGCGGCGCCGGGTGGTAAAGATGGTACAGGTGCTGCTCCTGTCAGTAACGTATACGGTGATTCGAAGTTCGCACGACCGCCGCGTACGCGCGTGAAGCCTGACTGTGGTGCTGAAGGGGGCGCTTGACGCGGAGGACTTGCTGTGCTGTCTAAACGCTCGTGACTTGCAGTCTGAGCCACAGGTGACGTTGCGACCGCTGTATACTGTGGGAATGGTTGCCAGGCCCGCATGATACTGAAGTTCGCCTGGTCGTCATCCAGGGTCTCCCGATAAGGACGGCCAAGATGGGCTGGACTCAGGAAAGAACGAGTAGTTGAAGTCGTATTCGGTACCTGGGCATATATTGGGGAGGGTCCAGGTGATGTGCGCAACATATTCTGGGAACTACCGGAATTAGACAAGTTGCGGGTATGGCTCTTGTGCTTGTTGTGTGTGTGCTTCGTTGGGAAGCATCCCACGCCGATAGCCCCGACAAGGCCAGAGTCAAAGTCATTCGATGACTTGTCGAATGATACACCCGTGACCAGACGGACCAATCCCTCAATGATCTTGATCAAGAGCATCAGGAGGAACTGAACATAGATCAGGCCTTGTATAATGAGAACAGCGACAGCAATCCATCCGCCAGCAGCAGTCCCCACAGAAACCTGAAACGTCTGTCAGCTGTATTGCTTAGAAACTAACACTGCGATCATACCGTAGGGGACAGTATAACGAGCAAAACTGCCGTAGCGATCCGTCCCACAACGAACGCGAAGCTCAAGATACCCATGTGCGCACCCTTTCCCCACGGCAAGAATATACTTGTGGCTAGTGCGGTCGACACCTCCACAGCTAGGATAATGACAGCTTGGGCGATGCCGCTTTTCCAACCTGCGCCGATGACAATTCCGATAACAAGGTTGCTGAGAAGTGGAACACAGGCGAACATCTGGGACTTCTGCATGTAGGTGTTGTAGAACGGGCCAAACGCTAGGAGTGTCCGGGTCGCGTCGTATAGCTTAGGAGTCGGGATTGCTGCAACGCGAAGCAACAGCAGGGCCGGAATGATTATGGAGAGGATGGCAAACGCTAGGGCAGCAAGGACCACTGAACTGATGGAGGCAATAGATCGGTCAAGGCTGAGTTGGTACACCGAGAATACTGTGATGGGGAAGTGGAACAACAGCAACACGCGAACGAGATTGCCGTGCAGGACGTTCCCGTGGAAGCTGCCCTGGCCAAGGCGGTAGTGCCACCACTTCCGACCACCGCCAGATCGACCAACGCTATGTCCCAGATTTGAATGTCCGTGTTGAGAGCCCGGCATGTTGTCATCGCTCCTCGTGCCATCTAGCTCCCCGAACTCCTTGGCCACGCTGTCGAGTGCTGTGCTGTACGTCGGACTACGAGATCCACCGATAATGCCGTTTGCTCGTTTGGGGCCCGACATCACTGTGCCGACCCAGGAGAGGAACCAGATCAACAGACTAACGAAGATGACACCAGCCACAATGATGAGAAATATAGACAGACAAATGCCGAACAAGTCCTGCGGTCGAACTCCGATCATAGCGGCCATTGACGGGATACCAGCATCGGTGTCTGGCGGGAAGGTCAAGAGGTAATTTGGTGCGTCCAGATCGAGATAAAGTGGAGAAGAAGTGTCCACGATCTGGTCGTTGAACTGGTCAGGCAACACTAGTGGCGGCGCCGTCAACGGGTCCCAATGTTTGTCAGGGCCAGTGCCCTGCGTGATGGTGACATTGTACACTAGGCTGGCCCAGGCCAATTGCGCGAACATCGGATCTACAATGCACGTCAGTGGGGCATGCAGTTGCGATGAGAAAGAACATACATGTGAACTGCGGCCACTGTACAGCGACCAAGCCTAGGGCAAATGCCCACTGAGTGTGAAAGACGACGTCTCTCGCCAGGGGTGTGCAGAACCTCAATAAAGCAGGGCATGCTGCGAATCTCTCTCCGCTGATCGCACTGGCTAACACTGTCCCAGCCCAGCGAATATCACTCCATGCAATTCCCCCTCGCCTCTCTCCACCCCTGCTCCACGCTGCGCTGATTCTCGCCAAACCATTCACCGCCCAGTACCCAATCGTCAATGCAACGCTAACCCATAATATCACTTGCAGTATCCCAAATCGGTTCGTAGCGCCGTCATGATCCGGCATTGGAGAAGTTGCGATGTCGATGCAGGCGAGTTCGAACGGCGGATCCGACGTGTCGACCACGCGGATCTGAGTTGTGATTGTATTGAATTCATACGACTTGTCAAGTGGAACTGCAGCGCTGAAAGCCAAAGGACCCGGAGAAAGTGGACAGTAAGTTGCATTACTCGACAACCAAGATGATTCGTTGACGATCGGCGAGAGTGGGTATGGTAACGGTGACGCCGGTCGCAGATTGAGACAGAAAAATGAGGCGTTGTCATAAACATCGAACGTGAGCGAAGAGGAATTCGTAAACATCGTTGCTGGGCTCACGTCAACAAGCTTTTTTCAAAGGACAAGATGGATAAAGACGTACCTAGTTTGGAAACCTCACCGGTACTCGCATTGGATGCTCCGAAAATCGTGTTGTTCGTGGAGCCCAACAGGGTGAAGTTCAACCAACGGCCAGGTGTTCCGTCTGGTGTTTGGGTGACCATCTGCCCATATACTGCATTGACATGAATTCTTCGGGATGCGTTGTAGTAACTGGCGCTTTGGACCGAGCATGAGCTGAAGGGGAATTCGAGCGCCTGTCCAGCGGCAAAGCGGACGCAGATTGCAAGCAGGAGGAGCCGACGAAGAACGTGGAACGGCATTGTCGATAATCGTTAATATTGCATACCCAAAATCGACCGTTTGTAGTGAGAGTCGAGAAGGGGGTTACGTTGACAGGGCGGACGTGAGGATGTATGTGCCCAAGCAAAGTGGGCTGATCTGCCAGCAGCCTCGCACCGCACAGCCCGGGGGAGTCGGTGTTGGTAATCACTGCCTTAAAGCCAAACAAGACAGGCAAGACGCTAGACGCGAATTGAAATACGTCTGACAAGGCTCAATCGGCGATGAAGAAGCGATGGAAGAGAGGTAGAAGGGGGATTGTCCGTGACAAAAGAGATGTGACCGGCGGACTCGAGGCCAGCCGGAGGTTTGACGTTGAGTAAGACCCTTTCTGACAGCATGCTAGCGGCGCGTTGTGTTGTGTTTCCACCTTCCAGAGGTTGTTCCTCGTCACCACCATGCTTCTCTTGACGCAATGCGCCCCAAAACACATCACTTCAATTGCATACACTTGTCTTCGACTCCAACAGTTTATCCTGAATTGATAACATAAACGAGCCTATCGTGAGACGGTTCTGTGAGTGTAACGCCACCGGAGACCCTGTGGGCCTCGATGTGCCAAGACGGCGAAAACAGGCGACAATGGGCTTCCGTGACTGTCGGAGCAGAGTGCCATATGTCCGTCTCTCCTTCTGGTCACATCTCTCTCACACGGTCAGTCTAGCAGCTAGCCTCATTAACATCTCAGCCAACTTGGATATAGGACATTCAATATATTCAGTCCATCTGCGTCTCTGCACAGGAATGCCAGCAGGGGGTGAGCGCCAAAACTGCGATGGCTAAACTTCACAAACATCCATGCCAGCTCTTACTAGCGCCAGATGGAATAAGCGCTGGAGCAACTCTAGCGGCATTGATCCGGAACAGACTTGATGAACACATAGCACTGGCACGTGTTGTCACGGGAGTATGTTGACACAGTCGAGTGCCTCTGCACGCGTTAGGCGTTCTTCCTCTTGCTGTTTCGCCTCATCACTTTCCCAGTCAACATGATATTCGATGATGTCAAATTCATTTTGCTCTTTATCTGGGCGAGGAGAGCAAGCACCATCTTGGTGAGCATTTGTTTCTCAGGGTGGAGCCTTCGGTTGACTGCGAAGACAAGAGGGCATAGTTCACTAAGCTATTGATGGAAAACATGCCACTAACGCCTCGGCTCCCAGTCTGGAACGTCCCCCGGTAGTCAGCCGCCGCACACGTTGTCTTAGTCACATACGCCCAAATGAATGCTTTGCTTAGTGGACAAGAAGAAGCAACAACTATTTTCCTGGAATTTGTTTGAACTCAGAAGCATGCCGTGATGGCTTACGAATTCGCTATACAAACTACTTGTGGTATCTGGTTGTACGGAGCACACTGGCGTTAGACACGAAATGCATCCCAACATCTATCGCAGGAATGCCGCACTAATATTATCCCGACAGCGTGGATTATCACACAAGTACTGGAGCCTCCATGACACATCAATCCGTAGCATGTAAACGCTATGCCGACCGAAGTCAAGCAACTTTCGGCCTAAGCTCCTACTACCTACCGGTGCGGTGCGGCATGCCCCCTTTCAATACTCCAAAGCCCATCAAAGCTACGTCTCGAAGGGCCTGCTTTGATCCTTTTGTCTCCTGGACAGAACTTCAAAGACTTGCTTCTGCATCGACAGCTATCCGTCCGCCACTAACCGCTCTTGACTACAAAGCCTCCTCATCCTTCTCTTCCTTCATACAAGGATGCACTGCTGTGCACTCTGCACCATCTAGCACGAATCATTATAAACGGAAACGAGGCTGGCAGCAAGAGTTCAAATTCTCTCATCCTCTGCACCTTCGTAGGCACGATGGCAAAATTAAATGCTTGGCGTATCTCGACTAGATCTGGTATTCATGGTACCCGAAGGCTTTTCTGCAACTATTTTTGTTCCTCGAGACCAGACTATCGGCGATGTAGCTCGAGGTTGATTGCCGTTCTTGGGCTCCGAATCGGCATGACGTGCCTCAAAAACAACAAGAAGGTCACTGTCCGTGAGGTGCCGACTCTGAATCGGGCCTTCTAATGTGAGTGGAACAACCGAATGCCGGCCTATTCATTTTCTTATCGCCCTTGCCAGCGATCCCTTCCCTTGCATTGCACCAGGGATATATATACCGATCCAACCCCATCAAAGCCTTGCAAGGCTGAGTATCGTTGCGTTCAGATCTTGGACCATATATCATGTCTCTGCCCTCTGCTTCTAGTCGGACCCTGTCGATTGTAGACCTAGAGACTGGTACTGTTGATGAAAAGTCCCCAAATCCGGGGACAAACGAGGTTGCTTCTGAAGAAAAACTTGAGGCGAACTACTCTAATCTTCCAGCACCGACACTGAGGAAACTTGATGGAGAGTCGGAAGAGTATCCCGAAGGTGGCCGAGGTTGGTGGGTTGTAATTGGCTGCGCCATCATCTCTGCTAGTATGTTCAGTTGTCTCGATTTGTCGAGTAATAAGCTGATGTTGTCCACAGTTACGCTTGGTTCGTAATCGTACCGCATCATGAACTTGTCCTAACATTGTTACTCTCTGAAAAGGTTGGACGTAAAAAAACGATCAAGTGTGGGAGGAGAAATGCCTTACTTACAGGTGGTCAAGGGTATCATGGGGCGTCTTCCAGACGTTCTATAAGGAGAATCTATTTCCCGATGTTGACGATGCCATCCTGAGTCTTTTGGGATCTCTTCCAGGCATGGTAGGAAACGACATATCGTCCTGCCAGCGTAGATCTTATTGACTTGAGTGTTAGATCTGTGCACCAATCGCATTCGTAGTCGGGAAACTCGCTGACCGATAGTCAGTTGTTATCTCTATTGCGTGACGAATGACCCTAACACATTTACAGTGGATATCGTGTGGGCATAGTCAGACAGTTGGCTTAACTATATCTCATTACGCACATTAGCCATTCATTACAGCCGGATGCGCTTGCTGCTTCACTTCCATGCTGGCGGCAGCGTTCTGCAAGGCTTTATGGCAATTCTTCCTCGGGCAGGTACGAGGCGACTGTATGCTCGTGGTAGTCTTGGGTGCTCATCGCATATCAGGGTGTGCTGGGGGGCATCGGCCTTGGTCTTATTCTTCCGATCGCTATGTCGTATCCTGCTCAATGGTTTCGTCGGAAGTGAGGCGTAGCGACCGGATTGGTTTTCGGAGGCTGCTCCTTTGGTAAGCACCTTATTCGAGGGCACGATGCCTGTCCTCAAGCATGCAGGGGGAGGAGCGACTACTCTCGTGGCCGGACAGTTGCTGAATAAGCTCGGTCTGGGACGCTGGTAATCTACGCATGTCTCTATGGAATTCTCATGGTAGCTGGCCTCTGTATGTTGAAGAGCAGGGTACATCCAGGTGTCTCACCTCCGGATCGTACTCGGCCGCTTCGTTGGGTGGACAAGGCGCTATTTACAGACCCTGTCTTCTGGAGCCTATCCCTTGCCATCATGTTTGCCGTATTGTAAGGGTCTTTCACTCCAGTCAATGACTTCCTTTGCACTGACTCGGTTCGAGTGGGTATCTCCCTCCTCCTTTCTACATGCAGCAATACACGCAATCCGTCATCCCCGACATCTCACCCATGATGGCTGTATTGCCAGCTGCTGTAATGAACTTCGCTGCCGCCCTCGGACGAACACTAGTAGGATGCATCGCTGATAGGGTTGGCGCCATCAATGCTTTTGTCATCGCGGTCGGCATGGCCGGCGTTGTCCAGCTCTTAATCTGGAATTTCGCATACAACTATGCCACAATCATCGTCGCTTCCATTACGGTCGGATTCTTTGCGGGAACCTTTTTGTCTCTCACTTCTGTTATGGGCGCAACCCTCTATGGAGTGAACAACTTGGCCACCCTTTCAGGCATCCTAACGCTATTCAATACGCCCGGTATGTCAGATCAATCAGGATAATACGTTCGCTTCGCGCTGATGAGCTGGTTCAGGCAACGCAGCTACAGCCCCAATTGCTGGTGCCGTCCTATCCGCAGCGAACAACAACTGGCATGCATTGATCTCATACAGCGGCGCATCTCAAATAGCAGCCGCCCTCCTGTTGTTATATGCGCGGTTCAGCAAGGAGCCCCGATTCTTTGCGGTCATCTAGCACACGACTCGGAGTAGAGAGAACTAGAATATGTGTTGGACATATGTCTGCAGAAACAGGTGCGGGTAGCACGGACAATCCAGTGTTGACTTTCCTCAATTCTTCCGTCTTAATGGACCTGCCATGGCTCGAAAAAAATCGGTGTTCGGAAGCGGTGTTCAAATTTCGGAGCCGTATGAATATAGAAGCTCGGAAGTAATTGACTGATACATATGTCCTTGAAGAACGATCACCCCGAACTGGTTCGCGATGTTCAAAGCACTTCAGTTCGTTTACAAGATCTATGAATTGAACCTACGACCGGCGCTTAACTTATGTGGGGGACCGCCGGCCGAAAGTCTGACTCCACAGGAAGAAGAGCGGACCGGGACTTGTTTCGTGACAGCGGATTCGTACTCCATCCTTCTCTGTTTCTCGCCAGACTTGCATATGTCCAGATATAGCAAGCTTTTGTTGGAGATTGGATGACAATTCCTAGGGACCCCTTCTTTGGAACACAACTCAGCTGGGTGTCTGGGGGGTTTCGAGCTGCACCTTCCAACCACGCCTTTTGGGCAGGTTGATGTCATATTATTCGCCTTTCATATGGGACATAGAACATTCTGGGAAGAGTCTACATCGACTACGTGGATCATTTGGATATACTGGAAGATGAATAAACGAAACCTCGTAAGTCTTCAAATACCAACAGAATTCCGATTGACACCACTGATCTGGAACGGAGGCAGTCCCATGCATATATTGTCTCGGTTATATCCAGAATGAATAACTTGCTTACCAGACAGGAAGAAAGAAGAATGTTTTCCCGGAATCTGCTTGAACACGGAAATGCCCCCCGATGTTTTATGACTTTGCTATCTCAACTGTAGGTCGCATTCTCATTTGCAATATCGGAGCTAATGCCAATCTGAAAGCCACTTCAGGAAAGCCGCACTGATATTGACACGGATCTCAGAGACCAGCAGTTCACAAGACGTGTCAATGAAACCGTGGGGTCGAAATTGCGCCTCGATCTCTTCTTACACTTCATTCTGCGTCTCTCAGAAAGTATGTGCACTGTTTAGACTTCGTGTTGGAGCCGATCCACCTGAGCAGGACGATCTCTTGTGAAAGCCTTGTCTGTGCGACCAAACAACAAAAACCTTCTTCAGCATCTCGGAATATCCCTCCGCCCTCAGCGGTTCTTCCGCGTCCCCTTCTGTATTCTTTGATTGATGCGTCGGAATGCTATTGCGGACTGGCGTCACGGTCTGCCACCGAACTGCTCTGGACCCAAAAATACCCTGGCGACTTGATTTCGGATTCTCTTGTCCTCTGGATCTGTCTGGCGACGACCACAGATGGTATTTACTACTTTGGTAACCAGCAGAAAATTCTCTCCGACTCTTTTTACGGCGGCATCGGACTCTTGGCGGTTCAAATGAGGGCCTCTTCCTACTTGCACATCAAATGGCTTGATGAGTTTGAGAAGAAGAAGCTCGCCTACTTGAAGTCCCGGTTACCGGAACCGCCATGTCGAGGGGCGAATTCCCCCATTGTATGCACGCCTTCTTATTTTCCTGCCAGCATGCTCTCAATTTTCCACGACCGTATATATCCAAGCTACGCCGATCTAGGCACGTCACACCACTGTTTCTCCCCTTGATTCCCTAGGATCTCTGAGTATGTCTTTGCCCTCTGCTTCCAGCCACACAGAGTCGAGTGTTGCTGTCGAGAACTGCGCTGTTAACGAAAACACCGCGAATGGCCTGGTGTGCGAGAAACCATCTGCGAAAAAAACTTGAATCCCTCCGCTCCGTCCTTCAAGTGTCGGAATTGATCACCATTGATGAGGGATCAATAGATTATCCCGAAGGTGGACGAGGGTGGTGGGTTGTAATTGGCTGTGCAATCATTTCCGCTGGTACGCTTGGCTGTGTCTAATTGTCGAGGACGACGCGGACGCTGTACCCTTCAGTTACGCTTGGTTCGTGATTGCATCACAATAAGACCGTGTTCCTAATTATAATGCTTTCTTCATAGGATGGACGTGAGTACATGATGCAGACTGAAATATGGGGCGTTTTTGATAACGAAATAACAAGGCTATCATGGGGGATCTTCCAGGCTTGGCACAAGGATAATTTGTTTCCCGACGTCGACGATGCTGTTCTAAGCTTTTTGGGATCACTCCCCAGCATAGTGCGCGAGACTCTGCTGAGCTGCTGTGCCCTACCATATTGACTCAGATTGAGATTTCCACACCAGTGGCCTTTATAGTTGGCAAATTGGCTGACCAGCAGTGAGTCTTCTCTACTTGTGTGGTCAATGGTTCTAACCCCACATGACAGCGGATATCGGGTAGGCACCTTCTGGCAGCGCGTTGGGTGTCACCTCATATCAGCCATTCATCACCGGGGGATGCGTTTGCTGTTTTGTTTCCATGCTGGCCTCCACCTTCTGCAAGACATTATGGCAGTTCTTCCTTGGACAGGTGCAAAGCCGTTTTGTGACTTGGAACGTATTCTGATCCCCATCTTATGTTAGGGTGTCCTGGCTGGCATCGGCCTTGGTCTTATTCTTCCAATTGTCTTGTCGTATCCTGCTCAATGGTTTCGTCGAAGGCGAGGCTTAGCGACGGGATTTGTCATCGCAGGATGTTCTCTTGGTGAGCACACGGATCGGAGAATGTGTTTTATGCTCACTCTTGCAGCGGGCGGAGCAACTACTCTAGTGGCCGGACAGTTGCTCAACAGGCTGGCTCTGAAATGGACGCTGATAATCTACGCATGTCTCTATGGAATTCTCATGGTCGCCGGTCTGTGCATGTTGAAAAGCCGGGCACACCCTGGATTGCTACTTCCTGATCTTACTCGACCGCTTCGTCGGGTGAACAAGGCGCTGTTCACAGACCCTGTGTTTTGGAGTCTATCCCTTGCCATCATGTTCGCGGTATTGTACGTGTCGTACTCTGAGCTCAGTGAGGCGCTAACCCCTCAGCAGCGGGTATCTCCCTCCTCCGTTCTACATGCAACAATATACATGCTCAATCATCCCGGACGTATCACCCGTAATGGCTCTAGTACCAGCTGCCGTAATGAACTTCGCTGCCGCCCTGGGACGGACACTAGTAGGACATGTCGCTGATAGAGTCGGAGCGTGTAATGCGTTCATCATCGCAGTTGGTATGGCAGGCGTTGTCCAGCTCTTGATCTGGAATTTCGCGTACAACTATGCTACGATCATCGTCGCTTCCATATCTTTTGGTTTCTTTGGGGGAACCTTTTTGTCTCTTACTTCCGTCACGGCAACAACCCTTTATGGAGTGAACAACTTAGCCACCCTCTCAGGCATTCTAACACTATTCAATACACCCGGTACGTTGATCCGTTAAAATGATGCCCGCCTTGTGTTGATGACCCAGTGCAGGCAATGCAGCCGGTGCACCCATTGGTGGCGCTGTCCTCTCAGGAGCGAACAACAACTGGCACGCGTTGATCTCCTATAGCGGTGCATCTCAGATAGTGGGCGCTCTTTTCTTGTTATAGGCGCGGTTCAAGCGGGAACCACGGCTTTTCGCCGTTCTGTAGCACCGATCGCCCACTGGGGGCAAGAAGAATGAATTAAAACATGTTTTCCATTGCACCTTTGAGTCTGCGCCGCTGTTCCGCCGATGAGGTCCCTGCGCGATGCCTACAGCAATGAGAGCGTGACAGTTCGTACCGTGGGCGCACCAGTGGGCCCGACTCATTTTCCTCAAGAAGTTCTTTCTATCGGGGAAAAAAATTCCGATTGAGCCCAACCCCTGGGTGAACCGACATGGGACTATCCTTTGAGGGGGGCTGCATGCTTGGAGAAGCCAACCAGCCTTGTGGACGAGCGTCAAAGACTGTATACTCTCCCTATCCGGGGGCGGGCCGCTTGACCCTGTCTTTGCGTTTCATATATATTATATAAGCATTGAGACCATGCGGCAAACTCAATTGTAGGTCTCAGAAAGCCTTTCAACATTATGCTATGGCTGCCCGAAGTCTCGGGGCTTTGTAGTTGCCGGTCATGTCTCAGCCAGGGACCAGCCCAAATGGTAATTTCTGGCGCTCTCAAATACAGAACCGTTTTTCATTCACTGCTTTAACTTGTGGTATCTATTTCCCGATTCGTATCAACCAAATCCAGTACGTATTCAGGACATACACCTTTATTGGCCGCTGCGCCGCTCTGCGCATGTATTTGATGTTATCAGAACACTTGAGCTCTACCAGTGATGAGCGGAATGACTGGATAACGAAGAAGCGTCGCGCACCCATTCTTTTTCTGATTGAATCGATCGGGCTGGGGTTGTCCGCGGACAGTATTCTTTCTTTGGATTAGCCACGACTTGAAGCAGTCTGAGGCCCGACATGATCAGAAATTAGGTGTAGCTCGCCTATTGTTGATAGCAACACCGCCGACGATTAATTGTGGAGTTGTTGCCCGAGTTTCTTGGAAGCTGGCCGGCCAGCTAGAGAATCCCGTCGGTTGCACGATCAACCAACACTACACCCGGCGGTCTTGTTCGTAGTACGAACAAGATCGCGTACGAACTTCGTACGCGATCCCTCACCAGAAATCGTCGGTAGTACCGACGTAGGGGTAGACGGCGTATCTATGGAACCTCTGGATCCACGATCCACCGAGGCGAGGTAGCCACAGTGTCCTCGCTGCTGTGCCGGATGCGATTGGGGTCTGATAGGCGCATTTACGAGACCGCACGCGAGTGCTACATCGGAGGTACGTAACATCAGGTAACATCGGGCAGCTCCTTGTGCATGGAACAACGCACCCGAATAAGCGTCATTGGATTCTCACTTCATCAAGGGTTAGTGGCAAAGCTGATCCGCCTCTTGCCGCGTCAGGCACTGGCTGATTGTTGGAGAAGACCGCCAGCACGAGATAGGAATCGGTCTCGGCGTGTTCCTTGAGATCAGGGCAAAACAATAGCCCTCAAGGAACAGGCACGAAATATAGGACATGTTTTGTATGTCGGTCAAGTTCCGCCGCCTGATGATTAAAAAGAAGCCACAGGTCTTACGAAAACCGAGGAAGAATCAGAGTGCCCAGTCTCCTGTCTCGTGCTGATCACGAAAAGAAGTGCTGGCGAAGCAGAGATCGTGACCATAGCCATTCTGAGAGAGAACAAGCCAGCACGCAATATCGAGGCGGTACAAGCACCGGTATGTAGAAAAAAAAGAAAGAGACGCACATAACTCGGGTTATCGTGTGCACTGACTGGTCGTTGAAGGGCATGGCCGTCCTCGCCGAAGTTTCTCGGACCGAAGGGTATAACGGAGAGGATCGGAAGAGCCTGACCGTCGATGGACTGAATGGATATTGGCGTGTACCTTTCCCGCCGTGATGGTGTGGGGCACTCCGTCGGGTTGTCATGGTCACCGCCTCTTGCGATATTGGAACAGGCGGGCTATGAAGGCGGCACTCAACATGTTGCGGTCTTCGCTGCTGACGGCCAGGGTCTCTCCAGTTCTGGAACTGCACAGCCTTCGATACCCACACGCGGGGTGCCCGGGGTCCTGAACTGTGCCAGCACTTGGCGCCGCACGCGCTCAGTCCCTTTCACCATAGCATCTCTCCACAGCTCTGTTACGGCACCGGACGCGACGAGGATTAGCTGTATACATTCTAAGCAACAGCCCTGCTTTATTCGTGGGAATATCGGATGACAATGGAGGAGTCGGCACAGATTGCTGCAGAGTACATCGCCAGTATGTCCGCTCCGTCGATGTCGGACTCTCTGCAGGCTGAGTCATCGCCTTTGTACAGGTCTGGACAACCTTCCTAACGAGGTTAAATTTATTCTAAACGAGATCAAGCTGAAGGATACACAGCTGCAATGTATGTCTGTGCGAGTGTTTCCCATGTCGGATTTGCTGATCAAGGCGAAACCATACAGCCACAATAGGCCGTATCCAGTCCCGCGAAGTAAACCTGTTCAAGAACACGAGGAACAACAAGCCCCCCATAAACTATGCGGACGAGAATGTGACCACGAGAGAAATTGAGGACCTTTTCCAAAAAGCGCGGAAGTTGTCGGATGAAAATGTTGAATTGGCACGGAGACTCAAGCGCCTCATCCACAAGGCCAAGGGACGCCTAGCGGCCGACATGAAGAAGATCACCAAGTTGACCGGGGAACCGATTGCAGAGGACCTCACGCCGTCCGCTACACGAGGAGTTGATAAAATTGCCGAAGGGTTGCGGCAAGCGTTGGCAACACCGAGCTCGGCGTCGCCGGCGGCGAGCGGACCTGCGCAAAAGAGTGAGTGCAATGTTCATGTTACGTTCACGGGAAGCTCGGGGACTCACCGTCGGATAATTTTATCACGTGTAGAGCGGCGCTTAACCAGTAGTCAAGTGGAGAAGGTTGTGCTCAGTCTCCCCCTCGGGAGATCAAGGCTGTCCCAAGTGCAACCCTCACCGCTAAGGAAAAGCACGACGGTACGCTCGCCAGATGCGTCGGAGGAGGAGGCAGAAGAGGGCGAGGAGGAAGACGAGAGCGATGACAACATCTACTGTTTTTGCCAGAAGAAGTCTTTCGGCGAGGTAAGCCCCGGCCTAAATCCCGCCGTCCGTTGTCATTTGCTCATAATTCGGAACCCTAGATGATTGGCTGCGACAACGAACAGTGCCGATACCAATGGGTTTGTTTCATGTGTCTTACTAGTTGGTTACATTTCTCACACGGGGCGCGGTTCTAGTTCCACCTGGAATGTGTAGGATTGAAACCCCCACTGCCCGACAGCTGGTACTGTTCCGATTGCATAAAGAAGGGTTTTGGAAGTGCAGGCGAGAAACGAAAAGGCCGGAAGGTGAAATAATACGATCGTGGACGGGGTGGATGCGCGGCCGTGACTCCCCGGTCTTCCGCACCAGGGCCGGTCTAAGCCGAGGCAATTGGGAAGGACTATGCCTGTGCGCGGGGCTCCCACGGAGAGGAGCATGAATATGGGATACTGGATTGGGCAATGTGTACGAATTCTTTTCCTGGAGTATTTTCTTTTGTCCCCTGTTTTCTATACCTTCTGTAATATACACCTGTACTACCCTTGCTCTATTTTTTCCCTCGTCCACAACGGGTTTTCCGAGGGATAAGCAGGTGAAACCGGCTACGGTGCAGGGGATGTGTTTGCGCCGAGACGAACGGAGAGATGGGGCGTCGATGGTGGGCGAGGGAAGAAGCGAGAAGGTGGGTGAGGTGGTGCGATGTAGGATTTCTCTGCGCGCGTGAGCGGTTGACTGTTGGACTGACTCATGTGGCTGCGCGGGGAGGTATTCAGTTGAGAGACTGACAATGATGACTATGCTTCTCTGGCCAGCAGTGCGGGCATTGAGGGATGATCATAGATGACAATGAAACCTCTGCAATGCAAGAAAAGAGTGTATTCTGTGTTGGGCGGAGAAGGGACAGGGGCACGTTTACGAAACACTCGTGTTTGGGCGGAAAGAGTGGGAGATTCGGAATGGCGCGTGGCATGGAAGAAGAGTGGGAGGATACGGGAAGGAGGGCCGTTGGGATAGAGGGAGAGAGGGAGGGTGCGTTAGGGGTCCCGGGATGCACCGCGTTGTAGTTTTTCACGTTCCTGTTGTTGAGAGGGGAGAGACGGAGAGTGAGTCCCCGACCAACAGGGGTGCGAAAATGGAAGCAATAGTTTGGTTGAGAACAGGGCACCAACACGCGTCAGAAGGGAATCGCTGGTCATTACATTATTGGGTGGTGTTGTTCACTAATACCACAGCCTCGCCCTAGGAAGCCAAACGTTGACCTGGACGTCCGCTGCTTATCCCTCCGAGCGAACATAACCATATTCTATCCCATCCTCCGAACTTCGGCATTTATACCCCCCTCCCTTCACAGCCAACTATCCCCTGACTACTTATAACCAACACAATGCAGCCCTGCTTTCCCACCCACTCAACCCCCCCTCTCCCCTCCCTCCCCTCATCTCTTCCTCTCCTACAAGGCCAGCAGCCAGTCCATCCACAACGTCGGTCAAGGCACCCCTCGGTACCGCCCTAGTCGCAGAACGTTATATTACCCCGCCTGCCCTTCTCAAAGGTCCGTTTCTCACCATAGCATACATCTTTCGTCTTCCTAACATCCTCTTCCCTGTCTAGCCCCATTCCCCTACTTCCAATCCCGATTGTCCACCGCCGGAGTTTACACATTGTCCGACCTCCTCAGACCCCAACAATCGCCGCTGTTTGGTCTGAATCTGGACTGGTCCGCGATCCCTGTTGACCCCCATCTCGCGCCGAATTGAACCGCCGTGTACTACTCCACCTGGTCAACTCATGGACAGCGCACAAACCTCGACAGCCTTCTTAACCTCGGACAACCTCTCGAATTCCTCGGCATCCACGCCCCCTTCTACCGCTTCCCCACGCACCGACCTTTCCTCCGCAGACGAGTTTGCAATGATTTACAATCAGTCTCCGCCTCATTCTTCCTTTGCACATCTCGCCGCTCGCACTTCCTTTGAGCACGCTCACCAGCTTCCCTCCGTACACGAAAAACCGTATCCGTTCGCCTTTGCACCCCCGCAGCACGAGCACACGATGAACATCGATGTCCAGCAGTCACATGAACCGCCCGCAGGCCAACAGTACTGGTCAGGATCATCATCGACAGACTCTCTCCATTCCCAAGGCGCATTCCTCTCCGATCTCCAGCATGCCCAGATCAAGCTCAACAGGCTGCAGCACGAGTCCAGTCCGGGACTGTACTATTCCCAGCCTGCGCCGCCTGCGCTCTCACAGCCCATGCCTCAGCCTTGGAATTACACACCCGAGGCTGAGTTACCCGATCAATTAGACGTCGCCGTCGTCTCTGCACAGGGGATGTATGCGCAGGAAACCGTGCTCCGCGCTAGCAGTTACGGCAGCTTTGCCAGCGAGCAGGCAATGCAATTGGACTACTCCTCCGACTCGGACGGCAATATATATGCTTCTGCTCCTGCACAAGGAGGGATGACGCTCGCGACTGACCCTTCAGCGCTACACGATGGTCGCCTCGTGGCCTACAGAACCGGAAGCGAGAATGGGTACGACGTGAAGGAAGAAAGACGCTCCCCTGAGTTGGGGGGCTATTCGCGCCCGGGAAGCAGCTCGTCACATCATTCGGTACAGCAGCTCGTGTTCAGACCGCAGTTGATGCAAGTTATGCACACGGATGACGCGGCGTCGAAGGAGACGCAGGTAAGCCCTGAAAATATTTTTGTACGGCATATATTCGGCTAACTGGGATATTCAGTTCCTTCGGCGTAAATGCCATAATTGCCATACAACCGAGCCACCTTCCTGGCGTCGTAGCACGCTCACAGTAGGCAAGATCGTCTGCAACAAATGCGGGTTGTATGAGCGCACGCATGGACGTGTCCGCCCACATCGGTTCGACGAGCTCAGGTGCGGGACCAAGGTCCGCAAAACGACAAAGATCGTCAGTGTCATATCCCGCGAAACGAGCCCCGTCACGGCTGCACGTCTCCGTGCGATCGCTGCTGTCAAGGCGGAGGAAGCGCTGGGCAGGAGAGGATCGACGGACTCGGATGCAGGGAGCGAGGGGAGCAGGAGCGTCTCCCGCGCTGCTTCGGCATTCAACAGCCCCAACCCTGGTCATGCATATCCTGCCGATAGCCCTATTCGCGTTCCTCAAGTACCGATGAAAGCGGCGACGATGCCCACTCCGTACGATGCTGTCCGTCCTGCTGCTTCGGCGGATTATTACGCCTACCAGCGCAGGAATTCGATGCCGAGCTTTGGCATGCCTGAGCGCGGTGCAGACGGGAGGAGACATACGCTTGGTATGCGCGGGATTCCTGAAGCCACTGGATGGCAGACGATCCCCGTTTCCGACCTCTCCCCCGGCCGCAAGAGGAACTAGTGTCCACTGTTCCCCTCCCAATCTCTCTCTTTTCCTTTCCCTTCGTTTTCAAACACCCATCGAGCTCGTGTATCACTAGCGGTTGCTGTGCTTCCCTTGTCCTGAGTTTCGTCTACTTCGGATCTCCTCAACCCCCTCCCAGGGCCCGGCTGTGTCCTTACGGATGGGAGCTGTATTCTACCTTGTTCTCGTTCTCCCTTTCGGCCTTGTTTGAGATTACACTCTTCTGTTATCACTCGATTTTTTTTCTTCCCCCTTGCCCAGAGCGGCCAGCGAATACTCGTCTTATGCCGTATTATACAATCAGCAACAAAACGAGAAACGTTGTACATGTACCCTATTATTGGCTCCTAACCAATGAACTAGTGAACTAAAGAACTGGTGACGCGTCTTCTTCCATCTCCTCCTTCCGTCTTCTGCAATTTGCATTCCCCCTTCTGCGCATCGGCAAGTCCTTCCCAATATCGGTTTCGGCCAGTACTTCCTCTTCTGGACGGGGTCGCGATGTCGCCTCGATACGCGCTGTCGATACGGGCAGTTCCATTGACGAGGAGGCGGTGCGAGGGGTTATTGTCAGGAAATTCTCCCCTTGAACATCCTATCGCCCACGGGATAGCGTTGTTCCCAACGTGCGCCGCACTTGTCTCTTCCACAGGACGACCGCACCGCTTTCGAAAACCTGGGATACGAGGAATACGAGGACAGGTTTTTCCATCGGTTGGAGTGCTACGTAAGTTTTCTGCGCAGATGCACACATGCGCTCCCCCGGCAGAGCGCGCCCGTTCCGCTTCTATCGTTCGCATGTGTCCACGTTCCGTCAAGATATCCCTTTTCGGATCTCGCGGTCTTCAGGGAACAATCAGCACTCCCCGCTGCTGCCGCTGCCCGCCGGGACGTTGTCGTCCCTTGGGCACATGCCCCATGGCCAGGTGGACAGGCTTCCGCCGGCAAGCCCTGATAATCAGTGGAGAACCCCGATTAGGCGCCAGCATGTGCTGGCCCGGGCACAGATCCTCCAGGTCCGAATCGTCGAGATCTGGGCCCAATCAGACCATAGCCCCTGGCTGGCAGCTTTTAATCCAGCTTGTATGCCGAAGGAGCGGACGATCAGGGGATATGGGGCCGTGGTGACGGCATTCGCCAGGAGAGGCAAAAGCAACCAAAAACCGATTGTGGAACGATCCGAACCGCTTGTCTACATCTGGAAGACTCAACTCTCTTCCCGTCAGGAGCGCGTCATTGTTGCTCCGTATCATGGGATAAGTGGACAGACATGTGGAACCGCCGCAGAGCGACAAATCCGAGCGTGGATGACCACAAGGGACAATCAACCATCCACTGGATTGGTCCGGCCATGCCGTTAGTCAGGTACCATTACGCCCTGTGGGAAATACACCTAAACTCGTCCACCTGCACGCAACTGACGTCTTTCAGCAAATCGGCAGTAATATCTGCTGCAGCTACATATATATGCGAATCCGAGGATCGACTCCCGCAAGCTTGCACTAACACGTGCCATCGAGATACACAGCATAGCAGACGAGCTGCAGGCTCACCGGCGGTCGAACGGCGTTCAAGACGGTTCATTCCCGTGTTTGTATTGGTGGCACCACAAAGGGAGCAAGCATGCTACTTTTCACAGCGGCGACTTTGGCACCATTGATGCGCTGAAAGTTCATTGGCACAAGGGGATAGATATTGAGGCGGTGGACATGTACATGATCCAGTACTGGCGTCAGCCAAGAGCCTTAGACCACGTAATGCTGTCACAGAGGGCATCTTGGTGGGCTGAAAAGGAAAGAGAGGTGGCTAAAGTCCAGCGGTAAGTTGTCTTGCTGGCACTGAAGATATTTGGCCGATCTCTCCCCGTCTATGTGGCAGTGCTCATGTCAACTGTGCAGTACATACGAGTTTTGGGGCAGGGTCCTCCGGACTCTGGACTCTGGACAGGGTATGTGGCAGTGTTTTTTGGTTGCTGTACACACCTTACTCAGCTGACATAATATTATTCCATTGTACTCCTACATTATGTACATTGTCACTGGTTATCTACTATACCTGACAAACAGCACCAGTCATGCTTGTCATCATCCAACCAGCTGAGCTTGCTGCCAATCCACTGCCTCTTGCTGACTCCTCCCTCCCTCAACTCCCCTCCCCTCCTCTCCTCATACCAACTCCCCCACCCACCATGTTACTCCTTGACCTCATTCACCAGCTTTTGGCAGCACACAAGTCCTTGCCATGACTCACCATCCAGCAAGCCCTCCTCTTCATCACCCTCTGCCAGCACCTCCAAATGCACATTGCCTGGCAAGAAATCCCTGGCATCAAACACCTCAACACTCCCCTGGCTGTGATACCAAACACAGTCACAGCTTCCCTCTCCAATTCACTTGGGCTCCTACTAGGGCACATTCCCATCCTCTGGCAAGCTCTTCAGTGGACTGCTTGGACACCTGACAGGGATCCTATGTGTCCTACTGGCCCTCTGGTAGATCCCCTCCCTTTCTTTGCATGCTTTGCACAGAAATACAACCTTGGTGAGCTCCTCCTTTCATTCCCCTTATCTTCCATTCATCTATATACTACTAGGCATCAAATATTTCTACCCCCTGACCCAAATATGCCTTAGGGATGCCTGTCTCCACCATGTTTGCACTGGCATGCATGCCATGTTGACCCTTTGCAACCAGCACTTTGCCATGTTGTACATGCTGGCCCAGGGTGCAATCCCCATTGTCCTCATATCCTTACACTGCAGGATATGCAGGATGACCTACTACCTCAACTTCTACTGTGAGAAGCAAGTGGCAGAGGAGGTTCAGGTCTACTATGGCGGCATGCCATCTGTCCTTCAAGCCAAAAAGCACATGGCTTTTGAAGACCATCTCTGCCATCTCTTTTGTGCACAGACTGTCCACGCCCAGTATGCATGTCTATTCATTTGTTCTTCCCTTCCCTTCCCTCCCCTCTAGTGCATACCTCTTCCCAGAGGGGCTGCTGGACAGTGATCTGTTATTTTGTCTTGCCAAGCACATACCTCTAACAGAGGGGCTGCTTGTGGTTGGTAGATGGCATCATCCCTAGGACTAGCAGAGACTGATGCAGGGATAGTGCATCCTCATCTGCAAATGCAGACATATACAACCTGACGCTGGCAAATGCCAGCATCAGGCAGCAAGGTCAATATTGCCTGTCCCTCCTTCAAGGCAAACATACATCCAACCTTTTTGACCTTTATGCCTTGCTTCTCCACCATGCCAAGCAGGGCAGCATTCTCCACCTTCCCAATGATGTCCAGTACCAGTATGACTGACTCAAATATGCCATGCAAGAGTGCAATGCTTTCATGGCCTACACTGGCCAGCCCCACTGGGCACATGCATTGAACAACCCCACCTCCAGTGGGGTGTGTCAGGCCAATATTCCCATGGCTATTTTTGGGCCTTAGAGACCATTGTGCAGCACTACAGACCCTCACTACATGGACAACATGCCCCAGCAACAAGTCTCGACTGCCCCACAGATATTCAGCATGGTGACTACTGCAATTCCCCAGGTGATGAGACCACTTGGATATTTGGCATGATGACAGCAGGTTTCCTCTGCAACGGGATTGACCCACCCGGATATTCAGCATGCCAACGCTTGCCTTAGAGAGGTGTCTAGAGACTGGATTAGTATAGAGTGCAGTTTTCAGTAGCTAGTATAAGTAGTTTCCAGAAACTCCTGTATTTAGCTTATTCTGCCCCTTTTCCGATAGCGTTATATGGATCCAATTATCCCCATACTGGATAGGCAGCATCATCTTGACTCAGCGTACTCAACTTGACTTATTGTGATACTTGACTAGATGGACAGCAAGCTCTGATTTACCAACTGATTTCTGACAGCTCAGCTATGGGCTGACTTGGGCATTCCTACCAATTTTCCCCATCTCTTCCCTCTTTCCCTAGCAAGTTCTTGCACACCACCCATTGGACCAATATTTTGGACACCTCTTGGGTTGGATCATTTTGGAGCCCAATGTGAGGCACCTTTTATTGATTAAGAGCTGCTGAGGTGAGAACTCCACCTCCTCCAATTTTCAATACTGGCTTCCCAATCTCCGACACCCACCTCTGCTATAAACCAACAGAACAAGCTTAGGGATGAATGGCAAGCCCAACATACTGTGCTCTGAGAAACACCCACAATTTTGGATACAGAGGTATCATTGACTGCTTCCACCCAGAGTAACACCGATATAGTGGACACAGTCTGATGACTCCTCATGGTGAGTAAATGCACAATGCCCATGGGCAGGGAGTCTCCCTCAGTGCCCTGCTTTTCTCCCACACCTCTCGGCATCACCTGTTATTTCATGGTCCTGGAAAAACTATTTGGCTTGTGCAAACCAGCTGTTACTGATGGAGCAGACAAGATTGACTGGGCTCACTTTTACACTGATGACGACACCTACAAATTATGGGCACAGATCCATGATGGCATGGACAATGTGGACAAGAACTCATATGAGGATTTCAAGGCCAAAATACTGAGGTACTACCCTGGCACCACAAATAATGAACACTGGTATGCAACTTGGGACCTCAACAACCTCATTCACAAGTGGCAATGCTGCATTAAGACCAAGGGTGAATTTGCCAAATTCTACCAGGACTTCTACTCAATTTCAACATGGCTCATCAAGCACAACCAGATCTCCATTCTCAACCAACAGAAGTCCCTCCTCTGCGTACATGAATTCCTGCCCACCAAAAGCCAACTCTGGGACAAGATGGTAAACAGGCTTGAATGGAAATAAGACAGGGCAGTAGATGAACCATGGACAACAGTCGAATTAAAGGAGACAGTGGAATGGGCACTGGGTAACACTATGATGAAGGTTTGGCCACCATCCCCCAATTATTTGCAGGAGGCATCACCAGCACTGGCACCTGTAGATGTCAAAATGGAAAGCAACCCACAGGTTGCTGATATTACTGGATGCATGGCTAACTTGGAAGGAATGGTTTCCCAGATTTACATGCTTATGAACTGGCAACCTGCAACACAGAACCAACTGGTTGCTCAGCAGAACTCCTATGGACAACCCTCCCAAAATACCTATGGCAATAACACACCGGCAACTGGTGCAAATTGGGTTCCAGTCCCAGTGGAGAACTACCCAAATCAAAACGGATATGGCCCCCGGAATACTGAACAAGTGCTCTGCCACTTCAATGGCATCTCTACTGGTTGCACAGACAAGATTGCAACATGCCCAGGCACCCAGAAATATGTGGACAAAGGACTCCTTGAGAAAGATGGCACTTATCATTTCCTCACTGGCAGCCGATTTATCCTGCATCATTGGCCCAGTTGGGACCTTAAAGAAAAAGTCGACACCTACTACAAGGACCACCCAGAACATTGTCCGAAATCACAA